TTAGTATGGGAGAGATTACTATTTGCTCTTCTTCACGGGGGGTGGATATGACAGGGCTATGGCCATGTTTGTATTTTGATGATAGCCTTGATATTGAGATTGGTATTGAGAAGGGGAGGGGGAAACGGGAGAGAGAGGAAGAAAGGAGTACCCACCTGGCGGGATCAACGGATACGTCAAGCCCGTAAACACCGGGCAGTGGCTCTGCTCATCAATCACATACACCGCGAGCCTGTTGCCGGCCTCCATCAACACATACAGGTACCGCCCATTCAGCGCCACCCACCTCGGATGGTCGCCTGGATCCGGCGCCTCCACACACCCGACCAGCGTCAGCTTGCCCTCGGCATCTTTGCGGTGCGTCCAGATCTTGTTCGCCCTCAGGTCGGCCGAGTACAGGTACGTCTCGGAGGCGTCGAACACCATGCCGTGGATGCCCGTCCGGGGCTCGTACGGATAGTTCTGCACGCACTGGTCCAGGCCCCCGTCTGCCGCCGTGACGGAGAACACGTTGCCGTAGCCGGCGTGGTCGTAGAAGGGGTTTCCGTAGACGTTGTACGGTGGCTGCTTCGCGGGCAGGAGGAAGATTGCGCGCGTGTTGGTGTCAGGACTGGAGGCCGCCACTGCTCATATGGATATCAACATTAATCTCCACATCAACATCGACACTCCGAATTGCTGGAAGGGTACCTTCATGCGTCATGTCCATGCTCTTCAGATGCTCGATTTCCGTCGGGCTCTTTACGGCGAAACTACTCCATTTCTTCATCGCCGCGCCATAGATGTTCTTTTTCGCATGCTGCCGATATGAATTTTTTTTTTTAGCAATTATTTCTCTCTCTCTCTCTCTCTTGCTCTCTCTCATACACACACACAAATATTTGTCACTTGACAGAATCTTTTCCATTGGAAAAACAAGAACAAAACAAAAACACTAACATCAAACGCCATCCACGAAATCGGCTCATCCCTATCCACCTCCGTCCTCTTCACCATCTCCAGCCCCAGCGTCTCGTCGTCAAAGGCAAACGTGAAGATGGCGCCGGGGCGCGTCCACGTCCCGACCATGAGGTGGTGCTTCATCGTATCTCGCTTGCCTGCTCGCCTGCTTACTGTGCTGATCGACGGCGGAGGGAGATGTGGATTCGATTCTGGCAACCAGCGGAGAATCCTCGCACAGTCCGGCTCAATGACTGTTGTTAGTGGTTTTGAGATGAGAAGAAATTTTGGAACTGGGAGTTAAGGAAGACGCATGGCAAGCAAGTAAAGAATAGGGGGCTTGATACAACAGTGAAGTCACGATCCAGAAGGGATGGACCTAGATTGTCGTTATGCCGGTGGTGTCCGGAACCGATAAGAAAGGCCGGAGCGAACTCTGTTTGCTTGGAAGAAGCGAGCAGGTGGGGGTACCGGTACGGTAGTGGGGGCTGGGGCGGCTATTTGCTTATCCGCCATCCCTTGCGTCTCGATCTCCGGATCCCCAAAACCATATCTTTAAAAAGCATTGGATCTACTTGCATCTACCGACTGAATCTCATAACTGATTTATTAACTCGACAATCTAACGCATTCTTGACTCGATCTTCGGGACCGAGTTCCATCATCTCTTCTCTTCATTTTCCTCTCTCTCTCTCTCTCTCTCTTCTCTCCTCTTCCTCCTCTAAACCACCCCCCACAACAACTATCAACTAATGAAAATAACAACTACTAAGTATCCCATCAACCCTCAATCACAACCAAGCCATCAACCTGCTTCCGTCTCCCCCCTGCATTGCCACTGCCAGCCAGCCAGCTCTATCACCCATCTCCAAAGCAAGCAACAGAACCAAACCAAAACCAAACACTCCCTCCTCCTCCTCCTTCTTCGTAACGTGAACAGGAACGAAAGACCACCGACGGCAGGCGCCCCGAAGTGTAGCTGACACGGAGCTCTCTCCAAGAACCCACTTGCAAGACGAGACGCGATGCAAGTGCTCTGCTGCCGCGTTGACACACATTTGCATTTGCATTTGCATTTCCGACGGGTTGGCTTCTCTCATCTACGTACTACTATGTATATGTATACCTATGTAAATCCAAGTTCAAGTCCTTGCACGCATGGCGTGCATAAGGTAAATAAATAAACGAGGTTCTGAATACCAGCGAGTGGAGCTACTACGTATCTATCTGCCCATCTGCCCATCTGCCATCACGAAGGGCCACCTCGCGATCCTGGCTGTGGTTGTTGTTACCTCGCCGGCGAGGTACCGGTACCGGTAATGCTGCGAGCCGGTCAGGACAGGCTGTTCCTCATCCGGTAATCCGAGAGACAATCGTGCCTGCCACGCAACTTTCGCGGGAAGCGGATGCGCCAGAGAGAGAGATCGATCTCGGAGGGGGTGTTGGGAAAACGGTGTGCGCGGTGGTGGTACCGGTACCGGTATATCAACGCCATGGGCCGTCGTGATATGTGACGGCTGTAAAAACTCACAAGTCTGCTGATATAAGACATGGTACCCCCGTCTTCCGACCCAAGATGTCGCAAAACGTAGCAGGACGCGGGAAACAGCAGCCAGCAGCTGTGAGAGAGGTGCACGGGACACGAAATCTCGAGTGCGGAGCATCAAACATGTGATAAAAAGCATCTTCGACATTCAGTCGAGCATCCACGTCAGCGAGCGCATGATATGCTATGTACATATTTATATATATATATCCCTTGACTGCCGGAAGGGGGTATTCGATCTACCGGTATCAGCCTTCATCCCTAACCGTCCTTCAGATGAAAGGGTGTATACCGCCCAACTTCCTGGCCCCGAGGCCATCCTCGGCCCAGCTCGCTTAATAAATAGGGGCTTGTTTACCACACGTCTCACCACCCGCCTCTATTGCCGATTTTGCCGGTAGAGTCTCTCCCGCATCCGGAACGGAGAACGGAACGCGTGCAACCCATAAGCTGGTACCGGTAGCTCTACATCCATCCCGTAAAACCACAAGAGGGCTGAATCATGCCATGCTCGTCCATCGCTCCTCCAGACTATACCCCGGCAGTATACCTCCTCCCGCCATCAGATACTATCCGGCAGCGACAGGGGCATCCTCTTGCAAGCTACATTCTCCGCCCCGGAACAGCTGAGGAGTCACAGGCAGTCGCTGGTTGATTGATGGGTTGCTTTCCTCTCAGGCAATGCGGGACCGTCGCCCGAAGCCGTGCCTGTGGGGCCCACGGAATCGACTCGACCGCGGCCGCAGCGCAACGCCTTCCTCCTCCACGATTCCCTCTGTGGGGTGGAGCGGGGCGTCCTCGCCGTGTTCGGTGGTGGCTGGCTGCAAGTGTGAAAAGCTGGCTTCGTGAGCTCCTGCTCGGTGCTCCGAGCGGTGGGATGGAGCCGGCGGAGTGCCAGCGGGCGGGACCTGGGCGTGCCGTCGTTGGTGCATCTGCTGCCGCTGTTCTGCTGATGGGAGTATGCGCGTCGGATGGTGGCGGAAGACAGGAACCCGATTCCGATGTGCTGCTCCTTTCCTCTGGTATGAGTGTTTCTAGCAGCGTTTGCCTTTCTCGTATCGTCTGGGACCTACCTGGGTGAGCACTCGTCCCGGCTTTGTGACTTCTCTTCCGGCCCTCGCTATTCGTGCCCCCGCCAAGTGTCACCGTGAAATTCCAAAGCACCATTCCGATCGCCTCGGCGCTGTCTCTCACTTTTGCGCATTCTATATTCGTGCCGCTAGGAGCGGGCGGCGTCACTAACCGTACGGCGTCCCTTCCTTTCCTCTTGGGCGGCAACGGCTTCCTCGCTGACCCAAACCAGCCGTCAGCTACGGCATTCGAACTCCAAGCTACGACGGCGTCCGTTCTTCCCTTTCTGAGTCCTCTTCACAGATCTAGATATGTTCTCAGCCAATCACCGACGTCCGCTCAAACGACATCGCGTGTCATGGAGGACCGAATCCCAGCATGTCGTCGAGCAAGATCATCCACGTCAAGGCTGGCGAGACTGTGAAGGCGATTTTGGAGACACGCGTGGACAAGTAAGATGGCAACATGCCCTGGTGGGCTGTGCTGATGTTGGATAGGCGATGCTACGGATGTCATAGAATAGATGCGCGCCACAAGGTCCGGCAACATGCCAATTCCAAGCAACGCACACCTGACGCAAAGAGGGACCTGTCATGGCTGGCATACGTGAAGAGAGTGACTGATGCGACGGTGGATGTCGGGTAGGGTGGTGGGTGGTTCGAGATCTCCGAGGCTGGCTTGAAGGTTCAGGCTTCAATCCTTCTCCATACTTCTTCCATTTAGACCTCAGCTTCACCGAGTCCTGATGACAACAGCCCACCGACCCCGGAATCCTCATCAATATCGACCAGACCTGGACGGGCTACCGTGTGGTGGGAGTGGCTGGACGGGCCCAACCGCGTGTGCGAGTGGAAGCTGCACGACCAGCAGCGCGTAGGTATTACGGCCAGTGTCTGCCGTCAGAGGTCGGCACCAGTGTCATCCGCGAAATATACCCGCCGATGAGAGCGCGCAATGCGCGGCCCCGTATCCACCGGTTCACTTACTACGTACCTAGGTAGTTTCTGCGGAAAATCAATCTTTGGTATTTTAGGTTCTCGGAAGTTTCTCGCATCTCCAGTATGCTTTTCTCTTATCCTTTCGCGAAACCTAGCCGGGCACCACCTGTCCATGTCACCATCCAGATGCAATATCTGGGGCTTCCTACTACGTACGTCGTCGTGAAGGGCTCCCGTGATGCTCAGTGCTTCGCCGCTCCAGGGACCGGTACTTACTTACTGTACCGCCGTACACGCGATGCAGATGTCCGTCGGCTCTCCGCCCGATTCCACCCCCGTCCCGTAGGTAGGCTTGATCTCCTGCCCGTCATGATCATCCACCCTGGTTAGTACTACTAGTTAGTACCGGTACTACTACCTCCCACGCCGCGACGACAGTCATCCGTCCTTGCATACTTATTCAGCCTAAACAAGGCTGTGACCGAAGATCCCTGGCGAGAAGCGATGACCCACAAATTACCATGGCTTGCCTGTAGCAGCACGAACTCAACCGGATAGAGCTTGAGAGGAGTACGTAGCGGTAGTAGGTAGTAGGTAGTAGGTAGTAGGTAGTAGGTAGTAGGTAGTAGGTAGTAGGTAGTAGGTAGTAGGTAGTAGGTAGTAGGTAGTAGGTCGTAGGTCGTAGGTCGTACGAATGGATTCTGACGAGAATGGCTGCCGAAGAGAGATGTCTTGTCGGCAATGTACGTAGTAGGGGGAATGTGCAGTGGGTGGGCCGGCGCGCAGGCTTCGAGGGCTCTGTCGTACTCGTACTCGTACTCGTACTCGTACTCGTACTCGTAGTAAATCCGCCCGCACCAGCCGCGGGACTGGAAGCTCCGTCCATCCCAGCACGGATTCTTTGATTCGCCTGACCCTCCTCGTCCCTGGAGCTGAAGTATTACCGTACAGACCTTACGCAGTATTACACCCGTAGTATACACATAACTGGCACTACCCGTCGTTCTCCCGCGCAGAGGCACTCTCCTGGCCTCTCCGTCGACGATCGTGACGATGAAACAAGAATTAATCTACACGCAGATTACAACTTGCTCTGCGTGGATGGGAGGCGGTCCTTTACCTTTAACTCTCGCTGATGCTGATGCTGATGCTGATGCTGATGCTGATGCTGATGCTGATGCTTGAAGCCTATATACCGGGCACGGTAAAGGAGTGGGGGAATCTCACCACCCCTGACGCCAAGCCGAATCCCCCTCAAACGTTCGCGGGGGATCGAAATTTCCCCGAGCGCGTTTCCTTCTCATATTGACTCAGCCGTCGGTACAAGTAGGTGGGAATTCCCCCGAGCCATCTCTCGACCGGTAGACCTGATGCACGCAGCACGCAACAAAGACGGACCTCGACATACAATCACACCATCCACCAGCGCGTCGATATTGTCGTGCGAAAAATCAAAAAAAAAAAAAAAACACACAAATGCAAAGCTGTGGCAGAACCTAGTAAGATATATCGTCTTCCCAAAGTCGGTTCGTAGCGAGCTTACTATTTACTCACTGTGCCTCACTGCCACTCCCAACGACTTTCCTTCCTCGGTCGTAAATGACCCCCGAGTCATGGTATATGCTCTACTGTAGCTGGTTTCTGTCACTGCCACCCCCAACCACACCCAAAATGTTCAAAAGCGCAAGACATAGCATTGATACCAACAATAGAAATACTAACATACACGGTCGTATTCGACCCACCACCAATGTCATCTCGACTTTATGCATCAGAAACGCCATTCTTTTGGAAGAAAAGAAAGAAAATGACGAGCAAGAGTACACGAATTTCGGTCCATGGCTGAACCCCAAATCCATAGCCTATTCGAGAGCCCCCAGTCCCCTCAGACCCCGATCCTTCCTTGCACTTCCAGCCAATATTCACAACTTTTAGCAGTGGAATAGGTGCGTTCCCAGATTGTCGATGGCGCCTCCTCCTGGTTAATGGAGCGCTTAGCAGGAGACGTCCAAGCTGGCCTTCGAGTTCATGAGCAGGGCGACAATCAAGCCGTAAAGACCTGTAGGATATTAGTGGATTTCGTTCGGCCCGGCATGATGGAAGGGGCCATGGATGTTTCTTGCTCATCCCTCTTGGTGCAAAAAAGACTTACCCAAGACTTCAGCGAAAATAAGGATGAGAATCATTCCGACGAAGAGACGAGGTTGTTGTGCAGTACCCCGTACACCGGCATCACCAACGATACCGATAGCAAAACCAGCAGCCAGACCAGCCAAACCGACAGAAAGACCGGCACCGAGTTGAATGAAGCCAGTGTACAAGGGCAATTGTTGCTTCAATCCATCGGAAATCAGGACCGAAACGACGAGACCATAAATACCAATGATACCAGCCATGATAACGGGTACAATGTCTGGATACATCGTCAGATTTTACCCTTCGATGTATGTGTATTCTACAGCTTACTCTTGACGATCAAATCAGGACGGAGAACACCCATGGCGCAGATACCGACACCAGACTTTGCGGTGCCGTATGCGGCACCGAAGCAGGTGAAGACGATGGCCGACGTGCAGCCCATGGCACCAAAGAACGGCTATTGTATGATGGTCAGTCCCAAGATCTTGCTCCATCCTTGGGGGGATCGAGATGTGTTGGACTGGAGTAGGGTTTGTAGGAACTCAGGAGGGGAGTACGAACCGCGTAGACCGGGCTGCAGAAAGAGGGTTAGCATAATTTTGACACAATTGAAAGGTCCATAACGAAGCTGCAGATGAGGCTGATCCAGAGATGCAGCGATGTCCATTTTGATGTCCAGTCGTCATTGTCATTGCCCAGGCGACTCACCAATAGATCAAACTGTCTCCGAGATCCGCCATTGTAAAGGTTTTGGTGGGTTGGGGAGCGTGAGGTATTCGTGAAGCTTGAATAAGCTGAGTGGGTGATGGTTGAACGGTAGATTGATGGTTTGGAGCTTGGTGAGAGACGTTGTTCTGATGGCGATGATGATGTTCAAGGAGAGGAAGAGCTGGTGAGGCGCGCCTTGCCTGATTGAGAGTAGCGCGTTCGCGAAATGGCGCTACTGCCCGGGGCCGATTTCCGAACTTTTTTTTTTGAAGAACATTCGGATTGTTCCTCAAACTTCACGATTTCACCAAATTTCCATCCATTCATAAAATAGCAGGGCGAGCCAGCGCAAGGAACCCTGACAGTTTATCCACCTCGAAAATAATTTCAGATTTTCTTCTACAACTCACAGTAAGCCGTGCGCCAATGCTTGCAAAACTGCCCGCCTTGTACTTACTTGACCCCGACAGACAGTCCACATCGAACTATTTCAAGATGGCCGAAGAACAAAACGGATCTGCTGGTATGCGCTTTCATTCCAAACCTCAATACTTTATTTCCGACTTCTCCGCAACCTACACAAACTTTCCAAGCCCAGAGTTCTTGCTGATTCTTCCACAGCTTGGCCCGTCGCCGATGCTGCTCTTACCCAAGAGATCCTCGACATTGTCCAGCAAGCCAGCCACGCCAGACAATTGAAGAAGGGTGCCAACGAGGCGACAAAGACCTTGAACAGAGGTATCTCGGAAGTCATCATCTTGGCTGCAGACACCGCTCCCCTCGCCATTCTTCTCCATCTCCCCCTTCTCTGCGAGGATAAGGTACGCTATTTCCCAGGCGCAAGCCTTCCCACTTCCTTACCATAATGCTCATGTGTGTAGAACGTTCCTTACGTCTACGTCCCCAGCAAGACGAGCTTGGGACGCGCCTGCGGTGTCTCCCGCGCCGTCATCGCCGCCAGCCTCACCACCAACGAGGCCTCCGACCTCATGAACCAGATCCGAACCCTGAAGGATAAGGTCGAGAGACTTATGATCTAATTCATTGGCTGGAAAACGGGACGGGTCATGCAACACTGGATTTGAGAAGACAGCCGGCGTTCGTGCTACGGCGAGGATATCTGATTTGCGGAGGTTTGTCAATTAGGGGAATCGAAACCTTGCACAAGTTCCACTTGGAAACTATGCCCTGGTAATTGATTACTGAATTCGGATTTTGCTTGTCGCTTGCGGATGGTACCGTGATGCTCAAATCCAGCCCTTGCTCTTTTCAATGGCATAATCTGGTCTATTCTTGAAGGTCAAGTTTGACCTGCAGCCAATGCGCCACTCCAGTGCGGGTTCACAGCCAAGGTTTTCGCGTGGTTCGTATTTCTGTTCTGTGAGATTTTTAACCTTTCGTTGGCTACCAAGACAAACGAGAGGCTTAGTTGGGAGAAGGCATATCTTCTCCGATACACTTGAGCTTTAATTCAGATGCGTTGAAGAATCCCAAGCTTCACAGCACAGCTTGACGCATACAGAGTCTTTCTACGCAGTAACGTAGAACAACGTATGTCCAACCCACATCTAGCTCGGACTTCCGGTAGCTACGCCATGCGTATTTGAATAACAAAATGGAGAACACATACCAGATAACACAGATTTCTACGAAGAGGCACAAGGCTATTAATCTATGGGCGGGCTCGGGTTACTCCAAAATAGCTTGCGATAGTCATGTTATGCGTGAATTTCAGCAGCGACTTACTCGGCTGAGCTTTTCAAAAGCAACAATATTTAGGAAGTTAGTGTTTCAGTTCCAGTTGTTTCTCAGCTTCTCTGCGGAAGATGAAAGATGAATCCAAGGCCTGCAGGATCAAATGGATCAAGTAGACAGACGGGGCTCAAGTTCCGGAAATTTTCTATTCAACCCCGTAGATTTTTTTCCCGATACCCGGTCAGTGGCTCGGTTTTTTTCCACTCAACCAACTTAGCGTGCTTCACAAATTTTGCGTTGGGATCATAATACAAAAAGCAACCTCGACCGACATCTACAAATGGTCGGGTGGTGTAGTTGGTTATCACATCTCGTTAACAGTTCTACTGTAACACAATACCGAGAAGGTCCTGGGATCGAGCCCCAGCCTGATCAAAGACATTTTTGTTTTTTTAGATCTTAAAGATCGGGGGCTTAGTGCGGTGTGTTGAGATGGGAAATTTCTGTTGCTGGTATGAGTGAGTGGGTGTTGTCAGGCTTTTATTAGGGCTTTGTGGGTGGTGGTTCTCTTTCCGTACGTCTATCTAGCTTTAAGCCGGTCATTACATAGGTTTCTTGGAGAGCGGACCAGATACCGGTTGTCCCTGGTTTTATGTTGTCTTGATACCGTTAATAAAATATCCTCTTTTTTGCTGCGGATAAAATTTGGGATAACAACGCTTTCATTTTTTTTGCCCGGGCCTCGGTCAGTTCCCCTCCATTGACTTTGCTTACTTAGCCTTGACATGGTTGAGCTTCCTTTCTTTCTTCCCGGCTCCGTCCCTATTGGTTGTACTGCTCAGGTAGGGAATAAATGCAGAAATAGAGGCAAAATACGGAGTAGATTCGATGCCCTCCTGCCAACCCAAGCTTACTTATCATCCCTTTGGTCCCTTTGGGCTCTTCCTCTCCCTTCTTATCCGGCGACATGTCTCGGAGCCGGTCCGTCCTCGAGAAGACGTTGAACTCCATTTATCCAGCGAATGGCCATCCAGCGCTTGCTGGTTGGGCCCGCTATAAAGTGACCCCACCTAATGACGGTGCACAGCTCAACAACCGCTTAGTACAGTAGTACTTCCCGGTGCTTACCCCTCCACAATTTTTCTCTTAGCCTCTGCCTCTGCCTCTGCCTCTCCACACTGCTACTGGCGTCCCCTCTCCCACATTCCCTCTCTCCCCTTCTCTCATACCGATCCTCCTCGTCTCCATCCCAACAACTCCAATCACTCAAGTATCGCCATCGTAATCATGGGCTACACCGACGTCGACAAGCTGGCTATCAACGCCATCCGTCTTTTGGCGGTATGTTTGTTGTGTTTCTCTTTCACCCACCCCCCGGCGCCCTCATTTTACCCCTCCATCGCCACGTCAATGAAGCTGCGGAAGCTGCACCGAGCACAACAATCAACACCTCTGAGATGTGGCATAACGGCCGCTAACTGTACCTCTATAGGTCGATGCTACCTTCAAGTCGAATTCGGGCCATCCCGGTGCGCCTATGTAAGTACATTCAGGGAAAAGATGTCGAGTGCTGCGACTGACCCGCAACAGGGGAATGGCACCGGTTGCCCACGTCCTCTTCAACAAGATCATGAGATACAACCCTAAGAACTCGGCATGGATTAACAGGGATAGATTCGTCCTCTCGTAAGTTGTTCAAGCTATCTTGAGCCCTGCCCTTGCAAGCTGCACCTCGGAGGTGTAAGCCGGCTGGATATGTATAAACACAGTATCTTGAAAGCAGAAAAAGTGGTGCTTTTAGGTCCACTGATATCACAATCCTTATTTTATCTCCGCTTAATCCTGCTTGAAAGCTTCATTGGGTGTCTTTGCAATTTCTGGCTAGCTATCTAACAATCAATAGCAACGGACACGCCTGCATGCTTCAATATGCTCTCCTTCACATTGCTGGATACAAGATCTCTATGGACGATATCAAGGCTTTTAGAGTGAGTTCTGATACCAAATCTTGCACGCCTTCGCAAAGTTGACCTGTATTCCCCTAGTCAATTGACAGCATCACACCTGGTCACCCAGAAGCCCACGACACCGACGGTGTTGAGGTCACCACTGGTCCTCTGGGACAAGGTTTCTCAAACGCTGTTGGATTGGCCATTGCTCAACACCACGCTGCTGGTGAGTTCAACAAGCCTGGATTCGAGCTGATCAACAACTACACATACACATTCTTGGGCGATGGATGCCACATGGAGGGAGTAGCCAGTGAGGCAGCCTCGCTAGCAGGCCACTTGCAACTTGGTAACCTGATTGCCATTTACGATGACAACCACATCTCTATCGATGGTGATACCAACTGTGCTTTCACTGAGGATGTCGCTCTTCGATTCAAGGCCTACGGCTGGCACGTTGAGGTCGTTGAGGACGGTGACAACGATTTGGAAGGCATTGAGGCAGCCATCAAGAAGTGCCAGGCCGTCAAGGACAAGCCATCTATGATTAAGCTCCGAACTACCATTGGATTCGGATCTCTGTTGGAAGGTACCCATGGTGTGCACGGCGCTCCTCTCAAGGTAGATGATATCAAGCAGGTCAAGACCAAGTTTGGTTTCAACCCTGAGCAATCTTTTGTCGTACCCCAAGAGGTTTATGACATGTACAACAAGCACGGTGCCGAGGGGGCTGCCGCTGAGAAGGAGTGGGAGCAACTTTTTGAGAAGTACGGTCAGCAATACAAGTCCGAGGCTGCTGATCTCAAGCGTCGTCTGACCGGCGATCTCCCAGAAGGATGGGAGAAGAACCTCCCAGTCTACTCTCCATCTGATGCTGCAGTTGCTTCGCGAAAGCTTTCTGAGATTGTTCTTCAAAAGATCCATGCGGCAGTTCCAGAATTGATGGGAGGATCTGCAGATTTGACTGGCTCCAACTTGACAAGATGGAAGGAGGCAGTTGACTTCCAGCCCCCTTCTCTCGGAATCGGTGACTGGTCCGGACGCTACATTAGATATGGTGTCCGTGAGCACGCCATGGGTGCCATCATGAACGGCCTTGCCGCATACGGTACAGTCATTCCGTACGGTGGTACTTTCTTGAACTTCGTCTCCTACGCTGCTGGAGCCATCCGTCTCTCTGCCCTGTCCCAAGTCCGTGCCATCTGGGTCGCCACTCACGACTCTATCGGTCTCGGTGAGGATGGTCCTACCCATCAACCTATCGAGACTCTCACCCATTTCCGTGCTCTGCCCAACTGCATGGTCTGGCGCCCAGCCGACGGGAACGAGACCAGCGCCGCATACTATGTTGCCTTGACCTCAAAGCACACCCCATCCATCATCGCCCTGTCCCGTCAAAACCTCCCTCAACTCGAGAACTCCACCATCGGCCACGCCATCAAGGGTGGTTACGCGGTCCACGAGGCCGAGAAGGCCGATATCACCTTGGTCTCCACCGGTTCGGAGGTCGGTATCTGCGTTGACGCCGTCAAGTACTTGAAGGAGAAGCACAACTTGACTGCTCGCGTTGTCTCCATTCCCTGCTTCGAGGTCTTCGATGCTCAACCTAAGGAGTACAGACTCAGCATCTTGCCAGATGGCATTCCATCTCTTTCCGTCGAAGTTATGTCCACGATGGGATGGGAAAAATACACCCACGAGCAATTTGGTCTCAACAGGTTCGGTGCCTCCGGTGCATATTTGGACGTCTACAAGGTGCGTACCATTTTTCCCCCTTCACCTGCATGGAACTGTACCAGAATTTAGCTAACTCCAAACAGAAGTTCGAGTTCACCCCCGAAGGCATCAGCAAGCGTGCTGTTGCCACTGTCGAGTTCTGGAAGGACGTCCCTAACATCCGCTCCCCCATCAACCGCGCTTTTCAACAACTCATCTAAACTTTGCAGTACTGGTGACGAATAGAAATTATATTTGGGGCGCATGGAAAATTGGTGTTTTAGCCTGTAGATAGACTCAGAATGAAATTTTTACGAACCAGCTACCATCTTCTACCTTGGAAGCGCTTATCGCTGTTTCGACTGGTGAAGATTGCCTTCAATTACAGGCAGTATTTTCATGCTTGCTACTAAGTCTCAAGAGACCCGGTTTTTCACTGGTATTGCGAGCTGGAAGTGAGGTTCCAACTCATACAAATTATTCAGGAGCTCGCTTGTTTCGTCATACCCCTACTACCCTTATTCCATCACAACAGCAGCTTGAGCTAGACAGACTAAACGCATACATACCGGTAGATGATGAGTCAGAATTCAGCTAAGTAGTTAGTGTACATAAGAACAGCAAAGTATCCACCAAGGCGGCGCCGCTCAGCTGAAGTTCCAACTTCGAAGTCCGAATCTCGGATTCGAGAATTGGAGGGAGATCTGGTACGTACCTTATGATGTGACATGATGTGATGTGAAGTGATGTGATGTAATGTGAATCCAGACTCGAATTGAGATGAGAAGAGATGATTCACCTCCTGATTGGATGAGGAGATTTGAGAGACGGAGTGTGTGTGTATGTGTGTGTGTGCAAATTTCGGTTTGTTTAGAGGGCTCAGTTATTGTGAGATTGGGTGTGGGTGTATATATGTACGTGTGTATGAATGAATGAGTGAGTGAACATCATATTGGTTTTTGTCTGGGTGGGGATTATCGAATCATAAAACGCAAATTTTATTCTCTTTGAGCATTTTGCTTTTTTTTTTTAATGGAGGAGGAATGACGCAATGTTATATATGATATTCATATCGGAGTTATGGAAGAGGACCAACGAAGGAGCTTCATATTTTGGATCCACGTATTCATGCAATATTTCCATGTTATACATCTGCATCCCAGCCGACCCCCCCTCCTTTAAACCTCAAATATCTCTCCAATCCCATCCCCACCGCCCCTCCGATTCTCTACCAGATCCAGCCTCCATGCCTCCCAGTTCTTCAGCCCCCGCTTGACTTCCTTGATCCGCTCAATCCTCTTCTTCACCTCTTCCTCCTGCGCAACTCGAAATGCCTCCTCGTCAAACTCCAAATCGTCATCGTCATCCAGCAATCCCTCTCCCCCAGCACCGCCTGCAGTCCCGTTACCCCCAGTGATAGCATTGAACCCGGTCTGCAAGAAATTGCCTATCCCGCCTTGTCCAGCCGCAATACTGCGACGTTGACCAGATGGCCCGCCTAGATCAACATCCGTAAACCTCGTGATCGGACTCGTGCTCTCCTCGCCGCCATCCAACTCCTTACGGCGATCACGCCACACGCCCCGGCGCAGCTCGTGGACCTCGCCTTCGAGATCCCGAACTTTCTTCTCCAGACGCTGGCGCTCTTCGTTTTCTAGCTCGTCGACGCCTTCATCGTCGATTCCTTGGGCATGGCTCTTCCGCGTCCTCTCCCTCTCCTCTCTTAACCGCATGTTCTCATTTTCGATACCGGCGAGCCGAGCACGCAGGTCCGAAGATTCTTTCTCCGCCTTTTCCTTCTCCTTCTTCTGAGCTTGTGAACGTGCGTCTTGCTCCTTGTGCAATGTGGTTAGCGTGGTGGCTTTCTTCTCCAGCGCTTCTACTTTCTTCTGCAGTTCCTCGCTAAGCGCTCTCGATTCCTCAGCTTCTCGCTCGAGAGTGCGCAGTTTCGTCTCTGCTGAGATCCGCTCACTGCCCTCCTTGACTGCCTTCTCCGTCGTTCTCTCCAGATTCTTCTTCAGATCACCTAATTCCCTCTGAGCAGTATCAGCTAAGTGCTCGCTGCGCTGTAACTTGGCTTCCAGAGCGCTAATTTGTTCCGTCTCAGAGGACCCGCGCTCGATTTGCGCGCGAAGGGTGGAGATCTCGAGTTCCATCGTTTCAATGGTGGCGGATTTCGAAGCGAGTTCTGCTTCGTAGTTCGAGGGGTTAGAGGTAGAAACCGAGGGGGAAGAGCCGTGGCGTGTAGTGCGGGAGGATTGGGCTTGGAGATGGGTGTTCTGGCGTTGGAGGGCTGCTATTTCTGATCTCTATATAAGGATATCTGTCAGCAAATCGGTAGGAAGAGAAGTTTCAATCCCAATTTCGAAATATATTCTCGTACCAGTTTCTCCAACTCTGCCTCTGATCCTGGATTAGACGGAGGAGTAGGTTTTATGTCTGTCGAATCATCCGCCTCCCTTAGATCCTCGAGCTCCTCCTCTACTTTCTTCAACCGCCTCTCCCCATCACTAGCCTCCTTCGCCAACCGCTTGTTCTCCTTTTCCAGCTCCTCTATCCGCGCAGCCTGTTTCCGGTATATCTCTGGAGCAGTCTCGCCGTCCGGAGAGAACCCGTAGCCAGGGGATAGTTGACCAGCTGTTGATTGCCTGAACGACGAGGATCGCATTTTTGACTGGATGGATAGTGACGGCTGTCTTTGGGGGACATCGGGGTTGGCTTCTGGAACCGTGCTGTCTTGCTCCTTGCTCTCGACGGCATCTTCTGTAGATTCCACGGTAGGCACTGCTTCTGCTGTGGTGTCTGCAGATTCGTTTTTGGATGGTTCAGATCCATCGTCTGTCTTCTCTTCTTTCTTAGAGCCGACTTTCTTTTGCTTCTTCTTCTTCATTTCCTCGACCTATCATAGTGTTAGTGTGCTCGCCTGTCTACTATCTAGGGAGGACATCTAGTGGTGTATTTACACGCTTCTTCGCCGCAGCAAGCTTCTCAGCTTTTGCCTTCTCTTCGTCTGCCATAATTGCTGATTGCGAATAATTATTGCCTCCTGTGCTGTGATAATGTAGGTCGGTGATGGGTTGGCAATCCGTTTTCCACACGCGCAGGTAAGAGACACATTGGACAGCTTGCAGCGGGAGCTAACAGGGTGCCGTGCCGACTGGGGTCGCCCTGCAAATGCGCACCGTCATCCATCTTTCAGGGCTTTTAAGAGCCCCAGCCTCAGCCTCAGGCTCTGTCTCCAGGTCTCCAACACTTCTCCAACCACGACTTCGCTGCAGCTTTCACCATGGCAGCTCCTACGGATAACAACAACAACGATAACAACACATTAGGTCTTCATCTATGCGATCGAGCGCTCACCCCAATTCTATCATCTTCCCACCAGCTCTCCCCAAATTCTTCTACTCGACAACAAGCACAAGCACTTGCTGCGCTTACAGGAGCCTCCATATCCGCCTACGATACATCCTCAAGACTAGGCCTCGGTGTCCCCCAAAGAGCGATGGTAGAAACCTCGGGCTCGGGCCCGATTGCCTTGACATCCTATCTTCAATCACCTGACGAGCGACCAATTCCGGAACATCCTCATGACGCTCTACACAGCATTACCAAGAACTCGAATCCAGAGTCTGGCGAGGGAGAAGTCGGGGCGCTGGTCAATGGGACAGGAACGAGTCCTGCAGATTTGAGTGAGGTGGATGGAGAAAGTAAGAGGCAGCATGCGCCGCTGTTGGTTGCGTCGGTTGTCGCAGGGAGTTCTGTTGAGTTGAGGGAGGCGAGAAGGGCCGCAGCGAGGCTGGAGAGAATGGGGAGGGAATTTCAGAGGGAGTGGGTGAGGAAGCAGAGTCAGGAGGGAGACCAGACGCCTACGAGGGAAGAGGGCTGAAGTGAGAGATGAGATGGGACACCCCCAAATCTAAAGCTGAAGAGCAGAACTTTACCCGGGAAAATCGGGCAGACGAGGACGCACCAGCAGGTTGGAAGTTCTCGTTGAAGTAAAGCAGTTATTACATTGTCTCGCGCTGGGCCAAATTTCTTAATGGTCAGTGAGCAGGAAGGGCTATGACGAGATATCAGATCTGAAGGGCATTGTTCGGATATGAAGTATCACGTCGAGCTCGGACTGGGGCGTCAAACTCTGGCAGAAATGCTGAGAGACACAAGGGTTCCTGTTGAAGGCAGATTGGAGTCATTGAACGTCAGGTTCGAGTCAGTTGAACCAGAATATCAAACAATGAAATGTCGTACGCGGTCTCTCAGGCAGATTCTGCAGTCGACCCTCCCTTCCTTGATTACGCTTGGGCGGCTGCAACAAGTTCCTCCTCTGTAGCGAGAGGGCTCATAATGCAAGGCGCCAAGATATATATTCCCAATATTTTGTTCAGACTCTTTACGCAGCAAGATACCTTAGATACCTTGCAGATGCTTCTTAACGAGCCACCCAAATACTCCAAGGCTTCGCTTTTATACTTTCTTCGAGGAACGCACTATTCACCTTATGTTCGTTATTTTTTTGATTTCTTCGTTTGACTAAGCGCATGATCTTGATGCCGCAAGTTTCGGGTACAAGTTGCCATTTGGCACGATATTGCAAAAGGTCGCCATGCTCCCTAACCGTGTGATCCCCTACCCGTGCAACCAACCCTAAGCTCTCGACATAACACCCCAAGCACGGATCATGTTGTCGGTGTATCCGGCGAACAAGGTCTGTCCATCGCCGCTCCATGCCAAGCTAACACACTCCGGCTCTCTGCTCTTCTTACCAATGGTCTCGAAATCTGGCTTCAACTCGTCAACCTTGCTCTTCTTCTCCAAGTCGAAGATGATAATGCTGCTGGAGGTGGCGGCGCAGAGCCAGTATCGGTTGGGGGAGAAAACGAGGGCGTGGATCTCATCGCCGGCGTTAAGGGAGTAGAGGTGCTTCGACTCGTTCAAGTCCCAGAGCATGGTGGTTCCGTCCTTGCCACCGGAGGCGCAGAGAGATCCATCGGGAGAGATGGTCACAGTATTGATGTAGCCGGTGTGTCCGATGTGGTCGGTTTGCAGGCGGCACGAGCTGAGCTCCCAGACCTATCAATCAAGGTCAGCTAGTTCTCTCGAGATTCATGCGCCCAGAACGAGCTCGCGATGCGAAATTCTTTATCAGAGCATATGGTGATGATTTGTCTCATGGCATGGTCTCCCAGGCTCTGAAGTAGCAAATACTATATAAGTTGCGTAGCATCATTTGAATTTCGCATGCCCGTGTCTGATCGCATCTGGGGGTTCTCCTCACCTTAACAAGCTTGTCCCATCCAGAGCTGACAATGACCGGGTTTTGGGGGTTGGGGCTGAAGCGGACGCAAGAAACCCAGTCGGCGTGTCCCTTCTCAGTGATAGTGAACTTGCAGTCACCGAGAGTGTTCCAGAGCTTGATTGTGCGATCGCGGGATCCGGAAACGATTTGTCTGTTGTCGGCAGAAAAGGAGACAGAGAGAACATCGTTGGTGTGTCCGACGAAACGGCGGGTAGTAGTACCGGAGGAAAGCTCCCAGAGTCGGAGAGTCTTGTCCCAGGAAGCGGAGAGGGCGTAGGCACCGTCAGAGGAGATCACCTAAATCTGAATCTCAGTACTTTATTCTGCGCTTCCTCGACAAGAATGACGTACGCAATCAGAGATGATATGGCTGTGACCGTGCAATGACCGCTTAGGATATCCGTAGGAAGTATCATCCCGAGCTGCTCTGTATTAGCAGACGTTTTATACTGTTGACTAACTTATGAGATCCTCCTCACGGGTTGCGCTCGCAACCTCGACAGATCTCTCCAAATTAGCCAGGGGATAGCAGCAGATATAGACGTACTGAGGTTCCAGATGATCAAGGTCTTGTCGCGGGATCCGGAGAGGAGGACTATAAATCGAATTAGAACCGCGCGTATAGTGTTCGCCTGCAGGAGCTTGCAGGGAGGAATTGAGGCGTACGGTTTGGGTTTTCGATGGAGGTAGCGAGGGATGTAACCCATCCGCTGTGGCCTTCAAGGGTACCCTTCAGAATGAGTTGCTCGGACATCTTGAGGTGTTGTTGACGGTGCTCAATCTCGTCGTTGAAGATATTCAAAAGGAATTTCGTGTGGGATACATTTTCGCTTGTTCGGCGGGAACTAGCTTAGCGGCTTGGCGATAAATTGGGAACTTGTGGGAGGGTTGACTCAAAAGAATCAAAGTCGCGTCCTGACTCAGGAGTAGAAATTCGTAGTTTTCAAGTCTCAAGTAGAGAAAGCGTCACTTGTTCCCAACTCTGACACCTTCCAATGAGGATAAGTACAGATGCTCCCGCGAGATTGACATGCAGTCAATCTGCTAACATCTTGCGAGCCGGCTTTACAGTTACTCTAAATTGGTCTTGCTACCTATTGTCGACGGTCTTCTCATCATGGTCAGAACTTCGGAAATCCGGCTTGTCAAGCTATGATCATAATCCATGTGAAATTTGAAATGTTCCGAAGCCAAATGTAACTTAATGATCTTCTACGTACTGATCATTAAGAAAGATCCGGGCCTGTATCTACTTCAGAATTGCGAAAGGTGCTTAGACATTAACAGCCGACGTTTAGATATCAGCACAGCAGGCCTGACGGGACTGGTGCTAGATAACAAAAAGACTTTCGAGACATCGGGGAGCCACATAGTAATAGCAATCATGAGGGGTCTCTGGCAGTGGCTAGAAATTATAAACACCTTATAGAGGAGAGGAGGTACAAACCAAGGGTCAATGGTCATGAGGTTGCTTCACGTACATTCGCGTTTTGATCAGACCGACTCGTATTGAGGATTTCCAGCAAAGTCAAGTGAATGTAGCCCGCAGGAATTTGATACACAGTAGTTGAGTTCGAAGAAATACTTGTCAAGTTGACTAGATGTAGCACAAGTTGCTTGATGCTCGAGTTCTGCTTAGATGACGTCCTCCTGAAGAAATAGTCCACATTCTTCAATCGTAGTCCGTCAAAACCGGAAACGAGTTGCCCGATATACTCTTATTTTGCGGTGAGTCATTGGAACACGCTGGAGTTTACCGGTCTAAGCAATGGGCTCGGCTCGCTGTCGACACACTAGGGGAGTTCTTCCAGGGCCTAGAAGATAGACTTCAGAATTGAACAGATTGGCCGACCCTACATCTGCTGCAACGAGAAGGAAACAAAAAAAATACGGCTTATCTGGAGTACACAACAGCCTTCCTATCCCAGGTTCGGAAGAATCCCGAACTTCTACGAATCCGGCTTCAATTGCGCCCTCACATCTCCCTCTTTGGCTCTCAAAACCCAATTGGAGATAGCGAAAAGCCTTGTCTATAAGCTTCTTTCATACTCACCCTCCAGTCTTGAGATAACAGTGAACATTTCCAGATTCAGAAACGGGTATGCATTGCCAGAGTTTCCTCGGTGTAGGTGATGTACAGCTTAATCTCTCACTATGCCCGGCACCAAGGCCCTCTCACATCTGTCGATCCTGCCAATCTCCACGATAACTGCCTCCGTCTAACTCTCTTCTGCTCTCTATGCCGCGGCGTTGGCTGCTCTTTTGTCTTCCAGTTTCGAGTAGTATGCGTCTCGCTTGGCGACAGCTGGAACGTGGAATCCGTACCTGCAATCAGTCATTATTTATGGTCTATAGATATGTTATCGTAGAATTCAGCGTCTGTACCAGAAGGCGTATCCGAAAGTCGTGCCGAGACCTGTATCGAATCAGTCGTTATTCTAGTACATTCGTTCGCTCCAACAAGTCGGTTGCCACCCATATTCGTCGGCGGTTCCCCCATATATCCTGTCGATCTTTCTTCTTTATAGTGAATGGCCTGCTCACCAAAAGCGACACTGAGGTCAAGTACGAGGCCCCTACGGAGCATCTGGAAATGAAGTCAGTTCATTATTCTAGGACTTCCAACGCGGCTGTAGACGGTTTCAGCAGGCGAAAAGCGGCGGAGACAACATACTCCGGTAATTGGTTTGATTGCCATTGTGGGAGGTTCTTGAACTATGTGGGGGAGTTCTCGATAGTGATTCTGTTCGGAAAGGGAGCATGATTTGAGGTTGAGAACCGCATGATTCCGGGTTGACCATTCGGTCACGTGACTAAAGTCCGTGCCCACTTGCAGCAGGACCTGCCGGCAAGGCTTCGAGCGCGAACCATCCTTTGCGCCAGAAGTGCTTCTCGAACTGACGACTTGCGACTTCTACGCCCGCGGACTGGTATGGCTTGAACAACCATTTTGCTTTGAGTACTCTACCTTGACAACTCAAAGCCAACATCGAAACCATCGCGCGATCATGGCCCCGATAACCCCAGTATCCAGGAAACGATCTACCCCCTCAGACAGCGAAGATGGCCATTCCGACGAATCGTCCGCGAAGAGGATGCGAGTTGAGGTTACCATGCCACATACACCACCGCCAGAGGAGAACTCTCAGGTCAATTTCCACGCTGCTCCCATGTTCAGCGACGACCCTCACCAGCTTTTGACGCGCTCAGCTGCCTTGGTCCTAGAGCATGTGGGGTTCTCAGGCGCACAAAAAGATGCTATGGAGGCCTTTTGCGCTGAAATCGATGCTTGTCTGTATTGACTTTCACGTTTCGTGAAATGCGTATTGACTTCTTCTAGTCAGCACCCACTTTCTCTCCAAGGTCACATCATCTATGCTTAACTGCAGACGCTCGCAGCCCACGCCTGTCGACTTCGCATACGCACTCCAGGAATTTGATATTCCCCTATCCTACCTAGAGCCACATCTCGAGCCTCCAGTACCCGAGTCCAAATCCCTGGTCCAGCTTGAGCCTCTGCCGGAAGAGCAATTGGCCACAGCAACAATTTCGACAGAGGCGTTACTAGGAGAAGTTCTGAGTGGTGATCCGGACAAGACGGTAAAACCGTACATCCCCAAGCGGTTTCCCTCTTTTCCCAGTAAACATACATATAGATCGACGTTACCAGATCCAGCGCGGGTGATGGATCCAAGAAAGATCAGAGAAGAGGCTGCGAAGGCTGCGCGACAGGGCGAGGACGCGCTGCGCAGTTTGACCAGGGTCGCGAAGGCCGGAAAAGAGAAAGATGTCAAGAACACTGCGAGCAAGGACCCGACGAGCAAGGAGAGGCATACCTTGTGGGAGTTGGCGATGGAAACTTTGGCGACCAATAAGTCCGATATTGGTATCAAGGACGGCGTTTCGGAGAACGATAGGGGTCTAATCGTAAATGCAGGCCGGGCATACAACAGGAAAGGGGCACCTGCGAAGAAGAAAATGATCCCAGTTTTGGAGGGCCTATAATGATGGTCTGGAGTCCGTTTGGTATTGGGTATGTGGTGCATAGCGAGGCGTTAGGGACGGAGTCACTCTGGAATGGGTTCATCGACTTCAGGCATACCAAAGATGCTTGGCCAAGCAGGTCTTTATTGTAGTATACTGTAGATAGTATATCAGATGGCGGTGCGAGACTTTAAGGTGTGCTTTTGGCAGGCAGAAATCCTATATCCAGAGCCAAAGCTGTTTGCCATTTTGTTCAACACCCTCCCACCCAGCTTGACTGCTACAAGACTATCAAACCGGCGCCGGTTGCCATACCCACCTGAATCCGGGACTCCATACCACAAAAACTTGTCACAATTCAATTTTCATTTCTTTTCCCCTTCCCAAGCCGTTGTTTCGACGGTAAAGGTCCCTTTTTGATCCTGACATCTACCCGGCAAGTCAGCCTGCATGAACACTCCAACATTACACACCACACGACAAGAAAGAACCCACCGTCTGAAAAGTCTTTGAGCCGGCCAACATCTCGCCCGGGTTTCTCTCGTGACCGGCTCCTCGAACTCGCAGTGATATTGCAGCATCTGGAAAAGCTCACAGGCCTTTAAATCGCCACGAAAGCCCTTCCTGGCCTTTTCGCTAGTGGTGATTTGCGACCGGAGAGGGAGCTCGGAAGCAGGCCAGGATTCGACGATTGGTGCCATACTGGCTTTGAGGTTCGGTTCCTGATGAGTGAGGACGGACTGAGGTGTGGGTTACTCAGTTGAGGAGTGGAAAGCAGGTGGCCACTGGCTAGGACGGACTGGTCGAGAATGGCAGCAATGATTTCATCAACCGAAGTTCTTGGTGCAAGACTGCTACGAGAGATCGCTGCCGAGGAAGGGACTCTAGAAGATGTAAGTGTATTCATTACTCAATCGGTTACAAGAATCCTCCGAGCCAGCGATCCTCTCCTGGAGGTCACATGAAAATCACATGGCCAAAACTGACGGTCTCTCACAGCTTCTCAAGGATTTGCGCGCAGCATGCGTCCCAAATCCTTCTCGCACCGGGATCCCAGAGCTCGATGCCCTGTGGAAGACCCAGGGGGGTAGACTCTCCATTACAGGCCGCACCCTCCCGCTACTCCACCACATCCTCGCCCATCTTGTCTCCCAGAGCCACATGAATGGGACAGTCGCACTTCTAGATCTCACGGGTCGGTTCTCGCCCTCTCATCTCGTACCAGCTCTTTCTGTCCAGGAACTACGCCATATTCATGTCTTCCGGCCCACCAAAGCAAATTTACAGGTTACCCTGGACAGTGTTGAGAAGTACATGCTGTATGGGGAGCATACGAGCCAAGGACGGGAATGGGTGGGGACTATTGTTAATGGGGGCGTAGGGGGAGATATCAATCTTGGGTGGAGAGGCTGGTTGAGGGTTGATAGGCAGGAGGTGGGCGGTTTTGCGGAGGCTGTTAGTGTTGAAGAGGTTTGGGGTGACAGAGATAGGAGGCAGGAGGTTGTGGATGGGAAGGGATGGAAGGCGGAGGGGAGTGAAGGTGGCGCATTTGCCTGGCGATGATTTAATGTGTGGCCTCTCACCCCTAGGGGAGAGCAGGTCTCGACAGCAGTGTGATTGGTGTTTCGGGGTGTACGAAAATGGGTTTATATCCTTTCCCTATCGGAGTGAGTACGTCGATAATGGGATATAAAGCGACGGAATGCTGTATCTAACATCACAACCAATATTTGACTGGTTACACGAGAGTTTTTGAACAGTTCTTGTTCAGCCAAGACTCATGCATAGCATACCCTCTCCGTTAGGCAGATCGAGGCACGATTCCTTGGGTAAGTCCCGCAGTATGTCCACCACTCTCTCCGTATCTTTGTACGGTTTTCGTCTCCAGTGCATGTGTGTCGTGCACATCAAGGGTATGGAATGAGGTCGGTATCTATTGGGAAATCAACAATATTAGGCGAATCAAAAAAATCGACCCTTGAAGAGGAGCATTTCAGCAGCTTTTTAATCAGACACTATCAGTCGGGACTTGAGTACGTTGATCAATTTCGGAACGTCGTGACTCCAGAGGAGTACAAATTCATTATATTTTACAGGGCTTGCCTTGTTCTAGTGCCTCTCATCGCCGCTTATGATGAACCGTTACGGTACCTCATCAGTGCAAGCTAATCTTACTATCAACTCTGATAAGAGTTGTATAGGTGCCATGGCCCACAAGTATATAGTTTGGTGACAAATGCGGAGGCTGCCTTGGCTAGAGTTCCAGGTGGTGAGGTGCGCTTTGGATTCTGGGTCCGGAGTCTGTTAAAGCCTGTGGTAGAGCGAGGCGTATCTGGCGCCTACGGTGATGGATGTAAAAGATGGCAAGATTTCAGCCCCCATGCTCTCATGCTCGATACCTTGCCAACATGATTGCATGAGATACGCTATTTGGGTATGTCTCCTACTTAAATGCAGTGTGCGGTTTCCCTCTCGCTTGCTTATATGCCATTGTGGGTAGCTTCGCTAGCTCGGGGGCTTTCTTAGCGACGTTAATGACTTGCATCAGTCCAGCCGGTAACCTCGTTCATAATCAACATCGAAAGCAGCATTATATTATCTATTTCCGTCGTCCGTCGTTCCTCGCTTTTATTCTGCACGCATCAGAGACCCTAGTCTTGATCTATTCGCATCCTTCCCAATCCGGCGAAAAGCTCCACATTCTTTGTCCGTGTTCGTATATATACAAGCATCCCCCCTTCCGTCAACTTCTTAACAACCTCAGCTCAAATCACCTTAACACAAGTTTATCTCGCATATCAACCATATCTCCAAATCCCTTCAATTTCCTCAGGACGTCAACCCTCCGTTCGCGAAAATGATCTACGAACTGTTCTTCCTGTTCTTCTTCATCCTCCTCGTCGCCTTGGCCGTAACCTTTGTCAAGCCCATCAACCAGCGGGTGCAGGCATGTCTTGGTCGTACAACGGAACTATGAATCTCGTTTGATTCTACCGATGGACTGGGTGTGCAACATGGTATTCTTCATGAGCTTGTGTGGTAGTGGTGGCTGCAGCTGCTAGGAGTGTGTTGGGATTTGGCTCTCGACGGCGAGTGCGCTATTATTAGAGCGTCTAGAAGAAGTTTTTTGGATGGTCAACGACGCTGGATTTATCGCTACGAAAGAATCAGAAGTCACATTGAGAGCGTCGAGGAGAAGTGATCAATACATGGGTCACGGCATCGTCGCTTGGAGCTCTTGAAAACAGAAATACCTTGCCTATGCCTCCCTAATCATTAATCGAGCAACTTTTGATCCTGTAAATTTCCTACTGGCCAGAGAAATATACTCCATCCGTTACTGCATTAATTCACTGGCAAAATAATCCAAGATAGCCCATTCCTACCACTATTGTTACCCCAAGCAGTCAGCTACTTTTTTCTTCGCCACCTCAACAACTATGCTATAAGCAGTGACTTAGCCACATACACTATACATATTACTGCTTTCAGTCATTCATAAGGGCATTCCATGGTTGCGTTATCACACTACAGCATCCAGCTCCCAAAATTGTCCGAAAGCGGTAAGCGAACTTTTGAGAAATTCCGAAAGCGGACGTCTAAATCACCCCACGACACAAGCCCATTCATCCTGCACAAAGAGCAAATATATAACGTCAAACGATCCACCCAAGAACCGCTCATCAGGCAAAACTGCTCTTCGTCAATCATCGATTTACACCGAGATCCATCCCCCAGCAGCTGCAGCAGCCAACCAATATGGGCATCTCCATCAACCTCCTCGCCAAATCCACCCTGAGGCTCGTCACCCGGGGAGGAGCCCAACTAGCAACCCAAAGCATCACATTTCTCGTCTTGCTCACCCAGTTCGCGATTCTGCGCGCCCTGCCGCTCGTCGCAACATACCACATGTTCCAGTTCCTGCGCACCGACGGCCACCCACTGCTCTGGCACGCCGTCAGCGGCCTGTTCACCGCCCTGGCGCTGCACCGCCTGTCGCTGCTCGCGCTCCGCCTCGTAGGCGCGTCTCTGGGCTTCGTGGGACGCTCCTTCGAGGCCGCGCTGGAGATGAGGGAAGATTGGGCGCAGCTCAACCAGGCGGAGAGGGCTATGGCGGTTTTGAGCGGGAGAAGGGCGCCGAGTTCTGTGCCTGTGCCTGTGCCTGCGCTTCCTGTACCCACTACGCTACCGACGGCTCTGAGGAGGAGGAGGGCGACGATGGCGGCGTCTTGATCTGGAATGGTTTTTGGAGACGGGTGAGTTAGTTGCTTGAATGTATTCCTCCGGTATTTGGAGCTGATCATCTACCCCCCATAGATCGTGTCCTGGAGGTGACTCCTGTCTTGTAAGGAAGAACAACTATTGGAGCTGTTGTTTCGAGCAGTAGGGAGCATTGGGTACTGGCGCTCGGCGTATGGATAAGCAGAGGTGGTGGTGATCTATGTTACAAGTCCGAGACTTGAGCTATATTGTCGGTGAATTTGAATAAACGCAGGCATTAACATACTCCAATGAGCTGGTTTGAGAATCGTATGCCAGGGTCTAATCTAAAGGTAAAAGCCCTCATCGCTAAATGAGCTTCAAGCCGCATCCATCGCTAGCCCTATTATATCCTCTTTTAGCCAAGTATCCCTCCTTCCCTACTACCTCGCAACCAGACATCCCTTAAAGCCGCAAACGAGCACGAAAGTAACAGAAACAATCGCTCCAAGCTCTTTGTCATATATAGCAGCCGAAAGCAGACAACGCATAACAGTCAAAGAAAGAAAGAAATAGCTTTCCCTAACCAAACGTCACCTATTTCCCGCAGACTGATCGAACACACATAGATAGCAAGCAACGCTGGCCCGTCCCGGATGAATTAGCCAATCGCAGCGCCCCTCTCTCACCACCATTATCCCAATTGGGCAACCAAAATAACAACAATAACGATACCATCTCCGATCATCTCTGTACTCACCTCCCCATGAGCCGCCGCTTCCAAACCTGCGGCGGCACCCCCCTCTCCCCCAACCAAGTGATCCACGTACTCCATCCCTCTCTCCGCGCCTGCGCGAAGATTTTCCTCTTCCTGATCATCACAGTCAGGTCCGCAGCCTTTTTATCTCCTCTCTTCCCTCCCTCTCAACCTCCTCTCCTGCCCCCCTCTTTACCCCCCCGCAACAAGATCTCAAGCCCAATATGATGACACTAAACAGCAAGAACAAGCAGCACCCTCTGCCGCGTCGCCCTACTCTCGGCGCTTGCGCAGCTCACGCTCCGACTCCTCTGCTTCGTCTGGCTGGTATGTTTCCTGCGACCCAGCGTGGAGTGGTGGTGCGCCAGCGTCTTGTGCGCGCCGTTGGTGTGGTGGAAGGATAGCGTAGAGAGGGAGAGAGAGGTGAGGAAGAGGAAGGAGATTCTGACTCGCAAAAGAAAGAGAGGGATAGGGATGGGGGTTGGTATGGGGGAGAGCTAGAGGGGTGGATGATTGAGGGGATAGATCTGTCGGCAGCAGCACTAATTATTGTATGTAACGGGAAAGGGGGTCCGAGAATTGCATTGATGGTACATTTTTTCCATGGGCGAAAAACCAGGCTTGGATTGGGTTGGATGGTGGATGAGCTTTGAGTGAGCATCTGTTTGGTGTGTCGCTTATTTAGTCAATATTGACTTGAGAAAGTAGTGTCTGTCGCTTATCCATTAAAATTCAATATTAGCGAAATCCCTTATATTGCTATTAATCTCGACTAATATACATTATTAATATGAAAGGGGGGGTGGGGGTTAGAAATGCTAGAGAAACAACTGCTTGCATTGAACCTAGGAGGACTATTACTAAGAATGAACTGCTAAAGAGACAGTTGCATGCATCACACTTAAGAGGGCTGCTATTATGAATAAAATGCCAGAGAAAAATCTGCTTGCATCAAACTTAAAAAAAAAACCCATTTTTAGGAATCGAATGCTAGAAAGATAGCTGCTCGCATCGCATTTGAGGGCCTATTACTAGGAATAGAATGCTAAAAGAATAGCTGGCCGCATCGGTTTTAAGAGTGCTACTATTAAGAGGGAAATGCTAGAAAGACAGCTAAATGCATCGCTTTTAAGAGGGCTACTACTGGGGATAAAATGCTGGAAGGACAGCTGCTTCCATTATACTTAAAGATGCTGTTACTGGGAATGAAATACTAGAAAGACAGCTGCTTGCATCGAACCTAAAGGGCTATTACTAGAAATGAAATGTTAGAGAATCAATTACTTATATCGTACCTACTTACTATTAATCGTACCCCTGATCGGAGTACTAGTCAGAGGCAGGAATGCGGTTCCTAGTACCCTTCAGTAATACGGTCAACTTTTTCGTGATTCTTCTTTTAATATATATATCTATTACAACTTTTAATAGAAAAATTATTTTTAAAATATAATATTATTCTTTAAGAATAGACCTGCTCTAAGAAAAAATTTAGAAGCTGGTAGGATTTTAAAACGCGATTATATGTGTATATTAACCTCGTCGGCGGTATCTAAATAATTTTTAATTAAGTAAATAATTGAATAATTAAGCAGCTACAAATAATTATAAGTAACCTTTTAAAAAATAATAATTGATAGCTTTTAATTTATATTCTTTTTCAGTTTTAATAGCTTAAAGCAATAATGGATCGATCGGTTAAAGGTTGTAATGAAATGGGCGGCTATTTGAGTAAAGATGCGAGGCTTTTAGAATGGTCGGCGCACTTTAAAAATTTAAAAAGTACGGCGAATTTGCAGAAACCGATCGAGCTATTATTACGTTAGGCTATTGAAAATAAGGCAGAATGAAGATTCGAAGCTGGCGATTACGATTTTTTAGAAGGTTACATGTAATTATTTGTAGTTGCTTAGTTATTCAGTAGTTCACTTAATTGAAAGTTATTTGAACAGCGCCGACGAGGTTAATATATAAATATAATCGCGATTTAAAATCTTATTAACTTTCAAATTTTGTATTAAAATAATTCTATTATTAAAGAATTATATTATATTTTAAAATTAATTTTTCTATTAAGAATTGTAATAGATATATATGTTGGAAGAAAAATCACGAAAAAATTGACCGTATTACTGAAAATTGACCGTATTACTGAAGGGTACTAGGAACCGCATTCCTGCCTCTGACCAGTACTCCGACCAGGGGTACGATTATTGCTTCGCGCTCTTCCGGTTATTATCAGCATTGGAATCGGCTTTTCTCGGCGAATATTTGCTATAAAAAGCTTTACTATTGAAAATTTTCAGTGACGCTACTAGCTACGATTATAAAAATTTGCTTACATGAATTCTGATAATCAATTATATCTTGGCATTATTCTTGTCTCACAGTAGCTACCAAACTTCTTATCAAAAACAATTTATTAAAACTTTCGGTCGCGAAGTTTTGATCTTCTTACCCCGCGTCCCGTTTTAATACACTTTGAATCTAACCAATCGCTTCGCGGATACGACTTAATGTAAGCCAATCAGAAAAAAAGTGAACGTGCAAAAAGTTGTTTACTTCGATAAAGAGGGCTAACGCTAGTTTTAAGCTAGCCAATTAAATAATCGTGAGCAACATTATGCTAAGCGAATATTGTTGTGCACAAGCAGACCTGCGCTGCACATTGCAGTTTCCAGTATCATAATCCTATACCGTAGGACAAATATCTAAAAGCAGCGGTGGTGGTCCGCACAAGGAGTTCACCAACAGTTTCTTCGCCAAAGTACTCTTAATCGGAGATTAATAGCATACGGAGTATTGACTTGACGATGTTATGACGAATCAGCACTCTGGTAGGTGATTTGCTCCCAACAAAAATCAATTCTAATTCCAATCCAATTCCAATCCCATCCAGTCCGGAAAATAATTCGATAATCAAAGCACTAGGTTTTCCTTTCATTCTTTCTACGCACAATTCAAATCTTCGCAGAAACAGCGATGCAAAAAGGAAACATACAGACAATATACATATATATATATATATCCTCTCCCGAGAGCTCCTTCCTATGGCAACAAATTGACAATTGAGTTTAGAACCTTAAAGAAAAAGACAAAAAGATGCGAGCGAATAAACATAAACACCAAAGCAACCATCCAACCAAAAACCATATTTTATTTTTTTAAGAAAAAGTGAATGAAATTATCAATACTTAACCTTCCGGTACCTACTATCTACTATCAATGCCTGCGCTTCCCATTATCCACCACCCACTTTTCCATACGGACTATCCGGTACTAGATCTAGATCTAGATCCGGCACTCTCCACTCCCTCCACATGCTGGCGTGACCGACTGCCAGTAGGGTTGCGTTGAGATTAACGTTTTTACGTGACAGAGAGCAGCCGCCAGCTTGCCCAATTGGCACACGGTTATTAACGAGCCCCCAGCCCACCAATTAATCAATCACGGTAAAATCGCGAATTGAACGCAAACGTGACCAGAGAGGTAAACAAATGCCTTCGCAATGCCTGCTCCGGACCCCAAGAAAATTATTTAAAGTAGCCACCAGTTTACTACTATTACATATATATATATATATATATATATAAAAAAAAAAAGCAGTCGAATTCAAATGATGGGTAGCAAATAGTCCTACGGCAGGTAGAGCATCCTGTTCATCTACCACGTTTTATTTCCATAAAGATCCTTCGTAGATATTTTTATTTTCAACAATACCTACCGGTACCTACGTACGAGGTCTGACCCCTGGTCCCGGAGCTTGCGAAGGGCCGCCAGGGGACCTCGCTTCGCCCCGGTCGTGGATGCAAGGCTGCCTGCCTTCCGCATTAACGCTACATCAATCTTCTACTACTACAGTATAAGAAATACGCTTTTCAAAAAAAGAGGCAACGAAAATGTAACGCGTGAGCCCGGCCGCCAGCTGAAACCCACGGCCCTCCGCAAGCTCCGGGGTAAGATTTCCGGACCTCGCGGTGTAAATAATCGTTCGCTATATAGGTAATCTATGATAATAGCAGTTCTCTTAGCGCGATGCAGCCAGCAGCCAGCTGCGTAGCATCTCCCGAGCATTTTATCGATAGCCATAGCCTTTTTCCGCGCGATGCAGCCAACTATTCCTCGCGCATTTACTGTATAACTTATAGCCTCCTATAGCGCGATGCCGCCAGCTAGTAGTATCTCTTCAGCGTTCAATCTATAGCACCTAGCTCCTTTTAGCCCGATGCAGCCAGCTAGCTGTCCCTCGAGCATTGAATTTATAGCAATAGCCCGTTTTAAGGCGATGCAGCGAGCTGTTTTTCGAGCGTTTCTCTTCCTATTATTAATTCTATTATTAATTAGCTATTGAATCACAATTTCGAAAAGAAGAGAGTTTATAATCGTAGTTCTCAACCGCAAAAAAAGTGGATTTCGATCGCAAGAGTATAAATATAGCTTATTAAAACCCGCAAGATTCCCTTTTTTATTATTAATAAGTGCTTAGTCAAGTTTTTAGTATTCCTCGATAGCCCAAGCTCAGATGGATGCAGCCAATCAAAACAACGTAACGGCCGTAGGTCAGGTGACCGTATTTTAACAGTTTACGGTCTTAGCCAGGATCCACATTTAGCTCACCATTATATTACCTAGATAGATTTCTTCTCCCAACGCTGGTTGAAATTAATCTTTCTCGCCTTGGAGACTACCCAAGTACCTATTGACCCGGAGCCGGTCGAAGATTAACCCGGTCACGTGTTCAGAGGATCACTGGTAAAGGGTTGAAGGCTTTAAATATAAATTCATGACGAAAGACCCTTCTATTAATTAACCACGGTAAGCTACCAACCGGCCATGGTGTGTGAGTGAGCCAGGGGCCCTTCTCTGGTCTACCTAATCCTACCGGAAATCATAAACTCTGGGTGTACAAAAAAAAAAACCTGGGGTTTCCCTCACACCGCCCTTAGGAAATCAGAGTTTTTTTTTCCCTGGGGTTTTGAGTTCGACTCGATCCGGGTTCTTGCGCAATCCGGTAGCCGGCTCCAATAGAAGTGGTGGAGGGAGGGAGCTTTGAACTCTGAAGCTTAGTCACGAAGATAACGCAAGAAAGTCAAATGGAGTTGGCGGGGGGATACTACGTAGATAGACATGGGAGACATTGATAAGACATTGGCTTTGGCAAGGGAGAATGAACCTGGGTTCTGAGCTGCTGGCGGATCGCGGAAAAGAGAGTGCTGTCAGCCTGTCACCATAAGGCAAGAAAGAATAGAGTCGAAATTACGAGACTGCATCTCGTCGGATCTTCGTTTCCAAATTGCGCTAGCTTTTGGGTCACACATCCCACCAAGCCTATCCATCCATTTTGAGGTCCTCTAGAAAACTCCCCATCGCCAACAGATGCATATGCATATAGCGGCAGAGCTTCAAACGAAGTCTTTGTCGAGGAATCGTGCTCATATCGTCCGAGATGGGCGTGTCAAATTGCTTCGAAGACGCCTGCCGACCTAGAAAAAGGGAAGAAGACCAGATTCAAGTAGAGTGTGGGGAGTAAATTATACGCCTCCTCAATGCTGGCGTTAAAAGCAACGTCCAACAAACGAAATTGTGCCGGGAAATGCTTCAGTCATGTACAGGAAATCACCGTCGTTTATTCTGAAATGAGGTGCGTCGAGAGGGTGGGTATCGAGAGAAGGTTATTTCGTTGAAATCATTACGACGGGGATCATGCGAGGTGGAGTAGTGAGTTTGTACGGTTTGTATCGTGTTTGAATCCAACCTTGGTCGTTGGGAATCCAGAATTCGATATCGCAATTATAGAATCAGCTTTTGGAGATTCTTCTGGATGATCATATCCTGAACGGAAGCCATGGTTACTTTGAGCAGGTCGGTATCGGTAGCGTTGGTGAAATGGGAGTAGATTTCGCGGCCGGGAGTCCTGTTCAGAGCAACGAATTTGTCCATAAAGTACTTGCTGGTCTGTTGAGGATTCCGGGTATCGCCTTGAAAATCGGAGAAGCCGAAATTCGTGATTGGGCTTGTGGCTATCTTTGACTTGAATAGATCCATCTTGTTGAGGAACAGGATCAGAGATGAGTTCTTGAACCAGTGAGAATTGGCAATTGACTCCCAAAGCATGAGGGCCTCCTGCATTTGATTCTGCAAGTTTGTTAGCACCGACACGTCTCTCGTTGCACAGACTCTTTACCCCGTCCTTATCCTCTGCCAGACATTGATCATATCCACTGATCGCGACCAAAAACATCAAGGCATTGACATTCTCAAAGCAATGGATCCATTTCTTGCGCTCTGATCGCTGTCCACCAACATCAAACATCCTGTATTGTAGGGTTCCAAGATCGAAGATGGTCTCGGTGATACCAGTTGTCCGCAGTCTCGCTCGAAGTACATCTTGGTCGGTGGGTACGAATTCCTTGCTGAATAATCGGTCAAGATCTTGGAAGAAACTGTTTATCATAGTCAGTATCCAGCTAAATTCCACCGGAAAAGAAGAGAAGAAAACCCACTAGCTCAAGTTGTCGTGCAGCGCATATTCGTTGCCTCTCTCCGTAGCCTTTTGTATGCCTGGGTCCTTCCACATGTCCTTGAAGGCTCGCAGGTATTCATTTGGAATAGGCTCATTAGGTCGGAGATCCTTCTCTTCCATAATGACAGGAAGATGTGCCTACGAATCTGGCATGAGCAAATGATGTCGTCATGTTGCTTCCAAGGGAGGCAAACTTACCGTCGTGTTCTCGTACTCGAATGTGAGTCCAAACTCGTCCATGGCGTCAATGGTCATTCGCAGACCGTCGAGAATGTTGTTGAAGATGATGACTCGCCATTCCTCCTTCTCAGTTTTGCTGAAGCCATCCTTGGTGTAGATCAATCGCATCTGCTTCAATATGGTTGATTTTCCACTTTCTCCGGCACCTGTCCACCAATAGTACTATTAGCTATGGGGGTTTCGTCGTCTGGGGCCGGCTGGCGAGAGGCAGCGGCGCCTGTCTGTCTATCTTACCCAATAGTAGCAACTTCACGACCTTCGCCATCGACTTCTCGTCGCGGTGGATGAGGGCATCGATCTCTCTACTCCTCTTGACATCCGCGTCCTTCCGAGCGCCGAAACACATCATGAAGAGATGAGATTGTTGTATGAAGACGAGTCTTGAGAGGCAGGAATCATTCGCGCCGCTCCAGCGGCAAATAAAGGATCTTCGGGATTTGTTTCCTGCTGCTTTGTATGGGGGTTGTATGGATGGGTGGGTAGGTGGGTAGGTGGGTAGGTAGGTAGGTAGGTATGAAGGGAGGTTCGAGTGTTGTATTGTTGTTGTTGTTGTTGTTGTAAATTACCGTTACTTACGGAGCTGGCTGTAGGAGCGGTGATGGGTTTTGGGTGATGGGCGGTTGGTGGTGGTCGGTAAATAAAACAGGAAAGTAGGTCCGGTCGACCTACCGGTACCTAAATGTCTATATCTATGCTGCGGCTGCGGCTGCTGCTGCTGCTGCTGCTGCTGGCATCGGTCAATCCACTCACTGAATAGTGACCGGGGGCGTGGAAAAGGTGAAAAGAAGGTTTGGGGACAAGAGGGAGGAGAAGAGGGAATATTGGCGCGGAATCAAGACAGGAAGCACGCACTGACTTTTTCCTTTCTGCAATGCATGCGATGCAGGACGGAGTAGGAGTAGTAGGATAGTTAGTTGACAGGGTTAGCAGGGAGAGCCAGAGCTAGAGCCAGAGCTAGAGCCAGAGCTAGAGCCAGGGCTAGAGCCAGAGCCAGAGCCAGCCAGGGTCAAGGCAGGTAAGGTAGTAAGTAATAAGGTAAGGAAGGCAGGGCAAGGTAAGGCAGGTAAGGTACTACTAATACTACGTAAATAATAAGGTAAGGTATGGCAAGGCAAGGCACCACACGGCAGGGTCTCAAGTCGAAGCCGAACTCAATGTCGACCTGTGGAAGTGAAAAGCGAAAGAAATCGTTAAGTGGTGCCGGTAAGTAGCTGAGTTCGGGCTTGGCCACGTATTCCGGAAAAAGTCCTAGTTGTACCTGAGCAAAGCACTACGTAGTTGTAGTAGTAGTAGTACTACGTAGGTTGTACCACTACTGCCGGTACTACGCAGTTAGGTAGGTAGGTAAGCGGTTTAAGGTTGCTTGTCTGCAGACAATGAACGGGTGGGATGTCGTGGGAGCCCGACTCGAGCAGCTGCAGCCGGCTGTACTGGGATTGTGAAAAGCACTCTAAGCTATTCCTAGAAGTTCCGAGATGGATATATATACATATGTATATATACCGATATATGCCGATGTATACCCACATATACCCATATATACCCATATATACCCATATATACCTGTACTGTACTTAGGGACCTCCCTACATCCACATCCATCCACATTCCCTCCTGATGATTGATATAGGGTACCTATACCTACGGCAAGCGAGGTGAGAGATCATCCCCCATACCCATACGCATCTACCTCTACTGATTTCGAATTTCGAATACCTCACCTCCCTAGATATTCCCCCCTATTCCCTCCCCATCATCCTCCTCCCCCTCCCCCTCGCTTCCGCTCCCAGCCCTCTTCCGTCTTGTCTCTTCAGCTCATCACCTCTTCTCATCTTGGGACAAACCGTGGAGAAACCGTCTCAGCCAACCAACTAACGCGCTAATTACCTGTATTCTTAGCTGACGGCAACAACACTCTTTAGAGTTCATGCACCGTTGTTTCCGTTTTATTGGCTTTTTGATATTCTCGGGATGGATCAACGATCGAATCAACGATGGATCGATCAACTTTACCCGAAACCTCTCCCCTGCTAGGTATTGGTAATTTGACTTGGGAGTCTGGCGGTCAGTCAGTCAGTCAATCAATCAATCCATCAATCAATCCAATTTCATTCCTCAGCCTGTTGTCTACCGTTGTACATCTGTTTTTTCACCAGTCCGTACAGACAGATATTCTCCGGTAAGATTGGCCGTCCTACCCTGACCCATATATTTAGGTATCCGACATCGTAGTATCTTGACCAATGAGAGAAGGCAAAGGCTGTTGAGCTCCACCGCGGGACTCGAAGGTTTTATGGGTCTCTCAACCGGCCTTGCTAGATTCGGAAATTTTACGATATACTCTGTTGGGGTAGATACCTGGGTATTTTCTCGCTACTACTTACCTAGGCAATCCCGAGATCCCATCGGGCGGCATCTCCGTAGCAGGGACCAGACCACTACCTTAAAGGCAGGTAACCGTACCCCTGGTCGGAGTACTAGTCGGAGGCGTTGCGGTTCCTAGTACTCTTAAGCGATATCGTCAATTTTTCGACCTTTTTATATTGCAGCATATATTACTTACGTACTTTTTAATTAAAAAAGTGATAATAGAATATGATATTGCTCTACAATATTAGACTTACTTCAGGAAAAAATTTAGGAATTAATCAGGTTTCGGAACGCAATGATATTTGTAGTTCAACCTCGTCGGCGCTTATTTAATACTATTCCATTGTATAAACAGCTAAATAACTAAACAACTACAAATGATTACATGTAACCTTCTAAGAAATCGTAATCGCTAGCTTCCAAATTGTATCGCTGTCTATTTTGAGTAGCTTAGCGTAATAATGGATCTATCGGTTCTTGCAAATTCGCCGTTCTCTTTAAAGTGCGCCGACCATTCCAGAAGCCTCACATCTCTACTCAAATAGCTACTCATTTTATTATAAACTTGGTATTCGTCGGTGATTTCTCTTTTTATCGATCAATCAATTTGGCACGATAAATCAAGAGGTTCGGTTTGGGCTGCGTAATAACAAATGGTATATATATTTTAAAGCGGCTTGCGCTGACGTTCGAGTTTGCTTACGATGTTTATGATCTAGTGTTTATCTTTAGCAGCGTGGATTCGTTTTTAATATAGTTCCTTGACGTCTTTTTTTACGTTTAAAAAAAAGACATGTGTTTGTGAAGGACTTGCGCAGCTCCTTCTCTTTTAGTAAGCACGCCGTGTTATTATACTTAAGTATTCGACTTTTTTTTTACGCTGCATATATTCTTTAATCGCTTTATTACGCGCTTCTTTTCTCGATTATTAGCTTCAATTTGATAATCCCCAGTTCTTTAAATTCCTGATATACGCGCTACGATCGGCCAAAAAAAAAAAGTAAGGTCGTGATCGGGAAGTTTTGCTGCGTCGGCAAGTCGTTGATCGAGGTATATAAAGTGCGCCTTGCGATTCGGAGTCGAAAGAGGGTTTTAAAAACGCTTCGGAGTAGTAGGACGCTTTATAATAGTAGTTATAAGGCGTCGAGAAGTATCCGCTGATTGAAATATCTTTATTTTATCTTATACAACTTCTAGCGCAAAAGAAATACTCCTAGCTTTACGCTACACCGATTTGATGCGGGGTTCAAATGTTTTCTTGCGAATCTTTTCATACGCGTTTAAAAAAATCGATTTTCGTATATTCGACCTCGCCGTATTGAATCGTGGTACATATCTCTTCATGGTGCCAATGCTTTAGTAGTTAGAATATATCGATAATATCGATATTGAGTGGCTAAAGAAAGTGAGTGCTATGCGAAGGAAGTTAAAAAAGGACGGTTTTGTATTGCTAGCAATAAAATAAAGACTCTTTTGAAATATGAGAACAGTAGGTATCGAGTATTAATATACGCTAATTTATTTTATATGATTTTTACGTGTCATTATAAAAGTGAATTAAATACTTTAAAGCGAGGCATTCGTTAGTATAACCAAAAGAGCTTATTGCGAGAAAGGTTTGATCATGTAAATCGTTATCGAAGTATTTCTTTCATAACACTTCCCTCTTACGAATCAATATACTGGGAATAAAATTACTGTCAGCGCAAATAGTCTTAATAGCTGTAAAAGACTCTGTGGAAGAAAAATCACGAAAAAATTGACCGTATCGCTGAAAAGTACTAGGAACCGCAACGCCTCTGACTAGTACCCCGACCAGGGGTACGTTTAGGGGGTTTATTCAAACGGTCAGCTGATCATCCAATGACGATATCTTCTAAGGACGGTCCCAAGAGGTTGGCGTGGTGGATCACCATACGGACGTAGGCCGATACTGCGTAGAATTGGAGTAAAATCTGTAATTAGATCATTTAAATGATTAAGACTATAGCTGAAAAGAAACCAATTAGATCGATTAAATCGTCGTTTGTAAGAGTTCGTCTTTTCGTCAAAGGACCGTCCCATGGCCGTCCCAAGACCCGAACTGAAAAGCGTCCCCGAGGAACTTTTATTTATCGTCGGCTCAGACTTAAAGGATGAAATGGAGGCCCACCTAAGCGAGTTGACGATTAGTAAGCAGCTAGAATATACTCTTCAGCTTCCCCTATGTACTTCCTGCCCTCTCTTCTGCCTGACCCCACGCCACATGACGGGACAGCATCGTCTCACCTTTTCTCCATGGTTTTAGATTTCCCGATATGCTGCTCTTATGTATGCTTACTTTTCATGCGGATCTGAAGAATATCTCGGTACTGACTGTAGCGGGAAATCATGTTGGCATCAAGTGGTGGGTGTCGTGATCCTTAGAAGAAAAAAGAGCTTTCGGCTAGCTGACGACGACAAAGACACATCGTATGTGTTCGTTCCAATTGAAACCCAACTTCCTTCAGGATGAATCGAAGGACAGAAGCTATGAATTCGCATAATTGTTTACTTTTTTCCCCAAGAGATCTGTCTGCGCGAGGGATTCAGCGATGCCCAAGGTTACAGAGCAGAGCAACCTTGGGATGCCCCTTCCCCCTTCCCCCTTCTCCCTCCCCCCAAGCCCGTCCCTTCCTTTTGCAATAGCCGCGCTGAAACTGAACCTGAGCCTGAAGCCTGAGGCCTGCTTCCCTACGTCTCTGCTTTCCAGCCTTATTCTTTGACTTGTCCTCTGCATCTCCCTCCATCTCGGTATCTCGCTCTACTATCCTTATCACCGTATCTCCTTTTCCTACAGTCGCTACCGCTGCTCGTCCAGCAGATATCTCTCCCTCCCTCTCTCCCTTTGGGTAGTTAGACACCATCTACTGTGCTGGAATGCCCTATTGATCGTATCTCCCCTCTTGCTGTTCTCTCTCCCATGACTAGTCACCCATATGAGGCGATCGAGGTGACTCCATCGCGTCGCCGTCGAGCCTCAACGGAACACAGCACCGGCCTTGATTATTCCACCTGTTCCCGAGTTGACGAAGCCATCGACTCCCGCGTCAGATCGCTTTTTTTGTCACGAAACGAACACTGTCCGCCACGAACTCCAAACCCATCCGACGAGCCTCATCAGCGCTATACCGGATCCTGCGATCTCGGTCGCGGATTCGATTTTGGCTCTGCGAAGAGCGTCGCAAAATTGGCGCGTCAATCTACCGGACGACTGAGCGTTCCGAATATCAGCAGAGCTCCAACCAAGAGGCTTGTTGCCGATATGGAGCCTCGCAGGCTATCGCTCCTGGAACCTATTCTGCGTACGTCCAGCTCAGCGAAGGACTTGAAAGCTCCCGTGGGCCCAATCCTATTGCCCGAACCCAAGAGCAAATTCCGATTCCCCAAAATCGTCTTGCAGGACAAGAAGGCGCCAGAACTGGAGGGCATCCAGTCATGTATCGAGATAAGTCCACTTCTATCTGGCGATGATGCCCAAATCCATGAGCAAGACCTGGAGTGTTGCCCGCCGTGCGATCCCCTCGATCCACAACCATCGAAGTATCTCGTCAAGCACGCCAAGCTCCCGAGTCCAGGCCTGGAAATCGAAGCTTCAGACTTGGCATGCTTCATGGGTGGCTGCGAACCAGGTATCCAAAACTGCCCCAAACATCGTCGCCGATCAAACTCAGTGTCTGTTAGAACCCAGTCGCAAGAGGCGCGTATTGAGGAGGATTTTAGGTCAATACCGGAGGGACTGGCGAGGTTAGGAATTACTGTCAAAAACCGCAAACCCACCAGGAAGAGTACCCCGGTGATCGTTACGGGCGATGGCTACGATACTACACGATACAACACCGACGAAAAGTCATCGCGGGAGGCCAGTGGGTCAGGCGGCGCGGGGACGAACGAGATGCGCAGCCTTTCAGCAAGCGGACCAGGCCGTAGCCGAAAAGCCTTGAGGTCACCGATAGAAAAAGCCTTTTCGCCTATCAGCAGTGCCACTTCTGGCTCTACCATGGACGCATTTCCTCTGGCTTTAAAATCTTTGGAGCTTGCGGCAAAGGAGGAATCGTCAAATCCCTTCTCTACCACAGTTGCAACAAATTTCAGCTTACCAGGATACAAAGCCAAACGTGCCTCGCAAACATTGCGTACCAAGCTTGCTGGGATGACTCCTCAGAACGATCAGACTCCGACTCAGGATGATGTCGCAACGACGAAAGCTCCTGGGCCGCTCAGTTTTAATCGGGCTAAGATGAATGGATCTACAATCGCCATACAGCCTGTATTTGAGCAGGTATCTACGACAGAAGACCAACCACCTCGTCGTTCCAGAACTTCCATACCTCGCAAACCGGTTCCGTCCAGTGATCAGGGCCAAAGCCGGGAGGCCGGAGCTACAAAGCTCAAAGTGCTCTTCACTCCCAAGCCTTTGGACACCGGCAACGCCGATCGCAAGCCATCCGATGTGTCTGTGAGCCCAAAGCAAACTGTCCAAGATTGGTCAAACAATCAGACAGACACGCAAGTAAACAAGTTCGTTCGTGAGAAAAACTCCGATGCGTCCCTGAGGTCCAACAATGCCTCTTTGAGATCCAAGCCATACAATCCCTCTCTTCTCTCTGGGGCATCAAGAACTTCGGTCATTCGACATGCGTTGCTGAAGCCTTCTGTTACCGATACCTCACCGGTCGACACAGGCTTGCCAGTTCCTCCTCTTCTATCAGCCATCTCAAGTCTATCGGAGCAAGTCATGCCCAGCGAACCCGCATACCAAGAGATACTCAAATCTGCCGGGTCTGATACTAAAGGGAAAGAAGTGCAAAAAGTAACCGAACATTCCGATACTGCTGAATCTATAGAAGGCGACAAGAGGAAGACAAGGAAACCAGGATTTTCCGGTGTTGAGGCCTCTGGATCCAAAATATTGTTGAAGAGTCCGACTGGAAGCACGAACGATAAAAAAAGCGATGTGAATGGCAGTTCCGCGCCGATGGGCGAAGAAATCTTAATAGTCTCGTCTAAAACGCCTAAGATCTCGAAAGATCAGGTCGCTGCTGCTACCACTGGGGCCAGTAATGAGGGTCTTTCAGGTTTCGTACCTGGTGCTGATACAGCGCGGAACCATACATTGATGCCGGCTCAGGCGGCGCCTGCTCTGGGGGAGACTCAAGTGTCACCTCCTCCTCAAGAGAAAACCCAATCCGGATTCTCAAGAGCTATCCAATTCGACCAATCCCAGTTTCCTTTCGATTCTTCAAATGCAGCGTATTGGGGCTTTGTTCCCGCTGTGAGAGAAGCCGTACAGAATGCAGTCCAAATAGCTGTTCGAAATGCAGTCCAGGACATTGTGATACCGCCTGGAATGGACAGAGCGTCTAATGCATACAGGCAACTTGTGTCAGATTCCCTTACCCGAGCTTCAAATAACGCAGACGAGTATATCCAACAAGCATCCGTACGAAATAACGTATATTCTTCTGTCCAAGATTCAGAGGCTACTGTTGTCTTTCCAAGCCAAAGAAAAGTAAACGCAATCAACGTTGACACAGTCCCTCTGACTAAGGGTTCTCCTGTGGCGGCTTCGTACCCTGGATCAGTTCACTCACGGGACCAAGAGAACGACCGTGGACACGGACAGCCCGGACAGGTTAATAAAAAAAGCAGAGTCGGTCCGCCCTCTGCTGGTACCAGCTCAAGCAATTATCCTGGAAGTGCTCCTCATAGTCAGCCACTGTCTCCACGGCCCATGTCGCCCAACGAACTGGAATGTATAGCTCTTGATGCAGAAGATAACCCTCCTTGTGAAGACGCCAACGAAGCTTTGAAGTTATCCAAAGCTTCTGCATGGAAAAGAGGTTCTTCTGCTGGGTATACAGCGATCCCCACTCGTCATTCTTCTAGATACCGGGTGCTGAATCCCAAAATCGAGGCAATTAATTCGCCTGCAAAAGTATCTGTCCAAGGTTCGCTGATGGGTCCCCGCAAACGATCATACGAGCGCCTTGTCAACAGGGGAAGTCAAGGACTGCGGTCGATCTCCTCCGCCGGGTCACTCAGGAGTGCTGGATCCGGAGACGGAGACAGAGGAAGGAGTGGCGAAGATCCGATTGCCGGACAAAAAGGTGCAGATTGGCGCGACAGCATCAGCTCTGCTAATAATGATCTCCCAGGAGAGAAGCTCGGCCGGAAGAATACAGTTCATTGGCTCAAGAATCTGCTGTCAACAAATGGTCCCTACGAGACTCGGTTCACGACGTTGCCACCGAGCTCGAGGGACAATCGGAACTCTTTCGGTAGACCACTCAGATCTCAGACTGCTCCCGTAAAACCTGTTAGCGAGCTGTACTTGGGTAAAGACTCGAAGCCTGTGTATACTAAGACAGATATCATGAAGCCGAATGGGGCCAAGCTCAGACAGGATAAGCGAACTGATATCTCGGAGACCTTTACACGCACGATCAAGGATTTGGAGAATCTCATGAACGAAGCTCTTTTGATTGCCAGGGCAGCGACAGATACCCCTGATGCAGCGAACCTGCAAGCTGACCTTCGGGATTCTATTGATGTACTGCACAACACTCAAAAAGGCTTGCCTGGTGCTGTTGATGCTCTGGCATCTCATCTCAAGAACAATCAAATCCGGTCGAGATGGCCCACCAGTTACTCTGACTCGGAATCCAGCGATATAAGCATTCATGAGAGCCTGCGGGATTACTCTGGAAGTAGCAGTGATGAAGAGGAAAACGACACTCATAGCCCAACCCAGTCACGAAGCATTACGGTTTCTGCCAGCAAGTTGTCACCAAAACACTCTTCCGGATGGCCACCAACTGGGCGAGGTTTAACCCCATACCCACCGGCCTCTGTCCCAGAATCGCGTACATCTATTGCTGTTGAGGGTCGTCCTGAAATCAATCGACAAGACTCCCTTGAGCAAATTCGTTCAGCAGATCCTCGATCGATGCGCACTGAGACCGATGTTAACATCTCGAAGATGAGTACGGCTTCAAATCAGCTAAGATCAAATCGTAACAGCGAGTCAGGCATTCAAGCGGGCTCGAGGAGGATGACTGCTGCCACTTTCCCTATCCTGGATCCCCAGCATGAGTATTTGGACGAAAACGAAGGCAAGCCAGAGTTCAGAACACTTGAGCCATTCAATTCCGGACCCAGTGCCGGATCCCGAAAGAGCTCTGCCAAATCTCCGAGACGACTCAGTCCGCAAAGAGCAACTGTGACAAGCACCACAGGTATAGATTACAATGACATTGTGCTTGATACCGCTGGCGATCCTCCGCCCCGAGGAACCATAATTCCTCTACCCCAGATGACTCCTCGTCGGGGTACTGGCTTCGTTCCTGTCTGTGCCAAAGAGCATTCTGAAGAAGATCACCAAGCTATTCGCTCAAAGCTCGCATCAAGGGACGTTCCAGGAAAGCAAGAGGTACGTAACTTTATAATTCAAAATCGTCACCCTCCAATTACACCTCGAGATAGTTCCTTACTTCTGAGGAAACGAGCTGAGCAGGAACAGGAGAGATCCAAGTTTATATCCGGCCAAATTATTCAAAGGACCCAGACTGGACAAACTGGGAAGACGTATAATTGGCAGGATGTTGATCAGAGCAAGATCGAGCCTTGCTCCCGTCCGGATTCTAGGCGTCCGACAATAGCACAAATCATAGATCCGAATCGGAGACGCAACTCGTATAGCTTGGATGGCTCCCACGCTACTCATAGTGAGGTAGTCGATTTCGAAGTCGGATATGGTGTTCGACACCGTGGCGGGGCAGGGGAGAAAAATCGAAGTAGAGGAGGTCAAGATGCCATTGAGTTGCGTGACCTTCCGAACCCAACTCTTCCTCAAACCAACAAGTCAGGAGAGAGCAGCAGGAGGAATAATTTCTCTCTCGGGGGCAAACGGCATATAAGCTTAAAAGAGCATCACCTCAAGGGATTCAGTCTGGCCAAGTCTCACAAGAAGAAGACCATTGCGAGAGATTGGCCCCCCGGTCGGAAGCGATTTGTTGCAACTGTTGCCTGTATAAGTACGGCATTGATTGGACTGCTGGTGGGTATCTATGCAGGAGAGACACCGGCTATCCAGTACATGATCGTCGATTTCCATCACTACACCGTGCTTGGAAATGTGTTTTTCTTCATCGGTCTGGCTATTCCGACATTCTTCTTCTGGCCACTGCCCCTCCTTCACGGACGGAAGCCATACATTATGGGTGCAATGTCGCTCGCCATGCCTCTTCTGTTTCCCCAGGCTCTTGCTGTCGGCGAGTTCAGATCCCCGTATGTATCTAGGTGGAGAGTCGGACTCATCATGTCCCGAGCTCTGATGGGATTCTGTCTCGGCTTCGCAAACATGAATTTCAAACAAATGTTGACAGATCTATTCGGAGCATCACTGCAGAGTACAAACCCACATCAGGAGCATGTAGATGAATTTGATGTCAGGCGACACGGAGGTGGTATGGGAATCTGGCTTGGTCTCTGGACATGGTCTGCTCTTGGCTCCATCGGTATCGGCTTCTTGATTGGGGCTATGGTCATCAATACCTTGAACCCCGCTTGGGGCTTCTATGTCAGCATTTGCATCATTGCATTTGTGATGCTGCTAAATGTCTTGTGCCCCGAAGTCAGACGTTCTGCGTTCAGAAGATCAGTGGCCGAGGTCGTTAACGGCCCAGATGTGTCTCGCAGATTGGCTCGTGGGGAAGTTAAGATGCATATGGTCCAATCTGGTCCCAAATGGTGGGGTGAAGAATTCCACTGGGGCGTGCAGCTTACCCTAAAGATGTTACGACAACCCGGCTTCCTCATCATGGCTCTGTACGTGGCTTGGATCTATGGACAGCAAGTGCTAATCACCTTGGTATGATTGCTCACCTCTGTGTTAGAGGAAACGCTAACAGTTCAAAGCTTTTAGGAGCCTTGATGTCCAAGGACTACAAGTTCAAATCTCCAGCGGTTGGTGCCAGTGTTCTAGCAATACCACTGGGAGCCTTGGTTGCCATTCCGTTCCAGAAGGCATCTATTTTCAGCCGAGCCCGTCAAATAGCTGCTACCAGTGATGACGCTACTTTTAAGAAAAAGATCTCTTGGACCTCTCACATGGTCAGACGCTCGATCTTCATGTTGGTGCTCCCACTGGCTGGCATAGCCTATACCCTCTCATCTGGCGGGCCACCAGTTCCGTTCATTATTCCTATACTGTTTGCTGCTCTCATCGGATTCTTGTCCAACCTCGCTATGGCGGAATGTCATGGTATTCTCATGGAAACCTTTGACACATCTGATCTCCAACCCGGGATGACGGGTCGCAGCAAGACTGCCAATGGTATGAAGCGTACCAACTACTCCTCGTTTCCACGTGTGGCATCTGCTTTCGCTATTACTCAAGGCTTTGGATACTTGATTGCTGCCGCTGCTTCTGGCGTTGGCGGTGCTCTTACTCGTCACCTTGGACAGCAGGCAGCAACAGGTATCATGGCAGGGGTACTCTTCGTGCTTTCGCTCTTGCTTATCGGCACCTTGATTCGCTTCACAGACGTCCAAATTATCCCGGACTCCCGTAAAGAGGAAATGGAGCGGTATCATAATGCCCGTCGGGTGTCGGCTATCCGCAAAGAAGAAGGCATTGATGAGGAAGAGCCTTGGCATCCTATCATCATAGGAAATCCTCACCACACTACGCGTCGCATGTGTCTCCTCGAACTTGGCAGTATGTCTCGTTTCAGTGAGATTCGGATCAAGAATAAATTGGTCGATGAGATGAGTCTTGAAGCCAAACATCCGAATCAGGCAGCGATGAACGACTTGAAGCAAAAGATCCACGACAAGGAGATGGAAGTCGTCAATCAGGTCCGCAGAAGCTTGAGTCGCCATAGTTCTCTAGGGAGTAGACGGAGCCGTAGTGATGCGCCCGAGCAAGGTGACCTTGGAGGACACCGAGAGATGCTGAACCGGGTCGGCTCGGGAAACGGGAGTGGCAAGCCGGCTCTGTCTCGTGGAGCAAGCGCCCGAGGCAGCGCCCGGAAGGGAACGAGTATGGCGAGGATGGGTATCGCCGAGCAAGAATGATCGACCGAAAGAAGACCAAGAAGGCGGTATCCTTCAAGCTTCCGCCGACGAAGGGGGCAAACGAGTTTGGCGAAGGGGGTTGGGCTACGGAGTTGCGCAAATTGGTTCTTGGGGTTTTGGTCGTTGTGCTTGAGGGTGTTTGGAAGTGGGCTGGTGCGAGGGGGGTTGTGCCGGAGGTTGAGGAGTCTGGCAGGGGCTTTCAGGGATGGTACTGGAGGGGGAGTGTTTATTCTCTGCCTGCTCTGCTTGGGAAGAGAGGGACGGGGGGGCAGTGGTGCTGTGCGAGAGAGTTGAGACGGTGGGGGTGAGAGTGATGAGAGAGTTTCCTAAGAACATATCATTATTGCACCAAACCGTATTGCTTACTGTACGTTGAGAAGTCAGTTCTGGTCTTGAAGTGTCAGCACTCGTGATTTGTTGACAATAGTAGTACATTGTACTTCGTACGGATGATCAACGTGACGACCGAGAGAGCATAGACAGGACAGGACAGCTTAATTAGCAGCGGGCAAGTCACAGGTCTGCGATTCCGAGCATTTTCTTCTATTATCTTGCGTGTATGGACGATCTATTTATTGCATATCTCCGTCGAGTAAGTACAATACTGTACTGTACTGTACCGTAGATGGTTTTCGACCTCCACCTCCGTAGTTTGGAGGCGCGGTGCTTTGCTTAGCTCTGTTGATATGATTGTGGTTGTGGTACCGGTAGTTGTGATTGTTATCCTCGTGACGACGCCGTGGCTGTTGGGGGGAAGGTTTGACTTGCGCGCGGGGAGTCTCGGTTCTGTGGCAAATCTCCGGCAAATCTCCGGGTTTGGAGATATCGTATTCGTCGTATCTTCTCATGTGCATGCATCACCGTCGTTCCCGGTCGTCCCCCCGCCCGCAATTGGCAGACGGGCCAGGGCAACCCCGCAGCGGGCGACCGGGCCACCTCCGGGCCACCTTCGGGCCACCTTCGGGCCACCTTCGGGACGGAACCACGGGCCCCGCCCTGGGAATTGTTCGGCCAATTGCGGCTGCGAATGGACTTTGGGTTCTTCCGTTCGGAGTATACAGAGTAGAGTTAGTCACCTACGGAACACGGACGGAGCGGAGAGTGCATACAGCATACATTGCCCCTCCCTCTTAGGCCTCTTAGGTAATCCGGCAGTATTCCGAATTTACAGGATTTTTGACATTACCATCTATAGGTACAGTACATATATATGTAGGTATAGGTAAGGTATATAAACACATTTCATACGGATATGTCCCTTATCTATCTATCCACCTATATATCGTATCGTGATCCGCCACTACATCCCTCTCCTTCTCTCTACCATTTCTCTTTCTTGTCAGGCCTCGTGTGAGTGAATCAACTGTCAGATCTTGCAACATGACGGCCACATTTGATGTCGAGGAACTGTTGGCGAAGCTCAACGTTGTCGAGAAGGTTTCTCTACTAGGAGGTCTGTCTCTCGCACCTCACATCTCCCCTCACTCACGTCGACCCTCCTCCTCTTCACCCTCACCCTCACCCTCACCTTCATCCTCATCCTCCATGCTTCGAATTCGATACTGACAACAGGCAACAATCCCCCAGGTGCCGACTGGTGGCATACAGTTCCCCTCCCCAAGCATGGGATACCGGCAATCCGAGTCTCCGACGGACCCAATGGTGTCCGCGGCACCAGGTTCTTCAACGGCGTCAAGGCAGCCTGCTTCCCATGCGGAACCGGTCTCGGTGCGACCTGGGACGTTGACCTCCTCCGCAAAGCCGGTGCGCTGATGGGGGAGGAGAGCAAGGCCAAGGGTGCCCACGTGATTCTTGGTCCTACCATCAACATCCAGCGATCACCGCTAGGAGGGAGAGGATTCGAGAGTCTGAGTGAAGATCCCGTTCTCTCGGGCCTTGGGGCCGCGGCGTTGTGCAACGGGATTCAGGATACCGGCGTGGTGGCTACCATCAAGCACTTTGTGTGCAATGACCTGGAGCACGAGCGGAACGGGACGAATGCCATCATTACCGAGAGGGCCCTGAGAGAGATCTACGCGCTGGCTTTCCAGTTGGTGGTCAAGGTGTCTAATCCCGGCTGTTTCATGACGGCCTATAACAAAATCAATGGCGTGCATGTCAGCGAGAACCCCAAGATCTTGAAAGATATGCTACGGGGAGAATGGGGTTGGGAAGGTTGTGTAATGAGTGACTGGTATGACAAGATTGATTTCCGAATCACTCATGTGGCTATTTATTTCTTGACCGACCGACTGACTGACTGACGCCTACCCATAGGTGGGGAACATATTCATGTTCTGATTCCATCAATGCCGGACTGGACTTGGAAATGCCAGGTCCTACGAAGTGGCGAGGCGATTTGTTGACCCAGGACGTTAGTGCCAACAAGGTTGCAGAACACGTCCTTGACGAGCGAGTTCGAAATGTTCTTACTCTTATTAACCGATGCGCGGATTCGAAAATTCCCGAGAATGCCGAGGAGAAGACAGCTAACACCCCAGAGACGGCTGCTTTCTTAAGAAAGATTGGTGCCGACTCTCTGGTCCTGATGAAGAACGAGGGGGGTATCTTGCCCCTGAACAAGGATAAGAAGGTAAAGTAGCCCGAAAGCTCCCCATTCAAGATCGAGCTGACTCAGCTGGGTAGACTTTGATCATTGGCCCAAATGCTAAGGTCGCCTACTACCATGGAGGGGGGTCTGCTTCGCTTGCAGCTTACTACGCCGTCACCCCTTTCGATGGGATAAGTGCTCAGCTTACTTCTCCTCCCGATTACACCGTCGGATGCTATGCCCACAAAGAACTTCCACTTTTAGGTGACCGACTCAAGGCCAAGAACGGTGAGCCAGGTGTGACGTTCCGCGCATACAACGAACCTCCCTCGGTCAAGGACCGGGAGTGCGTTGACGAGATCACACTGACCAAGACCGAGTTCTTGCTGATGGATTACAACGCTCCCGGCATCAAGCAAGCCCTCTGGTACGCAGATGTAGAGGGAACCTTCACAGCCGAAGAGGATGGAGACTTCGAGATCGGACTCGGCGTCTACGGTGCAGCGAAGCTGTACATTGATGGAGCATTGTTGATCGACAATGAAACGAAGCAAACCAAGGGAACGATGTTTTTCAACTGTGGCACTGTGGAGGAGAAGGGTGTTTTGCCCATGAAGAAAGGACAATCTTACCATGTGAAGGTTGAGTTTGCAAGTGCTCCTGCTTCTAAGCTGGATCAAGGAAGCGGTGTTCTCTTTGGAGGCGGTGCCATCAGAATCGGTGCTGCCAAGATCATTGATGCTGATGAGGAGGTCAAGCGCGCGGCTGCTTTGGCAAAGGATGCCGATCAAGTCATCATTGTCGCTGGCCTCAATGTATGTTGTCTCCCACACATGTTGTTGGAAAAGCTAATATTTGATAGGCCGACTGGGAGACGGAAGGTTCTGATAGGGAGACCATGTCTCTTCCAGGTCACATGGATGCACTGATCGCCGCTGTTGCAGTCGCCAACCCATCGACGGTTGTAGTAATGCAAAGTGGTACCCCAGTAGGCATGCCATGGATCTCCTCCGTCAACGCTCTCGTCCATGCCGTAAGTCAAGCTCCCCAATCCCCAAGCGAAACACCATCTTACACTAGCCCAGTGGTACGGCGGCAACGAGACCGGCAACGCAATTGCCGATATTCTCTTCGGCAACGTCAATCCCAGCGGTAAACTCCCGCTCACCTTCCCCGTCCGCCTTCAAGATAACCCCGCCTATCTGAGCTACCGAACGGAGCGTGGTCGCACACTCTACGGAGAGGTTTGTTTGTTTCTCGCTTATCATGCCCCTGCCCCTCTCTGAACTATCAAGCGAGGGAGCCTACACCATCAAAACTCATAGCTCTGCCCCGCACCCCCCAATACGCAACAACCAGCCAGACTAACACACCGATGCAGGACATCTACGTCGGCTACAGATGGTACGAGCAGCTCGAGCTCCCCCCGCTCTTTCCCTTCGGCCACGGCCTCTCCTACACCACATTCACCTACTCCTCGCTCTCCGTCGCCCAGACGCCCACGACTATCACGGCCACGCTCACGGTCACTAATACCGGGCCCGTCGCCGGCGCCGAGGTCGTGCAGCTGTACACGCGCCAGCACGCGCCCAGCATCCGGCGCCCCCTCAAAGAGCTCAAGGGATTCACCAAGGTGCAACTCGCGAGCGGGGAGAGCAAGCGCGTCGACATCACCGTCGAGACGAAATACGCGGCCAGCTTCTGGGACGAGATCCGCGCCATGTGGATCATGGAGAAGGGCGCGTACGAGGTCATTGTGGGGAGCAGTAGTGCTGATGCGGGTGCTCTGAAGGCTGGCTTTGAGGTTGGGAAGACGAGTTGGTGGAGTGGCCTGTAGATTGCAGAGGGATGGAAGGGGGCGTCGAGAAGAGGTCGGAATAAGCGAGAAGGGCGTGTAACATTTCCATATGGTCGGGATGTCTGCACACTTTTTTTATGAGTTATGAGAACATCTGGAATGTGGATAGAGCTTGAGTAAAGAACACAGCCGGCTTACTACATATGAGTATTTACATCGCTCTCCACGTGCTTCGCATCAACAGACACGGAATCTTCCCGTATGCAACCGAACGTGCATAGCACTAGGCTCTCTTCCTCTTCCAGATACTGGTAGAGAAAAGGCTTCCGTTGTTATCCCCTCCGTCAGATAAACTAAAAGCCATATCCCATTTGCCCAGCCATTTCCTCTCCCTTGTAACACCCGCTCCTCCCCGTCCCTTGCCCCAAGCCCAACATCTTACATACCACCATAGATACACGCAGCCAGTCATATGGAAATAGGATAAGAATAGATAAAACCCACACATTCGCTCATGGACCTGTTCATATTCAAAAGCCACCCTGTTCCTTCCTGCTATCACCCGCAACCTGGGCCTCCTGTCCGGCATCCCTGATAGCCTCCGCGTCGCCCCTCATCTTCGCAAAATGCGCCTTGATGTCCTCCGCGCTGATCGCCTGTCCGCTCTCGGCAAACTGCTGGAAGAAGGGCTTCAGCTTATCCTTGAGGTGGTTGTACGCCATCACGCCCTCGATGGCGCGCACGCGATCCACGTTCTTGAGCGCGGACTCGCCGAGGTCGTAGATCGAGCCGGAACCGACGGTGCTACCGCCGCCCGCGCCGTCTTCGGAGGAGGAGACGGAGGGTTCGTAGAGTTCTTCCTCTTCGAGGAGTTGTGGGTGCGGGGTTAGAAGTGGAAAGCAGGAGGGGCAGCGGCAGAGGTGGGTGCGGAAGTCGGGGGTGAAGAAGAGGGAGAAAACACCGGTGGGAGGCGGCGGGAGAGTGGTAAGCTTGCAGGGGGGTTTGCCCTCTTCTGTTTGGATGGGATCGACGGTTGTTGCGGGAGTGTCGGTGGTTGACGGTTCGCTGCTGGCAGTTGGTCCCTCGTCCTTGACTCGCTTAGATGAACTGGATTCTCCGTCGTCGTCTGCTTTACGCTTCTTGTTGGTTGGAAGGACTGAAGTAATCAATTCCTCGGTTTTGGCGACGATTCCTGTCTCTGGAGAGGGTGCAGTGCTGCGTCTGAAGACGGGCGGTAGGAAGCCAGGTGTGCCTGCGTAAAACTTAATCCAGGGATTTGCTTCAACGCACTTATAACAGAGAAAGCCTTCAAAGTCATCCTCTTCCGGGAACCCAGGAGGAAGTGGCGGATCCTCGTCTTCGTCCTCTACTTCAGGTATAACATCCGCTGGGACCTTTGATGCATCTCCATTGGTAGTAGCGGCCTTCGCCTCTCCTTCCTTCTCATCCACAACTGCTTCAGCAACCTCAACAATAGACTCCAGGAATCCTTCGTTCTTGGGCTTTCGTCCTGAACTCTCGTCCCAGTCTGGCCCAAGTCCTACTAGACAGCCAGGGTGCCACCAATCCTCGCCACATCCTCCGGTCTCACCAGTACCGATGCCAAGACATTGAAACATTGTACCCTTCTGCGCGTAAGCATCGTAGTCGCATCCACAGCCACAAAATCGGTTCCGAAAGTTATGGTTGTAAGTATTCTCAGGAGCAGGCTCCTCTGAATGAATCCCGCCCTTTGTATTTGTCTCGGGGTTTATGCGCAGCGAGCAGTGGGAAGTCGCCGGCAAACGCGTCGTTCCACAGTCGCAAACAAAGTCCCTCTTGTTGAATAACTCGACCAACGTATGTTCGCCATGGCACGAGATGGAGCAGGAATAGCAAACTCCGGCGGCCGTATACGGATCGGTAGGATTCGCTGGGGGCGGATTACACGTGAGGCAGGAGAAAATCTGCTGGCGCAGCTTTCCAATGGGCTGTGTGCATTTCTCGAATTTCTGCGCGCGGAATCAGTATGCGCGACGGAAGGTCATGATGGTGCGACATACATATGGGAGAGCTTCGCGCGCCTCGGCCTCCAGTTGGAGCTGGCGATCGATGAATCTGCATACATCATCAGCCAAGGTTCTTTGATTACATGCGAGACTTGAGCTTACTCGGCTGCAGTTTGGGAGGTTTGAGAGCTGTCCGTCTGTTGTGAGAAGCTCTGGGTTCGCGACGGGCCACTGGCTGAGCTATTCGGCTGCTCGCTGAAGCTGGAGTCGGTGGTCGGGGGGGCGTCCATAATGTGAGAGACGGGCCTGGATACGGTACTTTCGAGAATGTTGGGTGTTTTGATGTGGAAGCGATGAGAGCGGAGGACCGTTGTCGCGGCGGAGCTTGATAACCACTCTACGCGAGATCAACCTAATCGGGTTAGCTGGTACGCGAAACGCGTGAAGAGACCGCGACCAGAATCTGACGTCCTCAATCTCTTTTCCACCCCCCTTCCTCGCATACACAACATCTCCAAACACAGAATCAGTCACCTTCACAACCTTCTAATTGATCAACGGGTCATAACACTTGGTACATCATGAGGTGCGATACGAACGTCCCTTTCTAAATCCACGTCTCATCTTAACATCCCCTTTTCTTGCGCAGCTTCTGACGCTTCAGAACAGTTCTCCCCTGAGAGCAAGCATGTCTTCTGCCAACCGTGGACTTCCAGCCGGTAGAAGTCGTAAGCGCTCCAGAGAGCCTGATTCGGATGCTGGTGCAGCATCTTCTCCTGTTGGAGACATCCGATCTTCACCCCCTGCGTTTTCAATTCAACATGGTGGTGATGACGATGACGATATCGAAGAGGACGTTGCGCTGGATATCGATGATGTCGACGAGATGGCCGAGGACGAAGACGGAATTGACCTGTTTGGGGGTAACTTTGAAAACGACTACAAGTCCCGCAAGAATGACCGATATGACGAGAGAGATATCGACGATGAGGGTGACTACGAGGCTCTCGACGGCGCAGACAGACGAAGACTTGAGGCACGCCTAAACCGCAGAGACCGTGAACTTGCTCGTCAACGACGCATGCCAGCTGCTTTCCTCCAGGATGAAGATGAGGAGGGTGACCTTGACCTGACCGCGCAACCCCGTCGACGTCGCCATCACTACGACGAAGATGAGGATGAGGAGATGCAAGATGACATTATGGAAGAGGAACTCTCTCTTGAAACACTTCAAGATGTCAAAGCCTCTAGTCTGGTTGAGTGGGTCTCTCAGCAAGCAGTCCAAAGAACCATCAAGCGCGAATTCAAGGCCTTCTTGACAGAGTACACCGACGAACATGGAGTTTCGGTTTACGGTAGCCGTATCAGAACTTTGGGAGAAGTCAACGCAGAATCCCTGGAGGTCTCCTACGATCATCTCGCTCAATCCAAAGCCATCTTGGCGTACTTCTTGGCCAATGCTCCTGGAGAAATGCTCAAGTTGTTCGATGAGGTTGCCATGGAAGTCACTATTCTTCATTACCCAGACTACGAAGGAATCCACTCCGAGATTCACGTTCGCATTTCGGACCTTCCAGTTCACTACACTCTTCGCCAACTCCGTCAAACCCACCTGAACTGTCTGGTCAGAGTTAGTGGCGTGGTCACTCGACGAAGTGGAGTGTTCCCGCAATTGAAATATGTCATGTTCGACTGCGTCAAGTGCGGTACCAGACTTGGTCCTTTCCAACAGGAGTCCAACGTGGAAGTCAAAATCTCTTACTGCCAGAATTGCCAATCGCGGGGACCCTTCAATCTCAACTCCGAGAAGACAGTCTACCGCAATTATCAGAAGCTCACTCTCCAGGAATCCCCCGGGACTGTGCCTGCTGGTCGTCTTCCTCGTCACCGCGAAGTTATCCTACTGTGGGATCTTATCGACCGCGCTAAGCCAGGAGAAGAGATCGAGGTCACTGGTGTTTACCGTAATAACTATGATGCTCAGCTGAACAACAAGAATGGTTTCCCTGTTTTTGCCACTATCCTTGAGGCAAACAACGTTGTCAAATCTCACGATCAACTCGCAGGCTTTAGACTTACCGAGGAAGATGAGCAAGAGATCCGAGCCCTGGCCCGTGATCCCCAAATCGTCGACAAGATTATCCACTCCATGGCACCCAGTATTTACGGCCACACAGATATCAAGACTGCAGTCGCGCTCTCTTTGTTTGGTGGTGTCGCCAAAGATAGACAAGGAAAGCACCATATTCGTGGAGATATCAATGTTCTGCTTCTCGGTGACCCTGGAACTGCCAAGTCGCAGGTCCTCAAGTATGTCGAGAAGACTGCCCATCGTGCTGTATTTGCTACCGGCCAAGGAGCCAGCGCCGTCGGTTTGACTGCCAGCGTTCGAAAGGATCCTCTGACTAGCGAGTGGACATTGGAAGGCGGTGCCCTGGTACTTGCAGATCGAGGAACTTGCCTGATCGATGAGTTCGATAAGATGAATGACCAGGATCGAACTTCCATCCACGAAGCCATGGAACAACAAACCATCTCCATTTCGAAGGCTGGAATCGTCACTACCCTGCAAGCTCGCTGTGGTATCATCGCTGCTGCCAATCCTATCGGTGGCCGGTACAATTCTACAATTCCTTTCTCTCAGAATGTTGAGCTCACAGAACCTATTTTGTCTCGTTTCGATATCCTCTGCGTGGTTCGGGATACTGTCGATCCTGCTGAGGATGAGCGACTTGCTAGATTTGTCGTTGGATCCCACGGCCGCTCTCATCCCAGCTCGCAACCTACTGAGAGCCAAATGGAAGCTGAGCAAGATTCAGGAGCAGCCAATGGAGGCGAGCCAAAGCAAGAAGGCGAGATCCCACAAGAGCTTTTGCGAAAGTTTATCCTCTACGCTAGAGAGAGATGTAGTCCGAAGTTGTACAACATCGACGAGGAGAAGGTCTCAAAGCTTTTTGCCGATATGAGGAGGGAGTCGTTGGCGACTGGTGCCTATCCGATTACCGTAAGTCAACCCATCACCGTATTTTCTCATCTCCAAATTAACAACTCCAGATCCGTCACCTGGAAGCTATCATGCGCATCAGCGAAGCCTTCTGCCGCATGCGTCTCTCCGACTACGTGTCCTCCCAGGACGTCGACCGCGCCATCGCAGTCACGATCGACTCTTTTGTCGGCAGTCAAAAGGTCAGCTGCAAGAAGGCTCTCGCTCGCGCGTTTGCTAAATACACACTCGCTCGACCGGGCGCGGGGAAGAAGAGCGGTGCTGGTAGGAACTTGGAGCGGGCTAGAGCGGCTACGGCTACCATGGCTTAAATCCAGATTGTTAAGGTTATGACTGACTGTTTCATAATGTTTGGATGATGGATGGCGTTATAGATATCATGAGTTTTTCTTTATGTGGACTTCTGGAATTGGGAAGGGGAGGGTGGGAGGAGAGGGATGGGGATGAGGGATAGGGATGGGGGATGGGAATCGGACCGTGAAGAGATGTGTGCTATGAAGTAATGAGAGAGCGAGAGTCATCCTTTCTTCTTCTGATTCAGATCTTGAATTCCAGAAAATTGAATCGAACCGACTCGAAGCGCATTGTAATTGTATTGTATGATCAGTCAGTCGGGTTTATTTACTTTTGAAAGTAAACAAGCCTCCTTTTTAACCGAGAAGACGGAACCTTATGAAACTGTAGGCGGAACAGATGCGTCGGAATGGAAGAACGTGCGTGAATTAGAAAGGATAGAGAGCAGCTTATGTCTACCGGTATGTTCTTCTTGTGGCGGGCTGGGGGTGGGAGAGTGGAGAGGAGATTGGATAGAATGGCTGGCTAAAGCTGTAAGAAGAACCATTCTCGATTATCTATTTCATTCAATCATAATCCGTCTGCTATGTATGTATAGGGTGTCATGGTATACTTTTGGTCGATCGAGTTTAGCCAGGTAAGTTCGTTAGAAGTTTGGTTCGTAAGTAAGTAAATAAGTTGAAGCGCGAGTATGTAAGTAGGTAAACAAAGGATATCATATCGCTGATGGCCTCGCGCCGAACGCCTTAGAGATCATTTCAGTCAGTCATTCGTGATTTGTCGTCGCCTGTCTAGCCATCTATCCATATGCCAGAATATGGTATCCACACACGTCGTGCCTACAGGCTTCCCACCCTGACCTGCTGTTGGTTAAACTTAGACGGCCATTTTATCCAAGATTCTCAGTACACCTTCGCCTTTCCTCGTCTTCGCTTTCGCTTTCATCTCTCCATGTACAGACCCTTCCCCCTCTTCCTGGCTCTCCCCGTCTAAATTCCCGACCAGCACCCTCGCCCGCTCCGTCAACGTCCCGAGCACCTTCCGGCAGTACTCGAAGGAGCCGGTACCCTCCATGTAGCTCACGGCGTACCGCTTGACCTGCTCATCGTCCGTCTTCTGCCTGAGTATGCTGAGCAGGACCATGTTCTCGGGCCGGGCACGGATGCTGTGGATGATGGGGAAGGAGAACTTGCCCTCGGTTAGGTCCTCGCAGAGGCCCTTGTTCTGGATGTATTCTGGCGAAGAGATGTTCTGGTAATCGTCACGGATCTGGAAGATGATTCCGATGAGGTTGACTAGGGGGACACAGTCTCTGTTGTTTTCACCCAGTTAGTATGTCTCTCTAACACACTCTTTTTTTTTAATTGGTACATAAGTAGACGAAGAAGAAATTATGGAATTTTCTGGGAGGACTACGCACTTTGACGTCTTACTCTCGGCCTGCATTAGTTTGACAGCTAGTCTGAACAACCCCCCCGTCTTGTTCCCAACCATCTCCAGATAGTCGTCCTCGCTCGGGCATGTCAGCGTATCCCGCCAGAACAGATCCATACCCTGCCCGCGATGCAGATTCAGCAGCTCCTCCGTGTAGATGGAAATTGCGCTCGCGTTCCCCAGCTTCTGCAGCTCCTGCAGCGCGACGAAGTACACGTAGTTCGCCGAGTTGATTGTCTGCGCCGTCCCGAAAATGCTGTGGGCCACCGGCAGCCCTCTCCGCAGCAACGAGGAGTCTTCAACGTCGTCGACGAGCAGGGACGCAGTGTGTAGCATACCAACTACCCGCGTGATGACTTCCAGACTTTCCGGGGGCACTTCCAGCCACTCGTTGAATGCGGCTATGAGCTGTGCGCGGATGTCCTTGCCTGGCTGCGCGAACAGGTATTCGTAGGGGCCCAGCAGCACGCTTTCCTTCTCGTCGGACCAGCTGCCTTTCCCGTGGAAGGCCATGTCGTTCTTGTAGTATTTGGAAGAATCAGAAGACGCCCCGGTGGACTGGATAGCAGGATTCAAAGGGGGATGGGAGGTGGTGCTGGGGAGGGAGCGTTTGCGCTGGGAGATCCAGTCGCCTTCGGGGACGGGGCGCAGAACAGGCTTTGAGGCGATGTGGTTGAGGCTATTTCTGCCAGTGGATGAGGTTCGAGGAGGGATGGCATTGGGGGAACGGAGACTTTCCGACAGAGGAGAGGAAGACGGGGAGGGGGAGAAGGTTATTGGGGAGGAAGGACCGCGGGAGGTGTGGTTGCTTTGGGACATGGTAGGGTGTTGGTCTTGGTGGTGGTAATGGTGGTGGTATCGGTATCGGTATCGGTATTGGTATTTGTATTGGTATTGGTAAGTGTGCTGAAGTCAATTAATGCGCCGAGATGGGGCGCGATGAGAGGCACTGGGAGGAGAGTGCCCCATAGGTCCGATCCGCTGGAGAGCTTGAGAGCTGGAGAGCTGGAGGGGAGATGGAATGGCATCCGGGTTGGAATGCGGTGAGCATGGCGGGGTGGGTGATATTCGATCTCCCACTGATAGATAGATAGAGTGAGTACTTACCTATTCAGAAGAAAATATGTCTCGGGCTTCTTTCGTAGGTTCAGGTTCAAGTTCAGGTTCGAGTCACTCCCACTGACATTGAAAGGAAACACCCATTGCTTGCATTTACCGGTGCATAGGTACGGTATACAAAGTTCAAAGTCGAAAATCCAAAATCCAAGGTTCAATGTAGGGGAGAGCCGAGAGCCGAGAGCCGAGAGCGGGGCTACGCTAAGATAAGCCGATAAGCCACACACGGCGAACTGAAACGCCATCTACTTTGTTGCCGTGCCAGCATCGGGCATCAAACAAAGTCTCATCCCATTCCCATTTCAAAGGGAAGTTGACTTAACAAGTCAAAAATAGTCACCAAAGCGCTCGCTCGCGCTCGCGAAGCTTTGACAATACCGCGTTGTACCAAAACAAACACCGGCTTCAACTCCTCCCTTCCTTTCTTTCTTTTTGTATTAATACTTTTCCTGCCTGGTCTTTACTCCCCTTCCCCTCTCTCTCTCTCTCTCTCTCTCTCTCTGTTGCAACATCTCTCTTATTCTCTCTCTCCCTTTCTCTCTTCTCCCCCCGAGAAAATCCAACAAAACACCAAAAAAACAAACAAACATTACATTCACAGCCAGCCAACCCGATCGCAACCATGGAGGCCCTCCTCTCCATGTCCTTCGACAACCTCTCCTCCTACGACCAGCTCAAGATCCGCAAAGGCCTGCGACAAGTCGAGGGACTCCTCGCGCAAATCTGCCTCTCGTCCTCATTCCCCCCTCCAGCGTCCGAGAAGCGCCGCTCCGTCATCGACCCTGGCAAGGAACCACAGCCGCGGAAGACCCTGAGCGAACTGGGAGCCGACCCAGCCTTCAGGGAATTCTTCAAACTGCAGGATGGGTTCGAGTGGAACGTGGCCATGCGGCTGGTGAACTCCCTGGATCGGTTGCTGGGGAAGAGCCACGATGGGCAGAATGACCTGTTGATTATTCAAACGCTGGATCTGATCCAAGGGACGCTGTTACTTCATCCGCCGAGCCGGTCGTTGTTCTCGAGGGAGTTGTACATGAATGTTCGTTTCACATTTGATTCCCTGGGCGCCCAATTGTATTGGAATTTCATCTCGTCGTTTTACGTAATTTATATCTACGTACTTATGTACTGACCGCGCTGCAATAGCACCTCCTCGACCTCCTAGAGCCCATCAACTGCCCAGCAATCCAATCCGCGACCATCATCACCCTCGCCTGCGCCCTCATCGAAACCCCTCTCAACACCCGTACCTTCGAGGAACTCGACGGGCTCCTCACCATCACCTCCTTATTCAAGTCGCGCGAGACGACCCGTGAGGTCAAGCTGAAGCTCGTCGAATTTCTCTACTTCTACCTCATGCCCGAGACGCCGTCTATCCCGTCTGCCAACAGCACCGTCTCGGTGCCAGCCATGCTGCAGCGCAGTCCGAGCAAACTAGCCGGCGCGTTCAACGGAGAGGCGAAAGGCAGGGGGCGGGCGGACAGCGAGAGCGGCGTTACGAGAAGTACGGAGGAGAAGCAGGGGTTACTGGGGAGGTATTTGGGGAGTGTGGATGATTTGGTAGCGGACTTGAGGGAGAGCACGCCGTTTGGTGGTGCGCTATCGTAATCATCGATTACTAATTACTACACCTGAACAAACAGACAAAATTTCTTTTGTAAATTGATGATACCGGGACGGAATGGCATTTGGCGTTGGGCTGGGGCGGGGGTGGAAAGGGTGGTAGGGCGTTGGTTGGGTGGGGGGCTGTATCGGGTGCCTGCATACGGAAGGTACGGTAAATCAATATCTGCGCGTGTAATATAATCACTTAAGGTGGTATTGGTTTGGTCATCGGTTGATCTTCTCTTTCGAGATAGGACTCGGGAGTACGTTTTACTTGCATCCTTGCTTGCTTCGTCTTTGTTTAGATAGACCAGATGAGTGTTCAGTCGAAACAGGCAAGCAGGTAATTGAGTTTATAGCTACAGCATGATCTTGATCACTATCTCTTGGTTTCTTCCTCTTCGATCTGCGTGTTCTTGATCTCTCCCCTTTTTCTTTTCCTTTCATACCTATTCTCTTTATCCCCCTCCTTTGGGCCTTGACAAGAGGATCTTTCGTTCTATATATACATCGCACTCATCACACACATCTTTGTATACATGACTTTGCGATCCCCCTTCAAGCCTTTACTCACGTGATGTTAACTTGGCATATTAGCGACTTCGAATCCAAAGACCTCCAGATCCTTCCTCCCCTTTTAATTCCAAGCTTCATTCCCGTCCCAAAGAGGACAGCTCGTTCTCAGCCTCTCATGTCGAGCCATACATATCTACGGGGTATTCAAGCTCTGGGTAGTCCTCGACAGTATACTAGTATGATAGCGCTGGCTGGCTAACTTGGCAGCTGGCTCTAGTATGCCTACCGGTACCTACCTATCGTGAGTTGAGCCCTAGCAAGCTCTCGCAAAATTCATCTCCAGTATTGCTGATCGGTTTTTTTTTGCGTCATCTGTGCTTTTGTTGGAGGATACTTCTGTGGAGCTGGGAGGGGAGGGAGGAGGCGTTGTTGTGCCTGGACGATAATAGGTGTCAAGGGGCTTTCTGTGAGCAAGTTTGAGGGCGAGCGACTCAATTCTTACGAGGGACTGGGTTTTCTTGACCTTTGAGGTAGAGTATCCTTTGAATATTCGATGTTCCTATCACTCTTCCCCTCTCCCGCTTTCTTAGCGAGAACGAGACCGATCCATGACAAAATTCAGGTCCCCTTGGTTGAGATGAAATATTACTAGAGCAAGTCCCTCTTGAAAAAATGCATGTGGTTAAACCCATTTAGTACAACTTCATAGGACACCCCTGCTTCTCGGGATCCATCTTCTCCCTCACGAGCTTGATTGTCAAATCCATCAAATTCTTTTCCAACTCCCCATCCTCATCCTGGTACAGCTTACTCCCCGCCTCGGGGATGGCAGGCGGACACACATACTGGCCCCCCTCCTCCGTCTTCGTCGCGCAGTACATAGCGCTCACAGCACCCTCCCACTGCGACTTCTGGAACGGCTTCATCCCTACGCTCATCGCATAGCCGGCAATGGGATATGGCTCATGGATCTCCTCGGTGCTCTGCTTCGTTTCGACGAAACCCGGGTGCACACAGTTCGCCAAGACACCCTCGCTCTTCAGGTTCCTGTTCAAGAACTTGGCGTAGAGCATCTGAGCAAGCTTTGCGCGGCCGTACTGCCCATTGGGACCGAGATCCTGGTTCAGCTCCTCCAAGCTGGCAAACTTGCAATCGCTGGGCGTAGCTTGATGGGCGTTGGAGCCGAGCATCACAATGCGGACTTTGGAGCTGGGAGAAGCGGTCTTCTTGATGACTGGAAGGAGATGAGAAGTCAGGATTACGTGACCGACGTGGCATACGGCCATATGGCGATCTACGCCGTAGGAGGTTTGCTGGGCGGTCATAATTCCTCGCGCAGCATCGTTGATAAGGATGTCGATGCGGTCGGTTGAGTCGGTGATTTGTTTTGCGATGGAGGGGAGAGTCTTCCAGTCTGCGAGGTCTGCTTGCAGGAATTTGACTTTGGAAACGGTGGAAGCTCCTAGTGTCTCCTTGATATAGGAGGAGGCGCCATCGAGAGACTCTTTCGTGCTGGCGACGATGACTGAAGATTGCATTAGGTTTTGTTCTTAGGTCTTGCGATCTATGATCGTGAGAGAGGCATGGCACATACACAACTTCGAGATGTTCCTTTCTAACAAGGTATGAGCACACGCATAGCCAATTCCCCTGGAACCACCCGTAACAACAGCAACCTTGTTGCTCTGGTCCGGGACGGCCTCCAGCGAGAACTGCGTCTCTTTAGTTGCAAGAGAATGGCTAGACTCCGTCAGTTCAGTACACATTCGAGCCTAATAAACAGGAAAGGAACAAAAAGAATAATGACATACGCAGCACCCCCGAAGTTCTCTGCCACGGTATTTTTGATCGTCTGCACTACACCTGCCATTCTGAAGGATGATGAAGCGTGAAAAGGTCGAGAGAAGATGCGGGGAGAGAAGCGTTGCATTTCGAGAAAAAGTGGCGGGTCGAGAGTCGAGAGATGGGCGTTTGTTTTGTACGGTCATTGGGTACGAGATATGGAGTTCGTCATCGCAGATTCGAACAGCCGAGACCTGATGTTGTACGGAGGGACCGGACCCGAACCCCTAATGAATCATGGAGAAGCTGATCGGATCAAACTACCACCACCACTGAGATGACGCATCGAGTATGCTGCCTGGAATCAAAAGCCAACACCCAAGAGGGCAAAGATACCGGATTTGGTGGCTACTTCGCATCATCGCGGGCTAGTCTACGACACGTGATTGGTGATCGCTCAAAGAGTACGTGAAAGAGATAGGTTGGTCACACTTGGACTGTGAAATGGGGAATATTGCCATTTCCAGGCCATGTATTAGAATTGTTGTATTGCAGACTAGTTTCTCGGGCTGCAGTTGGCTGAAATATAATGTTTACTTCGCTTACAACAACTGCGGCAAACTCAACCATCAACGAAATGCTTTGGGTTGAGAAAGGATTTACTGTCGTTGAAGCAGAATACTGATAGATTCAGTAATTAGTCTAGTAGTCTAGGAGTAATTCTGCGGATTCTGACTATTCCGATACTAACCCATCAGACAACATCAGAGGATACGACTAAAGGATAGTAGGGATGCTTCAGGCATATCGTGACAACATATATAAGCCGATCTCAACTTGGACTTTCGTAGGCTGTAGGTTGTAGGCTGTAGGTTGTACCGGTAGTTCAATAAGCCAAGGATTTCTTTGTTGTGTAAAGGTTGCCGGGGATGAATTCTGAGTCATGATCATCTCGGCTAAGGCAGTACTAGCTCTTTTTACGATTCACGTCGCGTCACAACACGTCTCCCACCTTCGAAACGCGGAACATTCATCTTCTCGACCTTACACCAACCCTCAACCCTCAATCCTTACCCCTCGACCTTGACCCTCAACCCCGACAATACAATAATTTTCCTACACGAGGGAACACGTGAAATCCTCTCATTCCGACGCGTCTGACGCGGTGTCACCAGCTTCGTGGTGACTCAAAGCTCAATCCCCGAGTCCTTCGTATCTCGACACCTTTGAAATTCCTTCCTTACCCCCCTCTCTAGTGCTGCCTCTCGTCATCACAATACTATTGAACTGCAGTGAAATACAGTGAAGATGGTCGGCAAGTCGCTCGGCGATGGAGTCTACTCCGCGACTTACAGTAATGTATGCGCCCGAGGCTCTGCATCTTTAGCACAACAAGACTGATTGCGCTCAGGTCCCAGTCTACGAGTATCAGTTCGGTGAAGGCTTAAAGGAACATGGCATGTCACAACAATAGATTCTACTCGTATTGATGTCCGCTAAACAATGCGAGCAGTTATGCGCCGCCGCTCTGATGATTGGATCAATGCAACACACATCTTAAAGGCTGCCGGCTTCGATAAGCCCGCCCGAACCCGAATTCTCGAGCGTGAAGTCCAGAAGGAGACACACGAGAAGGTTCAAGGTGGTTATGGCAAATACCAAGGTAAGCTGGCTGTAAGGGAAGGCTGCGATAAATAGAGTCTGACTTGTTCCAGGTACCTGGGTGCCACTTGAGCAAGGAGAAGCCCTGGCACAGCGAAATAATGTCTTTGAGAAGTTGCGCACCATTTTCGAATTCACCCCCGGCAACATTAGCCCTCCTCCTGCTCCCAAACACACTACGGCCAAACCAAAGCTCCCTAAGAAACCAGCAGTTCCCAAATTCACACCAAGTAAGTGCCAGACGCCTGTGAAGCCCATGAAGAGAGCATTAACAGCATAGAACCAGTGGCCGCACCAGCTCGCATGATACACGAAGAGTACGACGATGTCTCTCAGATGGATAACGAGAGTATTGCGGATGATATTACAGTCGCTTCTGCTTCCTTGATGGTCGAAGATGACCGATACGAAACCCAACAACTTACCGGCAACCGCAAGCGTAAGCGTGAAGAGCAGGATGATATAGAGCACGAAACAGAGCGCAACCATGTTCTCTACGCCGATGATCTGCTCGACTACTTTATGCTTTCCCATCCTTCCCAAGGTAACAACGTGGCAACCAAACCTGCACCACCTGTCAACTTCCAACCAGATTGGATTATCGACTCTGATGGTCATACCGCACTTCACTGGGCTGCTGCGATGGGCGATATGGCGATCATACAAGAGCTGAAAAGATTCAACGCCAATATAACTGCGGTGAACATTCGAGGAGAGACACCGCTCATGCGATGTGTCCTATTTACCAATTGCAAGGACAAGAATAGTATGCCATTAGTTTTGAACGAACTGATGTCCACCATCGATTGCATCGATTACTGCCAAGCTACAGTACTCCACCACGCAGCTATGATGACAATCAGTCGCCAGAAGCATCACTGTGCCCGGTACTACCTGGATGTTATCCTCAATAAGATGGTGGAGTGCCTTAAACCCCAGGAAATCCAACGAGTGCTTGATGCTCAGGACATGCACGGAGATACGGCGATCCATATTGCAGCAAAAAACAAGGCCCGCAAGAGTGTAAGAGCTTTGCAGGGCCGAGGAGCCAGAACTGACATTCCCAATCTCGACAATATCACCGCTAATGATCTTCTCCAAGAATTGAATGAGAGTCGAAAGTCGGAACGGGCACTCCAAGGTTCTTCTTCCCCATTTGGACCTGATTCGAGATCAGTGTACGGAGAGATGCCGGAGGAGCCAAGTCGAAACCCACCTCATCACATCTCTGAAGCGGCCATGTCAATCGAGTCTACTATCGCACCCCTTATGATGGAGAGGTTTCAGAACCTAGCCAACTCCTTCGACGACGAGCTTGTCGAGAAGGAAACCTCGGAGAGAGAAGCTAGACGGATCTTGAAGAGTACGCGCCAGGAACTCGAGTCTTCGAAGGCTCAGATCAAAGAGATTTTATACCACAAGGAGAGCCCGGATGTCATGGCCAAGGCCAAGGAGCAGCTTTCCCATGTCGAGAAGGCTGTCACTATGCTCATCGAGCAGCAGCAGAGCATTCAGCTTCAGTTCCGGTCACAACAGGAGGAGTGCAAGAGTAATGGCCATGAGATAAGTAGCGAAGACGATATTGACGAGCGAGTGATGTTGGCGAAGATGTTGGACGAAGAACGAAAAAAGCGACAGAAGCTTGTTGTTCAATACCGTGATGCCTTGAGCGTGGCTGGCGCGGGCGAGAAAGGCGACCAATATCGACGACTCCTTGCGAAATGTCTTGGCGAGGATGTTGAGCACATGGATGAAAATATTGATGTCCTTGTTCACACTCTTACCGAGGAGGAGGCTGGTCAAGAGGGCGAGATTGTCATCCCCGATCGCTGATGATCCTCCTCGTCTGTGTGTTTGCGCGGGCGTTTGCTTTGTTCTGATCGAACTCGAATGGCGCACGGTATCCGCATATTGATCGGTGTTAGGCGCTGTCTCTTGTCACAGTACGTTTACCATACCTGGTGTTCTTCTCGTGGTTTCCTAGGGCGGTACTAGATTCTGCGATACCTACGACTTACGTGAGGCTTCGGGTTATCATTTGGTCTCGAAACCTGGAGTCTTTTTGCTACGAGGCTTGCTAGTGCCGCTTTGTTTTTCGCTTGGCGAACAATGCCTTCCAATTCCTGTCTGTGTATGTACAATTTTTCGGTGAAAGGGACAATGGTTGTTTGTTCGCACGGAGTGCATGCGGCATTGTTTGTTGACAAAGAGCTTGACCTACATAGATCAATGGACCACCATTGATTATATCCCTCCCTTTCCTATAAATGCGATCTCGGATTGAAGTAATCTTCCCTTATCATTATGTTTTCTAATTCAACGACGACGATGAGGATGTTTGCCTTCGCGAGAGACGGCAACGAAATGGCAGTGCCAACGTGTAACCTCAGTCCTCTCCAGCCTTTTCAGTTACCATCAGCTCGCAACGCTGGACATGGCGGGCAGGTACCACCCGCTCGATTCAAAGGCGCTCGCTCAGTGGCATCGTCGGCGCTCCTCCTCCCCCCAGCTCTTCCCCTCAACCACCATCCGGTTCCGGCGGCAGGTCCGCCAACAACACGCACCGCCAACTTCTCGCGCCCTCTCATCACCCACCAGCGCCAGCAGCAGCAACAACGCCCTTCCAGACCACCACCACCACTATCCCTCACGGCGCATCTCTCCACCGTCTCTGACATTGGCGAGGATGAGGAGGAGGAGGAGGAAGCAGAGGGAGCAGAGGACGACGACGACCACCTGATCCTGGACGAGGACCTCTTCGACGGCGTGGTGCTGGGCGTGGACGCGGGCATCGTGGATATCTTCTGCTACAGGGGCGTTGCGCAGCGGAGGCTGGTGCCGAGGCTGGGGGCGCCGGTCGTGGCTGTTGTGAGGGGGGGTGATGGGCAGGTTAGGGGGGTGAGGGTGGGGGTGGGGGTGGGGGCTAAGGGGAGGAGGAAGGGCAGATGGAGAGCGAGACGGAGAGGGTTGAACCGAGAGAGTGAGAGGGCAAGAGAGAGGAGGGCGTTGGGCAGGGAGTTGAGGTGGTGGAGGCTTAGAGGGTGAGTAGTGAGTAGTGAAGTGGGCTGTTGTTCGTTTGTATATTGATCAGTGTCGGAGGGGCGACGAATATCAGGAACTCCCCTCCTACTTGTGCTGGGAAATTTACGGTGTTGGAGACTATATGGGAGTTTTAATGCGCTCGTCATAGGCAAACAAGCCTTGCTCAGGAACCAGCACAATATGCACGCCTGTCTTTTGGACACAGGCTTAGCCCTCCCCCTTTCGTTGGAAGTCCCCTTTCGTTGGAAGTGATATTATACGTTTCTGGCATTTGAAGCTGGGTGGGTATTGAATAAGCCGAATTAATAATCTTCTAATCATAAGACTCGGCAAAGACATGCATAAGAATCAATGCCAGACTCGAGGATCCGATTCTTGTCACTGCTTGCTGATTGATGGAGGAGTGACTGAGTGAGTGAGTACCTCCGCCTAGTTAATTCAACGGCAAAATCTCTCTCTCCCCGTACGACCCACCCATATTCCAGGTCCGTTCGTCATGTATCATCCCTCACCCAGAACAGTTCACGGATTCTTGCAGCACCCAGATACTTAGGTGTACAAACAAGACTAGTTAGTCAACTGCTAAATAAGGGCCGCAGAACCTCACCCCGCAACCCTTTCCGCATTAAAATCGAAGGACGAACAACATCTTCGAGCACCATCCATAGTCGCCGAAGTTCATCACTTCCACCTTCTTCGAGGCAGAATCCCCGAGGAAGAAAGGGAATCCACCGTGAAGCTCACATCCGTGTAGCTTAACTAGACACAGGCCTGGACCACGGCTCAAGTTCAAACCGAGGTACATAGGTACTCCGCGCAGTTAGTTTAGTCGCCTCCTTTTTCCCTCTCCTCTACCAAAAGCACTCACATCAAAGCCCGCCCCCAGAACCAAGCAAGCTAGGCCGAAAGCCACCTTTCCATGCTTCCAGGTACATGCTGTCTGTATACACCTTTCAGAGAAGCCTACTTACTTATAGCGGTAGGAAGTTTCATCCCTCATGTGTAGGAGTAGGAGTCTTGATACGGGATAAGAGAGGTTGTGTAGAAGCGGATGGTCGCTGAGATGCCTCGCCTCGATATCACTGCCGATGAAAGCGGATCGGAGGAAGCACAGAAAGAGGCTAGAGCTAGGTTGGGATCATCATGGCTCCAAGCTATGTGGGCTGGGCTGGGCGTGTTTAGATCCGTCCTTTGTTTGATGATTTGTGTGGGCGTCGATAGAGAGGAGGATGGAGGCCGTGATCGCGGCTGGAGCGTGGCGGACTAGATGTTAGGGTGATGGGTTAGTCGAAACCAAATCTGATTTCTTTCAAAGAATATCAAAGGCTTTTTACGATCTCGGAACTTTGACGATTATTTCTATTGAGTAATATTAGTTGCGCAATTAAGGAGTGTTTAAAGGAGGAGTTCAATAGGGTTCGCTTATTTTAGGATTTTATTATGAATTAGCAGTTGACTGGTACTGTAAACGCAGCTGTATGTGTGCCGTTGTGCGACCATGTGCAATTCACAAAGGAGCTCTTCCTCTACTTTGAATCGTTACAGTACATTCATGCTTCGAGTGTTTGTGATTACCACAGCCATGTTTTCTGTAACATTTCATAGGCCTAGATTCCAGTAGGTCGGCAAGATTATATAATCCAGTGGAGTCTTTCGCGACGCATTTTCACAATCCACTATCATCAGAGCATTTGGTTGCACGCTTATCAATCCCAAAAAGAATTATTTTCGGATACCTACGCTGGAGAAGTTCCTTAGGGACTCTGATCGGCGCTCAGAAGAGAAGAGCGCGGAAAAAAACGACCAACTGTCACCTATCTAGGTGGGATACAAACCTCTACTTCTGTCACCGTTGATACTGTGCACACGACAATCTGTGGTCTTTGATATCCGATATACTACACACCGTCTCGCGCTTGACCCGGGCTTACAGGCCCTCTTTAGCCAGCATATCCGCAATGTCCAAGTAAAAGGCAATAGCGTTGAATCTGTCGAGTTTAGCATCCCCTCTTCTTCTCAATCAACACCACAAAGAAAAATGATAAAACTCACTTCCTCTCATTTCCCAAAACCTGCCACACCACCCATCGCAGCCTGTTTGTCCAATTAATCAAATCCAAATGACTAACCCCTACCAGCGTCCCTTTATACGTCCCCCACCTCGCACTCTCCACGCTCACCAACCCATCATTCGCGCCTTCTCTATTCTCTACGATCCGATGCGTCTGTCTAAAGGCACTCCACAGACTCGGGTCTAAGGTGGCTCCGTACGAGAAATACCTTACCCCAGGCGCATCTGGCGTTTTGAGGTTGAACTCCTCTGTCATGTACTTGCGCGTCAACTGCTGAAACGCTCCCGTCCCCATGCCGAATTTCTCAACGACCTTGTAAACGCGCGGCACGTACGCCGGCCCGATCTCTTGAAACACGAAGTCGGCGAACGAGGAGCCTCGGTGTGGCGTGGCTACTGTTGTCAAGGAGAGCACTTTGACGTTGTCAGGCTTGAGGCGCGAGATCATGTAGCGTGCGTCCAGGCCACCCATGCTATGTGCTATGATGTTGACGCTCTTCCCATTTGCCTTAGCAGCTATATCCTGCCCGAGTTTGAGGGCGCGTTCTTCGATGCTGCCCGAGGGAGGGACAGATGCAGTGATGACCTCCATGCCGTTGGCACGCATGGCGTCTGTGATGCCACGCCAGTAGTGAACCCCAGGAAGGAGAGTGCCCGCGAGTCGCAGCTCATCGAAGCCCAAGAGGCCATGGGCGAGAACTATCGGGTATTTGGGAGTATCTGTATATCATGTAAGTTTTCCATCCTGCCTTCGATGTTTGTTTTTAATACGGGGAGACATACCGTAGTTCGCTCTGATAGTGGCAAAATCATCCTCGATTGCTCGTCCCAAATCGTTAATCCGCGGATCACTGTCAGTCTTCTTCTGTGGCTCAGGGTCTTGCGCTGTTTCTGATATCTGGCGACGGATGCGGCAGGTCGTGGAGAAGGACATTGGTTTGCATAGGAATGCGGTGGTGAGAATACGCTGCGGTTTCACATTTTGAAGCCATCTCGTGTGTGCGACACGAGTAACTAACATGGTCATTGCTGGTGATGCATTGGGTTTGCGGTTGGTAAGGAAATGCTGCCATGGTGAGAGGAAAGCGCGTTGTAGTGTTGAGGGTTTTCGCGACTGGGTCGAGATCAGTGACGTCGTGAATGCAGCCCCTGCTCGAGTCAGTTTCGAGAGCACGTGACTGACCAAATGAGTAAATAAGAATTCCGAATTGTCACCATCTGTGAGAAATTGAGAAGGGACGGTGAGTATTGTTCGATAGGGGGCTGGAAAAGGTGGTTGGAAATATAGAGCTGCGTGTAAGAAAGAGCCTTTCTGCCAGTCTGGACAAGCGACGTCCCGAGTGACAGCTCCAGCTGGGATGGGATATCTTGTGAGTTGTTCATACTCAATACAGTCTTCTTCCCTTCGCCGAGTCCCAAGCAATCTCAGCGCAAAGATGTTCCTTCAGAGCCATGGTATTGCTCTCCGCTCCCAAAAGATCAACTCCCATCCTATTTCGGTACCTCGATCCGCTCAGGAGCCACAGGCTTGACATCAAAGACCGCCTTCAACAGATCCTTGATAACAGCATCCTGGCCCTTCTGGCCCGCGCCCTTGATTTCCTTTATCTTCGTCTCGGCGTCCTTGCCTGCGTCCTCCTCTGCCTTCTTGTTGCCGCTTGTGTGCTGTGGCCGTATCAGCATGCATTCTCAGACCCTACCGCCCTTCCATGCACCCAAGTCTGGTCCCAGGCCCAGGAATATCCAGTAGTGCGATACATCCGAGGAACAGTTGTGCTGGGGAGACATCCATACCTCAGACTCGAAGGTCTTGAACTCATTCTCCTTGGTCTTCTTGTACGAATCAATTTCCTTCTTCGCCTCGTCTCTGGCCTCCTTTACGCGCTTCGTGCGGTCTGCGTCCATCAGCTCCATCCTTCCATGTCAGGCCCTCGGGTTCCTTACATTCTCTAGCTGTAACACAAACAGTCAGCCATCTTCCTTCGTCAATCAGCTACCTGGGTGAGAAGCACCGTACCTCTTTGAACAATCTTCTGCGCCTCCCTCTCAGCCTGCACCCATCAGCACCAATCCACCCCATCCAGGTCTTTTGCCCTCCGCGAATCTGGCGAAACGTACATCAAGCAGGGTCTGGATACCCGCGGAGTTTTGTGCAGACTGCCGTTCCATTAGCCATTGCTGTCCTCGTTTATTTTGCCTTCTGTTTAATCCAACAGATTGTAATTACGAAGGAAGAAAGTAGCGTACCATCTTGCAATCCTCCTGCTTAAATCTCTGGTATGGTGTTGAGAGAGTTGTGGTAGTCGGAGGTGTAAATAGACTCGACGTTCAATGCGCGTATACCTAGGTTGCTCGAGCACAGCTCCAGACCCCTGCCTGTCCGGCAAGCTCCCTTCGCTGCACTACAATCTTGCGAGCTACTACAATTAATACATCACTCCACGAATTTCTGAACTCAACTCAGAATCTCACCATGCGCCATTGGAACACCAAAATATTTACCTAATTAATATTGACGTGGAAGTTTCCAATCGGAGTTACCTCCGGTACCAGGAAAGAGAGAGAAATAAACAAAGCCATGTCCCGTCCTGCAAAGCTCACCCTCGCCGGCACAACCCTCTTCGCAGCCGCCACCATCGTCTTCGTGCACTACGGGCAGCAGGCCGAGAAATCCGTACAGAGCATCCTTCTCTTTCTTTTCCTCTCCCAAGACATCCTTCCTCCTCCTCTCCCCTTCTCTTCATATACCCATCCATCCATCCATCCCCATCCCCATCCCCAACCCAAATCCCACTCCCAAAAAGACTAACTAACCCCCCTTCTCTCCCCCCTCCCAGGCCATGCACGCAGGCGTCATCCGCGACATGGAGCAGCAGCGCCTCAAGAAGGAGCAGCGAGAGCGCCAGCTCGACTTTGACCTGCAGCGCGCCCTGGAGGCCGAGTACAAGAAGGTGCAGAGCGTGCACGACGGTGGTGCTGAGACGGGGACCGAGAAGCCCAGGTAAAACTAGGCAGCTGCGGACACGAAACGAGCGGAGGGATTACGCTCGTGGGGTATGGATGTACGGATACAGATCTCTCCGCCATCTCTGCTATACTCTACGAAGGGAAATGGAGTGGAGTGAAGTTAGAGTGGGTGGTTAGATGGACGTGGCATTGGCTTTGGGATGGGGATGGGGATGGGTGTACGACAGACAAGGGAAAGAAATCATCGCGTGGCGTCGGAATTCTTCCCGAAATCAGAATCGGATCACTTGGTTCAAAGGTACAAGAGAGAAACCAGAGACAAACGGAAGGAAAAGCAAGTGTAAGGATGTCTCAAAAGAGCGAAAGAGGTCTGTCTCACTCAGCATCTGCAATACCAAAAAAAGAGGCATGCATGTCTGCAGGTAGCCAGTAAACAGAAATATGCCTGGCCAAATCTCTGCATTATCCCATCCTCCCCTGTATTTTCTGATTTCCATCCCAGCCTCCCCTACCCTTCTCTCTCTACCATCATCATCTCGCCAAAATTAACGATCTGAATATCATTACAAGCCACTTTGCATCCACATGCAAAGTGCCACAGAAGGGGGAAATAAGAACCGCTCTGCCTGGCAACCAACCCCTCGCTCGCTGCACAAACGCAACCCAAATATGCAGCTGCAAGCCCGTCCTCTTTGTTCCAGAGGCGCTCATTCTGCTGGCTCAGTTCCCAAACGCCGATATATGCAAAGATTCGTCACCCCTCCACCATCATTTCATCCATGCCATGATCGTTCTATACATTCTTACACCCCCTCTCGCAGCCTCCTAGCGAACTGAAATCCCAGATCTCGTGATGAACATCCGAGCTGCGATATTCATCGACGCCAGTTCTTGGAAGAGCAGCTTCGCGGCGTATGGCATGTGGATTTGCGAGATCTTGGTCTTGTTCTTGCATGGTCTGCATTCGAAGGATTGGGTTGAGAGTTTGCTAATCAAGGTCAGATTCCGTTAAACTCCAGAAGGCAAGAGGAATCACTTACGCGATCGGAGTCATCAGTCCACAGATGTCACACACATGGACTCTGAAGGCATCCGACACCTCAAACAATCTCTCCTTTAAGAATGAAGCGGCTCCGTGAGAAATCATGCAATCACGCTCCATTTCTCCGAAACGCAGACCACCATCCCTAGCACGACCTTCCACCGGCTGTCTAGTCAGGATCTGGAGGGGTCCTCGGGCGCGAGCATGAATCTTGTCGTCGACCATGTGGCGGAGACGTTGGTAGTAGGTTGGACCCAAGAAGACTTGAGCCATCATCTTTCTCCCAGTGTGTCCGTGGTACATGATCTCAAAACCACGAGAGTGGTATCCATGGTTTCGGAGAAGCTTGGAAACCGAGTCCACCGTAACTTCTGTGAATGGCGTAGCGTCTCCCTCGAGACCGCGAAGAGTCGAGACCTTACTCAGCTGACACTCGATCAAATGGGCAATTGTCATTCGGGAAGGGATGGCGTGGGGGTTGATAATCAAATCGGGCACGATACCCTGGCACGTGAAAGGCATATCCTCATGACGGTATGTGATGCCAATGGTACCCTTCTGTCCGTGACGAGAGGCAAACTTGTCACCAATCTGGGGAATCTTGGTTGTTCTCATACGAACCTTGACGAACTTCTGACCCTCGGAGTTGGTGGTAAGGAGGACCTGGTCGACGATACCGTTTTCAGTACTCCTCAGAGGTGTTGATGCATCGCGCTTAGTATGGGCCTTGTTTCGTATTCCAAAATCCTGGCTGTCTGCCGGCAATGGCGCTGTCTTCCCAATGATGATATCGTCTCCTGACACACGAACACCCGGAGCGACAAGTCCGTCCTCATCCAACTTGTCATATGTACCTTGTTTTAGTTTCATGGTGTCATTTCTGTAGGGCTTCTCGAATGATTCCAGGGCGTTCATGCCAATGCGCTTCTCCTGATCGGTATAGGCACGGTAGAACAAACTTCGGAAAATCCCACGATCAATACTACTCTGGTTCATAATGACCGAATCTTCTTGGTTGTAACCGGAGTAACAAGCAATAGCGACAATGGCATTTTGACCTGCAGGAAGTTCTCGAAATTTCAGGAACTCCATAGAGCGAGTGGTTGCAAGGGGCTTCTGAGGGTAATAGAGAATGTTCGCCATGGTGTCCATTCTCACGTCGTAGTTTGTGAGGAAGACTCCCATAGCTTGCTTACCCATGGCAGACTGGTAGGTATTACGAGGAGACTTAATTTGGTTAGCATTACAAGAGCCATGCGATAAACCAAATTACTTACTTGGTTATGATCTGGGAATGGAATAATGCTTGCACATATTCCCAGTATCATACTCGGATGGATTTCGCAGTGAGTCCAAATGTGTGCTGTAGGGTTCACTGGAGCCTTGACACGCTTGTTCAGATCTCCGCTATTATCGGGGCGGATTTTGTAACCGGCCTGGATTTGGCGCGAGATATCCAGATCCTCTGGCGTCATGACAATCATGATCGTCTCCTCTTCCTCGGCATCAACATACTCGACCACACCCTCGTTGATGAGGCCCTGGAAGCCGAAGTAAAGCTCATCCTTGAGCGCCGGGTCCGTGTTAGCATGGAGGTGCTGATCCTCTTCCAATCTTCGGATGTGGTCTTTGTTGAGTACCAGGTTGCCCTTGTTGGGGCTCTCAACGTCGTTGTCCACAACAAAGAGAGGTCTACAAACTCGTCCAGCATCCGTGAAGATCTTGAATTCTCTGTCTCGAATATCACGAATCAAGGAGACTTCGTGAGAGATCAGATGTGATCTTCTTAAGTGCTGGACTGTCTTGACGAGATGGCCCGGGTCGCGATGAACGCCAACCCATACACCGTTGACAAAGACCTTGGTAGCATTGGGGGACCTTAAAGGCTCATATTCCTCCAGAACTTCCATGTTACGTTGAATCATGAACTCGATGATGGGATCGCTGGGTGTACCGACCGTAACATAGCACATGAGTGCCAAGTTCTTCACCAGACCACAGGCTTGGCCTTCAGGAGTCTCGGCCGGACATACCAAGCCCCAATGGGTATTATGAAGTTGACGAGGCTTCGCAATCTTACCGTCACGACCGATAGGAGTGTTCGTGCGACGTAGGTGGGAAAGCGTGGAGGAGAAAGTGTATCTGTTGAGAACCTGAGAGACACCGGCGGTCGAGCTCGCGGCCTTCTTTTGGTCGCCCCAGTTACCAGTAGCCAGCGAGTACTTGAGTCCGTTCGTCATTGTGGTAGCCTTGACACCAAGCGCGAGATTGAACTCCTTGTTGTTCTCAACGCACAACTTCAGGTATTTGTAGACGTCTGAGGTCAATCTGCGGAACAGGCCACGGAAAAGCTTTGCTAGAAGAGGACCAGCAAGATCCAAGCGCTTCTTTCCAAAATGATCTCGGTCATCAGTCTCCCGACGTCCAAGGGCGCACTGAAGCATCTTGTGGACCATGTATCCCAAGAAGAAAGCCTTCCGGGTCTCACTGCCCTCCGATTGCGAGATGTGCGGAAGCAGCTCCTTCTGCATTATGTCGCGAGCATACTTGACACGCTTGTCACGGGTCAGAGTTGAATTTTGTCCACGCTTCCCAATGAAATCCAAAGCGACTTCGCGATCCTGGATGACGAAAGCTTCCTCGATACATGGCTTGAGCATCTCCAGCATTTGGGTATCGTTGCGATCATAGCAGATATGGTTCAAGATGTCTTCGTCGGAGACGACACCAAGGGCACGGAAGACCACTGCGATTGGGACATCGGCTCTGATATATGGCAATGTCGACTTGATGGTTTGACCGAAACCACCTCTCCCACCGTCACCCTTCGAAAAAAGCTTGATGGACATCTGCGAGATGAGGCGCGAGCCTTTCTCGAGAGCACTTCGAATCTCTGCGACATACGGTGTCGGACTGGGGAGCGACTTTTGGAACACCTGCACAATGTTGGCGGCACTGCGCTCTTGTGCGATCAGGACTTTCTCGGAGCCGTTGATAATGAAATATCCTCCTTGATCGTATGGGCACTCGTTCCAAGCATAAAGATCATCCTCGTCAAGGTCTTTCAATATGCAGTACTTCGACTTGAGCATGATCGGCAACTTTCCAATAAATACTCGGTCCGGAGTTGGCTCAATCTTGTCCGGGCCGGCCTCCCTCCCATCCTCGTCTTCCCAAACTAGGCGCGTTGGATGGATCCCGGTAGCTGCCATTTCTGCTTCTTGCTCGTCATCGAGCTCGTTGAGGGGAACATTGCGCTCTACGGCAACCGAAACATTCTTTGTCATCTCGAGGTAGAGAGGACTCGAGTATGTGAGGTTTCGCAACCGGGCCTCCTGGGGCAGCATGACTTGAGTGGTTCCATCGCCTTCTGTCATCGCTGGTCTCGAGAGTAGAACAGTACCAAACTTGATTTCGTATCGACGCAGGGCGATCGGATTTTCGTCCGCAGACGGGGGGTTATTCTGGTCAAGGGTGAGCTGGGAATTTTCTTCCACCAGCTCCTGCATAGTCGTAGAGACGAACTCGTCGAAGGAGTCGACCTGTTGCGAAACTAAGCCTTTGGCTTCGAAGAAAGAGGAGATGACCATCCAGCAGTCCTCAGCAGTAATGCCGTCATCCTCCTCCTCCTCCTCAAATTGGTCTTCCTCCTGCTCGTACTCGTAATCATCCTGGTATTGATCCGCCATCGTAGCGCTCGTTCCAGATTCCGGAATTGAAGGGTTGGGAGTTCGTGATCTAGGGGACAGTGATCGTGGAAAAAGTCGCTGCGCGGAGTCAAAGGTGAGAGGGTTGTCGCCTTTCGCGATTCGAAGCGCGTCTCGCCCAAGAGTCTGGGAGACTTCAAGAACTGGGGATCGCTTGCATCAAGGTCAAGTATATCCTCAGCGGATAGGTCGAAGCGTTGTTGGACGGTTTCTGACGTGTTGTAGTTGGTGCCAGGAGAAGGGTTTTGTTGTTTCCTGGTCGAGCTGTCGCGACGAGTGTAATGCTTGAATCAGAGCTAGGACGCTAATCAGTATTTGGAATAGCGGGGGCGCTAGCTTGAGCCTCATGTGCTCGACTATTCACCATTGACCTCCTCGTTCCTCTCGCTCATCTCGAGTCAACAATATTCTTTTCGAGATCCTGGGTAACTATGTGAACCCTTTTCCGTACCTACATGCCATCATTTTGATGGTGCCAATTGATGTTGGGTAAAGGAAGATGACTGCTCTCTGGTGGCTGAGGAAGAAAGTAAAGGTACGGTACACACTCCTTTAGAGGCCACACTGGATGAGCAAGACGCGAGATTCTGATGCAAAGGTAGGACAATGTCTCGGAGAAAAAAATTAGAGAAAATGCCCAATTAACTTTTCCCGGGAGAAATGCACTCCACAATCGGACCATGTCCCGGTCCCGGTGAGATGATCTACATGCAATTCTCGGCATTAGAGCCACAGTGGTCTGGCATTCCATATAGAATCTTTCCAGCGAAAAGGAAAAAGAAGAAAGGCTGTTTGTTCACTTGGTTCTGACCATATACCGCCAACCTCACCTTCTCCCTCGGCTGGTTTGCTCATTGTTGACATCTAGTCCTCCAACGCTTCCGTAGGAACTCTCTCGCGGCGATAAAAGTCCTCCGCGGTGATCCCAAACATCAGGTTAATATTTCTCTGTGAAATCCACAGCTCCCCTTGCACCATTTCCTCGATCTAAGTGGCGTTTTTATCACCCGGCATAGGGCATCGGAATTTGCATCGTAGTGATCAGGTGCTTCAAAAAGCCACAGGTACTCGCTATACAAACATTTGAAAAGCCATGCAATCGAGCTCTTGACCACACTACATGTTTTCCCTTTAGCGCTTTCTCAGCCATTATGGCTATGCTTTCTCTTGCGTAATTTGGGGCTTGGGTATGGGAGTGATGGCAGCGCCGGCGGAAGCATGGGTCCTGGTTTGCCGTTGTTTCTGATGAATTGGGTGATGGAGCGGGAGGCGGGCTGACTACGTGACGTTTTAGGGTGATTGGAAGCAAAACTGGGAATGGGATTGGTAATTATGAGCCTTGGTCGCTTGAGACACAGCTTGAAGTGGGTGAGGAAGCAATAGGCACCAGGTATAGAAAATTATGCGAAGAAAAGTGAATGCATTTGGAAAAGCTTGGTAGAGATTGAAGAAGCTGCTCCATACCATGGGCATCTTTAGCGATATCTCTGGTGTAGCTTATTTTGCAGTGAACATTCAGCTCGAATTACTGAGCTGACTCGATCTGATGATCATGAGCACATTCTGAAGCCTCAGCCTCGCGATCGCAACTGTTCTTGTGAACAAGGGAGAGATTCTGATCCAAGGATTCCATTCTTAACACTCTCACTGCTGCCTAGTCACGAAAAAGAGGCATCCATCCATCCATCCATCCATCCATCGAGCGTTTTCAAAGTACTCCCCCTCGCTTAAAATAAAACCTCTTGGTAAAAACAAAAACAAAAACAAACAGCCGACCCACCCACACACATATACAAAAAAACCTATTCAAAACAATTGATTCCAACCAAGCCTTCCAATCGCCAACGGAGCAATATATAGAGAAACAAACAATAAGTAGAAAAGCAAAAACCAAAGTGAGAGGAAGAAGCAAAAAGGAAAAAAATCTGGTCAATTTGGGACTCGAACCCAAATCTCACCCAACAACATCCCTCTCCACGTCCTGCAACGCGTTCAAGGAGGCCCAAAATTGCTTGCTCAAAATGGGAGAGGGGAATATAGCGGGTGCGTTACTACCTTTGAACCAATCGACCTTTGCTTTGATGGAGGAACGAACAGCTACGTCGATACTTGACAGGAAAACATTTTTTTGAGCGGGTAATGTTCGGAGGTTTAAGGGAGTTGTGAATTTGGGATGGGCTGGAATCTTGGGGGGATGGGAGGGGTATTACTTGTGTGATTGAGGATAAAGAAAGCTTGATGATGCAATAGGGATGATATTTGTAGTATTAAAAGGTATTGCGTCTTTGGATATTGGGTGGGAGATAGGATTTGGATTGGTAAAAGGGTGATAGTATTCTCAGGAATGCCTGGCTTGTAAACATGAAGTGAAGGAAAATGGCTTAGAGAGGTTAATTTTGATCAATTGTGTCTGCCTTCTTTGATATATGATTTCTGATGATGTTCTATATTCTCCCAAGGCCTTGAAGTGAAAAGGGTGCTTGGGCATGCAAGACAAGCATGAGGGTCTCTTTGGTGGAGCTGAGATGATCAAACTACCTAGGTGACGCTGCGCTAACAGGTTTGCGGGAGAGGTTTGTTCGAGTCTGCCTTGCTCCTTTAGAAGTCTGATCTGCCTTGTTAGAAAAGAGTCTTCCAGTCCGCATTTGAAGAAATTCAGTAGATGAATGGGCAGAGATTAGATGCCATAGCCGTATACATTATGGTCAGCCATCATGTCTGTGCCACTCGTGAAGATACCTTATTTGGAGCTTTCATTTGGCTGCATCTATGTAAAAAAAATTTGGCCTCCATTGAGAGTCAATACTTCCACACCATTCTGTCCTCAATCCATCCAGCAGGGGCCCTTCCAAAGCCACGTTCATTCGGGCAGTCTCCGCATCTATGCATGTCTTTATATCACACAGCATAAACATTCCTCAAATAACCATCCGATCAGCATCTCCAACACTTTACTCACGTTCCCACCTGCTGATAAAGCCTCCTGCCTACCTACCTCATGCAGCTCCAAGCTCAAGATCCTAATGGCTAAGGTGTCTGAGGTATTGCATATGCAATGCGCTGCGGTGCGGTGCTGACATCCTCTCCCGCATGACGAGGCAGTGGTTTCTACAAAAAGTTACAACTACGCTTTGGAAAGGGTGAAGGGTGTGATTGGACAATGAAAGGGGGAGGGGTGGGGGCTTCGTGAAGAGGGAAGAGATATGTTGTAGGAGTTTTTACGTGAAGTTCGTGATTGGGGCCCGGTGATGCAAAGGGTGCTGGAGAGCTTCGGCGACATTGGTGGGGAGGTGCGAAGGCGTTCTAATAGCATGAAGCCCCGTCCTAGCTGACTTCCGCGGAAAGATGGGCGTATATAAGAGCCAGGAAATGCGTGAATGATCAGTACTCTTCTCCTTGCGCGATCGATCTATACATACAGGACATATTCAAGTACTTCCAACTTCGGCTGTAGCAATCAGGACTCAACCATGAGCATGAGCTCCGCAACGAGAACACCCCCCAGATTTCCCTTCGCTCGCCCATCTGGGACAGAGCCTGCTCTTGAGTATGCGCAACTACGAGCCAAGGATCCTGTTTCGCAAGTGGAGCTCTTCGATGGGAGTATTGCTTGGTTGGTAGTCAAGCACAAGGACATCTGTGCTGTATTGACTGATGAGAGACTTTCAAAGGTTCCACGATAAGACTAGAGAAGAGATGATGGGACCAAACTGACGAGAGAGTAGCAAAGAAACCGACCTGGGTTTCCCGAGCTTTCAGCTGGAGGCAAAGAAGCGGCGAAGAACAAGCCAACCTTCGTTGACATGGACCCACCACAACACATGCAGCAGAGGAGCATGGTCGAGTCCGTCTTCACCAAGCAGCATATTGACAGCATGCGTCCACAGATCCAGAAGACCGTCAATTCTCTCCTCGACAAAGTGATTGCATTGGGCGGCGCCGAGCCCTTCGATTTCGTGGAAAAGTTTGCACTTCCAGTTCCATCATACGTAAGCCGCCAAAGTGCTCCCAAGACAGAAGGCAAACATGTACACAACCAATAACTAAGAATGAGTTGACAGACGATCTATAGCATTCTCGGTGTCCCTCTCGCTGACCTCCCGAAACTCACAAACTTTGCGGCGATCCGTTCCAATGGCTCCGGGACCGCGACCGAAGCTTCGAACGCCAACGCTGCGCTCCTATCCTACATGGATGGCCTGGTAACAACCCATCTGGCCGAGCCACAATCAGATTTAATCTCTCTTCTGGTGGCCGAGCAGCTTCTTCCTGGCCACTTGACGCAGGCAGACGTGGTACAAATTGCCTTTCTGTTGCTCATTGCGGGAAATGCTACCATGGTCTCGATGATTGCCCTTGGTGTGGTCACGCTTCTCCAACATCCGGCTCAGCTCGAGGAGTTGAAGCGGGATCCGGAGAAGTGGGCCGCGCCATTCGTGGAGGAGTTGTGTAGATTCCATACTGCTTCTGCGCTGGCGACGAAAAGGGTGGCGAAAGAGGATGTTGTGTATGGTGGGAAGTTGATCAAAGCCGGAGAAGGCATCATCGCGGCAACACAGAGTGGTAACCGCGATGAGGAGGTGTTTGGACCGACGGCGAATGAGTTTGACATGAAGCGTGTCAGGGGTAGCGAGGAAGCATTAGGTTACGGATGGGGTGCTCATCGATGTGTGGCCGAATGGCTGGCTAGAGCGGAATTGGAGATCGTTTTTGGTGAGTTTCTTACCACATGGTTGAGTTCAACTAATTTGGGATAGCTACGCTATGGCAGAAGCTTCCAAATCTGAAGCTGGCAGTTGCATTTGCGAAGGTGAACTATTCCCCTCCGAAGAAGGATTTGGGTATCGGAGAGCTGCCGGTTGTATTTTGAGCGAAGATGTTGAGGAAGTGATTGCACTTGTGCTTAATGCCTTCTCTAGGTAACTTTGAAGCTTAGCACACCGAAGGTGAGAATATTTATAATCTGCGGGTAGCCTTCTGGTTTCAGCATCCGACCTTCGCTCTGCCATAACTATACGGCATCGAGACCATCCTGTCACTGAAAATTCGTTGAAGTGGCCCTGAATTTCCTGGAACAAGAATCTTTAATTCAATCAAATGTCTTGATCTGAATATTGATACCACTAGCATCTCGTCCAGCTTTCATTGCCTTCTTCCAGCCTTGTCTTCGTGGTACGCGTTCGTTCTCTGTCCCCCAAAGCATAGCCTCTCTTTCCTTTTCACAATCACACATCAGTTTTGGTGCGTTCTTGTCGACAACCTCGTCGCTAAGATATTGCTTTTCGTATTCGTGACAGCTTGGGCAACATCGTGGGTCACCTGATTCGCAATCGTCGCAAACTACGAGCACCAGGTGGCATCTCACCGAGCGACACTTGCTCAGCCTGTCAGAAGCACTTCCACAACCGTGACAGCTTGATACTGGTGTCATCGCCACACCTGAATCCAGCCCAGTCGAGCCTCTCGAATCAAACACGTAATTCCTGCCTCGAAATAGGGAGTCCTCCGGGGTTTTTCTTCCCTCAGAAATTTCCTGTTCCACCCATGTCAAATAAGCAGCAATTCCTCCTTCCAAAGTACACACTTTGTCGCCATCCCTCTTTTCCATGTTTTCCTGCAAAAACCGGGCTCCTTTCTCGCACCTGATTCCTCCGGTGCAATAGGTCATGATGTGCCTCTTTCCGAGGCCTCGACCATTGTCCGATCCTCTCATCTGCTTCTTAACATACTGCGGCCACTGCGAGAACCGCCTTATAGGTGGTCTCAGTGCAGGTTCTCCGGTCTTGGGGTCGACGAAGTATCCTATTCGGGATTCGTAATGATTGCGAACATCCAGAAGCAAAATATCTGGGTCATTATGGCACCTCTCATGGAACTCCTCTGGGCTCAAACTTATAACCTCATCCCATTTGGCTGGAAGATAGTTCGTCACGCCCATTGGGGTAATCTCAGAGGTAACCCGCACGCTGGCTGGAGAGCCACCAAATACGCAGGCGCAGCCTCCCGAGGTCGGTTTGAAGTATGCTTGTTGCTTTTCGGGGGTAGAAAGATCAAGTCCTGAGAATGACCAGTGACTTTGACATTTGTACATGTACTCCTCAATTGCTGCTTTTGTGCCCCCAACAGTGATGTTGAAGCCTTCTTTCGCAATGCGTATCTTGCCTCCCAAGTTGAGCATTTGCGTACTGCTTGTATGGAAGGAGGCTAGATGGGACGGATCTCCCGCGAGACCATGGGACGACGCGGGCAAAGGAGGGAAGGCGGCGAAATAGCGGTAGAAAAGAAGTACGAGGCCATCATTGGCATTTGATGCCGAGCAATTACATGTAAATGATACCGGATCTGATGATCCCATAGGAAGGCGTGAGTCCTTCATTTATTGTCAGGTACTTGTACTTGTTATGTACGTATATGTGTATATATATCTATAATATATAGGTATATATATGTACTGATGATGAGAGCACAAAAATTAGCGACGTTGGGAGCCGAGCAGGCGCTAAGCAGCTTTAAGTTAAGCAGGCACGCTAAGCCCGCCCACATCCTTAAGCTTTTTTCAATCCTCTCCCTTCACTCCTTTCTTCACTTCGTCTTATCAAATATACACAATTCTTAAATATATACCATGATCGGATTCAAGTTCCATTTCCTCGGACAACACTCTCTATCTCAAAAGAGTCTGGTATCATCAAGTACCATAATCCAATGACTTTGATTTCCGGTTGATATCTCCTTAATGTTGGAATCGTTACCATTGACAATGATACCTATCGAAGCCGGCCAACACCTTCAATTCATTTCAGTTAGTGATTACAGATTCCAATCAATACCGTTTAAAGCAAGGTTACAGAGACAAATATTCTGGACCGAGGAAGCGCGCTATGCCTGACCGACTTATATAATTTTTAATCTCGCTCACATTCACTCAGTGTTCTTCATTATGCCAAAACTGTCCCCCAGGAAAGGAAAGTTTCCATTACACTTAATTATGAGGAGCTGTGATTATGGACGACAGTCTCCTCTCGTCGCGGTTCCAAATTGACCATGGACACAACACCTCGACCAAACAATCTTCTCCCTGCCTTCTCTTCAATAACCGAACTTCGGAATTTCTCCAGCTTAACAATTCGACCGGTCAAATCAAAATGCCGAGTATCACGAATCTCGGAGCAGCGCTCCACCATACCAATCGATACACCAAGCCTAACTTTCCCATGCCCTTTTCCACGATCCAACTTACCCTCCACTACCTCCCCCCATCACCCACCTCGACCGTCTCAAGATCTCCCCTCCGAACCCAACCCCCCATCACCACCCCCCAGCCACTGTCCTCAAGACCCCCTTCATCGTCCCAGCACCTTCATCACTCCCCTCTCCTTTCCCACCCCCTCCATCCCCCACCCGCGCTTCAAACCCCCTCCCATCCCCCTTCATCTCCTCCACCAACCCCGTAGACCCCCTCCTCTCCCCTTCCCCCCCAGAGCAAAGCCAACCCTAACGCCAACGCCAACTACCGCACAAACCCTCGACTCCACCTCGACTCCAACCCCGCCCCAAACCCGGCAATCTGACGACCGGCCGCCGCGGCAGGAGCGGAAAATCCCTCTCGCAGAACAGCGGTGCCTCATATTCGCCGGGGATCTGGAACCGCACGTGGGGAGGAGCTTGGAGGATCTCCCAGTCTTCGGCCGGCGTGAGGTTGCATTTCGCCGATTCGAGGCGGCGATAGGGGTATGGGGTGGAAATTGGGGCCGTCCAAGGGTAGGGACGTGGCGGTGGTGGCTTGGGAGTTTGGGAATGGGAGGAGGAGGAGGAGGGAAGGGGTGCAGCAGTGTGAGGCGCTGCTAGGCTTGGAGGTGGAGGTGCTGTTGAACCGGGAGGTGGCATTTTGCGTTTTTTGTCGAGCTTAGTGAAGTGACCTTTGGTGAGTTGTACGGTTGGGGTGCTAGAGTTGAAATTAAGGCCAGCAGCACAAAGAGCAGAAAGATCGTTCTAGAGATAGCCCTGACATTTAAAGGTTCCAGGGTCGGCTGGGACTCACTTGAGTCTCAGGTTCAAAGGCGGAATCACACACAGTGCCAACATTGAAACATTTCATTCTTACAATTACAAGACACAGCGGCAATGAGTTTGATTGGCTTGGCTAGAGTAGCAACAATATTTGACATGCCTGCGGAGCAACCAGGACCGTCCCCGATACCAAAACTTTACTTGAAAAAAGTAAAGTATGGCAACATCCCGGCTACATACAGCGACTCAAATGCGCAAATCTTCAACAAGATGGCTACAGTAATAGCATATCCGTGCAACAGCCATCCATTCTCCACCATCTCAAAAAGCAGCAACCACAAAAACATTTTGTCTATCCCCAGGCACATTCCATGGGGTCCAATGAGCCTCCCTCAGACATTGACGGTCGCATGGGCATGCGTTTGGTGCCGCCGCGTATGCAGGTGACATGAAGCAGCCCCAATAGGTAGGTGGTCGTCAGTGGCCAGTCGTAATCGATCGACGAGATCAGGGTACCGGGCGACAGATAGGGCGCAGCAGGCTGCGAGTAATCCATCTCAGGGTAACCGTAATATCGGTCATCAAAAGTCCATGTCCGGAAATTTATACGGACAATATAGATGTCGATCAATCATAGCCACCTCCGATTTGACTCGCAAACGCAGTGGAAACACTCTTTTCGTCGTCCTCAAGGCGACGGCCGCCCAACAAGGAGCTGCTTCCGAAGACGCTGCCTGCGTCGCCGCCATTCTTATAGTCGGCAATGCGACCTCCAGACTCGACGTAACGCTTCAAGCGATCGGACTGATTCAAGCTGGTCTGCTTTTGGGCAGGTTCCCCTCCGCCAAGGCTGACGCCACCTTGGCCAATACCCTTGCCGTCGACGACGCTGCTGGTGGTATCGGTAAGCTCGCTAGCGGCAATGGATTCGCCAGCAACGCTCTCAGCAGGACGACCTCGGCCCTTCTGACCGCTGGAACGGACGCGAAGATCAAGACCGGGAAGATTGGGCCAACTTTCAGGGGCAAACTGGGAGAACATCTGAGGGTAGGCCGAGCCGAGACCGGCGCCTCCGAGAGCAGAAGAGTGAACCGAGGAAACATCGTCAGGAACATAGCCCATCATCGAGCCGGCGTCGCTAAAGTCACGGGGAGCCTTGCCATTTGTGCCGGAGCGTCCGTTGAAAGAGGCGTGGGACATCTGGTAACGCTGAGGACCGCGATAGGTACTCTTTGGGCGGCTGAATTGCAACAGGGAGGTCTGCAAGTTCGAGAGAGGGCCTTCGACCAGGCAATCGCGCTCCTTGAAATGCAACAACAGGTGATGCCACAATGGGTGCTTGGAGAGAACCTTGGGGTTGCCAAGGATGACAAGACCGTACTTGGCACGAGTAAGAGCAACATTGAGACGACGAGGATCGCTTAAGAAACCGATACCTTGGTGATCGTTGGATCTAACGCATGACAGAACAATGAAGTCCTTCTCTCGACCCTGGAAAGCGTCAACGGAGGCAACTTCAATCTCCTTGTAGTTCTCCTTCTTGAAGGTACCGGTGTTCTGCATGGAGCTGACAACGTAACTGCGTTGACCTTCGTAGGGAGTGATGACACCAATGTCTGCGGGTTGAACGCCAGCCTTGAAGAAACGAGTAACAATTTTCTCAACATTGGAAGCCTCAGTACGATTGAGATAAGAGGTTCCGGATGCTGAGATTTCTTCATTGCCAAGGTTAGACCAGAACATCATAGGAGTGTCGCTGACTGGCCATGGGAAATCGACGTCGCAGCGAATGCGCTGGACCATGGTGACACCATTTTGGAGGGATCCTTCGTAGAACATGTTTGAGGGAAATTCGGAAAGACAAGGGTGCATGCGGTATTGGACATCGAGGCGGATGGGATTTTGGCCCAGCTGGACAAGTCGTTCAAAGAGCGACTGGTTGAGACCGGCCTTGGCAGCTTTCTTGTTCATAATGACAGGGCCCAATTGTTGATGATCTCCAACCAAGACGACTTGCTTGCAACCAAGGACAAGAGGGATCATACACTCAGGCTCGGCGGACTGAGTAGACTCGTCAATAAGGACAGTTCGGAACTTCATCTTCGCGAGTCGGGGATCACCAGCACCAACACAAGTGCAGCAAATGACATCAGCATTGGTTAGAATCTCACGCTCAGCACCCCGGGTGAGGGTCTTGAACTTTTTCTCATCCTGACTTGAGAGTTCGCCAAGTTCGCTCTTCAATTGAGAGAGCTTTGTAAGTTCCAGATTGCTGTCGTTCATGCGGACCTGCTCATGGAGAGACAAGAATCCAACTGACGACTGAACATCCTCGCGGGACTTGGCGGTGAGACGGACAACCTTCAAGCCAGTGCGGTGGATTCTCTCACACAACTGGTCCACAGCAACGTTTGAAGGAGCGCAGACAAGAACCTGACCACCATTGACCTTGGCCAAGTGGTAAATGACTGTCGCAGAGGTAACGGTCTTACCAGTACCAGGAGGGCCTTGGATCAGACTGAGAGGCTTCTGCAAGACGCTCTTGACCGCATTTATTTGACTGTTGTTCAGCTCAGGAAGTCCCGGAACTGTGAATTTCTTGGGCATCTGGATCTTCATGGGAGCCGCGGCAACCTCGTGACCTAAAAGCTTGTGGAAAATGTAACCGGATACACTCATCTCGTCGATAGCAAAGGTCTTCATAGCAAATTGCATGCGGTCATACGAAGTGGCCTTCCAGACGTAGTCGGCCGAGAAGTTATGGGTACATTCTGTAGGAACAGATTTATCGTTTCCAACCTTTCGCAGCTCGATGGTAACCTCGTCCGACTGGTTGTTGGGGATCTTGACGACATATCCAACTCCTTCCCAGAAAGGTCGAAGCTCTCCTTTGTACTTGAGGCGCATCTCATCTCCCACTGCCAGCTTGACATCGCCCAACTCAATCTTGGGCAAAACGAAGCTCGCCAGATGTTTGTTGTTCAGACCGTAGTCCCATCGAATAATCAGACCGTCCTCAGATTGCGCCTCCTTTAACTTGCGATCGTAGTCGGCTTCAATTTTGACAAGTGGTCCAAAAACATTTTGGTATTGGTATGCATCGTCGTACTTAAGTAGGACCGGGGCAGGGTCGTCATCGAGTCCAGCGGCCTTCTCGAGATCCTGGATGGTGGCACTAGCATTGTCCTTCCACATCTCCTCCAACTTAGCAATCATAGGGGGAGTGAGATGTCTTGCGCGCAGCTGTTCGGCATCCGTAGGGACCGGTACGAGCCAAGGGAGGAATGAGCGGTCTTCGATCAAAGGTTGCCATCTTGAAATATCCCAACTCATGTCCTTCGAGGACGGCGTAGAAGCACAAGGTTGGCGGCAAAGAAGGACTACGACGGTATCGGACTTCGCGGGGATAAAACCGAGGAGGAAGACGTTCTTGGTGCCACAAATATAGCACTCCAGGACGGTATCTCCAAGGGTCGAAAGCGGGTGGAGCTGGACCTCCTTGTGTCTAGCTCGGACGAGATGATTGACGATGTGAGAAGACGTTGCATTACCACGGGCGCTGCAGAACCATTTCGTGCATCCCAGGCATTTCACAACAGAGCTCGGAGAGTGGATCCCACAGTATCTACACTTCAAGTCAGCCCGCACCCAATAGCATTTGATTGCTAGAACTCACGCGCAAGCGTGAGCTGGGAGCTCCTTCTCTTCATCGGAACCTCTCAAGCCCATCGTCTCCATCCCAGTTGTTGGCGTACTGATCAAGCTCTCAGTGTCGTCATCGTCGAAAACTTCGGTCGCGTTATCATCGTCATCGTCCCTACGTCTGCTGGGTCCCAGACCGCCGCGTCCTCCATACTGTCCATATAGGAGTGCTTCATCTGGATCGAGGGTCGACAAATCATCTGCGCCGGCATTTATCGCAGCAGCAGAGTCGGAGATAAGGTGGTTTCCGAGGTGGGTGAAGGCGCCCTCCATTCTGAGGAATTCTTGTCTTCCGGAGAAAGACTTTAGCACTCAGACTCAATAATTCCATCTACCCAGTCCGGTTTGCATTCGTTTGTAGTCGCAGCTCAGTATCGACGAGCAGGTACGCGATTGAGCCGGAGGGCCGGTTGCTGGAGCAGAGGAGGCTCTTACTTTTTGTTTCTTAGTTGGTGCGGTAGGCTGTTGGTGCAGTGCAGCCTTGTGGCGCGTCGGGTGCGGGTTTGGGTTTGTCACAACAGACCGAGGAATCTCTCAAGTCATATCTTTCCAGCTTGAGTTTACACAGCGTCGAATATGCCGCAAGTCGTAGATATCGAGATGTCGTGGTCTGGAGAATGAGGGATGAGATAAGTGGTACATAACTTATTCAAATAAATCAGGTAGGTTGTTTGTTGCACTGTTAGCGCGGGCCGATCAGCGCCAAGACTCTAGTGGCAGGTCAGACCAAAATTCATATTTCTCCTTCATTCACACGCTGGCGAGCTCTGAGTTGCGTCCATTGTAAACTCACACCCGCAGATATGAATACCGCTATTGTAAGTTGGATCATTCTATATGCTTTGTGCGATTGCCCACACCTGACGCTGATTTAACACCACAGAGAAAACGCCAACGCCAACGTAAAGATTACATCTACCGGCGAGCAGTTACTCTCCGAGATGCCGAGATATCAGAAAAGAGAGCAAAGCTACGATCGTCACTGGCATCAGGCAAACCTCTGGACCCCGCGATTGCAAACGATAAGAGGCTACGCGAAGACTACAAGTACGATGAATCTCGACCAGATTTGAGCGCCAGCGAGGCTTTGGACCTAGATGACGAGTATGCCCAATTATCCGGAATCGTTGACCCCCGAGTTCTCGTAACAACCTCCCGCGACCCCTCCACACGTCTCTCGTCGTTCGCCAAAGAAATCAGGCTCCTCATTCCGACTGCGATCCGCCTGAACAGAGGAAATGTCATTTTGCCAAATCTGGTATCCTCTGCACAAGCAGGAGGTCTCACAGATATTGTTCTGCTGCACGAACACCGTGGTGTACCGACTGCCCTGACATTGTCGCACTTCCCTCACGGCCCCACAGTCTCCTTCTCCCTGCATAACGTCGTACTCCGTCACGATATTCCAAACTCCTCGCGTGGTACAGTCAGCGAATCTTACCCCCACCTCATCTTTGAAGGCTTCACCTCCAAGCTCGGATTACGAATTGTGAGAGTCCTGAAGCATATTTTCCCGCCCCGAGAAGCCATTACCAATAAGACGAAAGTCGGAAGCCGGGTGGTGACATTCAAGAATATTGAGGATAGCATCGAGGTCCGCCACCATGTGTTTGTAAGGACTGGGTACCAGAGTGTAGAGCTGGCGGAGGTCGGACCTCGGATGACGATGAGGTGTTTTGAGATCCGAGGTGGCACGCTGGAGAATAAGGATGGAGATGTCGAGTGGAGAATGAATCAGTATACGAGGACGAGCCGTAAGAAGGATTATCTGTAATCTACGGGCTGTTACTTTGCTTCTGTTTTAGCGCGGAGTTTGGGCTCGGCTAGCTTACTGCCATCAAAACTGGGCTCTGAATATTTGCCATCGGAGCCAAATCAGTATTATGTATACGGGAACCAGGGCTGAGTGGCGAAAGCTGGATATGTCTAAAGTTTCGACCCATACCTCAGTTGTCTCTTTGAGTGAGGGATATAACGAGGCGATGACCGCTGTCCGGTAAGCTTCATTAAAGATCCCATGAAGGACTCTAGTGTTGAGGATGGACTGTGACATTGTCCAAAGGGCTTCAGTGGAGCATATTTCTCTCACAGGGAGCAGTCCATCCGCATCTTGTATCCCCATATTGTCCTTGTCTACCAGGTGATTCAGAATATGCCTCTCCAGCAGCATGTCTCTCTCAGTGACAGCATGCTCTGAAGCTGCTCTTCGCTTCCTTTCTCTGGTGTTTCAAATATTCATATGATAGTGAGTTGTCAATATCATTCATTTGACTGATGCAGAATATAAACTCTGTAATGCAATACTTATTTCTTCAGTATAGCTTATTTTGTAGAAATCGACTCCATCTCTCGCAAATCCATATCTTTCGTATTTCTTCTTTCTTAAGAGTCGTTCTTTAACATGTCAATGATTATCGATCGGCGACGATTTGATCAGTCGATATCAAAACCGCTTGTTCAAGTTCGCAATCGTTATAAAAGGGATGAAATTGAATCCGAATTTCACAATGTCTTGCTGGTCGGCTCATGATAAACTCTATCAAAGTCTTAACATAAACATGCGCATAGGGGTTTTTTTGGACCCGGTATTCTATGGAAAAGATATTTCACTGTAGCGGTTGGCAGCATTCTGCAATAGCGTGGCCCTCTCGCTCCCACGACCCCTTTCAAATACCACATAGTAGTAGGTCAGGTTGGGTCGGGCTATCGGCAGACTAGCATTTAGAATACTCTGATACCAGGAAACATCAATAAAGGATGACAAATCGATATTAGCTTCTACCATTTGCGTACTTGTTAGCTGTTTCTTATGCCAGGTGCAAGGAATCCGCTTTGATAATTGCCACGCCGCTAGTCAAGATAATAAGTTTCTAGCAATTTGTCGATAGATGAGCTGCATTTCCTCTACTGTAGAGGGGAAATTTAGAAGGCGGCTGTCATTTTAGCCTGTGGAGAAAAAAAAACTACCAGCTTTCATTTCCAACGAGATTGCCGCGTTAAGAATACTTTAATCTGAGGGCGGCAAAGGCTGAGCTAACTCTTTTTTTCTTTTGTTCAAATCTCACGACACGAAGTACACGAATAAAATATGTCACTACAGGTTAACAGCAATGGAATATATATGGTATATGGTGTATGGTACATGGTATATCTATTAATGGAGTGATGCGAAACTTCAATACTTATCTTATCCATCGTCGGTGTGGAGAACCCTGCACCGAATTCGTTGCCAGCAAAACTTAAACGGTCACGCCAACTCGCTCCAAAACACTCCCGCCTACCTAAGGAATATCAACAACCACTGAAACGCCGACGCCTAAACACCGCCCACGAGGTCCCTTGAACGCCTAGCCTGGTTGCAAGCATCCCACCTATTGCCAGCCTCGCCCAGCTCAGACCTACACTACAAACAAAGTACATATCTCCGTCCCTCCCCCAAACCGCGTGAATGTCTCATACACCCCCAAGACTACCCGCGAATCTTCATGTCCAACACGTAGCCTTCGCCGCGCCCTACCAACGTCCAGTATCCCGCACATCGTCAAGGGCCACGTCGAGGGAGTCTGTGCCTCACAGTACGGCCAAGAAGAAGCCCCAGGGGAAATTAGAGGCTCCGGACGACTTCCTCAGCGACCTTGACTCCGAGGACGATATGGGGGACAGCAGATCGCCTCTCCACAGGCCTGCGGATGGTCACTCGCATCAGCCGCTGCTGGGGAAAGACGACGAGGATAGAGGGAGGACGGGGTACGACAATGCGCCGGATTCGCCTGGGGGTGAGAGGCCACCTTTCCCTAGGCGGTCGACAATGAGGAGCAGGAGTCCGGATACACAAGCTAAGCTGGCGACAAGGAAGAAATACACTTACGCGGCGTTCTTTTTGGGGTTGAGCTTGGTCAGTTTTGTGATTCAGACGGAGACGGCGGTTTATATCCAGCATGAGTTGGGGTGGAATAAGGCTTATTGCATGCTGTACGTGGCACCTCTGCCCATCAAGCCCAAGCAAAATTGGGAAGGGGACGGACTTATTATGATGAAAAATACTGATGGTAGGAATAGATATTTTACACACGGGTCCTGGTCTTTACTATGGCCATCCCAGCTCCTGATCCTCCGACTCCAAAATTGGAAGATGCCCTGGGAAACCTTCTGGCGTAGACACATCTACCTTGTGCGAACAACCGCACAAATGGTCGAGACGCAGGAACTATCGGTGCCTCGGAACCAACACTCACCTGTGCCATACATGCTCCGAAAGACAGCACTGGTAACTTGCGCCTTGACAGTAGCAGGTGGCTCCTGGTACGTGGCAGTTAACCTGACTTCGCCATCAGACTTGACAGCAATCTACAATGCCTCTGCTTTCTTCGCCTATGCTTTCTCCGTGCCCCTTCTCAAAGAGAAATTGCGCTTGGATAAGTCATTTGCAGTAGCAGTAGCCATCATCGGAGTCCTTATCGTCGCTTACGGAGACGCGGCCCCAACGAAGCACGGCGGGAAGTCCGGCGGTTCAGTAGGCGGTGGAGATCCGAGCCAGGAAGCTAGTAACCGCGTAGCCGGAAACCTCATTATCGGCGTTGGCAGCGTTTTATACGGCTTCTACGAGGTCCTGTACAAGAAACTCGCCTGTCCACCGGAAGGGACCAGTCCAGGCCGCGGTATGGTATTCGCCAACACATTCGGCTCCCTGATCGGCACGTTCACCCTGCTCGTCCTCTGGATCCCTCTCCCGATCCTGCACATCACTGGAATCGAGAAGTTTGAATTCCCGCGCGGAGAAGCAGCGTGGTTGCTCAGCATCTCCGTGCTCGCCAACGCCACCTTCTCCGGCTCTTTCCTCGTCCTGATTTCCCTGACCAGCCCCGTGTTGAGCAGTGTAGCCGCGCTCCTCACCATCTTCCTCGTCGCCATCGTAGACTGGGCATGGACGGGAGTCCCGCTGAGCCCAGCCGCCATCTTGGGCGGGCTTTTGATCATCGCAGCCTTCCTGCTGCTGAGCTGGAGTACGTACCGCGAGATGCGGGAGGAGACCAGAAGAAAGTCGGTTGATCTCAGCGACGAGGACAGCGAGATTGGGGCCTAGAGCATGGATAGAGAGGATAGACTCGTTGTATAGTAGGCGTTCAAGAGGAACAGATAATGTCTTTTTTTATTTACGGAGACCGGAGTATGGAGATGTTGCATCTAGAAGGCGTTTTTTGGAGAGAGAGAGAGAGAGAGAGAATGGGACATATTAGTTCCGCGCAAAGCTCGAAGTCGCCAGGCTTATTATATTGGCAGTTTGATGAAATTCTGTCGGTGCGCGTATACAGATCAGATCTATTTTAAATCAAGTATAATCGCCTGGGCCTCCCTTCTCTTTTACCCTCCTCCTCCCTCATAGGGCCCTTTCTTTGAAGAGTTTTTTTTTCGTTTTTTTTTGTTTTTTTTTCGGGAAGTGTCCGCTTGCCTCAGGCACTCAAGAACACACTAAGTAATTGCCTCGGCTATCAAAATGAGCGCGGAACATCACCAACCTCGAGAGCCGAAAGACTCGGATTATGTATGTCAATGCATGTACCTCTCTATCGATGAATCTCGATCTGTAAAATAATATACCCACTTACAATACTGTGCGCCTGTGACATTGAACGTACTACGTACGTATAGAAGGTTTTCATTCTACACTTTTGACTAACGTCAGAGGCAAACACACGAGTGACGCTAATTGAACGATAGGAAGAAGGGGGAGGACAAGTCAGTTGTTCGTATTTTTCTATATGAGAGACACACGAGAACGATATTTGTACCTGTAAGGATCGAGGCTGTCCGTAAGGCTAGACGTATTCTATAACTACCGAGAAAAAACTCGATGCGTATCATAATGAAATGCTTCCCAAGGATTTAGAAAGAGTTTGCGATACCGCGGAATCAGAGAGACCCGGGGCTATCTAAAAGAGAGCCTTTCCCAAAGTATTTTTTACTCTCGAATATATAGTACTTTATCCATCATTCCTCTACTTAGCACGTCGCTGTACCCCATGAGAGAGGGCCTAGGGTCCAAGCATTGCGTTTTGGCTACCCACCCTACGTACTGTAAATCAATACAGCGATAACAACAACCATAAGTGAAACCCGCTTTTCACCGAAGACCGGAGCCCTCCGTACAAAACTCGTACTTCTAGAGTTGTTAGAATCAGAAAGCGATACATAAACCTGCATCCAAATTCAACTCCAGCTAGGCTCTACATCGATAACAAGACCTTCTTTTCTACTACCCATTCCGTGCTCTGCTTGCGTGCCACCAGCTTCTGCTTCGATTGCAAGCAACTCTGGATCGATAGGGGAGAAGAATGCGTTACTTCTGAATTTCAAAGAAAAAAAGAAGGAAAAAAAGAAGGAAAAAAAGAAGGAAAAAAAGGGATTTGATACGTTAACGGAGTCGCGATTAAATTGTCATAATCGTCGCCTCGTTTAGGTGGGCCTCTTTACATCTTAAGTAGAAAAATCCGCATTCGCTTCCAATCCGCAATCGCTTACGCCAACTAAGACTGAAAGGATGTAAGGAGGCCCACCTAAGCGAGCCGACGATTAGCTTTACCACTGGGAAACGCATTAAATTCAGTGTTATTACGGTAGCTGAAGTGCCTGGCGGTGCCTAAGGCAAGTGTACACTTCAAGAACAAACGGACACTTCAAAAGGAGAGACAGATCAGGTGTGGTGAGGAAAAAGGGCGGCCCAGGCGATTAATGGCACCACAGAAGTTGTTGAGATATGTACATAGGGTATCCGAGTCGAGAAGATTGATATCGGGTACTGTCCACGACAAAGAGGTCGTGGAGCTCTGCGGAGTAGGTTTGACGACAGCCAGGATCTATCTCCATTTGCCTTTTTTCGACCGCCCCCGAACGCCTTACGCCTGTACGGAATGCGGCATACGGTAAGAAGTACTAGTACGTAGTACATATGCAAGATGAAAGAAAACAAGCTGGTAAGGCGAAAAGAAGGAAACAGAAAAAGGGACGTTTGGTGAAGGCGATAGATGATTGATCAGACAGTCAGAAGACTGCTTCCTCATGCACTCCGCTCCGTGTAGAGAAGCACAGTCAGTAAGTACCGAATTCTTCTTTTCTGCCAACGCATCATGGATACGACAAGTGGGATTTTGCCACTGGGAATCGCACTGGGAAATGGAGCTCCGCATCCCCCTCTTTGTTGCAGATAGGGTTACTTGACTTGCTAAAGTATGTTCTTTTCTTGCGAGGTCGAAACAAGTGTTGAAAGCCTATCCGCCACCCTCCAAGTGCAGCATGGTTTTGCGGGATGTACGTAGTATGATACGGTAATCGGCGCATCGAAGCATTTGAAATTCTACTACGTACCTCCGTAAGTCGATCTCGGCTGTTGCGTTTAGATTCGCTTGCTTAACTCCGGTGCCGTATCACCGAAGAAGTATGTTGCGAAACAAAATGCATGAAAAAGAAGTAAGTAGTAGGATGGCGGAATGCTTTGGTAACAGATTACGAGATGGAAGCAAATTTTCCCCGCAGCATCTCCTACTACGTATATACAGAGTATACACAATTCGCTGTCTATGCCGGCACTGACTATATGGCGCTAAAATCAAGGTTTACAACCGCAGCGGCATCGATATACGTTATACGGAGTTGTATGCCGTAACGTAGTGGGGAGAAATAAAGCAGCACATATAGTAGTTAACATGTTGATAGCCCTGGTCTATAAGATCGTCACTTTCTCATTCTCACTTTCGTTCCTTCTTTGAATTTGAGATCAAGATTGGATTTTGTCCGTCCCACCTTTATCAAAGTGGCCAACCGAACCTCGGCTCTGGGGTCGTGTCAACACAGCAAATGGCCTTCGATTTTTTTTAAACAAAGCAAACTCATGACCGCCTTTTCGAAGCTGTGAGCTGGAAACCCAGCTGTCTTAACCCCGATTTCATGTCTCTGACTCTCTCTCTCTCAATCAATAACGCCGAAAAACAGCAGCTTCGGCCGGCGGCGGCATCGATGTCGTCGATCGATGTCTTGGTGGCGTGGATCAACAGCATCATACTCCGTCGATTCAAACTCAAAAGAGAACGGGGCTTGCTAAGCGCCATCCTCCGCCCTCAAATCACATCGCCCAACTGAACAAAATAATTGGGGAACGTAGTTGGAGTTCGGCAGCTCTCGGGCTTCAGATAGAGTTCTGGCGTACTTGTTTTGCGCACTGGCGGTCCTGGCTGCAGGAAAATACCCCTCTAGCGGCCTTGCCCTCTGGGGTATTGCGTAGCTCTTCCTCCTGAAATCCAGCTCATACATATATATGTATGTAAGGATGGAGAAGCCCATCAAGTCCTCATCTACACAGGCAACTCAACGCATACTCTCTCTCACGAACCACTTGCGAGATTCCCTGAACCCCGCCGACGATATCCAGAAGGCAAGAGACACACAATTCGCAGAAATGGCCACAGAAACACCAAAGTTCGCAGGATGGGTGGGTCTCGATAAGGAGTCTGCCAAAGGGAATATGGTGTGGCAGGAGTATGAACCCAAGACGTGGACCGAGGATGATGTTGATGTCAAGATCACTCACTGCGGTATTTGTGGGTCCGATTTGCACACACTTAGATCTGGATGTAAGTCGGGCTTTTTTTAACCACACAACCAAGTACCACTAGCTAACCGTACCACAGGGGGGCCAACTCTGTACGGCTGTGTGGTCGGGCACGAAATTTGCGGAACCGCTGTTCGTGTTGGCAAGAACGTAAAGCACATCAAGGCCGGCGACCGGGTCGGTATCGGCGCTCAATCCGGCTCGTGTCTCGACTGCGAAGACTGTAACGAGGGCAATGAGATGTACTGCCAGAAGGGAATGGTCGGCACCTACAACGGCAAGTACTCAGACGGCTCCAAGTCGTACGGAGGATACGCCGACTTCTGCCGTGCCCCAGCCCATTTCGCAGTCAAGATCCCCGACGGGCTCAGCAACGCCGATGCAGCAACCATGATGTGCGGCGGCGTCACCGTCTGGTCCCCGCTCACCAAGAACGGCAACATCAAGGGCAAGCGCGTCGGCATCGTCGGCATCGGAGGTCTCGGTCACTTTGGCATACTGTGGGCCAAGGCCCTGGGCGCCTCGGAAGTCGTGGCCATCTCGCGCTCCGACTCCAAGAAGGCCGACGCCATGAAGATGGGCGCGACGAAGTTCATCGCCACGCAGGACGAGGGCTGGGCCAACAAGAACTCGCGCTCCATCGACCTCATCGTGTCGACCATCTCGAGCCCGGACATGCCCCTGGCGCAGTTCTTCCAGCTCCTGCGCCCCAGCGGGCAGTTCATCCAGGTCGGCGCGCCCGAGGACGTGTTTCCCCCCTTCTCGGCCTTCGCGCTGATTGGGAAGGGCGTCAAGATGGGAGGCTCCTTGATTGGAAGCCCGAAGGACATGTCGGAAATGTTGGAGTTTGCTGTCAAGCATAACATCCGCCCTTGGATCCAGGAGCGGCCGATGAAGGACGCGAATGCTGCGATTGTGGATATGGAGGATGGGAAGGCGAAGTACAGATATGTGCTCGTCAACGAGAAGCACGCGGCTGAGGAGAAGACGTCGTAGTTTGGTACTATGAATGAAATGTGACTACGAAGTATGTTTACCTCGATATCAGGTAGTGGCAGAATTTGGCGAGAACAGCTTTTGTAAGCGAAGGCGGTGAAAAACGGACGGCCTGGTAGCGAGATAAAACCAGATGGACAAGTAAAATATATTATACTTTCAAAAGATAAATGTTATTTTTTCCTTTTTTTCTCTTTTACTACACAATCGAATTAGCGTACGCTGTAGTATATTTGAAAAAGAGCGTAAAGGGAAGGAGGGTCGCATCGATTTTACCGGATCGGTATTTCGCTTATCGATGGAGGGATTTGCCGACACCAAAAAAAGAAACCTTCCCCCCCCCCAAAAAAAAACAGAGCTCCCGTGACGGACCCCACATTCCTGTACCTTTCAAACTCACCTCACCTACTCAAGAAAGAAAGAAAAAAGACCGAGTGGTCGCGCTGATGGCTTATTGCAGGTATTCATATCATCCCGTTCCCGGCCTTGGGAGGGGGGAACGCCGTAGAAGCACCCCAAAGACCTCGTGGTATAGAAGCTGGCCTAGCGGAAAGAGGAGGGGCACGACACTACTTGATGCTTCTGAGGCTTTGTTTTCCTGACACAGAGGTCTACAAATCACAGGGAGGGTATTCTGTACTTGAGATGCAAATCACCATCTTCTACTCGCCTTTCCGCTGCTGCAACAGCACCTTGACAAGATCGTCGTGTCCACTAGCTTGGGCGATCGACAAAGGCGTCTGCGAAGTGTTGGACGTGCTACCGGCTTCAGTCCCGTCAACGGCTAGCAGTTGTTGCACCACCTCCAGATAGCCGCCGTAGCCAGCAGCATGAGCGAGCGGGCTCCGTCCGTTCCTGTCCCTCTCGTTTATATCAACCAACCCCGACGAAAGCAGCGCATATACATACAGTCTTCGGCGCTCGCCCAAAGAGCGCCCACGAGAGTGGTGTCCATCCATCGGCATCCCCGGGATCAGCGGCGTTGGGTGCAGGTGCTCGGTCTTGAAGTGGGATATCTTGGAGGAATCGCTCGTATGTGGCTGTGAGATCCAGCGGTAGCTCGTGCACGACGCGCCCAGTGTCTTTCTGGGAGGCCAGGTAGCTCTTCTCTAGGAGGAGGAGCACAAGAGTTACCCAGAGAAAGGTCCGGTCGGCTCTGGAGGAGAGGCATTTCTCAGGTAGACCCTTGCTTGAGGCGTGCAATTGGTTCGAACCACGATACCCGCAATACTGGCCCGAGTCACCAACTTGAGATCGCTCTCAAAGCTTCCCTGGGAGGAATCAATCATCAAAAAGTTGGCGCAGTAGGAGCAAGTGAGCTGTGGATGGCTAGTGATCAGAAACTTGACGACGGGAAGTCTAATGTCCCCTCTTGACTGAGATTTACTACCAGCTTAAGAATGCTCTGAAGCAAGCGGCCACGGGTTTCCTCCTCGCACTCATCAATTGCATCAACGGCGACGTTGACCGGCCCAACCATTGTATCGCTGGCAATAGCAACAAATATTTTCCAGAGCTCATTGAAGTTCTGCTGGAAATTGGGTCCTTGCAAATCGTACGCAGCCTTGACATATTTGATAACCTGCCGGCGCCGTTCACCAAGCTGATGGATAAGACCTCGCAGTATTGCAGTTCCATCTCTGCGGGTTCCTATGGATTCGTCGCAGAAAAAATAGCATGGCGAGTTGCTACCCTTCCGCAGCATAGGGGATTCCTTGCCCCCGCTGAGGTATTCCAGGAGGTATGCAGAGAGAATCTTCTTCCCACTACCAGGGTAGCCGCAGATCCAGAAAAGACAAGTCTTCTTTCCAGAATGCCAGTAATTCTAGTGGGGGTTAGTCAATACCCATTGACATGTTCCTTCTACACGACTTGGAAGACAGGACCTTTGCTCAGTGGCATCCGAGGCATGCTGAGTAAAGATTGCTGTGTTTCCGGTCAGTTTCACTCAAAGCTGTGAAATTTCAGCTGCTATGTTCATCAGTGAGCAGATCGAAAAACGCAGATGAGGTAAGTGACGAGATGGTCGCCTCTCTCGGTATTCTGACTCTTGCTCGTACATTCGGATCGATAACTACTTGTCAACTCAAAATTTCCTGCTCGATTTGAACCTTGCACACCCGGAGCTTGAGTTAGCCAACGACTTGCTGATATCCCTCATCGATTTTGCTTGAGAATCGACACATATCCATGTGAGTCGCGTTGATGGTTACGATATGCTCAGTCCCTGTAAATGTGGAAGAGATCTGCTGGACGATCTACTGGACGGATTTTTTCATTAAAAACTCCCCAAAGTTATTCAACAGAGGATATACTGACCAGGTCATTCAAACCCAGTAGTGAAATTGTCGAATAGCCCTTGGCCTCTTGAAACGTGACCACTTGTGGAAGCGACGATCCTTGAGGTCACAAAGTCGAACAACGGACTCGTGCACCACTTCGAGCTCTGCACTATCCACGCGAAGTGCGCGGAGGTTTTGGTCGGAAGAATCGACTCCAGACAAGGAGACAATCCGTCTAGCGATCTCTCCGAGGGCTGCTCTCGAGCTCCCACGATGCGGGGTCCCAAGCAAGAACGCAGCTTCAGTGGATGCGTAGAAATCTCAAAGTGTATCATCGTTGGCTGCTCGGCAAATGGCCTTTATATCGGTCAGCGGGGGCTGGAACGCAAGAAGTCGCTAGCCAGAAAGATCGTACGCATTTCATAACAACGCCTTGGTCCCGTTAGCAAACCCGAAAGCTGCCTCTGGGAATTTAACCCACCGCCTAAAGAGTGAGCGACAAATATAATAGGTCGGCCAGGCTAAATACCATCTCAGCAAAGCGCTCTCCCGGTTACAGAGGCCAGGCCCAAAATGACCTACACATTCCAGCCTGGGTCTCCGGAGCGCATGCACCAGATTTCTTGCATGAGCAGAGACGTTACTTTGGTTTGCAGAGCTACCAAAGAAGTTTGTGACTCGAGAGTCGTATCCCCAAGTAAGGATGCGGGCATTGGGACAATCGTCGGGCAGGAGATCAAGTGGCCAGAAGCCCTCGGCGGGTTTCGCATCACGGCCATCCTGCGATGAAGACCGACGGGAGATGAAATTCCTGATGCCCAGATGCGAGCTGCTGGACGTCTCTCTTGGCCTTTTGAAAGTCCGCTCTCGCTTGGGACTCTTCTCGAAAGTCCGTGTTTTTCGGGGGTGGCCTTGCAGGCCGTGGACGAAGTAATACTGCATTGGCCATCAGCAACTGAGGATTACAAGGACGGGTTCGAAGATGTGTATTGATTGGGGCCTTTCATGCTCTGTTGTTGCGGATCCGGGGTCGTGGACGGTGGTGAACCCGAAGTCGTTGATTTCAGGGCCTGGGGATTGGGTTTCCTGGCGCTTCGTTAGTCGATTAGTGCCCAAATATTGGGAATGCAGGGGTCAAACGCCCACCATCGTGAAGTGATCGGAGTGCGACGTAGAAGAATGAAAAATTTGTATCGAGGGAAAGAGAAAGGCTTCGGGGTGATAATGATATGGGTGACCTGGCGAGCAGTCTTGAGCAAGGGATTATCCACACCGCACACACTCTCGGCGAGCGGGAGACAAGTCTGATTGACCAAACGAGACATGGCTGCATCTACAAGGGCTCCCTCACGCCTATGGTAGAATGCTGCAGTGGGCTGAGAAAATAAGACTTAGTTTGTACTCAGGGTCTCGAGTGTCTTCATCGCTGACCATTTTGTAATATCGAAGGATAGGACTGGCTATCAATACAACATCGCAGCATCTTATCAGATGGGGCAAAACATTGTAAGATCGATTAAATTGTGAACATCGAAAATAAGTGGTATACTTCTAAAATAATAAATTATTGGTCGAGACAGTGGCTTTGGGGTTAGGGCGCCGCCCTTATCCAATACGAGACGTGAGTCAGTCAGCCAGCCAGCCAGCCAAGCGAATACAGCAGAATGACCTCGTGAGCCACGCCAACACTTCAAAACCATGAAGAACCGCAACGTCCGAGAAGCAGCTCTATAGGGCTTTCTTACGGAGAATCAAGAAGCATTCATAGCTTCCGAATAAAAGATGAGAATCAGCGGCGTTTTGCTCATGAGATTTCTGGGTACGAAAGGAAAAAAACCACTTGCAATGACACGAAAAGGGAATGCCCCTTGGGTATTTTTGGAGCGTAGGAGCGTCGTAAGGCTGGCGTATGCATACATCGAGTCGTTTATATACCTATACATGGACATTCCTTGGATCGTCGCGTGACGGAGGCTACTTTCAGGACTTGCGAGTATTGCTCTCCGGGCTCTTGATTTGGGCATGTCATACGCGCCAACCATTAGAGAAAATGAACAGAATGAGCCTTTTGATTTACTGGATCTGTTTACTTGGTGATTAACATTGGTTTGAACAGAGGGCAGGTAGTAGTGGCAAGTGAAGAGGAAGGAACCCGAGCTAAGCGAGGTTTGGAAATGGCGAGGATACCGGCGGGGAGTGAAATGCATACATACCTACATACATATGATTCAGACCATACTTTGAGCGGCAGTGGGAAAGAGTGCAACGGCAACGTCAGCGATCAATCCGTTTTTCGTCTCGGTAGGTTGTCATGAATCGGTATCAAGGATACCCTTCCCATCCCCGCCAAAAGCCGTACTGTCACCAGAAGAAGTCCTCTCTTTTCCCCCTCGACCGCCTCTCCCGTACCGTTTGTTATCGAGAGCCCAACGTCGAAACCTCGCTTGTAATTCATAAATAGTAATTCTAATCGAAGTTGGTATAAGCTACAAGTTGGCACGGCCACAAGTACATACCACCTTCCCTCCTTAACGCCCTCGCTAAGTACGTAAGTCGAAGGACCCCGATCGACCGTCGGGCCGTCGCCGCACAACGGAGGGATCTCCGGGCCTGCATCGCATGCATGTCCGCGCAGTCCACACTGTAATATGACGGCTGGGATCGCCCGAGGCGCGCTTCTTCTCACCAGGCCGATATACATTATGGATATAAACATGTACACAACACAAAAAGAGTGTGTAACTGGTATCAAATATACATACATTTGGATGTGAGAATATGTGTATTTACTTTTTCTGCTTGCCGCCTCCCGTAGAGAGCGGGAGGGCAGGGAATAAATAAAAAACAAAAGAAAAAGGGGACCGGGAAGAAGGCGCGGTAGAAGACGAGTTCCCGATCCCGAACCATCCCGAGCTTGGAGAAGAATGAAATGTCGAGAGATCTTTGAGTGTGTGGCGGAGGCATCTTTTTCCTTTTAGCTTTTTGCTTTCTATTTCTGTTTTGTTGAGACAGAAAGTCCTGTACCTCGGGTCTCAAGAAAGTTAGTTAGTTGCCTGGGTCTCACACACTGTGAACGTACAGTACAGTACAGCACAGCACAGCACAGTACAGTACCGTACAGTACAGTACAGTACAGTACAGTATAACCTTTTCTTCGATAACCTTTTCCTCGGATGCAATACCACTCCTCCATCCGAACCCCTTTCGAAGTAGACAGAAGGTTCTTACGGACAGCAAAGCCTCAAAAAGACAACGTGACCGTCTCATCTCGGTCATGTGATAGATCTCGTCAGGAAGAGTAGGGAAAGGGAGGGATTGCGTTCGATATCACGGTCGCGGATCAGATAGGTACCCTCCCTCCAACGAATAATCAGACGCGATATATAAGCACATATGGATTCAAATGTCTTGATGGATAGATTGCAAACCCAAATAGCAGTATCACGCTGAACCAAGTTTTTCATCATATTCACGATAACACGCAGAGCTACCGGCACCTAAGATGTAAACAACCCGTCTACAGTCGCGTTGGGCCAGTTCAGGCCACAAGGCACGCACAGACATAGGACCGGTAGGTGGTATAGGTATCCATACTCTGTACACACACCACAGAAGTAACGCCGCTTTTGTCCACGCGGGAAATACTAGCGTCTACCTAACTTACCAGCTCACATTTTCGTCAGGGAATCAGGGAATCAGTGAATCAGTGAATCAGTTAATCAGAAAAGAATCGTAAAAATACCTGCCCATTGCCGTATGCAGATATCGCTTCTGACCACCCGCACCAAATATCCGAAAAGCCACAGACCTTCGAATTGTTTGTTCGTAGAGTGTTGCAGCAGCAGCTTTACCTATGAAGCGGATATATAGGCCAGAGAGCTACGGCCCAAAAGAGCTTAGCTCGTGCTGGACTGGACTGGACTGGACTGTCCATGCGTGTACATCTGAGCATTCTAGTTCTCCCCACCCCCCCCCCAAATCTCGCGCACCATATCACCTCACTACACAGCATCTCTCAAACCCTCGATCGCAGGACGACTGACTCTCTTCGTCCAGTCTATTCCCGTCCAGTCCATTCCTGTCCAGTACTACGCTGCATTGCATTGTATTGTATGGTCTTGGGCGACGCCAAATACTTCTCATCTTTCCGCTCTTGTACTTCGAGCAGCGTCGCTTTGCCTCAGCTCCGAACCTCGCTTGGCCTTCTCACGCGCCTAATAAGGTATTCTGGGATCTGATCGCAACCCCTTCCCCTTCGAAAAGAAGAGAAAGTCCGCCGACGACTTGATAATCAATCTGCGCGGCGCCAAACCCCCTCCGCGACTCACACACGACGTGGCGGGCACGCTCGAGAATCTCTATCCAGCGCGATCCCCACCGATTTGCAAAAGATCCGGCCACTTCGCTCCGCGTCAGACGTGCGCTGGCTGACGGAGGAGGTCTTCGAAATCCCAGGAATTGGGGAATAAGGAAGTTGAATACCGTGAATCGCACCTGCGGAGATGAACAACGTCAATATGGGGGGCATGAATGCCATGGGGGGTGGCCCCGTCGGCGGAGGCATGCCGATGATGAACAACGGTGCGGGAGGTGGAGTCCGGCGACCAGTACCCCCAACCAACACCGACCAGCGATCGCAGCTCAACACATACATCTACGAGTATTTTCTACGGAACGATATGTACGATTGTGCGAGGTCCCTGCTGAAGAGTGATCAGCCGATCAACGTCGAGAAGCTTAGCCCTGGCCGCCACGATGGGAGTGACGAGGGTGGTGACGGCGATAACAAAGATGATATCGACTCCAAGCAATCCCATGGTCTCCCAGCCCCCTCGATCCCAAAAGAATGCCCCGAAAGCTGCTTCTTGTACGAATGGTGGTGTCTGTTCTGGGATATGTTCAACGCCCAGCGTGGTAAGGGAGACGGAGTCAGTGTCATGCAATACGTCCAGCATACCCAAGTTAGTACTGCCATAGGAACGCCGTGGAACCGCAAATTGACCATCACTTCAGGGACAATCGCGTATGCGACAAGACCAGCAGCAGCAGATGTTGCGTGGACTGAATGGCGGGATGGCCCAGCGAGACATGACTCAAGCTCAATATCAGCAATTGATGATGAGAGGCGGTGCTACGAACGGTCTCAACATTAACCAGCAGAATGAACTGAGGCACAAGGCTATCCAGAACAATAACAGGAACGCGTAAGTTGGTCTTCGCGACTTGAGGATGCACAGACTAAGATTACCTAGGACCCCTCAGCAGATGATGCTGCAGGTACAGAAGCAGCAGCAGCAGATGCAGCGGGATCCTTCAGACCAAAATAACCAACAGCGACCACAGTCTCCCGGATCGGCTGAAAATGCCCCGTCGCCCTCGAAAAGGCCGCGTCTTGATGGCACACCCTTTAACCCACAGCAAATGCCAAACGGAAGAGGACAAGCTGGAGGAATGCCACAACAGGTGGGAAAACCCAGCCCCAGCAATGCTATTCAAGCGGCTCAAATGCAGCTTACAAATGGCATCGAACCAAGCAATCTGACAGGTCAGCAGTTCCAGAACAACATGCCAGGCGGTCCCAATGCGCAATCCCGAGCTAGCCTTGGGGCATATCAAGCAAACCTCGCCCAGCAGCAGGCGAGCCAGATGCCGGGACCCAAACCCATGCCAAATCCCGGTGGTCCCCAGAACCAGGGCTCGCCCATGATGAACCAAGGACAAGAAAACGTACAGATCGCAAACTACTACAACCCCGGAGATCAGAACCGGATGCAAGGTGGTCCAGGCGGTCAACCTGGTGCTGGCGGCGGCGGCGGCGGGGGCGGAGGCGGCGGCGGCGGCGGTGGTAACCATGCTTTACAGGATTACCAGATGCAGCTCATGCTCCTGGAACAACAAAACAAGAAGAGACTGATGATGGCGCGCCAAGAGCAAGACAACATGATGCCCCGAACTGAAGGGCAAGGAGGAGCACCAGGGGGAGCTGTTGGGCCCAATGGGCAGCCATTCCAACAGGGTGCTTCCCCCCAAGGTCCGCGCTCGGTCAACTCACCGAATCCAGGTGATCAAATGAAGCGCGGTACGCCTCACATGAATAGCGCTGGTATACCATCACCTCTACCTGAAGGCCAATCCCGAGGATCGCCCAGTGGATCTATGAACTTCAGCCTGCCAGGTGGTCAGATGGACCCAAGTATGAATCCACAATACTTCAAGATGAATGGTATGGATCCGAGCATGGTTGGAGGTATGCCCAACGGCATGCGTCCCCCAAGCTCTCACCCGCCAGGATATAACCAAATGACCCAACAGCAAATAGCTATGGCTAGACAGAATCAACAGGTTCAGAACTGGCAAGCCGGACCCAACGGTCAGATGATGCCCCAGCCAGCCCAAGGTGGAGCTCCACAACAGATGGGCACTCCACAGCAACGGGCCATGCCTCCACCATCCGCGCCAACAGCGGCGAACGGCCGGACCCAACCTCCCTCCCCGCAACAGAACCCGGCGCCACCTACACCATCTCAGGCCAACAAGCCAAATCCGAAGAAGAAGACAGAGGCAAAGGATACAAAAGCAAAGGTATATTCTATTGCGTTTAATGGATTTTTTTGTAGAAATGTTGACGTTGATGGCAGCGGCCTGCAAAGAAGGGATCTACCGCCAACCTCAATGCTGGTGCTACACCATCCGCCGAAGCCGATACCGCGGCCACGCCGACGCCAGCCACCCCGATTACCCCCGTTCACCCAAAGAGCTTCACTGGCCAGAACGGCGCCCCTGCTACGAACGGTCAGCCTCCCGCCCCCCCCGCGAACGCCAACGTCGTCCAACAGCCAGATCCTCTACAAGGTGGGCTCAACTTCGACACAAGTGTAAGTTCTCCACCGACAACAGCCCCGATGTCCGTACTGACCACAACAGTTCGACTTCCAAGGCAGCATGGACTTTGCACATCCTGGGAATGGCAACATGGATGTGCTTCAAGATTTCGACTTCGACTCCTTCCTGCACCAAGATGCTGAAGATCAAGGTTTCAACTTCGACGGGCCTGGATTCACTATGGATGGCAATGAGGTTGGTGCAGATTGATCCGTAACGGGATCTGATCTCAAATGGGCGTTCATCAAGTGTTCCTGGAGTTTTTTTGTTCCTAGCATACCTCACGGCGTTAAAGCGGAGCATCATCATACCACCTCAGCTGTGTATTTTCGAGGTGTTATTGCGAAAATAGTGTCAAGGTGTGGGCTTTGGGATATCCCCATGGTTAGAAAGTGGCGGCTCGCTGGCCGTCCACAAAATTTCCGTCTTCTACCGCTTGCCTTTACGTTCCGATTTTTTTTTCACATATACAGATGCGAATGCGGATAGGTGGAGACGTATGGAATGAGGGCATGCTTTTCGTCATTATGTTTATGTTTCTTGTTCTGCTTCTTGACTTGAAAATTTGGATTTCGGACGGTCAAGGCGGGCCGACGGCATTCCTACGTACCCAATACCTACTGTATCTTTGTTTGTGTAGTGGATACATCGGAGTCCGGGAGGGGTGGCAGGGGTTGGTGTGGTCTCTCGCTCGCTCTCTCTGTGTGTGTGTGTGCTCAAGGGAATGGAGCCTCTTTCTTCTGTCGATGTTTTTATGTTTATGCGCTGGGGATGGAAAGGGAACGCGGGAGCAGGGGGTGGGAGGGATCGCTTCGCAGATGAAGGATAGCTGTGTATTTATCGTTCAAGAGAGGGTGAAGAAGGAGGAAAGGTGGGAGGAGGCAGAGAGGTATTTTGAAGGAGGGAGGGGGTGGGGGGACTCTGCTGCTAATGTGGGTTTCTTCTACTACTAAGACTTGGATTTGCCAATGGATGCACGATATTTATGTTCATTCGGGGTTTTTTTTTTAATTTGTCGCTTGGTTGGTTCTCGCTTGCTCTATTGTAATCAACAGATGAGGTGCAAGTTGGGTGTGTATGTGTGTGTGTGTGTGTGTGTGTGTGTGTGCGCGCTTTCCGTTGCTATGCCGTCTGGGGGGCTTGTTTTTTTTTCTTTTCGTTTTCGGTTTAGGGCCCGAACTAATAACGAATGTCTAAACAAGGCGGAAGTTTCACCTTTCTTTTTGCCCTGTGTATTTATACATATATATACACACATATGTCCTCTCTCTCTCTTTGTATGAATCTTTTGCTAGATGTGTGTGTCTGTATGTGTGTGTTTGTAACTCGTGAGCACCGTTCTCTCTGTGCCCGTTAGTCCTCTTGGTGCCTCTTTTTCTCTTTATTTTTTATTGTTTATTTATTTTGTTGGTGCGAAAGGGGAGTGAGTAGCTTTTTCGATGTTCGTGAATTCTTGTTTCATTCCTAACACGGCTGTGCTCATGGGATGAGGGGGTTTTGGGCTGTGTTTTGTTTGTTTTGTTTGTTTGCGTTTTTGAGGGGGGTTTGGGGGTTTGGTGCTTGGAGTTTGTTGCTTGGAGAGGAGGGGGAGGAGGGGGATTGATTGATGGATTGCTAGTGGGGAGGAAAAGGTATTTTTTGTTGGGGATTTTCATTCGGATTGTTGTCTTCTTTGTCTTCTTCGTCATAAGCATCATAAGCAGGATTGGTGCCGGTCGGTCACTCTCGTTAGACCCCCTTTTTTTTCTTTTTTTTTTCTTTTCTTTTTTTCTTTTTTTTCTTTTTTTTTTTCAGCTAAGCTCGCGTGTTCTGATTCTTGGCTGTGGACGTCGCTTGTTGTGATTCAGTTGGTCTTGATAGTATGATTAGATATCAAGATTTACTTGTTTACGAAGTGCGTACGTAATCCCTCCATCGTATTTGCTTGCATATTTTTTACCTTCTTGGGTTTTCTTTCCTTTTTCTTTTTCTTTTCATCTCATCCCCACTCACTTCGATACAAACCCTCGACGTCAAATTCACGTGCGCGCCTCATACGCGCTATGCTCACTCATATACTTGCAGTGCTGGTAGTGTATGAAAGGGGTATATAGGTAGGTGTATATGTGTGCACACTGGTTTCTCGTGGCTTACTTTCACATTTACATTCACATTTACATTCACATTTACATTCACATTTACATTCACACTTGCATTCACGCACCAGCTTTAGAAAACAGAAGGACGCTTTTAATATCGATCTTACACCTACACTTACCGCACAGCATACACCATACAACTATTTACAGATTCGAGCCTCACACTCACCGCATACCACACCTATAGCAAAACGTCTTCACAACTTTGCAACTTGAGTGTCAGGCAGCAGTAATGGATCGCGACGCCTGTGAAGTTCCAGAGCTGCAGGATCTCGCAGCTCCCTGGCACGCAGACACCGTGCTGCAGCTGCGCACTGGCCGGATGAAAGCCATGCGCGGCCTGGCTATCAAGACGGGCATCGACAAGGAGGAGAAGGAGGGGAGGCTGTGGTGTGGGAAGATGGGGTTGGAGGGGGATGAGCATGATCTTACGTTTCATGGGGGCGGTATGTGGTTTTCTTCTTTCCTCTTTTTTTTTGTCTTTCTTTCCTTTTCTCTCTCTCTTCTCTCTTTCTCTTTCTCTCTCTCTTTTTCCTCTGTGTTTTCTCTCTGTCTTCTCTCTGATTGCTTTGACGCAAGGGGGAGAGGTCACTCGTGGTCGCATTTGAGAAAAAGAAAGGGAGAGCAGGGAATTGCATTTACTCATTTTCTTTTCAATTTCAAGACTCTGAGCCCGGTTCCAGTCAAATAGCTGACGGCGATATCTCAATAGTTGACAAAGCAGTACACCAGTACTACCCGAGCCACTATCCTCTCTGGCGGTCGGAATACCCGACCGCTGGCTCCCTGGACGCGTTCGTCCCTGGCGGCTTTGGCGAGAACATCGTGGCCGCCCACATGAACGAGCGGAACGTTTGTATCGGCGACATCATCCGGGTCGGGGAGGCGCTGCTGCAGGTCAGTCTTCCGCGGCAGCCGTGCTTCAAGCTGAACCACCGCTTCGGGATCAAGGGCTTTGCGAGCCAGACGTGGAAGAAGAGTCGCACGGGGTGGTACTACAGGGTCCTGGAGGAGGGGTGGATTGCTGTTGGCGACAGCATCAGGCTGGTGGAGAGGCAGTGGGAGCGGTGGACGGTGGAGAGGGTGCAGGAGTATCTGCATCGGAATACGGGGGATCTTGAGAAGCTGGAGGAGGTACGTTTTCCCCCTCGCTCACTCCCCCCTTCCCCCATTTCGTTGAAGTTCTTTGGATATTTTGGTTTGGGAGGATCCGGATCTCAAGTGTCACACCCTCCTCAGCTAACCTAGGAATACCCAACAGACGGGCTGATGAAAAGCATAGCTAGAGAAAATACCAGAATTCGGCAGCGAGTGCAAGAAGGCCATCCGACGCTTGATCGCTGCACTGAAAGCAGCCGAGGCCTCCAAAACTGCCCCGAAAGAAACATTCGAGCATTTCACGCTCGTGTCCAAGAAAGCCGAAACCCCCCGCATCTCATCCTTCACGTTCGCTAAGTCTGGAACAGAGCCAGAAGGAGAGGCTAGTGCCATCAGTCCTGGATCTTTCGTGCGTCTACGACTCCCTAATGGACTGCTGCGCTCATATTCAGTTGTCAGCGGGACGAGTAGTAGGTTTACGTTGGGCGTAGCCCTCGACGACCAGAGTCGCGGTGGCTCAAGATTCATGCACGAGACGCTGAAGGAAGGCGAGAAAGTGCTAGTTGGCAAGGTTTCAAAGAGCGTGCCGAGGCCTGATGGAGCCTCGAACCACGTTTTCATCGGGGGCGGGATTGGGATCACGGCCTTCTTGGGACTGATCGACATGTATCGGCGGATCAACTATAGCTACACCCTTCACTACGCCGTCCGCTGCGAAGAGGACATACCCTTCAAGGTGGAGATGGGACGCATGGGAGGGAACGTGGTGGTGTATGATGGATCAAAGGGGGCGAGGATGGATATCAAGGGGATTCTGAAGGCGAGGACGTGGAATTCGATGGTGTATGTTTGTGGGCCGCGGCGGATGATTGAGGATGCTCAGAGGTGCGCGCGAGAGCTGGGGATGGGGGAGAGGGAGGGGGAGGCGGAGGACGCCGAAATCCATTACGAGGCTTTCCAAGCTGACTATACTGGTGATCCGTTTTCGGTCGAGGTTGGTGGGCAGGAGAGCAGGGTGTTGGATGTGCCGGGTGAGAAAACCCTGCTGCAAGTCTTGAGGGAGGAGGGGTTGGAGATTGACAGCAGCTGTGAGGTGGGGAGGTGCGGTGCTTGTAAGGTCCTGGTCAGGGACGGGGTGGTGCAGCACAGGGGGAGTGCGTTGAGCGTGGAGGAGAAGCGGGAGGGCGCCATGCTCAGCTGTTGTAGTAGAGGAGTGGGGGTGCTCCGGATTGAGTGGTAAAGGGAGAAAGCTAGTGGCATGTAAGACGATGTGTTTGTTTGGCCTCTCGCTAGACAAGCAGTGATCAATAACGAAACCTTCGCTTAAGCCGGCCGATTTTCAAGAGCCGTTTTGAGAGCTGTCTTACGTTTGACTTTGAAACGCTACTCGTGATCAATACAGCTACTACATACGTAGTATAACCGTAAGCAAGCAAGCATGAGCGTACCTTTTTTGGTCACTTCATGAGCGTAAGTTATGAAGATGACGCGTACAGCCTTTAAGGCCCTGGCCCCAAAGCTAGCCCTCCCTAGAAGACATGCTCTGTTTGACATGTACCGTGACTCTGTATGTGATCCATTCTCGTGGCTCTTGCTTGTATCATGACGAACCTCTGGTATTACGGTATCTTAGTATACCTATTCATGCTATACCGACGTTGCTAGTACCGCAGACCAAGGTCGCTTTTCTACGTTGTAGCGTCTTGTTCATCCCAAAACTGCGAACTTCTTGTCTTAGTTGGGTTCGGAGGCTATTGGGCGACGGTCTACGTGCGTGCCGGCCGATAGACTACCGACATATTTCATGCCCGTAAGAGCCTTGACCGCTGAGTACGGTTCAAGGGTCTTGAAAGGCTAAAAGTCGGCGCACTGACTACTTTTTAGCAATGGTTCTACTGTATTAGACGCCTTTGGGCGAGACCTAAGTTTTCATAATAAGTGCATGAGCAGGTTTTATCGTTCGGCTCACGCGCCACTTTAACGTCTGTTTGATGCCGCTTGCGCTTATTTTATACATGACTTCATGGGCGATGTTTGTGGATATCTACAAGATATCTACCGGAGTGAGATTCAGATGTTGATCAAACGCAGATTAAGAGAAGAAGAAAACGAGCCTATTCTCACCGCTGAAACTTCGACAGAACAGAGTCTGTTTTCATCATCGATTACTGAGGTCCAACGACATTCTGATGATCTCTCTCTCTCCCTCCCCAATATATATATATAGATATATATATACACACATTGAAATAGGGAGCTCCAGGCCCAATTCGATTCGTGCAAAACTTTGCCTTTGAATTATGTATTTCGACCGATCAGGGATAGGAGGAGGGAAGGGGTATGATTATCTTCATTTGTTTACCCCCCCCCCTTTGTTTTTAACGAGGTGATATTAAGCGAGCGCGCTTGCACTCCTTTTCGTCTAGTAACCCATCAGCAGTAAATTCTACCATGACAACTCACCAGGAAATCGCACGGCCCGCTTTCATAATCTGCTATTGCCAGACAAGAGAGAAAAATTACACCTTAATCCGCGTTTCATTTGCGATCAATATTTTATAACGCAGTCAGTCACTAAGTAGAAGTATCACCCGTTAATGCACGCCAGACTCCACCCCGGAGTTCCATCAAAAAAAAGTTAGGTAATAACCCGGCGAAACAAAGTATATACACTGTATAAATGAGGTAGAGCTAGGCTACAATTGCGGATTTTTCCGATTTAGATTCGTAAGATTCAACTATTCCAAGAGGAAATAAGTGGCTAATAAGGAAGAACTCACAAGTCATTTAGCTAGCTACTAGTGGTGTTGGATAATCGTATTTGTAATCGCAAACCCCGATTTAAGGACTCAAATCATCATCAAACTGTGGTCCACCGAATCGCAAGCATCAACTTATGTTTACAGCATACAGGTTCCTGTTATCTCGAGATAATACAACGGACGAGACTTCGTGAGAGAACCATGAAAAGTGAACCAAGACTCCGGGAAAATGTCTTTGCCACAAGAAAAGAGTGTGGCCGACGCATAACGCGTTAAAGTTGGCCATGAGCGTAAGCAATCGTTTCCATTCCCTCGTCACCTCGCCACGTGCTGCGTGCGGGAGCTGCTTAGCCACTGAGCTTCTATATCATCTTTAAGGCCCGAGCTCAACTTTGCCGTTTCGGCACCTAGATGCGGATCCAGATCAGCCACCGCGTCCGCCTCCCTCATCTCGGCCGCCACGCTGCCGTCCGTGCTGATGGTGTCAAAGCCCCCCTGTTGCTCAATAGCCGCGATCTCTTCAACCGCGAGAGCGCGTTCCTCGACCGCCTGCGCAATCTCGTGATCGGGGTTCTGCGTCGGATCGTTCCCGGCGTCTCCGTCCTGACCGGGATTTACCATCTCGTACTCGAGTATCTTGTTGAGCTTGTAGAAGCCAACGGCGAGGAGTGTGCCGATGAGCGGGCCGACCCAGTAGATCCAGTGCTCGGCATCAAAGTCGTGCGTAACAGCACATGGGGCGAAGCTCCTGGCAGGGTTCAGAGAGCCGCCGGTGTAGTACACAGCTACTAGTTCGGAGATGAACAAGGCGAGGCCAATGCCGACGGGAGCTACATGTGTCGCGCGGTGCTTTTCGCCGGCCAACATGACAATGGTGAAGACAAGCTCGGCGGTGCAGAGGGCTTCGATGAAGATGCCTTGAGCTACGGACGTCCCTACTGCGAGGGTGGTGCGGACGTTGAAGACTGTGGGGAAGAGGACGGAGACAACTATGCGTTATCGGATAGTGAGTAATTTTCCGATTGAGAAAGTTCCAGGAGCAGCGCAAGACATTGTGGAATAGGAAAGATTGGGCTCCTCAACTAACGACGTACTGTAGGCGGATAAAGTGGCACCTGTTAGTTGCGCTATGAAGAGGAGGATTGCGCGGAGGGGGGAGAGGGCTTCGAGGAGGGCGAGGGCAAGAGTGACCTTGAGAAGAGGGACGATGTTAGAGTTCGAAAGTCGGTATGAAGGAAGGGAACTGGACGCTTACTGCAGGGTTGAAAAGACCGCCACTGATACGGAAGAAGATCCATGCATTGACCATAAGACTGAAGCCAAAACTGAGAGCAATGTATAACAGAGTAGCGGGGTTGAAACCAGTTGCGGAACCGGTGGTACTTTGATTGGAAGAATCTCCAGCTCCGATATTGGCGACTTGTGTACCAGCGAATGCAAAGAACAGGAACATGAACGTCCCGACGAACTCGCCCATGAACGCTACGGTGTCTGGGGGTGTTTTTGTTAGCAGCTGGTACAGCTGGTGGGAGACAAAGAGACCTACGGTTCTTGGAATCACTCTGCATCCATTTGGCCCATTTACTAGTCACTTTGATCGGCACGATGTCTGATTTATGCTTCTCGTGCAACTTTTGCCTGACCACCCTCCTGCGATAGTGCGGGTCTTGACTTCTATATGTGGTCCTATCACCTTCCGAGTCACGGGAGCTTTCGTATCCCCCAATTGGAGCATTATAGTTGTGATTTCTTCTCGATATGCCAAGGCTGCCGTTGTCTCGTAGAGGTGAAGCCCTTCGCTGCCTCTGTCGAACACCTTCGGGATTCTGGTTCCTGATCTGCGGTCCGGCAACGCCGTTTTGGGGAGCCGAGGCGGCTTTCTCTAAGTTGGGGAGGGTTATTGTTCCCGAGGAATTGCAATTAGTATTGGCAGACATATTGCCTATGATTCGACTGCCTGTGGCGATCAATTGAAGTAAAGAAGATCAGAGTACACCAACGATAGATGAAGACCATACAAGAACAGAGTATTGAAATTATTACATTCTAGAAGCATTAAATAGTAGGAAAAGAAAATAGCAAAGAAGAGGAAAGATCGTTCATGAAAAAAGCATCTGAGCTTGCCGCTTCGAATCACCCTCGGCTGATGATGGCATGGCTTGCTTAGGCGCGGATCTTGCCTGATGAGCGCACCGGGCTTGCACTACCACGAGCACCACTTCTCTGCGCCTTCGAATTGACGGACCGGGATATGAGGGATTCCATTCCAGATCACGAGGCGTAGCCTCAACTTTAGCATGTTAAGAGAAGCTAGACAACCAAAGGACTTCAGGAGTTGCAGATTTCAAGAAACACGTTATGCTCCCGTCAACGATCTGCGAAAACACACCGTTCGGACGAAGTAATCGGGCACTTGCAACTCGGGCACTACTCGATAAAATGATGTGGCAAGTCTTTCGAGTGTCTCGGAGGCTGCTTTGACAGCATACTCACTCGAGTAATGGACTGATGGCATTGACTTTGTTGTCATGCGCTATGCCGGGCGGCGGAGTGTGTCTATTCTCTTAGTTCTCCATCTCTCAGAGCGAAAGTTGAACAAAATCTGCCAGAAATTCCCTAACTTCCGTGGGTTTGTGTGGGCATTTGATCCAGCTCCAGCCGAATACTGTCTCCGTGAGCCTTGTCATTGCGTATTAGCCAAAGGACACTTGCTTTGATGCGCTTGAGAAGAGGAAATAAAGATGGAATATGTTTCTCTCACTGGTAACACATTGGACGCAACAAATAACCCACCGCAAAGCAAAGCCTTCTTGATTTCGGCCTCCAAAGCGCCAGTATGCCCCCGAATCCCCTAAACGCCTGACTCCGTCCCATATGCACACCCCCTCCCTATTCATCATCCACAGGCATCTCGTCGTCAATGTATCGTATCAACGATATCCTCATCTCCGTCGAATCGTTGCCCCTCAACACGTCACTGATGAAGTGCGCTTCGACCTGCATCTGCACCATCTCCAGCGCTCCCCTCAATATCCCGCAGAAGATATTGCAATACCACAACTCGCCTTGAGCCCGTCCGTCATCTGGTAATTCCACGAAGTCTGCTAGGGGGTTCTCCTCGAATAAGAGAGAGAACTGTTTGTTGTCGCTCGTCCAGTTCGTGACCGTTGGTGTAATGTTCAGGAAAATCTTGAATCCAACCTGGTCCAGTCTATCAGCTCAGCTCCCTCAGGATAAAATCTGACCTAGGAAGTACCTTTGAAATCATCTCCGCCGTTTCCTTGAAATTCGAGCACCGCCTCATGGTATTCGACTTCGCGAGATAGTCCTCGATCAATCGCAGCCCGATATTGTAACCCATCTTGTCGAGCTGCTTATTGACCTCCACGTAGTCACTCTCGTAGTCTTTGCATAGTTGCGCGACGATGGTCCCGTATGTGAGGGTAACGAGCTCAGCGTTGACTTTGTCTACTCGACTCCTAGGTTCGGGTCAGACTGAGGGCTGCGAAAAGCTCAACTGTACTCACTTCCATACTCTACAATTATTGTCAGTATTGCTACTTTGTTTTGTTAGGAAAACCTACTCTTCTCCTATCCGTGCAGCTTTGGAAGACATGATGTATTGTTTATTGCCAATCGTTTGTTTCACAAAATTCGAAGGGCCTTAAGGAAACACACGAGGCAGGTTTGCTGTTCGGAGAGGCTGCACGCTAACGTAGTGAAGGCTACCTAAAAATTCCAGAGCTTCAATAACGCAACCCGAGACAGAACAACCCCGCAATTCTCGCCGACGTACGAAGATTCCAATCCTGACGAAGAGCGTCAGGACTACGATATCATGGCTTCAGAAAATAGCACCGCGTCGGGCGATTTCGGCAACTCGCAGATGGTGGTAAAAAGTGCGAATGTAGGGGGTAACAGCAAGGCTGTAGCGGTGGTCAATGGAACCGCTGCGAATGGCGCGCTCATCCAAACGGTATGCTGTACTCGTTCTATCTTGGACTCTTATGCTGAAATGGGTTCTAAAGGATGGCGACTGACTGGCTTGGTGTAGGTGCCGCGAACGACGGGTCTACAGGCTCCTGTTATGGAGTTGAGTGGGCATTCCGGAGAGGTCTTCTGTGCAAAGTTCGATCCGAATGGAAACTATATTGCCTCTGGATCGATGGATCGTACAATCAGTGGGCTTTGGACGTTCCCAGTTTCCTGAATTGCTGGCTAATATATGGTAGTGCTTTGGAGAACATTTGGCAATTGCGAAAACTACGGCACTTTGACAGGTCACAAGGGCGCGATTTTGGATCTGCATTGGTCGCGGGATTCAAGAGTGCTGTTCTCAGCTTCGGCAGACATGCACTTGGCCAGTTGGGATCTGGAGACTGGAATGAGGATACGGAGGCATGTTGGGCACGAGGAGATCATCAACACCATGGACATCAGCAAGAGAGGAGAGGAACTGCTCATTAGTGGATCGGATGACGGATACATTGGAATCTGGGACCCTCGGACAAAGTCAGCGGTCGATTTTATCGAGACGGAGTTCCCTATCACAGCCGTGGCACTGTCGGAAGCTGGAAACGAGCTCTACTCAGGAGGCATCGACAATGATATCAAGGTCTGGGATATGAGAAAAAAAGCTGTCGTCTACTCTATGCTTGGCCATACCGATACCATCTCTTCTCTTAGAATCTCACCGGACTCTCAGTTGCTACTATCGAACTCGATGGATTCAACAGTGCGGACCTGGGACATCCGACCATTTGCGCCTACAGAACGACACATTCGAACCTTTGATGGGGCACCTTCTGGTATGGAAAAGAATCTCATTTCGGCCAGCTGGAACCACGACGGAAAGAGAATCGCGGCGGGTGCTGGTGATGGGACTGTTGTTGTGTGGAATAGCGAGAATGGGAAGCTTCTGTACAAGCTGCCTGGTCACAAGGGAACGGTCAACTGCGCTGAACTCTCTCCTTCGTCTGATCCTATCAGTAAGTTTTCCTCTTGAAAAACAAATTTATGAGTGGACAAGTGTGGACACGTCTAACATCGCCAGTCCTCTCTGGCTCCTCTGATCGAAACCTGCTCTTGGGGGAGTTGAAGTGAGACTAGACTGTCCATGGCGAGAATTACCAGAACATTTACTCTAGGCGCGGGTGTTCGAAGCGACCGTTAAGTGGTATAAAAATCTCGAGGAAATTTTAGGATAGGAAGGTGTTACAGTCTAGGGATTCTGGGGCGGAGGCGTTTTACACTGGCTCTCGTGATGAGTGAACCATTGGCAAGGACGGGCGAAAGGGAAACGGCAGCGTTTACACGAGTGCCCGTCGGGCCCGAATTATTCGCCGCGCAGCAAAAATGTTGGCGGTACATTAGACGGTTGATGGTCAGGAGAGAGTTGCTCGAGCTATTCGCCTGTGGCTGCAACATGCTGTTCGACTCAGACCAGGGACAGAAAATACAGGCACGGGCAACTTGCATTAAGGCACGGGAATACCTACCACCGGATGTGAAATGAAACAATCAAACAAGCAATCGCCAAAGGTTGGTCGAGCAACCTAAGCTCATATACAGAGAGTTGTCGTGGTTATATTTACACACAGACAAGTGATGTGAAGGTCCCTTGGCTGGAGTTCAGTTACCGGCGACGAGCCTTTCTTCGGAATTTGTGGTGTACGCCGAGGCTTCTCCGAGCGCCCAGAGGCCGGCACAAGAAAGGGAGCGGATGTTAGAGTTTTGAATGATTGGATATCCGCTGGTCAGCTGCATGGATTTCGAAACATCACCTCAGACCTCAGACCTCAGTCCTCAGACCTCAGCCCTCCCGCCCTCCGCCCTCAGATCTCAGACCTCGGACCTTTCCCTAGGCTCCGGCCCCCTGGGCTCCCTTGCCTACATCAAACTTTATGCCCTCCTCTTTTCATTTGTTGTCGCAGCCTACCTTTCATCAACATTTTCGAGGGCAGCAGAAGGCCAGTGCCGGGTGTTCGAATTACCCCAACTTCCTTCTTAACCAGCTATCCCTTCCTTTTGTGTCTCCTTCCCACCCTTTAACTTCCACCATTTGCAGCGAGCAAGTCTTACTTGTCCAGTCATTCTTTTCGAAAGCGCTCTCCAGTTCTGGTTCAGAGGCCAGCTCGAACCGTCGTCCGTGTTCGAGCCCGTTTCGTCTTTCGAAACTACTCCTCGCTTTCCTCTTTTTCTCGGATGAGCTTCTTGGATCTTTCCTTACATGTGTGGTCTGGATTGGCGCAGTTTAATATTTGTGCCCACAGATATCATCAGTCGCTTCCCTTTGGTGTAGACCTCTTGGCCGACACTCCTTGCTAGAATCGAGGCTATCAGCAGCTCGAAGCTCCGAGGTTCCTTTGAGAAGGGACCATATTTCCTTTGAGAAGGGACCCTACTCCCATCGACTCGCATCTTATACGACCCTAATGAAGCAGAACGTACAGAAGTGCCGGTCGTGTTGATCGGGCCCGTCTCAGGAGGAGGGCATTGTGCTGGACGCGACGCAGGCCGCCTCGATAATTACAGAAGGAACTATTGTGAAGTTTGGCTCCGCTTCCTGCGAGTTGGGAAGTTTGGAAGGCCCTGGAGGATCTTCCATACACACCCTACAAGCAAGCGCCATGTCTACAGGAAGAAGGAAGAAGCACAGGCCGAGGAGGTTGTCAGCGTCGTCAAATTTACCTTTACGACCTGAAATGACAGCTGATAATGGGCGCCCTGGGCTGAATGGACGGACGGCAGTGGAAGATTCAGAGGGCCCAAAGACACCGAGGATTGGAGTGCAAGTTCTCCCTTCGACAACCTTACGCATCCCGTATCTTACACGCCGCGCAAGCTCGATTCTATCGGCACCAGAAAGTCGTCCAGCATCTTCACTTCGCTCTTTCAGATTTCCTTTTGCGCCTGCTAGTCCTCGAGCAGCCACACCGCTACGGCAACACCAGCGACGAGCTTCCGACAGGACAATTTTCCCTCGTGTGCATCAGAGTCAACCCCGAAGATTGGTGGGCGTAGACTCAGCTGAAGATAGCCTAACCCAACCAGCAAACCTTGGACGACGACGGAGGCAGAGGGCCAAAAAGCCGGAGCGAACATGCGTGTTAGAAATCAAGAACAATCGGATACGGGCAAAGCTGGCAAGCTGCACAGTATCTGGAATAGTATGCTCCTCTGCACCGTCCTGATGGAACAACTGCTAACATGTCGCAGTTCCTAAGCTTAGTCCTGACAGTATACATAGCAATGTCCCTCTCCGACCAGACCTTTGGCCAAGGATTTCACATCGTGCTCATCATCATCATCCTCTTGACTACCACCGTCTTCTGCCACTCCCTGATCCGGCTCTGCATGATGCTTGCTAAGCCGCCGCCCGAAGGATTCCATGACCTCGAACGTCAGGCCATCCCTGAAATGTACAGAAGTGGCGGATACGCCGAGCCTGTTCGCCCATTCCAAGTCGCTCTCGCACGTGATGAGGAAGCTGCAGGCATCGAAAGCGAGGCTACGAAGGTGCCGCCCCCGGCCTACGGCCTGTGGAAAGAGACCGTTAGAGTTGATCCGAACCGAATTTTCTGGAAGAGGAACTCAGCGCCACCGGTGCCAGAGATGCCGGATATGGGGCCCACGAGCAGGCCACCAAGCTACGCCAGCGAGAATGGGTTCGACTATGCGGTGGAGGAGCTGCCGATACATGTTACGCCTGGTGTCGATGTGTCGTTGCCTATCCACCCGTCGGAAAGGGGAAGGTTGGGGAGTGTGTAGGTTGGAAGGGGAGGGGCGGTGACTTGTATCCTATTTTGTCAATGGTTAGCGACTGAAGCGATTTTTTTTTGTCCTCTTCTGCTCTCTCGCTGTCGTACAGAGTTTTGTTTTGGTTTTGGTTTTTTGTTTTAATATTTTTTTTCCCTTTTTTTTTCTTTCCTTTTTGCCCCCCTTTGTTTTCTCCTTTTTTTTTTTTTCGTAGGAGGTGGAGTTGCGGTTGCATTATTGATGACATGATAACACTTCTATTGTACGTATATTGGACCCTATTATGAGGGGTATTGTTATTATATTGGAGGGGAAGTATTTTTGGTATTGCGGTGCAAACCATTATATTTTCGGCGGGGTTTTCAGCGTCACGGCGTTTCTTTCAGGATGGGTGGCGCTGGGAGACGTGAACATGGGGAGGGATATAAGGAATGGAAGACTTGACATGTTAAACAGATCATGCTGGACAACAAACATGGACAAGATAGTTTAGAAAAGTCCCAAGGCTTACTAGAGACAGCTTATGAATACTGAAAAGCGTCGTGGGTGCTTGTTGCACAATTGAATGCCTGTTTCGGCTTTGTGATTCACAGCCTCAACTACCGACATACGGACCACTAGGTAGCTAATAATATATATAAATAAATGTAAATAAATATATAGAGCTTGTCGCTTTTACTACCGTACCTTCATCACCGCTCTCTTTCTCCGGATTACCTTATTCATTGGCCAATTGACCGACCTCATCGTTCTAACCGTTCTAATCCAAGTTCCCGCCCTTGGGTCGCCCAGAGGATCAACCCTTCCCGGCCTCTCATTTTGCCACGTCCCCCCCTTTCGGGAGTCGGCAGGTCGGTCGGCGGCCCCAGCTGAACCCATCGGCGCTTGGTCGGTTCGGGCTTAGGAAGGGAACGTGCCGTCTAGAGAGGTTTTCTTCCCCTGCTCGCCCGGTCGTACCTGACGAGATCTCTCCTAAACGCATCACATACATCCACCGCAATCCGATCCGACATTTTTGGTCCGCGACGTTGTACACGGAGGAGCAGGTTGAAGGAAGAAGTGAAGAAGTAGTGAAGAAGAAGGCAGTGAAGAAGGCAGTGCAGTGCAGTGCAGTTGTGAAGGAAGTTGGAAACCTGCAGGAAACCCAGCCAATATCAAGGACAGAGATCTGTAAGTTGAACACCTCCAGCATCCCGATGAAGTCTTCTCTCGTGTCTTTGGGGCTCTTTTCCCCGGATGAGTTGTTTCTGGACGACAAGCCGTGGCCCTCTGTGCTCTGCGGCCCCTCCTCGGCCGGTGCGACGACGAGGACACAACCAACAAAACAGCAACAACTGCGATCATCCTGAGAGGCGCGAAGCTACACCACTCCGATCCCTTGAAGAAATCCCAGAGTTGCACAAGATCCATGCATGCTGCAGCCTGGCGGAGGCTGTCATGCAACACAACGCAACCCTTGGTAGAGGAAATCCCAGCCAGGAGCGTCCATATCAACAACAGCCAGCGCGGTCGGCCCATTTCTGCTACCCAGCATGCCAGCCAGCACGGTGGAGGGATGGCTGCGGACCGGCCGGGCAGAGGAGCCACCTCACCGGTGCCGGAAGATCGTGAAGGAATGGGCCCACAGGCGACGGCGCATTTGTTACCTGCTGTGCTGACGACGGAACCCAACAGACCCATAAGCTCGTCGTCATGTCGTCCCTCTCTCGTCGTGCATGCTACAAGTGCGGCAACGTTGGCCACTACGCTGAAGTGTGCTCTTCCGCTGAGCGCCTTTGCTACAACTGTGAGTGGCGATATTTCTTTGCGCCGTTCTTATTGGAAACTGAACTGACTCTTCTCTCTAGGCAAGCAGCCAGGTATGATTCAGCCTCGCAGGCGCGACTACTCCTTCTAACGGGCTCCTTTAACGTTTTTAAAAACAGGACATGAGTCGAATGGATGCCCTCTCCCAAGAACCACCGAGGCTAAGCAATGCTACCACTGCCAAGGTCTGGGACACGTTCAAGCCGACTGCCCAACCCTTCGACTGAGCGGTGCTGGAACCAGTGGACGATGCTACAACTGCGGTCTACCAGGTCATTTAGCTGTACGCTACTATGTAAATGGTTCATTGTGGGAAAATTACTGACGGATCTTAGCGTTCTTGCCCAGCCCCAGCTGGCCCTGGTCCCATTCCAGGTGTTGGCCGTGGTCTTGGTGCCCCCCGTGGTGGATTTGGTGGGGGATATGCGCCTCGTGGTGCCTTTGCTGGTGGCCCCCGACCTGCCACTTGCTACAAGTGCGGTGGCCCAAACCACTTTGCTAGAGATTGTCAGGCTCAAGCCATGAAGTGCTACGCTTGTGGCAAGCTTGGTCACATCTCTCGGGACTGCACTGCCCCTAACGGCGGTCCTCTCAACACTGCTGGCAAGACTTGCTACCAATGTGGCGAGGCTGGTCACATGTAAGCTACCCTCTCCAGCTGTCGTCGACACGGACTAAAACTAAATGTCTACAGCTCCCGTGACTGCCCACAAAAGGGTGCCAATGGTGACTTTGTCGGTGATATCGATCCCGGTGTTGCGGCCGTTGCTCCCATTCAGCCTATCGCATAGGTCTTTGAATGGATCTCCACAGTTCGGTAGGCCGCGATGAACTATCGATCGGTAATGTGAAACTTGACATCGATCTCCCTTTCAGCGTTGGACATAATGGTATGAAATCAGTTCCCACTCGTTCTGCATGTTTTCTTCGGCACGCGAGCAAAAATTGAGATTTCCAACTTTTTACGGACTGCTTTTCCCTCGGCGCCTGGTCCACCCATGTTCGGCATCACGGCATGAACACTCCAAAAGCATTCTTCTATTTTTTCACGAGATTCATTTCCTACCTTATGAACAACACACGACTAGTCACACTGGCAACCCGGTAGTTACCACCTCAACGACGACGTTGCGAACCTTAATTTCTGTGCGTCTTTCCTTCTTGGTGACAGGTGTGCTACACTTCAGAGCAACGCTGTACTGTCGAGAAAGAGCACATGGGAGAGGCACGGAAGGGCGAAGGCAGGGAGGTAGATGAGAGGAAGTGGACGGGCGATGAGATCAATCAAGCAAGCAAGGATGGGTTGATGGATGGAGTGGAATAAATGGGTAGTTGGGTTTGTGTTGTGGTGGGGTGGAGAACGACAAGACCCAGACCTGTCGACGGATGGTAGGAAAGCAAAGCAGTATCTAGGCAAGCAAAGTAGCGTGAGAGCATAAACTCGTTGCCTTACGCGTTACTTGGTCTGGAATATGAAGTATCTCGAGAGTATAGCTGTGCTTGCTACCTCTTGCCTTCCTGTTGTGCTTTGTGAGAACTCTTAGGGTTTACTGTCCACTGTCTCCTTGATATGGGTCTTTGATCGAGCGCTGCTTGGCCAAAGGCGGGCATCGGTACGGAACTCGGGAAAAGGCATTTCTCTGCCCAGGTGTGAGTACCGGTACCTGAGTGCCTGCCCTTCTTGCCCAGGTGTGAGTACCGGGAGCTGCCCCTTCCGAAATGGGATGGGGTCATGGGGAGGTGGCTAGTGGAGGCACTACGTTATTTATTAGTCATCCTCCTGCCGCCTCATGGGTCTTCTGAGATCTCTTTCTTCTTTCTTCCTTGCTCTCCTTCGCAACTTCTCCTCCCTTTCCCTTCCCATCTCTCACATCACACAATAGAGCCAGCCGTCTTGTCTTCGTGTCCAAACAAAAAATCCCCTCGAGCAGCTCCAATCCATTCATCGTCTTGACTCTTGTCTGTCTGAACCGTCGGGAATATTTGAACCCTCAGCCAGCGCATCTGTCCAATGCACATGCACAATCATCTACCCGGGCGAGTTTCTTATGACGAAGACCATATCCTCGCAGCCCTCTTCTTTGCCTCGGTCTGAACTCTGATCAGGGTTTATTTCGACGACGACGACGTGCTGCGGCACCCTGATCCCCGAAAGAAGGATTATCTGAAATCTCCCGCGCAACTTACCAATGCAAGACTGGTCTATTGTACAGATCATCATCTCAGCCGTCGTTGTCGCATTCATTGTCGGTTTTGTATCCTCTGTTACTATTCTGTCGTTGTTCCCTCGGCTTGACATCGAAGAGAGCGAGGCTGCGGACCGGTTTTACAAAGTAGACTCGTCGTTGCCCTAAAGTCCATCGGCTACAAGACCGACCGAGCTGTCACTGCATCACTTACGTCAGGATTTCACATCAGTGACCCAACTTCGTACCACTACTCTTTCGGTTAGTTGTTCTGCTTATTTTACTCACGGTCAAAATGGCTGGCGGTTCTGTCTACAACGGCGGTGGTGGTGACGAGGAGGAGGTATTCATCTCATTACGCTCTCACCATACCCGTGATGAGAGTTAACCTTGGACAGAACTGTATCGTTGATGTTGAGGAGCTTCAGGCTCATGGCATTGGCGCTGCCGACATCACCAAACTCAAGAGCAACAACATTCATACTGTCGCTGTAAGTATACCCGTATCCTGCAGCCGACACCTCGCATCTTGCTCACTATGATGCGTAGACTCTGATCTCTACTACGACGAGAAGGCTGCTCAAGATCAAGGGCTTCTCGGACATTAAAGTTGAGAAAATTAAGGATGCTGCTAAGAAGTTATCGGTAAGTACTTCCCCAACGGACATGCCATTGAGATTGGGAATCTGCTGACGCCACGCAGCCTACGGCTGGTTTCATGACTGCTGCTGAGCTTGGCCAGATCCGCAAGCGCTGCATCAGAATCTCTACTGGTAGTAAACAGCTTGATGCTGCTTTGAACGGGTAGGTTGTGTTGTGCCACCTGGCTGGCATACGTTGACTTTGCTACAGTGGATTCCAGACTATGAGTATCAATGAGGTCTACGGCGAGTTCAGTAAGTCAGACCTTCGAACTAGGACCTAGAGCTGGGCGTTCCTAATCGTGGGTAGGATGTGGCAAGACCCAACTCGCACACACCATGGCTGTCATTGCACAACTCCCGAAGGAAATGGGTGGTGCTGAAGGAAAAGTTGCGTATATTGGTAGGTTATCCGCCTCTTCTTGCGTTTGATACGCGATTGACATCCACAGATACAGAGGGTACCTTCCGTCCGGAAAGAATCGCAGAGATTGCCGAGCGCTTCGGTGGTAAGTTCTCTTCCCAATCCATAATAGCGGCCTGTACTTACCAGAATGACAGTCGACCCTGATCAAGCATGTGAGAACATTGCCTACGCTCGTGCTCAGAACTCCGAGGTAGACTCCATTCTATTCGTTTCGATACTTAGATTACTGACTTGATACCAGATGCAAACCGAGCTGTTGGAGGGTCTGGCCGCTAACTTCGCCACTAATGAATATCGTCTTCTCGTCATTGACAGTGTCATGTCCCTTTACCGTACCGACTACTGTGGTCGTGGTGAACTCTCCGAGCGTCAGCAGGTTCTTGGTCAGTTCCTCAGACGTGCAACACAGATGGCCGAGGAATTCAACCTAGTCGTCTTAATGGTTAGTAATCTTCTCAACCACGACACTTCTCATGCTGAGCATTTTTTCTCAGACAAACCAAGTCATGTCGGATCCCGGTGCTAGTGCTCTATTCGCCGGAGCTGATGGTCGCAAACCTGCTGGAGGTCATATCCTTGCCCATGCTTCTACTACCAGACTTCTGCTTCGTAAAGGTCGTGGTGAGGAACGTGTCGCTAAGATTGTCGATTCACCTGGTGATTTTACCCCAGCTTGAATATCGTTGATTGCCGCTGGCATGTTGTCGAATTCTGCTAACCACAATTTCAGATTGTCCTGAGCGGGAAGCAACGTACATCATCACGACTGGCGGTATCGATGATCCTGCGAAGGTCTAGACAATGCTGTGGCGGATTGGATTGTTATTGCCTATTGAATCGTCTCGTAGTTTTGTTTCGTAAGGAAGGAGAGGAAGGGCACACATATTGCATATCGAGCTTAGGAGTTGCAACAGTTGCTGTTGGACATGGAAATACCCCCCTGGCCTTATTAGTGCCATCAGATTAGATTAGATCTCGGCTAGTAGTTTTTGCTCAAAACTTGGGTCCAAGCTCCACCACGAAACAAAATTCCTTCTTCGTCATGCTCGTCTGCTCCAACTCGACAACATAATTCTATTCGGCTACCTTCAGGCAAACAAAATGTCAAAAATAGGAGAATACACAGTCCTTCCCCTCACCATTCTCTCTACGCCTGCATACCCAAAGCCAGCCACCCACACTCTCTACCTCCGCCGTCACGCTCCTAAGACCCCGACCGCGAACGACTCCCGCAGTCTATTCCTCGTCAATGTTCCGATAGACAGCACATCCGCGCATATCCGCGCCGTCATTGTATCCCTACTTGGCGCCGGTCGCTTCGAATCTGTGTCCTTCGAGCATGACACCAAGACTCAAGCGACACCCCCCACACCCGTCCAAGCCCAACCCACGAACAAAAAACGCAAACGAGGCGATGTCGATACCGTCCCAGAAGAGCTACCGTATATCTGGGACCGCAAACTGAGGAGAAGCGGCAGTACGGCCGTCGTGCTGCTCGTCGACGAGAGGAGCGTGGAGAACGCGCTGAAAGCCGCCAGGAAGATCTCGCGATCCGGCAAGGAGAGATCGCGACCGGTGTGGGGCGGGGACGGGGTCACGGATGTCCCGGAGCTGGGGAGCAGACGGTACGCGGCGCATCAAGAACTGCGGTACCCGAGCCGGGAGGAGCTGCAGCGGAACGTGGATAGCTTCATAACTAGATTCAACGCGCTCGAGGAGGCGAAAGCCAAGGAGGCGAAGAGGGCGCGGAACGTGCCGGACGCGGATGGCTTTGTGACTGTGGTACGTGGGGGTAGCAGGACCGGGCCGGCGAGGGTGGAGGACGCGGAGCGCAAGCGGGCTGAAATGGAGGCGAAGGAGAGGGAGAGGAGGGAGGGATTGCGGACTGGTGGCTTCTATCGCTTTCAGGTGCGGGAGAGGAGGAAGGAGGAGCAGGGGGAGTTGGTCAAGCGGTTCGAGGAGGATCGGAGGAGGGTTGGGGAGATGAAGGAGCGGAGGGGGCGGTTTAGGCCTGAGAAGTAGGGGCGGCACAGAGGATAGACTGTCTCTGTTCTGTTTCTTGTGGGCTGCTCCTCTGTCTGTTTCTGGGGCGTCTGAGTTGGGGATAGGTATGAGCTGGGGATGTTGGAGGGGGGTGCGGAGAGAAAAAAGACGACGAGGCGAGAAAAAGGTATGTCGACGAACGATCCTCTCCTTTTCTTCTGATTCGACCGCTGTGCAGTTTTACCATGATGACTCCGCGGGGCCATATGAGCCTCCCTTCTCTATCGAACTGCAGGTCGATCCCTGCACGAGAGAAGAGCGGGAGGCGATGCCTATCAAAACCGCAATGACAAAAACAATCTTCTCAAACCTTTTCTGATGTACTACTGCTACTGTCGTCCTCCTCAGATCTTCACACTTTTTCGTCGTCATCCTTTGGGGCGGACTCGTTGCTAATTGATGCTTGCTTTGCTGGAGATAGGAATATACTGCCTGTATGCGTATGTGGATGGGGAAGGGGATGGGGAAGGGGATAGGGAAGAGGGATAGGGATTAGCTTGGGAGTGGGTAGTAGGGGATATGGTCGCCGGTCGCTGATGTACAACGGCTCCTCTCAGCTTTTAAGTAAGTAAGACTACGGAGGCCTATACTGGATCTTATCAGATTAAAAGGACTGGGACAATTACTGGAAGTGCGTCCATGTGATGAACTTGAGGACAGCAAGTAGGTTAGAAAGATGGAAGAAACAGAATAAGATAGAGGATGATGAGCTTGACTATTGTGAGGTTTTTTTTTTTCTTTTCTTTTTTCTTCCTTTGATACGGCTACCGAGTTGGTATTATCCAGTGTCTGTGTTCGTGGTCGTGTTTGTGATATGACTAGCTAGGTACCGAATTGTACAATTCGATCCGTCGTTTGCTTTATATGAAAAATATTTCTAGATTTCATTTCTTCGCTGAGCGTCACTACTGATTTCCTTTCGCGTTCGGTACTTTTATCAGGAAGATGACTTTCATTGCGTAGGTAAGTAGAGTCAAGAGAGATTATGTATTTCATTTTTTTTTTTTTTTGGAAAATGTTTTCTCGCCTTAGCTAGGTATGTATGCTATTCAATCAATGAATGGGCTTTGGCTTCGCTGCGGAGGTTAAGTCTTGAGAGGAGAGGCTTGGTCCAGGGGCGAGTTAGTGGTGTGGATGAATGAATGGTACGAGGGGTCGGTATGTACCTAGGTAATGATTGTCTTGAAGTACTGTACTGTACCTTAGAGGCAGGTAAGGGGGTCATTGCAGCGGCTCCTCTCACCCTCTTCTGCAAAAGACGGTTGGTTATTGGACCGCCGAAAATCAGTACTAAACTCTTCCGTATTCAGGAACGGGCTTAGCTAGTAGACCGTCCCATCGAAAGGGACCGCGTCCTGTGGCCGTCCTGTGGCCGTCCCCGTTCGGGTTCTTAAAACATACTTATTAAAGAGCTCGTTCTGAATAGTTAAAACAGTCTACTAATCATCTTATATAAGATAGGATTAGAATATAGGAGCCATTCTTCGAAGACTATCGTTTTTGATTGTAATTCGGTTCTTAAAATCGATTGGAATACCTATGATTTGATTTCGCAATCTTAAATATTCGTGCCTAGATATTTGTCGGTATCGCTATTACTTACGGCTTGAACTTCAATGCTTTGGTTGGTTGAAATCGGAAAGGACCGATTCAGCAAAGAGTTAACTTCAACCTGCCTGTGTCTTGTTCACGTTAGAGGGGATAGGGAAGGGTGGGCTTGAGGAGGGTGGTAGCAGGAGACGACATACCTATTCATTATTTGCTTATTATTATAAGTTCTCGGGGACGGTTTTTCGGTTCGGGGACGGCCTTGGGACGGGCCCGAAACGGTCTTAAAGCGCTCGGAGACGGTCCGAGAATGGTACCTTTCGTAAGAAGACCGACATTTATAACCGACAATTTAATCGATTGAAGTTTTCTTGGGACGATCTAATTACAGGTTTGGTTCCAATTCAGGTATCGGCATGGGGTGATCTACCGGTACTACGTAGCAATATCAAGCTTTTGGGATCGTTTCCATTAGCCATCGGATGATCAGCTGACCGTTTATGCGAAGGAAGAAGCGTCTATCTAATCTAATCTACCACGGTACAGGCCTAAGTATTACCCCTCGAGGGTGCCTCAAAAGTTTAGTTTCCACTTTAAACCCCCTGTTTTCCCTACCCTCGAGGGGTAATACTTACGCCTGCGACGTAGTATCTTATATCTAATCTAGTAAGTACCTAATATAATGTTAAGCTAAATGTGGATTCTGGCTAAGACCGTAAACTGGTAAACATACGGTCACCTGACCTACGGCCGTGACGTTGATTGGGTGCATCCATTTGAGCTTGGGCCATCGAGGAACACTAAAAACTTGACTAAGCGCTTGATAGAAAGAGAGATCTTGCGGGTGTAACGGGCTAGATTTGCGTTTCTGCGATTGAAATCTAGTTTTTTTAATCTACTTTTTTTTAAAACCTATTACTATAAACTCTTTTCACTTGATTAATAGCTGATTGATAAAAAGAAAAAAGCTCGAAAACCAGCTAGCTGTCAGCTAGCTGTATCGCCTTAAGAGGGGCTATTGCTACAAATTAAATGCTCGAAAGATAGCTAGCTGCACCGGGCTGAAGGTGGCTATAACTGGCTGCACCGAGCTGAAAAGAGCTATTGCCATAAGTTAGATGCTCGAAAAGTGGCTAGCTGCATCGCGCGAAAAAAGGCTATTCTATAGGAAAAGGGCTATTCTATAAGAAAAAGGCTATTGCTATAGATAAAATGCTCGAAGGATAGCTGGCTGCATGAAGCTATTAGTATAGATTACATAGCTACGAATATTAGCTTGCGGCCAGACTACAGCGTCACATTTTCTTTACATCCTTTCAAAGCGTATTTCTTATAGGAAATCGATGTAGCGTTGATGCGGAAGGCAGCTTCGCACTACGACCAGACCTTGTGTATAATAAGGGTTCAAGAGGAGTATGTTGTGGCCCCAGGCCCCAGGCCAGCAGGCCACTAAGGTGCATATACCACCAGAGGAGGAGGATATAGCTTCACGTTGCTCTGAGCTTCCTAGAAAGAATCAATCCACCTTTGCTGCATCTATCTTATCCTCCTTGCTGTCTAAGTCTTGAAAGAGGGATGGAGGCTCACCTAAGCGAGCCGACGATTACGACCGTCACGAAGCGAGCTCCGTCCCCTGGCCCCGAAGCTTTGCGGAGGGCCGTCAGGGAAAAGATTTCGCATACAAGTAATTACGATAATCTTCTTTAAAATGGAAGAGAAGATTGTAATACTCTTGCGGCCGGCATATCTGTCCCTACCTACCTAGTAGGTTGGTCTTTTTATAACCGGGGAAGGAGAGCTGTAACGCTCTGTATGATTGGCTACGTATATTTAGAATGGAGGATGAACTCCGCTATGAAGCTCCGTATACTATTAAAGAAACAAAAAATGACAAATACAATAACTCGGTGCCATGATTATGATTGTCCGCACCGAGTGTTCTATATTGTCGACGTATAATCTCTTTTCGAATGCGGTTCAAGAAAAGAGATATATAGGTAGTTCTTCTGGCGTGCACCTGCACCTGCTTCAGACTTGATTATATAAATTCTTCGTTTTAAAGCCGCGAGCTTGTTTCCTTTTCGTCAGCTCGCGTGATTTGACAGACTTGTACAAATAAGATGCTACGATCGAAGACGATCTTCGCGATCTTGCTAGCCTTGAGCTTTCTCTCTAATAGAGCTCAAGGAGATATGAGTCTAAAAATCTTCGAGCGACGTAGAGTCATCGGCTATGCAATAGTTTCGGAGGTAAGCTTTACTTGATCTATATAGTATAAGCTTATATTAATTGTGCGGTTTGTAGGACGAGGCTGAGCGCATTAACGATAATAAGCTCTATGTAGAGGAGTCCGCATCTCCTACTCAATTAGGAAATGGCTTTATTATAGGTAAGTTGATCCACATAGATCGTTATCTATTGCGCGGAGCTAATAATCTATATAGTAAGCGAAATTAGTAAAGAGATGCGTGGAGAAGAGAATTGGTATTGCGCTGTTCAAGCGAACAAGAATAAGCTGAAGAATATCGACAAAGCCTATATCCCGAAATCTTATAAAAAACGGACTTGGCCTGAGGAACGAAACTTGTGGGGCGAAGGCGAAAAAGCCATTGTGAGATACCTCTGGTCAATATCATTCGTGAGAAAGCCCTTTGCAGCGCTGCGCTTCTCATGGGTGAAGGGTACCACCAATCAGCAGATGCAAATGCTTATTCCAACGAAAGTGGTAAATAACGGTGGTTTGGATTTATCGGTCCAGTGCTTTGAATCAGAAGACGAGCTGAAGAGGTTTTCGGACGATGTCGTTGATTGGGGCGATAGTGAAGTTTGGGATATTAAAGGAAATCTTGGAATACCGGGGGCCCTTAGCTCGTAGACCAAGAAATCTCCCTTCTTCGCGATGCGTACGTATCGCAAAGAAGACAGTTGTTAACAAAGTACCAGCCAGATGCATCGGTGATCATAAACACGTTACCCTTTAGAGCTACGCCGGCTTCTGGGTAGGCAACGTAGGTTTGCAAGGCCGTGGATGGTACTTGTGATTCTCGTAGGCGTGCCACTACCGGTAGCAACGCTGCCTCTGAAGCAATCTGTGCGCAGGGTCCTGTCATTATGGTCGAGGTTCAGCAGGTGAATTCGGGAGGGTTTTTGCTAGACGGTAGATGGGGATGAAAAGGATGTCGAGGAGGAAGATATCGAGGACGAGGAGGAGCTTTCGCGAAAGACAAGCTCTGGATCGGCACAGGGATCAAAAGTATGGCTTGATCCGTGCCGAGACTGGGATCGGTTCTTCATGTTTGTAAATGCTGGCTGATGCAGGCAATATTGTGACTGATACAGAGCAGAGAAAGGGACAGCTTGTTGGAACCAAGCAGCTGGGAGTTTTTTTTGTACGACGAGATCTCGAGCTGGAGAAGCGCAAGTTGTTAATGTCACTTGGGCTTATGTCAAACATCCGATGAACTATCGCATTTGCGCAATTCGTCTCTATACGAATTCCGATAGATTATGGTCGAATATCGGGATTCTTCAAGCACTTCAAGGTCTTCGAGGATATCGTGAAAAAAAAATTTGTTTGCTTCGATCGGGGCGGGTGCTGTGTCACGTGCTAACGTATCCGCGTCATACTATATTTTCCCACGCGTTGCACGCATCTTTTCATCTGCCCTCAAATCCTTCTTGACTACACACAACCACAACCACTTCACCATGAGGTTACGTGTCACTGTCAGGCGCCACGGCCTTCCTGATACTTCCATCGTCTGGTCGATTGACACAAGTACCTCTCCTACAATCTATCAGCTCCTCGAGCAGATCAACGGCATCGTACCGGTCGAGACAGATGGGCAATGGGGCTTGGAGGATTACGCTGTAGAATTGAGGGGTAGCAATGGCGTCAACTACGAATGCCTTCACTTTCAGCCTGTTGCCAGTGTAATGAAAGAGGAAGACGAGGTCATGTTAGTCCACATTGTGTACCGCGAGAAAAATTGAGACTGACCTGGCGCGTTTGCCCAGCATCCGCCCGCTCCTCACACAAGACCTCAAAGTACGCAGAATATCCGGCAGGCACCAGATCTCGGATGATGGCAAGCGTCTTTACGATGGCCTTGCCCTGGGCAGACCTCTCCTCCGATTACCTGCTGGCCGACCGGCTATCAATATACCTCCACGGAAGAAGCGAAGGGTGACATATGATGAGGACGAAGATGATGATGAGGGCTGTGCTGCTCTCAAGGAGACAGATGAGTCAGAGAGTGAGGACAACCAGCTCCTTCTTACAGAGGCCGACCTCGAAGATGAAGACTCAGAAGACGACGACGATTTTGCTCCTGGGAATGATAGCGATGCTGCGGAAAATGAGGATAGTGACTCCGCTGAAGATTACGACAATCAGCAGCCAGCCTTAACATCTGCTTCTGAAGATGACGATTCAGAAGACGACGAGGAAGTTGCGCCTGAAGGAGAGAATATGGACGAAGCAGATGACGATGATAATGACAAGCAGTTGGTTCTCCACGCGGATTTCGATAATGCTGACTCCCAGTCTGACGAAGAGGGCCGGATTATTGGTCCTGAAGAGGAAGAGTCAGACAACGAAAGAGAAGGAAGCCAACACGGTATTGAAGAATATTGGTCCGATGAAGTTACTGCAGATGTTGGGCTTTCTTCTGGATCTGATCCTGGACAAGACGCAGCCGATATCGATGATGAGCCTGCTTTTTCTGGTATCTCTGACCCCGAAACCCGAGCCAAGATCCGTAAATTACAATCAGCTTTTCCCAGCACGCATATTGCTCTTTGCAAAAGCATTTTGAGGGCTGTCGGTGGGGATATGGGCGATGCATACGAAGTTCTCACTCGAGGATCCCATCCCACGAAATCCAAAAGCGAGATTGCTGAGACCGCTGAAAGCCACAACAAGCTGTCAGTAAAAAAGACTCGCTCAAAGCGAATGCCCAAATCGAAGCACAAGTCTCCAGTGGTTGATGCCAAGAGGGACTCTGACAGTATGCAAGATGACGCTGAAGAGATCTTGGATCCCCTTGTGCAACAGTATGATAAGCAGGGGTTTCCACCAGGATCCATCAGTTCGGGCAAGGCTCTGGCCTTCATGGCCGAAGCTGCGAGGAGCTCACCGGGTCCTCATCCGAAATCGAGCGACGCGGCTTTGGTCAAACAAAGCAAACGTATCAGGTTCACTGATGATGAAGATTTCTCTAATGGTCTCACATCAACCCCATTTATAGACAAAGAGACACAAGAAGTCGAATCAAGTGATGATCAGAACGGCAGCGACGACTCCAGCCATGATTCTTCCTCGAGCAGTGATAGCAGCGACCTTTTTTCTGATGACGGCGAAGAAATACCTGATGCTGTCAACGACTCACCATCTTCCGACAGCAGCATGGACAGTAGCAGTGATTCTTCTAGTGAGGAGGAATCTCCAGAAGAAGAATCCAGCAAGACGCCTGTTAGAAAGGCACATTCAGCAGGAACCCCGGGCAAAGGTACTGCTAGGACTCGCAGCAGAAATGTGCGAAGACGGAATGCCAACCATCTGGCTAGATACAAAGAGAAGGGGATTTTACCAGCCGGTACGACTTTGGCGGAGTTCTCCAAGTTGAAGCAAGTGAACGAAAACACTTCTCCAGAGGAAGCTCTTGCTGCATTAGAGGAGTTGAGGTCTCCGGCGCAGACTACGGGAGCAGGCGAGGCTTCCAAGAGCGCTTCGTCTACGGGTACCTCTACTCGTGACGCCGCCAAGGAAGAATTTGAGCTTCGCAGACGAGAACTTCTTGCTTCACTAGCTAACGGTGGCGTCGAAGTTGGCATTGAGTCGGCGAAGAAACCCCAAAAGTCTCTCAATTCCAGCCGAAGACTCAAATCAGCCAAGAATGACTGTTTGAAAATTCTAGCAAGTGGAGCTGTCGAAGTCGAGCAAGCAGTCAGCTCTATATCTGACGAGGTTGAGACCAACAGACCGTCTCTGATCTCAAAGGCCTTCTCAAATTTGACCTCAGGTGTCACCGAACCCAATGCTATGGAAGAGGGAGATCTGAAATCTTCAGCAGGCCTTGAAGCTCCCAAGGATATTGAAACCCCCGTTCCATCTACCAAACCACGGCCGACCTCAGTCGAAACGGCACCGCGACGCGCGAAACTTGACTTGGGTGCCGGACGAAGGATGCTGTTTGGCGCGTTGGGCTTGAAGACTCCCAAGACCAAACAAGACGAGGAGAAACTCAAGAAAGACTTCATGAAGAATATCAAGCCTCTGATAACCCGGAAAGATGTTGAAGATCCCAAAGCCGGTATCGATGAAGGATTGGACGAGGACTCAGAAGCCTGGAGAGAGAAAATCATATATCGGGCCGTGGAGTGCGTTCAAGACGATATTGAATTGAGTGAGCCACCTTTCCCATTTGTTCAACGATGGGATTCTCAGCAGCGCTGGCCCAAGAATGGCAAGAGGAAGAATGAACAACGACTGGAATCGCAGTGTTACAATGAAGATTCTCGGATGTCCAAGAAGCAGAAGAGAAACCGCAAGGGTAAGCACACCTATGTAGAGGAGCAAGAATACCTGGAGGCGTTTTACGAGACTAGCTTTCAAGAGGATAGTTTTATGGACACGCCGTTTGATGTATCGGCACAGGCACAGGATCAAAATCAGAATGTCGACGAGGAAATCAATCAACAATTTCTGAACGATGCACAGCCTTTAGCTCAGGATCTTCAAGATTCTGCTGACTTGCCTGAACTTCCTGGAGATCTTTCAGCCCTGCCCGATCTCCTCGATGGCATGGCTAAGGTCGGCATGATTGTTGCCTTCAAGAAGTTGGAGTTTTCTGCTGCTACCCAGTGGCAACCCCTCCAATCGGACTACATGACTGCAACTGTCACCGAGGTTTTGCAGAGTGGCGAACTTACTCTTACACTCGCTCTCAGAGACCGAAAACAAATCAAGAAACGATACGATGAGAGGACTGGCGAGAGAATCTTTGATAAATTCGAGATGCCTGTCGAAGATGACGATGACGGCAGCGTTCTCTATCTCTCATTTGGAGAGCTGCAAGAGCCGAAAATTGTTCAGAACCCAAACGCCAGTTTGGTCCAAACTTCTTTGGAGGGAAAGGCCAACCAAGGTATTGGTTGCGACGTTGCCATGAATGAACCCGCTGAAGTAAGTACTGCTAGTGCCGCTGTTGGGGAGAAACGTCCACAAGCGAGGGAAGGGAACAGCGTCGACATATCAGCTACAGTAGAGCACGAAAAAGATGCCACGAGAGCACAGTCATCTCATGAGCAACTTCCCGAGGCGTCGGAGCAAGAGCTGCCTGAGATACAATCTTCTCGCCGATATTCTCACGAAGAAGAGCTTCCAGAAGCACAGTTATCTCATGTCACAGAGACGCAGCTGAATTCAGATGCTTCAGGGTCTTTCCAGCAAGACCACCAGCCAGATGCTACTGAAACCGACCAGGCACAATCCGTGACTGCGTTCAATGAGGAAATTGAAACCGAAGAGACTCACGTCGAGGACCCCGTAGTAGAAGAAATGCAAAACGAAGAGATATTTGTTGATGCTCCTGTGGCACAAAAAATGGATCTTGACTTCGCCGACCCTGCGACGCCTGTTCTTTGTGACATTGATATGAGCGAGCCGACCGACGAGGCAAGACAAACCATAGGTCGCATGATGAAGGAAGCTGGTTTTCGCTCGAGTGTTCCGTCATCTATTCTGAGGGAAATTCGCCCGGACGGATTTCAATCTCCCGGTGAGGCCGCTTTATTTGAGAAGCTCAGGGACGAGATGATTAGTGCCGATGACGGCGAGGAGAATGAGACGGGAAAAACGAGTCAGGTCTATTCCCCAAAGTTCAACGGGCTTGGGTCTTCGCCTGTCAGAAAGTCAAGAGAGTTCTCTCGAACGCCAACAAAGCCGCAGCAAGCAGCGCCTGCTAGCTATCCAGAAAAGCCTCCCTCGTCAAGCTGGGAGACTATTGACCCGGAATACCGAAGCTCACCACCCCTTCATAGGAAGCCATCTCTGGCGCTCAACGGGGAAGATGAACAGTCCAGCTGGGTAACGATCGAGAACACTCAGGCTGATACCCAAGCTCAGCGTTCTAGCCCTCCGCCTTTCGAGGGTGTTCATCGTTTCAACGTCGCAACACCTGAATCAGCTAGACCATTTAACCATCCAGTCCAGGAAAACTCGGGGGTCTTTACGCCTCAACCTGTGGAATGTGCAAAGACCATGAGTTCTCCCCCGCCCGACTCTGCCAAGCGTGAGTCCAAGAACGCAAATGCAAGAAACCAGCACTGACGAAGTAGAAAGTACCTGTCGGAAAAGCCCAGGCGTACTGGAACCAACTGCAACCACGGAAGCGGAGGAGAAGCAACGATTCTGATGCTACCAGTACCAAGTCGAGCCCGAAGCGCTCACCCGCTCGTTCGCTTGGCATAGATGGTGCAGAGGAGATGGAGGCTGAATCGAGCTTGAAGTACCCTAAGCTTCCGACAATTTCGTCTTTTACCAGTCAGGCCACAGACGCTGGTCGGCAACCTGACTTCCACTTTGATGAAAGTATCGCATTGAATGACGACTCGATCATCATCCCAGACAATGACACCAGTACCTCTTCTAATCAGCCGGAGCAAGGATCCTCAAAATTCAAGGATGGAGCTGACATTGCCACGGTGCCACCAAAGAGGTCGCTCTTCACTAAGGTTGTCCGGCCGCCTTCTCTTCCGGATTCTTCCTCTGACGAAGATCTCCCTTCTCTAAAGCAGCTGTCACAGGTATGACAAATTCTGTCCTGATTCTCTGAGGCAGAACACCCGAAGAATACTCAACCCAGCGTTTAAAGTCACTGTGCAGCACTGACACTTCAAATAGCGTGCTGCAACGATCAAACGCGAAACTACAACTCCGGTCGCCTCCAAGAAGGCAACTGCGGCAGATTTAGCTTATAAAAATTCAATGGCCGAGATGGAGGACGACCTTGCCGATGGCCAAACAACACCTAAGGCTTCCCAAAGTAAGCAGCGACGAGCATCTACACAATCTTCGAGAAGTCAGGCGTCACAAAGCCGCTTTATTGAGAAGCCAGCATCCCACCCTTCCGGGAGCAGGGCCTCAGATGATCCAGCTTCTCAATCACGAAACCGCGTCCACCATGCATCTCAATCCCGAGCACCTGCCCGAAGCACAAGTGCTATCCCCCCTGGATCTCAGGTCATAGAAATACTATCATCAAGTGACGCCGAGCCAGAGCCGGAGCAAGCAGCTGAAGCACTGGATACTCGCCCCAAGTCATTTAGAGGATTTAATATTGACATGGACGATGATAATATCGCTGGCTCTTCGAGTGGGTGGGTACAGAAGAGGAGCGGCCCGATCAAGCGTGCTGAGCCAAGAGCTAGGAAGGCTTCTTGCTAGCCAGGGCTTTCAGGCTTCTTCACAGAATGCCACTGACGGAAGGAACGGACGGCAGGCTCGTGAGTAGACGTGAATGATGATCAGTACCAATAAGAAAGGGGTGTTTATTATTTCTACAGATGAACAGACTTCTGCTTCGCCCGTCTTCGGGTTAGATCACCTTAGCATTTGTATTCCTGAAGGAATCCAGTTATTGTATTCTGGCTAACGGCTGGTAATCGATGTATCTTCATAAGTTGCCGTTGCACCGCAGCACAGATATATTGGCAGGCGACACGATGGTTGATGGTCCTGTCATTGAACTGACTACTCAATACACCCATTTTAAACAGATTCACATCTTCAAAGAGACCCGAAACCCAAATCCTCGAAGCCAGACAATTGTCGAGTTGTTATGGCTGTTTCAGACCTGGCATATGCAGGCCGCTCATTAGCCAACCCTGCCCAGTCACCTCAACCGTGTCCCTGCACCCTGAAGAGCAGTCGAGCTTTGTCTTCGAGTCAAAGCTGCCTCTTTCTTATTCATCTGCCTGTCCTTCGTTTCAGTCTCGTCTATCATGCCGTCTCGTGTTCCGGTTTTTTTTTTTTTTTTTTTTTTTTTTTCTACAACGCCCGAGGGGTGGGATGTGATCCAGATCCATGCTCTCCCAGATCCCGTCATGCAGTTATTTCTCTGCTTTGTTCCTTGAATTTTGTTCCAGGGCCGTCTGGAATAATCGCTATTGCGGCAGGGCTCCTGATATTTATAATCTGCCTTTCTCTGAATGCTTCTGTCGTTGCTACCTCCATGAAAAGAGAATTCGATCTGATCGTTCGAATCATTTACTACCACATACCAAGTTCTCCCAGTCTCTCTACCCTTTCCCGCGCAATCCTGGCCTTGCCTGTGCCGTGCAGCATCTCCAACGCCACCTCTCCGCGTCGTCAGAGTCCTGTCCGATTCCCTCCTCACCAGTGCTGGCATCTTAAGCGAGCGAGCCCTTCTTCCGATTAAGTATCGCCACCTTCCTAGCTAAGAAGCTGATTGTCGTTACTTCCAAGCCATCAATCGGTCATACTTCGCTATCAAACTGTGTCAGAAAAGTGTGGCCTTCACGTCTTCATATACCTACGCTCTCCCGTCATCTTGATCGCCTGGGTCTGTCTGAATCCAGTCACGGAAAAAAAAGAAGAAGAAAATGAAGCTATCACCGATACCCGCAGCTGTCATACTCCTCGCTGCCCAATGTGTAGCCGAAACCGTTGTTGTTGTAGCCGCGCCCCGAGCAGCGCCTAAAACCTCGCTATCCCTACCAACGCGAACCTCCTCCCTGCCTTTCCCAAATTCGCTACCCAGAGACGCCAATACCAATACCAATACCAATACCAATACCAACACGACAACAATATCAGCGCCGACAGAGATGATGCCGACGATGATGATATCCACCGCCGGGCGCGAGGCGGCGGCGCCTAGGATGACGCCGAAACCGGACTTCCAGCCCGGTGACGAGGCGGCGCTGAGTCTGCGCCAGAAGTGGCATCTGACGACGTATTGGAGCTGTGCGACGTTTGCGGCTGGGAGGGTCTTTTGCGGGTGGTGAGTTCTCTGCTTCTCTACCTCCCCGTCTGTGATTCTGTGATCTCTCTCCCTCCCTTTCCTTCCTTTGTCCTACCTTGACTATCTCTCCCATTCTCTTTGAAGAGAGAGGAGGGTGGGGGAGTTAAAAGAGTGGAGGGGGACTGCTGTTGATGTGATGTGAGGTGGCTGCTGGGCTGCTGCCTGTCTGGGATCTTTTTCGGTGCTGATGATGGGACGGTGATGGATTTAGGCATGAGCCGGTACTGCCTGGTGGCGATGAGATTGCAGGTGCGAACGGGAGGGGAGAGACGAGGGGCGAGTTGAAGGCGTGGGCGGTTGGGGCGCTGGTGCTGGAGCTGGCTATCGGTGCTGCGTTGTGAGGTGCGTTGTGAGGTGTCGGTGAGGGAAGGATGCTAGGAGGGTTATGTAGATGATAGCCTCTATTCATTGTACGTCGCAGGCTTTCCTGATGTCTATGAGAATGATGGAACATGTTTAGATTTTAATCCAACCGATCTAGTGAACAAATTCGACGGATTTTTTTGGATTGCATGCCGCAAAATTCTAGAATGTCCCACCGATTGTGGTGACTTTCGGCGCTTCACAGTATCAATCCGACAAGCCACATGAGCCCGTCGTCCCACTCCGCCTCAAATAAGGATGATGCTACGTATCAATATTTCATGTTCTGTGTACTAGAGTTCAGTGTTTCCGGAGTGAGTAGACTCCAGTTCCTATGTCCTCGTAATGACACACAGCTGTACATGCGCTAGATCCGAGTAAAACGGCCCCTCCTGGTCCTCGCTCTTCAGCATACCAAATTCAATGTCTTCGAAGCCGAAGTCGTTCTTCCTACAAGCCTCGGGGAACTTTGCAAACGTCTCCTGGCTTCGGACGGTCGCCGCTATGAGAATTTTGGCATCGGGGTACAGTGCGAAAAGATCTCGGAACGTGGATACTAAGGGTGGGATATTCCTAGGGTCGTATGTAAGGTCTGCCCCAAGAACGAGATCAACGGGTCTTTCGGGATCCCAGTGGGGATCTTCGCCGCCTGTGACAGGATGTCCCCACTTGAGCGCTCTGCCATTGAGGTCCGAGGAGTCTTGAAGGCCGTTGAGGTAAAAGTTCGTGGAGAAGCTCGCTACGACGTCGTCGTCTCCGTCTGTTGCGAGGACATGAGACGGCTTTAGATACTTTGCACAGAGGATGGAGAGGAAGCCCGTTCCTGAGCCAAGTTCCAAGATGGATTTCCCGCGAACAAGATGCGGGTTGGTGCACAAGTAGTTTCCCAGGTGCAGACCAGCCTCCCAAGTTCGGAGTCCTGTTGTTCCGGCTGCTGCGAGCATATTCCGTGCCTCGTGGAGAGTGATTGATGGCGAAATGTCTTGTTGGCGAGGGAGGAGAGAAAGGGTATACGTGACATGAGATTTCTGTTGAGCGGCTGTTGCTTCATTTGGCATTGACATGGAGAGCAAAGGCGTAAGACAGTTCATGAGATCATCGGATATAGCCTTGGATACACAGAGTCAGAGAGGAACACAAAGAGTGTACAATCAAATGAATGAGAAGTCTTACCTCTTCGTCCCAGTCCTGGATACTGGTCTCAATCCTCTTCACCAGCTCTTTCAAGACACGGAGCTTGTATCGAGGAGGAGGAGTATATTCGACATCTTCTGAGAAACATCTCCTGAAGATAGATTGCTGGATCGCATCAAGTCTGAGATATTCCTCGGCTGGATAGTCGAGCTCAAGGGTGACTTGTATATATTGGCGGCAGAAGCGATCGAGCTGCCGCTGTTGTTGCCCTGCTTTGGCGGTTATTGGAAGCTCCATTCCCTCCACAACACCATACTGATAGCATCGCTGAATGAAATGCCCGGCGGTCACATTTGTGATATTTATGCTACGGCGGAAAAGATGCGCTCACCCACTTGTCCTATCTATTAGTCACAGGGTCACGTTGTTGTTGCCTTGTAGCTCAGGCAGTCCCACAAAGTTGAAAAATTTATCGTGGGCCGAAAGCTCGCTTGCACGCTTAGGGCTTCGACTCTCGAATTTGCGACGAAACTCACTTCAACTCTTCCACGACGACGACCTCGACAATCAACATCTGTCTCACCACCCAGACAGACGCATTTGAATACCGCAAAGATGGCGGACCGTGAGCAACCAGTCACTCTGCGTACGCGCAAATTCATCAGAAACCCCCTCCTTGGCCGCAAGCAAATGGTTGTGTAAGTCGCCCCCATCAATCCGTTTCTCGGCGCCCCTACGGAATCGACGACATCACAGAGGCGCTGTCGCACATCCTCATGACCCATTTTGACCAAGGAGGATATCGGAAGAGGAGAAACTGGCTGGATTGCTGAATTCTGGGTCTTGAAGAACGGGTTCTGACAGTGAGGCAATACAGTGACATCCTACACCCCAACCGCGCCAACATCTCCAAGGATGAACTCCGTGGCAAGCTCGCTGAGATGTACAAGGCCAACAAGGACCAAGTGAACGTCTTTGGTCTCCAGACTCAGTTTGGTGGCGGCAAGACAACCGGTTTCGCGCTCGTCTACGATTCCCCCGAGGCCTTGAAGAAGTTCGAACCCCACTACAGATTGGTTCGTGTTGGATTTGCGTCGAAGATCGAGAAGCCCAGCAGACAACAGCGTACGTCCACTCCTCCACACAGACCCTGGATCCCGATTGCAGAATGCATGGAACTTTTGGCGGCGAATGGAATACTGACTGGGTGGCAAAACAGGCAAGCAACGCAAGAACAGACAAAAGACTCTCCGTGGTACGGCGAAGGTCAAGGGTGCATCCAAGAAGAAGGACAAATAGAGGATTATTTTTTTCTTCTCGGCGGATGGGGTATGGATGCAAATCGGTGTTGCGGAATTGGACCCGTCTGTTGTTTCGTCGCACTGGCCTCGTCCATCTTCGGTATATGCATGGCATCCAAGGGCATTGGGGAAATGGGGTGTTAATTCTCGATGAAACCTGAGGACTATACATTACAATCAAGGCGTTTGCTTCTCATCAAAATGGAGGTCATCTGTGAACATTGAATGGCCTCGATGCATTCAAGTGGTGAGCGGCTTGTGGATTGTTCGGGGAGCTTGGATTTCAATTGGAATCAGGAGTCAGGCAGGCTGGACACCAGGAGCTGCATCAAGCCATGGAAGTTTCCAAGTACAGCACACAACATGCCCAGCGATCTATCGACCCTCCAGTGGGGACTGCGGCTAAAGTTGCCGATTTCCAGCCAGTGACGGGAGAGATGCAGCGATTTATCTCTTGTTCGGAAGTCCTGAATCGGCTTTCTCTTTCCTCTGGCCTCTCGGCTCTGCTCGCTCTACTATCATTTTCAGCCCAGCCCATATTGTATGCTAAGAATGCTAATTCCGTATAGATCGGCATCGGGTTTGGCGACACACGATGGTAGGCGAGGCGAAGACTCTGATACACCGCTTCCCAACGATCTCACATCTACCGGTATCGGTTTTGGTCTTTTCTTTTTCCTCTTCTCGGGGACCGATAATCCCGTTCTATTTTGACACTAGGGCTTGAGCAGGAAGCAGAGCCTTCCTTCTCTTCAAAGCCCAATATCGTCACGGGATATCCTTACCTTCCTATTATATATGAATTTCCAAAGATACGCACGTATACTCGTGGGTTTTGGCAACAGGTACCTACGGAGCTGGGTTGGCGTCCCCAAACATATAGGCTTCAAGCAAGTCTCCGCTTATTATTCGCCGCCGAGTCGCCGGTTGCTAGCAGCAACAGCAGCAGAGTCCCGATTACTAAGCCTGCATACCACACAAGACAGTTGCAATTGAGGTTGATGTTGCCACGCGCTGGAGAAATCTAATTCCCATTCGATGATCATGAGGAAATATCTTCGTTGAACAGCAATATTTCCTTTCTGTCTCTGCCTAGGATCGGAGTCCGAACTACCGGTATAGCGGGACCCGACTGAGCTTCTCTCGGTAGTGTACCTGCTGCGATCATTGGAGGCTCCGATTAGTGTCAGAACTTCCAAATTCCCTATCAAGACAGGACTTGTCCTATCTACCGGTAGACAGGACTTGACTTGTCTATATTCTCCCCCTCGATGACTACATGTCGAAAGTATAATTTCGCAAGAGATCTTACTAGGGCTTGGTAAACCAATCAACTTATAAGGATTCAGCTTTGAAAAGTATCTTTGAGCTAGTATTTAGTCTATACAGTGGAGTTGATAGAGCTTTGAGCCATTAAGAAACCACCGGTCTATGACTTATGGGCCTAAACTGAATCCGACATGTATTCATGGGGGGGAGAGTACATACGTAAAGCATGGCTGTTCCTCTCTGTCTCTCTTTCTTTCTAACTCTAGGAGCTGTCTCTATTGACGTCCTGCCGAGGGCTTTTCGTTCCTAGCAGTCACCCATCCATTCACAACTGTGAGCATCCAGCCTCGCTCTACCCTCACTATGCGATCCACAATAGTATCGCTTCTGGCTCTGGCGCTGGTCCGGTTTGGTGCCGGCGTTCGCGGAGATGCATCAACTAACTACACGGACGCCCTCCTGAGTTCCGGCACGGTGAAGCTTGGTGACTGGCAAGAGGCATTCGATAAGGCCCACTCTTACGTCCAGACGTTGACCACGGCTGAGAAGGTGTCCATCATCACTGGAGGGGGCGCAAGAAACTTCAGGTACTACACGCTCCTGTGGCACCATAGACTGATTACTCTCCAAAGGGAGGCAAAGCAAGCCGTGACAGAATTCCGGCTGCTGGAAACACGGTCTCGTGCGAGTATGTACATATATACTATATACTAACCGGCTTTTGAAGTGCGATCATTAGGTTGAATTCGGCTACGAGCCCTCTCAAACACTCCTATGTGACGACCTGGCCTGGTGGATCCTCGATGGCTGTAGGTCCTTGGGCAAACAGTTGTCTCGGCCGTGATCGCAAGATATGCCTTGGCCCCTTCTTCTTGAACTCTTTGCTGACTTCCCTGGTATCTCTCTAGATGACCTGGGACAAAGATGCCATGGAGGCCCAAGGGAGAGAACTTGGATTAGAGTAAGTGGTCTATCTGTTGGCAGCCAATCTGTTTAAGATATACATATTTATATACATGTTTACTCACCTCCATATGAATTCGGCTATTTGGGGCCTGACTGACCTCCTGGGCTTCATTCTAGATTCCGTGGGAAAGGGGTACAGATGGTCCTGGCGCCCAGCCTCGAGCCGTTAGGACGCTCGGCATGGGGTGGGCGTACGGGAGAGTCGTACGGCGCTGATTCCTTCCTCAACGGCGCCATGGGCGGCCTTTTCGTCAAGGGGGTCGGCAGTGCAGGTATCATCCCCAGCTCGAAACATTTCATTCTAAACGAGCAAGAGACGAACCGCATGTTCAAGCTGCTCCCGGGAACCACTCTGCCCGTGAAGAAGAGGAGCCTAAGCGAACTAGCCGTGTCACGTAGACAGACGACCTCGACGACCTCGACCAATTCACCATCCACCGACGCTGACAAGGACATCTCGGGATACACCGTCACCATCGACGACAAAGCCTTCCACGAGACGTACTTGCAGCCTTTCTACGACGCGACCAAGAATGGAGTGGCCGGTACCATGTGTGCCATGAACAGTGTCAATGGCTCGCATGCCTGCGAAAATCAAGTTCTCCTTGGAAAGTACTTGAAAGTGGAGCGTAAGTCTAATAATCTTTCAATATAGGTATATATCACATCTGGGCACGCACGTGACTGACGATTGCTACAGTGGGCATGCCAGGCATCGTCGTAGGTTGATCAGACCCGGATTGCTTTCCTTCGATTTGCGAGCCCATCACTGTATGTGCTGACGCGGACACTTCCTCCAGCATGCCGATGTTGGTGGACAACGCACTGCTTTCAATGCTGCGAACGCCGGTCTGGACTACGGCGAGCCCGTATTATGGACCAACGCCACGATAGTTGCTGGCTTGACCAACGGCAGCTTGACGATGGAGCGACTGGATGATATGGTGATCCGTGGAATGATGGGCTACTTCCACTACAAACAAGATGAAGCATTCCCGGCCGAAGTTGGGTACTTCGACTATGTCGATGTGCGTGGCGACCACGCCCAGCGCGCCAGATCATACGCCGCTTCGTCCATCGTGCTGTTGAAGAACACGAACAATGCTCTGCCTCTGAGGGACCGACGCTCCGTCAGCATTTTTGGTACCCATGCTGCTCCACGCTATGTCGGAGCCAACACCGCTCTGATTGTCGTAGAAGGTGTTGGACCAACCATGGTCAGATATAATTTCCCCTTGATGCCCCCACCGACGTCTGAGGATCCGGACACCAGTCCCCAGATGATCCTCACGCTCTCCGAAATACTGACAGGAGACTGATGCTAACCTACTTGATAGTCCGGACATATGACAACTATTGGTGGAACGGCTATGGTAGGTAACGAGGGGCAGTGTCTCTTCCTTCTCATATCATTCATGATTGTCCCGAAACTTTCCTACACAGGCGATGGCTGCTGACTACCTCGTGTCCTGCCAGGGCTCTTTGGCTTATGTCACTACTCCCTTCCAGAAATTTGTAGAGAGAGCTGAGAAAGATGGCTTCATGTTGAGATGGTGGCTCAACGATACTACAACGACGCGGGTCGATTATCTTACAGGTCAACTAGGCTCCGAGTTAGTGGAGTCCACGCTTGGTGTTGCTGCTGGATCGGACGTCTGCGTTTGTTTCTTGAATGCTTGGTCTGGGGAGGGTGCTGACCGCCTGGAGCTGGCCAATGCCGAACAAGATACTCTCGTCAAAACTGTTGCTGACAACTGTAACAGTACGTGGTCATCCACCCAGAGTATTGTTTCCTTACTACGATGGCTCTGAATGTACACCAAGTACTCACGACACATCCCATCACTCTCAATACTTACTAAAGACGTATGCTTACTCCGAGAACTTGCAGATACTATAGTTGTTATCAATACGACTGGTATGTGACACCCCAGATCAGGCACTCAATGTCCAGCGTACTGAATTCTCGCGCGCAGGACCTCGCCTCGTCGACCAATGGATCTCGCACCCCAACGTAACAGGAGTCATCTACGGTGGCCCGCTCGGCCAAGAGTCCGGAAATGCAATCGACGACATCCTCTTCGGCGCCGTCAACCCCTCGGGCAAACTGATTCACACCATCGCCAAGAACGAGTCCGACTACGACAGCAACACTCGAATCACCCTAGATCTCGACATTGAGTTTACCGAGGGCAACTACATCGATTACAAGTACTTCGACAAGTACAACATCACCCCGCGCTTCGAGTTCGGCTACGGTCTCTCGTACACCACCTTCCAATTCTCTCCCGAAGTCACCGTATCGCCCCGGACCAGGGCTCTCGCCCAGGTCTACGCCGTCGGCGACCTGGCAGTGGGGGGTCGCGAGGACCTCTGGGACGTGGTCGCTACCGTCTCCAGCACGGTCTCGAACACAGGCAGCATCGCCGGCGCGGAGGTCGCCCAGCTCTACGTGCAGTTCCCGGCTGCGGCCGACGAGCCTGCGAGACAGCTGCGCGGGTTCGACAAGGTCATGATCCAGCCGGGCGCCACCGAGCCCGTCACCTTCGAATTGAAGAGGCGGGATCTGAGTATCTGGGATGTGCGCGCGCAGAGCTGGAAGATCGAGAGGGGGGAGTACGTCTTTTTTGTGGGGAGCAGCAGTCGGGATCTCAAGGCTCGGGCTACTCTCACGGTTTAGACTCTGGAAGGGAGGGAGAGAGAGAAGGGGGGGGGGGAGGATTATATGGAAAGCGCGGAGCAGGATACCTTGCTTGCTTGCTTGCTTGCTGTATGTAAATTGTAGCTGTCAACAATCAAATCCCCCTTCCCCACCTACGCGTCTCCCAATTCAAGCTTCCACCGAGAAACTGGGTATGCGCGAACACAAGTATTACAAACACATGAGTCTATCAGACGGGGACGCACGACGCAGTGAAGGAAACCATCAAGTGAAAAAGGGGAATCTCTTATGTAGTCTTTCCTCATCGAGTCATTTCATTTGATAACCTAATTCCCGGGCATTAGAACATCGTGTATCATACCTGTCTGTCTTTCATCGTGATTATAATAATCCGAATAACTGGCATTGAACAGCAGCCCCACTTAAGGCCCAGGCCTCCCGGGTCCCGGTCCTGGATTGCTCTGCGTGGCGCTGTACTTGGGCGCCGCGCCCTTCTCGTCCATAGTTGGCGCGTTAACGTCCGTAACACCGCTGAATTCCCCCCTCCCTGGACCGACAGCCGGAGTGAGGTTCTCGGCCATGGCGTCCTCGTAGCTGGGCGGTACGTCGTCGATTGCTGGCGCCCCGGGAGTTCCGAGTTGAGGCGGGTAGGCTGGGTCTTGGGGACGGGGTGGGACGTTGGGACGGACTGGTAGCGCAGGGGGCTGAGATGCCATGGCTTCCAGGAGGGCGGGGGGAGGGTGAATACCGGAGAAGATCTCGACTTGGAAGCGGAGGGGCAGGGCGATGATTTGAGGCTGATTATATTGGGCTTAGCCTCAAAGTCCATTTCGAGGTCGGAAGGAGAAGTACTTACTTGGATGTCACCAACAGTCCCGTAGCCCAGGCCAACCTTCACTTCCAACTCATACCTTCTCGTCAAATTGCACGTTCCGAATGAGGGTGCCACTGTGTTCGGCAGCGGAATCCGATCCCAGGGGGCACTATCGATCACCGTCTCCGTCTTCACAGCATCACTCGGACTCCCCACCGGTATCGACAGTCCCGACAGACTTATCAAAACCCACGTGCTCATCTCCGTCCTTGCAATATCCTGCGCCCTGACCTCCGTGTAGCCAAACAGCTGCACCTGCAACGAAACCAAGAAGACCTGTTCCGCGCTCTCATTTAGCTTCCTCACGATAAGCCGCAGCGGCAACGGCTCATTGCACGTCAAGATAGCCGGGGACGGCAATCTTGCGTCGATCTCGCCCTGAGGAGCCGTGTCCGACAATGGCGTCGGCTTCTTCTTGAACATTGATGGTTTTTTCAGGTGTTCCGCTAAGCCCGCCTGGAACTGGAACGGCCTTCTCGCAAAACTCTCATTTGTAGTCTTCGGCGGCCTGGGAGGCTCAATGGGCATAAAGCGGAACCCAAGGGCCGAGCGTCTGTTCTCCTTGAACATCGATGGCCGCTGCACCGTGACTTTCACAAAGTATCTGATTTCCGCCTCCCCCGGGAATCCGGTAAGAGAGGGCGGTAATGTCTTCTTGACATGCCTGTACTGCATCTGCGCCAGCCCTCCCAGGCCGAGCCCCCCAAGACCAGGCCCGATCTGCTGCGGATCCGCGCATCCGTTGTTAAAGGAGATCTTCATGCGGAACGGGTACTCGTGCTGCCCAGCCTTCAACATAAACGCCGGACCCATGGAACTCAGCCCGCCCGCGACGTTCGGGAACACCTGCATGACTTTGTACAGGATCTTGTGGTTCTCCTCCACGATGCCCTCGCGCCGGTTGCGCTGCGAGTACAGCGTATTCGGCACGTTCGGGGGGCGCATAAGCATCGTCCTGCTCTCGCCCTCCAGCTTCACGACAATGGCAGAGACACTCTCTTCGCTGGGCAGACTGAGGATGACCCGGCCGCTGATGAAGTCCAGGTTTGTGTAGAAGGTGTGCGGATCGTCGAGTTGGATGCGGACCGACATCTTGAGCGACGTCGGGGGGATTCAGGTGAAGTGGACCATGGGCGAGGGAATTCCGAGAGAGGTCGCCGCTCAGTATGTGGTTGTCAGTTTCTGTCTGTATCTGTATCTATTTCTGTTTGTGCGACCTTTGATGGGTGAGGTCGCAGCTCAGCCTCGTTGTATCTTTAACCCGGTTGCCTGGCGTCCGCAAGATTTTGGGCGCTGATTCGTTGGGGAATATTAAAGGACTGCCAAACGATTGACGATTGAATTATACAGTAAGGAATGAGGAATCAGGGATGAGGAGTGGTAGGAGTTGGGAGTAGTGTGAGGTTGAAGGCGAGAGGGATAGAAAGTCGATGCCAGCCTTGGAGGGTATGGAGGGGCACGTCAGTTGGGAATCCCGGTCTCCAGCCAAAGTCTTATCTTGACCTCAAATACTGACTGTATATATGTATATATATTATATAATATATTATATATATATACAATATAATATATTATATAATATATTATATAATATATATACATAGTATATACATAGTATATATTCCCAAAAATCATTCATGCATGCTGCGCCATATTCATACGCAAGCAAATACGCCATTCATTGCATGTGGCTGGGAAGTTGGAACCCGGTCCGCCATGTTACATTTGAGCTGGGAAAAAACCACCAGGCACCGCCGCCTCCAAACCCTTCTTTCAAGGTCCAGAAATAATGAGATGAAAGAAGCCATATTGTAAGACTGTAAAAAATCACTTCTAAAGCATAGCCCATACTCCGCGAATATGGAGGGTATCCAGAAGCAGAACCACCTCCTCCTCTATACTCCCACTTCCTATCGTGGCCCCAACTCATCCCAGCTTTTTATAGCATCTGCTTTCCCCTCGTCTCGATAGGCAACAAGATCATGGCAACGAAAGCAGCTAAGAACAAACCACCACTGACGAAGACGGGGGCACTTGGGTCTGCATCCGGGATATTGGCTGCGATGATCGGTGCGCAGAGCCCCGCGATGCGATTCAGCATGCTGGCGATCCCCGTGCCGGTGCCTCTGTTTGGAGCGGGAAATACCTCAGGTGTATAGGCGTAGAGTACACCTATCGAATGTCAGCTCAGACTCCAATTACGTGTGGCCCAAGGATAAGGATTAGCCAGGATGGTTCCGAGTACTCACCATACATGATATTCTGAAAGAAGGCCTCCAGCGACGAGAAAATAAGCTGATAGTCCGAATCCGACTTGAGCGTGAATAGGAACAAGAAGATCCCGGATAGCATCGTGGAGATGGCCATGGTACCCTTTCGGCCGATGTACTTGATGTCAACAGTCCAGCAAGCGATAATCGAGCCAGGAACACCGACGACAGAGGTAATGGCGTAGTTCCGGTAAGTCTCATTGACGCCGATAGTTACTCCACTGGAATCCGTCCCACGCGCGAGATACTGTGGCAGAAAAGCGTTAAATAACGGGTAGCCCATTCCGATAGCGAGCCAGGAGAACCAGACAAGCGCGGTCGTCATGCCCAGTTTCCTGTTTGCAAAGAGAGGGCCGATTCGCTCTGTTGAGAAAGAGGACAGCTTTCGCATTATGATCTGCTTGGTGGTAAGAGTTGCATCAGCTGCAACGGCAGGATCACCTCCGATCTCGTTCAGAATTTCCTCGGTGAGCCAGGTCGTCGTTCTGTTCTTCTTTGCCATCCCGTGAACCACAGCAACGGCCTCGGCTTGACGGCCTCTGGAGAGTAGGAACTTGGGCGACTCGTACAGATGAAAGAGGAGGAAGCGAGCCAGGAACATGACGAAAGTCATCGTACCCATCGTGTAGACAAAGTATCTCCATCCCTTGTCTTCGGCGTATTTGCCGCCCAGGAAAGCCCATCCGATGAGAGAAGCGACAAGCTGTCCAACGGGCCACCAGACACTGAGCAGTGTGAGAAGACCTCCTGAGGCGTTGGGGAGAAACTCCAAGAACAAGGCACCATCTACTGGGAGATTGCCTCCGACTCCGACTCCAAGAGCAGCGAATAGACCACAGGCTCCAATCCACGTAGGTGCGGCTCCAGATGCAATACCAAACACACCGGCCAGCAACAGCGTCATGTTAAACGCAATTCGCCGACCCATAATGTCAGATCCGATACCCCAGAAGCTGGCTCCGATACAAAGACCGATAAACAGCGACATGGTCGTGTACCTAACCGTCGTTTCGGCAACACCGAATTCAGCCTGCAGAGAAGGCAGCGTGAGAGCAATACCCTGTAGCCAAAGACTACGCAAACATCAGCCCCTGGATCAAAACTCTCACCAAATTAGGGGAGACGACATACTTATCCGCATACCACCCAAACCCACACAGGATAAACAGCTGGTAGTTATACCTCCCCATGCCAATATCCTGAATAGCCTTATTGATGACCTTACTTTTCACTAGCACACCGTCAGCCCTCACACACCCTTCAGCTGTCCCTTCCTCTCCTTATACCAAGGGGGGGTAGATCAACTATCACTCACAGTCATAAGCAGTATCATGGCCCCCGGCACTCAAATCCTCCCTCACCTCTGCCTTCAAGCCTTCAATGGTATAAGGGCTATACTCGTCACTCGTGGTCCGCAACATCCCATCCTCACGGTCCACAGCTGTAGCTGCATCTGCATCACCGTCACTGATCTTCTTCTCCCCACCCGGATCCAAACCTGAACCTAGACGGGGACTCCTGCGCCCCTCAGCCGAGCGCCGCCGCGCATACTCGGCCACGACCGTCGGATGCCGACTCGCCTGTGCGAGAGGGACCAGCACGTCGGCAAAGTCGTTGACGGAGAGGTCCTTCTCAAACAGTGTTGTGCCGAGGAACTTCATTTTTTTTTCTTTTTCTTTCTTTTTTTCTTTCTTTTTTTTCTTTCTTTCTTGCTCTCTTTCTTCTTCTCTTTGTCGTCTCTTCTCTCTCGCCAATTTTCACTGCTTAGAGATTCTATGTCGGGCGTAGGCGCCGTGATGATATCTCACATGCTCACGTGCATCTATCTATATCGTATCGGTGGTGTCGAAAGCTGCGAAGGGGTCTTGCTGCTATGGTATAACCAGGCAGAAGGAAACTTCCCTCTCGTCCAGTTTTTCTTCCTGTCTTTCCTAGTCCTGGTGGGTTCAACTCTGCTGTCGGAACTTTGGTATGGTGCTTGGGTCCTGGGACGGAGATAACGATATGTCGCGTTGCTACTGCTGCTGCTGGTGGTGGTGGTGGGCCGATTGTAGGCGCAAGGCAGTAGTACCGTTCATGCGTTCATTCGTTTTTTCTTTCAACAAAACACAGGCGTAGATGTGATTAATTGATCACGTGCAAGCAAGAGTCAACAACGTCGATGCTGGTAACAGGTAACAAATCAATTGTTTGTGATTGGTTTTGCTTTTGCTATTGCGGTTGCCGAGGCCGATGCTGATCTGTCGCTGCCAGTGTCGATATCGGAATCCTATTTTCGATGATCATAAGTAAGGTCAGGTAAGGATGGGAAGAGAGGTCAATCCAACTCATCAATTAATCTCTTGAGAATCACAACCAACGAAGGATCGAGCAAAACGAAGAAGTAAAATGGAGAGGGGACCTCAGTATTTAGGTTAAACAAACTCGACTAAAGTCTTGATTCGACTTGACTTGACTTAGCTAGGTAGCTTTTACTTACCTAAGCATACTTTGCCCCATGCAGCTAAGTAGTACGTACTTAGTATCTACAGAGTAAGCAGCCACTTTTGAAGTTCTCCACTCCCCCAGCCAACCAGCTATCTAGTAATTGTATCTACGTACCAACATACTTTGCACCCCGAAGATCCTCACTCACTCACTCACTCCAATGAAGCCTACCGACGGAGGTACAGCGGTTAGGTACGTAGTAGTAGTATGTAGTAAGTTTTCCGACCCACAACGGACGCTAGATTAACCGAGCCATTCCTTTTTTTTTTTTTTTTTTTTTTTTTTTTTGTGTGTGTGTGTATTACCGCGTTTAGCGATACGAAGCGAGGGAGGGACTGGTAAAGGTATTGCTCGATTAAGCCAGTTTCCGTAATAGGTCCGTAGTCATTCCGTAACTGCAGGCTGGACCACCCCAAAAAGATTTTTTAATAATACTAGTAATATTTTAGTCCCCCCCCAGGAACGGACGGACAGACAGACGGATAGACAATGCTGATTTTGACTGTTTGTTGAGTCTGCACGACGCCCCACACAGGCTTCGGTAAAAAGATTTAGACACCTACCTTACCTACCTAAGGTACCTACATGACCATTACTGTACGATATCTATTACGATATCCATTACGATATCCATTACGATATCCATTACGACAACCATTACGATGATGATAAGGATAACGATAACGATAACGCTTAACTAGCCATGTTACTTCGTATCTTAGCTAGATGCCTTTGCAGTGCGTGCCCCGAAGAAGAGAAGAAGAAGAAGAAGAAGAAGAAGCAGAGATCCTGTGTACGGAAATTGTTGGTTACACAATAGGGTGCATACGTGAGACTCGGTACGAATGGCAAGTGGTTGCATTCGTGGTGTTGTTAAGTCTCTAGGGGAGGAAGCTATTTTAGCTGCGAGGTGCAGTTACATGTAGTTGGGTGCATGGGTGCACGGGCCACCATGTGGTTGCTATGGCAAAGGTGCACGTGCTAAGCACGGGCCACCCTTATCCTCGATCGAGTCCTTAACTCCGATCCCTTTATTCCCACACTCGCAATTTTCTCTTTTGTAATTGCAATAGTTGCAATTGCAATTGCAATTTTAATACAAGTAAAAATAGCTCTCTTATTCCCAACGTTGTCGGTAAAAAATACTATCACCGTTCCTTCCAAATTCGGCCTGACCTTTCTATGCTCTTTCCACTCACCCTTCGACACGTACGTTAGCCTTGTTCGTATCAATGAAGGTCGCCAACGACTTATTTGGGTTGATTTTCGTTATAGAGTCGGCTAAATTATCCTTTCCTTTAATCCATCTGACCTTTGCAAGCTCTCGGCGCTCGTATGATTGCCTAAGGGCCATAATGTCGATCATTAAGCGCTTCTCCTTAATGGTTCCGAGCTTGATAAAGCATTCGTAGAGGGAATATGAATCGGTATAGACGACTATAAGGACCTCGAGGACTTCTAGCTTGTTAGTAATTATTTTAAGGGTAGTAGCTACGCAAATAGCAATATCTACACCGGAGACTATACCATAGATTTCCGAAGCAAGTACTAAGCGTATTACTCGCTTGCATTTTGTGGAACTAGCAGCGATGAGGTTCCTTTGGATGAGGAAAGAGCTATCAAACTTCTCTTCGGTTGCTAAGATGATTAGAAAACCAATTTGTAAACTACAGTCCTTATTATTAGCAAAACTCCCGTCCACAAATACGAATAGCTTCGCTGAACGTAAGTCGATGTTAAGGTATATTAAGCCTCGTTGCTAGTTTTCTATTATCCATGCAATTCTTTTGTTTAAGAAGGTAATATCGTCCAAAGTGAAGTCCTTTTGCTGGATCTGCGCGGCGGTAGATAAGTCGAAAATAGCCTCGAGCTAACACAAGCTTGCAATATAAGCTGCACGTGCTCGCTGTTCTAAGTAGTTGTTTCCATTTTCGATAACTAGCTCCAGCTTCTTCCCTTGGTCCTTCTGCTTAAGTAGAATCGAGCCATTAGCGAGCTTCTTTAGTGTTCCTCTATTGAATGTCACTTCGTTTTCCACTGTAAGCGTTTCTTTTAGCTTAGCGTTAAAATCAGCCTTCTCAAGCTCTTGCTCTTCTAAGTCATTGAACTCCTTGTCAACTACCATCAGTGTGTCGTTTGTTTGCATTCTAATGATAGCGAATTTGCTAGTTGTAAAGATCAACAAACAAGGGTCGTATATAAAGGAGACCATGAATAGCTTATCTTTATAGTGTCTGTAATAGGTGTCCTACCAATGGGTACTTGCCTCCGCAATTCCGTATAGAAGTCTACGAATCAGTAAGATGTAGCTCGAAGGGTATAAGTGTTAGAAGTCCTTAAGCAAATACGCCAAGATCATACGCTCGAGGTAGCGCTAGCTCGATACGTAAGCTTAAGTAATATCCCGCAAAAAAACTATTGCTTGATTAAAAGATTCTAGGAATAAGGCTAAGGAAATCATTAAACGCTAGCTATTGCGCTGAATAGTCAGGGATTGAGTAAGAATATCATATTTGCCTTCGTCGCTTTAAGCTTGAATAACAAGGCGTGATTTTTCGTATGGTTCGAAGGTATTCTTGCCTTTAACTTTATCGACCATTCGAGAGTTGAATATGCGGCTTGTTCCGTGGACCGCAAGGTTGTATTCTACAACCTTAAATACCTCCTTCTCTATTAAGCCCTTTAGCTCTTGGAGGCGTGATTCTACGAATTGCTCGCCGGGCGTAGTGATAACTCTTTCGTTTCTAAGCTTCGTAAAGAGCGCAACATCAGCCTTTTCTTTATAAATAAGGAATACTATGATGACATCACTCTCGTGATTGAGAAATTGCTCGTCAAAATCTTTAAACTCTTCTATACTTGCAAAAAGGTGACAGGAGCTGTAGCGAACTGCCAAACTGCCTTTCGGTTTGCGCGAGCGTGATCCAATCTTAGTAGCTAGAGTGGTAGGTTGTCTTATAAGCTGGACCGGTGGTAGTTCAGCTTTAGTTGACCGGTTCGGTGGCAAGGATTCTTCGAGGTTTGGCGTATCTGAAAGTGTTTTATAATACGGTTTGACAACTACTGAACGGAATTCGCTAATTCGGTCGTTTACGAATACCTTGCAAGTCTCGTTTTCACGTGCAATTAGCTTATGCGGTCCGGTCTATTCGCCTCTGCCTGGTTTACCTTTTACTTCCCTATAAACTCTGACGTCTGATTGCAAAGGGAGGTTAAGGGTTTCCAAGGTATTTGGTCCATTTCGCATTGCTAAGGCGTCCTTGACTTTTCTCTTAGCTTATAGTCGACGAATCTCTTTGGTTGCAGCTCGAAGGGCTTCTCGTCTCTTTGTTATAGACAGTGCTAAAGAATCTGTCTTAGAAAAGCGTAGGTATGCGCCGTATACGAGCAATGTAAGGACAATACCTTCGAGGCCGGCTGTATCGTTGATAGCTTTAAAAGCCATTTGGAGTACCATGTGCTTGTCAACTCCTTCACCTGCTAGTTCCTCTTTCAGAATATTGTATATTCTTCGGAGAGGGCCATGGTAGCGTTCCACTTTTCCGACGCTATTGTAAGCTTCGACTAAGACTACCTTGATCTTAGTATTCATCGAATTTGCTTGTTGTTTGAACTCTTGAGAGCTCAAGTTAGTTCCAGCGTTTATTACGATTACATCTAAAAGGCTTAAGTATGTATCGATCTAATAGTAACGTATTATATCTTACACGTGTTTTGCAGTCATATTCTTAAGGAATCCTCTAGAACCGTAGCTTGTAGCTGAATCCACGATATGTAATACGAGGTCCCCGTTAATATATATGATATCAACAATAATCGAATAGTTGAATTTATACTTATCTTTCAAAGAGATTTTGAATCTGCGAAAGGCTTGCTCATGTAGTTGACATTGCGCATAGTATTTAGTAATCTTCTCGAGGATATCGGTTTCAAACTCTTTACCGGCAGCCTTAAAGGTAGTAGCAAAACGCTGTACTAAAGGGTGTCCTTAGCGGCGATGAATTTAACGCAATTCTCCTTCGATGAGGTAGCATATAATAGTTTCTTGCTAACTAAGCAGTAAGAATGGGTAGCCCTATTTTCTAACAACTAGCACGCTGTTGTGGCCTTGCACAAGCAGGTTTCTCAAATTGTCAAAATACACGCTAAGAGAATCCATGTCTTTTAAATAGATTAAGAAAAGGGTATTAGTATTGACTATATAAAAAACAATCTTGCTAATTAGTGTTTGTACTTTCACGGTTCCTTTAATAATAGCCGAGGTCTCGCCGAAGCTGATAGTACTTTCTTAAGTAGTAATCACTTGTAATTCAAGCAAGTGATGCTAGAGAGCTTTTACTTGTGCTTTTCTTGCAAAAGACTTACTTGCAGCTCCCGAATCGGAAAGGAAGCCTTGGAATCGGTAAGCTGAATACCGGGAATGTGAAATGTAGGTCTTTAGTGGAACGGTCTCATCTTCCTTAATTGAAGGGTTCATAGCGTCCAAGGTGGTGAAAGCGTGGTAAGCTGAGCGTTTTTGCAAAATTGCAATGGTCTCGGCGCCTGTCACCTTTCCAGCCTCGGTAAGAAAGGTCTGAGTGAAGTAGTTGCGGTCACCGTGATCGTATTCGTCGTACTAATAGTTTTCAATAGCGTATGTTACCTGATCTTAGTGATTTTCTTCGTCTACAATACCCTTTACTCTTTCGTAGTCCGCTAAGAAGCTTGCAAAATAGGCCAAGGTCATTGGTTGAGTGGTGTAGTACGTAGCGCCTTTCTTGTACTCGTCGTAAGAGCGTTTTCGTTCTTCGAGGGAGTGTTTTGTAGACTAGCAGTCGGGTTTGCCGCAGATGAAGCATACCTTAGGCTTTTTACCTCCGCGGAAGCCTTTATTCCCTCCTCTACGTGCAAAACCTCTGTTCCTACCTCTGCCTCTATTACCGCGATTGTAACCTCTTAAGCCACGGTTATAGCTCCCACCTGATCCTTTATAGTTTCGATCGGTGTAATAGGTCTCGTGATTGTAATTAGTATCGCAATTGTGGTCGTTGAAAGCATGGTACATAGTAAGAGGAGCTGTGTATTCGAGTATTTGGCGCTCTCTTTGAATAGTACCGATTGCTAATCGTAATTGAGCAGCAACTCCTTCGTATGTATTAGCTGGGTTGAATATTGCTAGTCTGCATTCCTCGACTCTATTGCAAGCGCTAATAAGTTGATCGCGCAATACGTTATCGGTCTGGTATTCGAGTGTAAGGCCTTGCTAACAGCTTTTTAAAAGCTTTATCGTAATCTTTAAGCACTCTAGTCGAGTCTTCCCGATGTTCTCCTTGTCTGCAATGACACTAGCGAATGTAATAGTTCTCTATAAGCTTATGTAGTGCTTTCGGTTCTTATCGGTTTCGAAGTGTTGGGCCATAAGGTGTGTCATGGCTTCGAAAGAGTAGCTTTTGCTAGCTATTTGATCGATATAGTAAGCGTCTGCTGCTCCGGTAAGCATAACAAGGAAAGCTTTAGCGTATAAAGCAGAAGGGATGTCGCATGTTTCGCACAAGTTATAGAACTTCTTTAGCTTTACGAAGAGTATATCCCACATTCCTCCATTGTATTTGAGCTCCTTCTTATGTCCATACATCTTACTGAGTCCGCCAATCAGCTGCGCTAGGCTTGGTCTCCAGCCTCTTTTAGCTGATTGGTCAGGGTCTCTTCCATTGCCACCTCCGCCTCCTCTACCACCTCCTCCTCCACCTCCTCCTTCACCTCCTCCTCCACCTCCTCCTCTACCGCCTCCTCCACCTCCTCTATAGTTATCTCTACGGTAAGAGTCCTCCGTATGGTTGCTTCCACCATCATCACCTCCGCTTCCACCTCCTCCATTTGCTCTTCGTCTTTGAGGTTCGCGGTGTTCGAAGATGGGTGGTACGTAGGGTTGTCGATGAACCAGTGGGTTGGGTGGGGGTCGAGTCGGATGAATCGGTAGTAAAGGTTGTAGTCGAGGGTCAAGGGGTAGTCGAGGGTCACGGGGCAGTCGAGGGTCAAGGGTGAACTTCCATTGTCTCTGCTGTTGATAAGGTTGCTTATTGAATGGTATATCGAATTGTATATCATTCGGGGGTGGGGGTGGGGGTCGATACAGTTGGGGGTGTATCGGTGGGAGGGGTGGTCGTGTAGGTTGTATCGGTGTGAGAGGTGTAGGAGATGGTAAAGGTGAGGGTAGGGGTTTGACGGCAGGTCTGTATGTCATTAAACTGAGTCGCTTTTCTCGTCTTGCTTCTTCGTGAGGTGGAAATACAGGAAATGTCGATCTGTGAAGTAGTTTAGCAAGAGCTGAAGCATAGCTTACACCACTTCTTGGATCTTTCATCCACACGTAGTAGACGAAGAGGTGATTGTATAAGTATCCTAGGATTGTGATGTGACTTAGCTTGAACAATGGTTCAGTCCATCCTTCAAAGAAGCTCTGGTATGTCTCTCACAAATTGTCACTTGTAGCGTAGCGATAATCATCTTTGAATATATCGAGGGCTCGGATGATATACGAGTGAACGCAACCTTGGGTCCATTTGGTCTTGTCAGTGAGGTCGAAATTATCAGCTTCCTATACCTCTCGGTCGACTTTGAATTTGCCTCGGAGAGTCCATTCGAGTTCCTCGAAGCTACTTGCTGGAGGTCGAACGGATTTCTCTGAGAGGGGGGGAGGGGGGGGGTCTTCGAATTCGTGAGGGGGGGGATTTCTGTTTCTGTCATCCGCCATATTGGCGGTGGTGGTTGCGTGATGGACGCTACAACTGGTGATAGTACTGCCAATTGTATTGGGTTTCCGCTAGACTTGTTAAGAACTAACGGTTGCCTGTAGCGTAGTTAATACCTTTGGGGGGGCAAAAACTACCTCTTCTTTTCTGTACCTAGCTCATCTGTGGTTAAGTGTGAATTTAACCACTGATCAGTATTGGTTACACAATAAGGTGCACACGTGAGACTCGGTACGAATGGCAAGTGGTTGCATTCGTGGTGTTGTTAAGTCTCTGGGGGAGGAAGCTATTCTAGCTGCGAGGTGCAGTTACATGTAGTTGGGTGCATGGGTGCACGGGCCACCATGTGGTTGCTATGGCAAAGGTGCACGTGCCAAGCACGGGCCACCCTTATCCCCGATCGAGTCCTTAACTCCGATCCCCTCATTCCCACAGAAATCAATCAGAAAGCTGTTCCCCTCCTCCTTATGCAAAGAGAATCGAGGCCACCATGCAGATATCAGTAGGAATAAATGAGGTCGGCAGCCGACTTCAAGGCACCCCCTCCCCCCCCCGGAGTCCGACCAGCCCCCTCCCACCCTTTCCCAACTGGTCTTCTTCTTGACCTAGTCTCGCTACTACCACGTCCCAGGCGTAAGTATTCCCCCTCGAGGGTAAGGTAGGGTAACCAGGGGGTTTAACGTGGAAACTAAACTTTTGAGGCGCCCTCGAGGGGTAATACTTATGCCTGTACCGTGGTACTTCGTAATACCCCGGCCGTCGTAAACATTTGGAAAGTGGGTATTTTCTGGATTCCATATATGCTACAAAGAAGTGACGCAACAAATTTGCTTGCTTGTGGTGTCCGGGAGAAAAGGTGCTGCTGCGCTGTGTGAAAGGTATGTGTCGCTGGAAAAAGGTCATCATTTATTTCTCCCTTTCATCACCATCATCTCATCTCGTCTCATCTCATCTCGTCTCGTCCATCAGAAAGTACCCCCCCTCGCTCTTCCGTATCATCTTCAATCAATCCTCATACTCCAGCTCCACCACATCTGCTTTGAAATCTCATGATCCCGCCAACCTATCAGCTTACCAGGATTTTTGTCGGCCCGTAAATCTTACCGCGGCCTTTGATTAATTGCTCGAAAAACATCAGAAGAAGGAAAAGGAAAATGTGCATGCTCGCGCGTTGGGTATTGTTAACAAGAGAGGAGAGTTGGCCAGCCTGATGGTCTCGTCTTTCGTTCGGCAATGCTTCTTATGCTGTTTGTGGCGCGCCGTCCACAGATTCTTCATCGCCATTCATGTCAAGGAACGTGCCTCGGATGTTAGTTGGCATGAGAGAGCCATTCTTTGATACTCCCGAGACCCCACTGTCACCTTCTTGAGGATCGCGATCAAAGACAATGCCCTGGATATGGAGACCATGCTTGTCGCTCGCAGGAGCCTTCACCGCCTCCGTATCAATGTGCTCCTCGAGGTTCATGAGAGCCGGTGGCCGATGTCGCATTGCTTGAGCCTTCTGCAGAGAGATGGTGGTCTGCTGGTAAGTGGTCTTGATAGGCTCGGAGTGGTCTCGGTCAATGGTCGCCTTCATGAGCGCTGCCATCCAAAGGCGTCCTTGCTTGACATTGGGCACAGCGAAATAGTGTGTTGTAGGTTTGGTGAACGTAACGGCCCTAGCAGCGCCAGCTCGAGGAGGGACCAGCTTGAAAATGAAGATGGAATCGCCACTACCCTTGCTCAACGTTGATTCAGGCTCAGCAGCTGCCGCAACCTCCGCCATGGTGACAGTCTGGGTTCCAGCAGGGCTGGTCGGACTCGTCGTGGCTCCCGTAATCGCCGCTGAGAATCCTGTCAGGCGGTCTCCGTCCGCGGGTAGAACACGATGGAAGGAAATATCGATCAGACCCTTCTCTTCTTGATCGTCCTCCGAATAATAGTAGGAGAGGCGACGGCCCTTCAAGACGAACAACCGCGGCTTCCACGAGGCCATGATATTGCTACCCCTCTTCCTCATCCATCCACTGTAATCGGCACCTATCATCTGCTCCGCCGGAGTCTTCTTTTCCAAGCCGCGAGTGTACGCACTGGTCTCTTTCTTTGACTTTTTCCTAGCGTTCTTAGGGTGTGCTAACAGGGCGTTTGTGCTCTTGGAATCAGTTGAGTCAAGGTCCAGGCTGAGGCCACCAGATGGCGTGCTGGAGCCCGTGCGTGAGGGAGACATAAGGGGTGACTCCTTGATCGGAGAGTTCATCGGTTCAGTGGGGGACCTAAGGCGAGACTTTTCGTGACCTGTGACAGCATCCGAGATAGCTCTGAGACCGAATGATTTTGAGCTAACAGGCTTGATGGGGAGAAGCCAATCTGAGCCTCTGCCTTGTCGAGCTTCGGGTGATTTTGGCGCCAGGGTGTTCTCGTAAGGGTTACCCTCTAGTTTGGTGACAGTAGGGGAGTGAATATCTTTCGGGGGTGGCACTGGTCGTAGGGGAAGGTTGATGGAGTTCTCGGAAGGTGGTCGACGCCGGTCATTGGCCGTTATTCCATAGTATTTCTGACCAGCTGATGGAGGTTTGGAATCTCGGATCGAGTCTACACTGCCGAATCTGGAGTGTCTGGAATTCAAGGTAGAACTGCGACGTCTTTGCTCATCCGTACAGCTCGATTTGCGAGAGTGCGTTGCGGTAGCCGTGCTGCCTCTCTTTCGCAAGACGTTTCTGTACCGGCCTTCAGCCTCACCACCAGAGAAGTATCCTCGATCTGGAGAGTCGAAAGTTGTTGCGGGAGTGAATGTCTGAGACAAATGGTCCATTAAACTTCCATCGATCCTGGCACCTGATGATGAAAGCGGACGAACTAGGGTCGAAGGTGCCGCGGATCCCATAGTCCAGTTTCTATCGAAAGATGGTTTTTTCTTATGGGAAGCGTCTTCAGCCTTGGGAGATAAAGCCCCGTCACCTCCAAGGGAATACATGAGTGAAGGGGTGATATATTCGTTGACGGAGCTTTGTCGGATATGGTGCATATCGCGGACGGATGCAGCAGATGGCTTCCTTCTGTCTCCAACGGGTCTGGAGCTAGCCATCGGTGAGACAGGAGATGCCTTCGGAGAGATCGATTGATTCGAATCGTTGCGTATAAAGCGTTGCGACAAGCGCGAGCTGTGACGTGGTTCAGATCTTTCATTCAGACTCGGTATCCTAGGAAGCATAGTTGATGGAGAAATACCGTTACCCCCATGCGTACAAGCGTCATCTGATCCAGCCTCACTGCCACGGTATGTGGTGCTATAGGTTGCGGTGTTTCGCCTCGTGGAGCCTTCACCTTTCACTTCTTCCTGGAGTAGCTTGATCTTCTGCCATGTTTTCAATCTACGTCCCACATTTCCCAGATCGAACTCCTTCAAGAAGACGGAAGTTTGATCCATGCCTAACAGCACGTCTCCAGTGATTTCCTGATCGCGGAAGACTTCACAATGCTTCGCTTCCACGCCCGAGGTGAACAGATATTCAGCAACCTGGTCAGGGGTCCATGCATCAACCTCTTGTCGCGTGTGGAGTTGATCTTCTTCTTCGTCTGTTTCTTCGCCGTTGATATATGACATGCGCTGTTCAATGTGACTGCTATACTCACTGCCAGAGTCATTTGTGCCTCTTCGATCTTGAGCTGCTGCGACGCTGTGGTGGGGTGAGTTCATGTCAATGATATGCTCATCGATAACGCTCAAGGTCTCGTTCATAACCGGGCTATCTTGTCCACCGTGTGATTGCACGACTGTCAGCAGAGTCTTTGAAGGGGCTGCTATTTTCGTGGAAATTGGTGGCGGCGTGGTCTTCACTTTCTCCGGCTGTGTGTTTTTTGTGTCGAGCACTTCGCCTAAGCTAGCATTACGGCCTGGAGATGAGATCTCTGCGCCGGCCGTAGGCAAAGCCATCACAGGTTGCGCCGCTGTCGGTGATGTAGCTTCGGATATGGAAGGTACTGGCGGTGGAATGGTGTCTTGTTTCGGCGTTTCGAGTGACATCGCATGCGATCGAGGTGTTGCGCTGGTGGATGTCGGCGGGTATGAGGGAGGTCCTCGAGGAGCAATTCTGGTGTAGACTTGCGGGAGTCAGTCCAGGCCACAGGAAGAGGGCAGCAGTATTTATCCCCACCCACCTTCAGGAAACAATCCACTATTCCCATTTATGAGGTGCCGACCCAGGTACCAGCCATCGCCGAAGTCGTCGTCGCGCTCGATCAGCTCAACACGGTCGCCTTTCGATAGGCTCAACTCATCTGAGCTCCGGGCAGTGAAGTCGTCTGTAATTTCATTCACCGTCAGCTATGTCATGTCTTCGTTGTCTTGACCCCTTTCTTGCGGCGTTACATTGTTACATTGTATCGTTTTTCCACCCTTCATGGTCCTTGGGTCTCGAGCACTCAAACGCACCGCGATCCGGGTGTCACCATCCACTTACGAATCACAATAAGAATCTGGCCTGCATCTGGCCTGGCCTGGGGCTCTCGGGATGCCATCTTCCTCAACGCTACTACTTCCACCAGGAGGGGGGAGGGGGGCAGATTACGATAAAACCATCTGATGGAGCGAGGATTGAAACTTGAGGAGTCGAGGTCGAGGTACGGGGGTACGGGGTACGGGGTACTGCTGTTGTCTTTCTTTCTGTCTCTCGGTCTTTCCGTCTACGATTCAGGACTCAGGGCGAGTTCAGTCCAAGTCCCGTACGGTCCAGGTACGGGTACAGCTACTGGCGCTGGGTGTCTAGCTGGAAAGGCGAGAATGGGGCTCCGGAAAGGATGTTGAGAGTCGGAAGAAGAAATCAAGGTCGTTGCATGAAGCCAGCGGGTGGTTCTGCTGTCGCGAATCACACATGTATGGGGTCTCAACCACCACTCAGCCTGAGAGTATACAGCAGCAGGTATGGTAGGTATAGGGGAGTGGTGCTCCTGCTCCTGCTCCTGCTACTGCTGCTGCTACTGCTACTGCTGGTGATGCGCTGACGCTGATAAGGTGGGAAGGGTTTCGCAGGCCGTAACCAGCGGAGGGGAATATAAGACGGTGTCCGGGCGCAACGGAGGTTGGTGATGATGGGGGCGGGAGACAAACGGGATCGTTGAGAAACCTTGGAACTTGCTGGGTTGCTGGTTGTCTTGCTGGCTGTCTTGCTGGGCGGCTGGGCTGGACTGGGGTTGGCTTAAGCATGGGTTCAGTGGTGGTCGTGGTGGAGTGGTTGGCTCTTCGTCTTCGTCTTCGTCTTCGTCTGCGTCTGCGTCTTGTTCTTTGCTTATCTCGATCTCGATATATACGGATATACAAAGTATAAACTTCGGCTGTATATACACGCCTATATATATACACATATATAGGTAAGGGTACCTACCTTAATTACGTACCCGCTGCTAGATCTTAGAAGAGCGAGAATAAGCATCCAACATCCAAGATCCATGCCCGAGCCCAAGCCCAAGCCCCACACCAGACCAGACAAGACTCCCGGGCTGCAAACATCGACGTCAAATTCAGAGCCAATATCAACTCCTCACCTCTGCTGCTGCTTCTGCTGTTGATTCTGCTGCTGGCCGCTTACCTACTTCCTACTTCTCCGTGATCAGAAGTATGGAATCTACGCTCCCCGTCGAGACGTGTTGATCCGATTCTCCTACCTACTACCTACTTACTATCCGGATCCTCAACCCTCCCCTTATAATACCTTTTTGCGCCTGGTACATTCCTCCCCCTTCGTCCTCTTACCATCTCCTCCCCCGTACCGTAACAAATCCATCATCCGGTCCACGCAAATTCCAATCCTCGAAAGGCCCTTTCTTATCACCCTCAGGAACCATTGATCGACGAGCAAAGGAGCAAACGAGCAAACGAACGAGCCATCGAACCATCGAACAAACGAACATATCTTCTCTTCACACGCCGCCCGCCTTGTCTCACACCTCTCTCACCAGACAGCGATTCATTGTTGCGGTCCTGCCTCTGCCTCTGCCTCTGCCTCTACCCAAGTACATGCCCTCACTCCATTTTCATGAACTCAGCAGTCAATGTCCATCCCGGATCCCCTGGTCTCTATCCATCTGCATGATCAATGCGCCGACCGCCAGAGAAAGACGCGGAGGCAGCCTTGTCGGAGAGGGACGTGATCTCCTCGAATGCCACCCTCCATACTCTCTTTGGAAGGGCCAGGCAAAAGTCGTGGATGACGGGACCTGGAGCAGCGCTAGTCCGACCAACCCCTCGTACCAGCAGTCTCTCAAAGGCTCCAGAACTTCCAGCGACACTGGCACAGAAGTGAGCTCATGCGATACTGGAAAAGTTGACAAAAACATACAAGCTAACATTGCGCATAGGGGGTTATCGACCATCCTACCTTCGCCTGCTCCGAGTGGTGAGCCGAGCCCAGTCCTTTCGAGCAGCCCCATCAACGGTTTGCGAAACGAATCTCGAATCGATGTACGGAATGAATCTGACAGGCGTATCTCTACCACTACAATCAACGAGCCGACGAGCCGACGAGTCTCGGTAATGGAGGCTAATCGTGACGCTGAACCTCCCCAAGGGCCTCGAGTGAGTACGGCTATTTCCCGTCCGTCCTCACCTTCGAACGAGTCAGTGAATCCATCACCAGCGCAATCACGCAGACAGTCGGTGAACCCTACACAAACTGCCGAGATATCTACAATGGAGATCCCTCCCTTGCCGTCTCCGTTTTTCCTCCCATCAGAGACAGAAGGCCAAATGCATGAAGAAATGCTCTCCCCGCTCCCCGAGGCTTCATCACTTGCGCCGACTCCAGAGAACCACTCACTCCTCTTTCCGCAGACATCCTCACTTTCAGATCTTGGTTCAACATCTCGCCCAGCAATCACCCACCAGCAGGAAGTGGGAGCACCGAACAGTCATCAGATCTCCAGAGACACCAGAGAACTGTCACCCAGTCGAATGAATACGGCCTCTGCCTCGAGGACAAATGATTCCCAGCCACCAACTGCGCATTCCTATCCTAGCCCAAATATGCCACTAGCCCCGAACCCTAACAAGCGCCAAAGAACTCAAGCACCTGTCATGCCGTCTCTCAAGGGTAGGGTCATCTTGATTGAAAAATATATTGAGTCATGCGGCGGCTGGATGAAGTTGAACAGCGACCTGGAGCTTCTACGTTTTCAATTTTTGAAAGATGCCTGCGACAAAGAGGATCCATTCTACGTGGCATTGCACCAGATTTACTGCGCTTGGGATACTAACCGCGTAGAGGTTGCGAACATTCAAGGGTTTCCGCATCTTAACACATTGACCTTAGCCTTCCACACACTTGGACAATTGATTCGCGGTAACGAGCAATTAGCGGCTAGCCAAAGAATCTGGTTTTCCAAGTTCCCCAGTCCGTTAAGGGATCTTCTAAGAAGCTCAGAGCCGTACCGCAACCAGGTGGCAGATGTTGGGGTCTTCTTAGGGCGTCTGGCTAATCAGTGGGGTCCTTTGTCCGTGGAGTGCATGAGACGAAGATATCCTCCACTGGCCGATGAGTTGGTAGAAAGATTGGGTTTACTCTCCCCAATTTTACAATCGATTGCGTTCACCGCCAGTCGCCGCAACCTAGGTATCAGGGATGAAGAAGCAGGCACCACAATGGAGGACCTCTTCAGACGGGATCAGCGGGAACACCAAGCACTGGCGGCTCGTTACAACACAGCTCGACCGCCAACAGCTAGAGAGGTACAACAGCGGAACGCTACCCTCGCCAAGGAATACTTGACACTGTACAATCAATTACTGCAACAACGCTCTTCGGCTGCCATGGCTGGAACCCATGTTATGAGAAATCCATCTCCTGTAATTGCTAGTAACACACTGGCTGGAAATGGCACCCAGCACCATCACCTTATGTCTAGAGCCCAGCCTGTCGAAAACTCAGCTGCGTGGCACCAAAACGTACCCAGCCCGGATCCCAACGCAAATTGGCAATCCGCCAATCATAATCAGCAAGTACCAACTCGTGTATCAGACAGCTCTCCAAATCCATTCGTAATGGCAAGTCATTCCCATAGCGTGGGAGGCTACCGGGTCTATCCAAACGCCCCAAGCCCACCACTCCTCCAAGGCCTTTCAATGCAGTCTCCGTCTCAGCAAGGGCTTCAATCTGTGCCCTTGGCAAGTAATCATTTACAGACGCAGCAGAGTATGCAGCCGGCGTATCCTATGGCCCCTGCTGCAAGACGCTTTCAGCAGCCGACGGATATACAGCAATATGCCCAATATGTCCAAACTGCATACCAACAGCAGCAGATTACCCAGCACCTCACATTTCAACAACAGCAGCAGCAGCAGCAGCAGCAGCAGCAGCAACAACGACAGCATCAACAAAACATAGTGCCCCGACAGCAGTCGCAACAAATTATAAACTTCCTTGCCAATCAGCACGGAGCTGCTCCTCAAACTTCTTGGCCTCCAAGCCAGCCCTCGTTACCCCAAAATGTTCAGTTGGTGCGTCAACAGCCGAATCAAGTTGGACAACAAATGCCTGACCCGAGTCATCATGATCAGATGAGACATGGCAGCAACGGAACCCTCGATGCCCTGCGGCCTCACGTCAGAACTAGCGGTACCGGCAGCAACGGGCCACAGACTCCATCAGTAAACCTTCCTGCCAGGCCTCCAACCAGGATACCTGCACCACATGCCCTGCCTCTTGGTAGGACCATGCCGGACCCTATTACGACATACAGCCAGAAACCTCGAATGGCGCGAGGGCTTATCCCTCCTCTGCATTATTTGCACCCACCGCAGCCTATTGTTCCTGATACGATAGCCTTACATCAGGCCCATCTTCGCAGTCCGCGTCTAGTTGCTGCTGATGTGCCTTCTTCCGGTGTCGCGTCAGACAGTCCAAGTCTCCGCTTTTACCAAGCCATCAGAGAATTTGCTCTCCCACCAACGCGGATACCTATGAACACTCCTCTCTCGAAGCTTGAATTTAGGACTCCCAAGGATCAGCTTTCGCTAATTGCCCAAGACATTCGCCATAGTGATGGCCAAGTGCCAACTCGTAACTACAAGCGCGGTACGCTTCAATATCGCTTGCGCTGTGTGAAAACTCAGAGAACCGATTTGAAGTGCTCGATTGCAGATTGGGTCCTGTTAGACACGGTCTGGCCCGAAAGTGCATCCTTGTCCATCAATCAGAATCGGCTCGAATTGAGGCGCAAGAGCCACCATGGAAAAGATCAACCCGTTGATGTTACAGCCTGCGTGCGTGACTCTGGTCCTGATGGCATCAGTCAAGTTTCACTATCGATCATCAGAGGCCGCTCAAAGTGGAAGGAATTCGGCTATTTCATAGCTGTAGAGCTGATCGAAATTCTGCAGCATGACCAGATTGTCGAGATGATCGGCAGCAACCGAATCGCTGCAAACGTCACTTTGGAGAATATTAAGAGAAACCTAGCGGGGCCGGCGGACGACCATGACGACGATATTGCCATGGTTGTCAGTGATCTTTCAATCGACCTGGCAGATCCCTTCTCCGCTCGTATATTCGACACGCCGGTCCGTGGAAGCAGCTGCTTGCATCGAGAATGCTTCGACTTGAAGACCTTTCTCTTAACGCGAAACGGCAAACCAAAACGCCAAGGACAGCCATGCATGATTGATGTCTGGAAGTGTCCACTGTGTGGCAAAGATGCTCGCCCTTACAGTCTTGTCATCGATGACTTCCTCGTCTCGGTACGACAGTCGTTGGAAGCTCAAGGAAACCTCGATGTGAAGGCTATCTGGGTTGGAGCGGACGGTAAATGGCGACCTAAAACTGAAAAGCGGAAATCCATGCGTGATCCGAACGATAGCGACTTCAGTGACGATGAGGGTGACGAAAAACAAGGTGATGCCCCGAGAAATCCAAACCCGCCATCAGCGAGTCGGGTGGTGATAGAACTCGACGACTCCTGATTTGTTTCATGTGATTCCTCTTTTTTTTAACTCTCTTGATTGATTACTAGCGGGAGTTGCAGTCTAGCTTGAGCGTTTGATTTTTTCCGCCTCAGTATGGTTGGATGGTTGCTGTTTGCAACATACATTGTGGTCGGCATACACGGTAGGATCCGCTTTGCAAGGGAAGGGAGATTCAAAGGGGAGTTTGGGCTTGGGCCTGGAGTTCAACGGTGCACTGTCTTGGCTTAGCAGGCAGCATCTGGAGTTTTTCTCGCTTAGTCTGTTTACTTCGGGAATCTAAGGATAGGACTAGATCAGGGCTTGCGACGGCGGTTAGGCTACCGCATACCTCCAAAGACATTTGGTAGACACGCCTCATGTATATCTAATTTTCTAATAAATTAGTGTAATTTGTCTGAGTAGCTTAAGATAGATGCCGTTCCTCAACGAATCGAGGGCGTGCTTCTTGATTTTTCGGCTCTTTATTGCAACAGCCTTGGCGGAAGAATGAGAGGGGAAATACATGATGGATAAATCGTAACGTACGATAGAGAAACACTATCTATCCATGCTTCCCTTGCCTCTCTCTCCTACGAGCTTTGGCATATGGCCTCGAGAAAAGGTAACCAAGAAAATTACCTTTCTTACATGCGTCTCAAATGACATGCACGGATGACATCATCGATATCAAACATTGTAATTATCAAAGCCGCACGTGATCACGCGCCGCTCCCTTTCCCTTCCCTTCCTTTTCTGGGGGGGTTCACGATATCTGGAAGCGAAAGTTGGGATTAATTGCCTCCAGATACTCAACACACAGACAAGACACACACACACGCGCCCACAGCCAACGCTTCACGAACATGTGCGGACGATACGCCCTTGCTCTACGGCCGCAGCAGGTCCGCGCGTATCTTGAAGAAGGGGGCGGCGGATATATGCCTGTTGATGAGGCGCCTGGAGATGAAGGGGACGGAGACGGGGATGGGGATGGTGCGTCGCGACAAAGCTATAACTTCGCGCCGGGCTATTACGGGCTGGTGTACCGCGCTGACGTGCCTGATTGCGGTGCTGGGGGACGAGAGGGGGGAGAAGAAGACGCGGATGCTGCACCGGCACCGGCACCGGCACCGGCACCGGCCGCCGGGCAACAGGGGGAGAAGAAGAGAGGAGTGGACGTGGACGTGGACGAGCGAACGGGTGGCGAGGTGAGGTATCGACTGCAGTCGATGAGGTGGGGGCTTGTGCCTTTCTGGACGAAGCGAGATCCTGGGTATGGGGGCACGATGAAGACGATCAATTGTCGGGATGACTCGTTGGTGGAGAATAGGGGCATGTGGACTACTATGAAGCAGGTGGGTTGAGTGGAGCCTGTTGTTGTTGCTGTTGCTATTGTTGTTGCTGCTGTTGTTGTTGGGTTTCTTCTTTCTCTGCGCTGAGGATGCGGATGCGGATTGGGCTGGCCTGGGATAGCTGACGACGTGTCTATGGTTTTTTTATTTTCTTTTCTTTCTCCTGTTTTCTTTCCTGGAGAGTCAACGGCTGACTTGACATCACGTCGCCTGTAGAAGAAGAGGTGCGTGGTTGTATTTCAGGGGTTCTATGAGTGGTTGAAGAAGGGGAAGGAGAAGGTGCCGCATTATGTCAAGCGCAAGGATGGGCAGCTGACGTGTGTCGCGGGCTTGTGGGATTGTGTTCAGTATGAAGGTTTGTTTCCCTGTGCTCTCGTTGATATCGGTGTGGTCATGTGTGTGTGTGTGATGTTGACCGAGTGTGTGAACAGGCTCGGCGCGTAAACATTACACTTACACGATCATCACCACTGATTCCAACCCGCAGCTCAAATTCCTGCACGATCGCATGCCTGTCATCCTGGATAACGGATCAGAGGATCTCCGCACCTGGCTGGATCCGAAGCGCCATACTTGGTCCAAGGAGCTGCAGGGCTTGCTGAAGCCGTACGAGGGGGAGCTGGAGGTGTATCCTGTAAGCAAGGAGGTGGGCAAGGTGGGGAACAACTCTCCGAATTTCATCGTCCCAGTGGCGAGCAGTGAGAACAAGTCGAACATTGCGAATTTCTTTGCCAAGGGGGCTGCGAAGAAGAAGGAAGCCTCGAAGCCTTCGACGGCTGAGTCTACAGAGGAGACGACCAAGCAGAAGGCAGCTGAGGAAGATTTCAAGGATGAAGAGGTCAAGGAGACCGATTCGTCAATGCACATCAAGCACGAAGAAGGCGAAGACCGCAAGACCATCGATCACGAAGGCTCGGAACACAACGCACCTCTTCCCGTCCCAGAAATCGAGTCCAAGAAGGGTATCAAGCGAGAATTAGACGACGTACCAGACGAGGAGCTGCCCAGGAAGATCCCAAAGACTTCGACTGCGAGTCCTGGCAAAGCAGCCAAGACAGGGAGGAGCAGGAGTTCCACGAGCAACAATACAGCGAGTCCGTCGAAACCGGGGAAGGGGGGTGGGAGTCGAAAGATCACGAGTTTCTTTGGGAAGTGATGGTGGAAATGAAAGGGGCTTGGGAGGGGGATAAGGTATACCATACCAACGGATAGCGCTTGGCGTTGGGGTTTAGCGGCGCTTTGTTTTGATATTGGAGATTCGTCCTTGTGGTCTGAGGATTTCACAGATCGTATGCTGTAGATATGCTTCAAGACAGTGGATGTGTTACTTATGTGCATGATAGAGTAAATAAATTTACCAACGACCCTCTGTGATTAAGTTTTCCGGTTCCTATACGAAGAAGCGCTATTGTCTGGAGGAGGAGGTCGCGTCTATAGCGTACGCCGTATGATGCTCTGGAATGAGCTCGATCAGGTTTCCCGTTTCCCTGTTGGTTTCGTTTTCCGATTCCCTGTTAAAGCTCATGTGAGGCGTTCTTTTCTTGAGCGCCGGCTCTGCTGCATACCTGCTGAGCTGGCACCAGACTACACGATGCTCACCGCATCGGCCTTGGAGCTAGCAGAACAGCAGTAATTGGCAGAAATTTGGTGGCACTTTTAGATAGGAACCCCCATGCTGGGCAGGGATGACGTATGCAAATCAACAATTAGCCGAACAGGGTGGCCGCCCCAATGGTAAACAGAATACCTATATACCAGAAGAAATGTATCTATGTACAGCGTCTGAAGCACACAAACGAGGGGATTCTGCCTTCAAACACTCACTGCCCAACGGAGTCGTGACTGACGATACGTAAGGAGCATTGGGTACTGGCGCTCGGCGTGTGGGTAAGCAGAGGTGGTGGTGATCTATGTTACAGGTCCGAGACTTGAGCTATATTTTCGGTGAATTTGAATAACCGCAGGCATTAACATACTCCAGTGAGCTGGTTTGAGATTCGTATGCCAAGGTCTACTCTAAAGGTAGAAAGCCTTCATCGCTGAATTAGTTTCAAGCCACATCTATCGCTAGCTTCATTATATCCTCTTTTGGTTAAGTATCCCTCTTTCCTTACTACCTCGCAACCAGACATCCTTCAGAGCCGCAAACGAGCACGAAAGTAACAGAAATCATCGCGCAGTGTACGTACGAAGGCGTTACCATAGCTACAGTAGTAGCCTGATACGCAAGTCGTGGCTCCAGTCCAGCTCTGGCCACCACCTACAATCTTGTCAGTCTATTTATTGTAAATCGACATTCATTCTCACTTGGCCTACACTGTTGGTACGCGCCAGCCTGTGCCGAAGCTGTTGATAGAAGTGCCACGTCGGCGATAAAAGTATTCTTGAGGCCCATATTGAAGATATAACAAACAGTTGTCCGAAGATTGTTGCTAAGAATGAAGTAGGACAGGACAGTCGGCTAACCTTTATAGAACGAAGCCATCTAATGTCTGGGTCTGCTACTTCTTCGAGCTCCGTGTTAGCGGAATAACACGGCCGGCCTGGAAGAAGCCCCGAACAGCCTGTGAAGTCACAAATAGCATAGAGGAGGTCTATCAAGGAACTGTTGGGGTGCAGGTCCGCTGGACAGGCACACTTGGACTCATTCCTCTTGGTTTTCCCCATCATCAGCGAATGGAAACATGCCCTGGTTTCCCACCCTGCGTGATACGCGGAAGATCTAATCGTCGGTTAGCTTGAATGCAACTTGTAAAAAGATCCGACCTGGGACGATTACTCCAGTGAGGTGTAACCAAACAGGCACTGATTTCAATGATGCAGGAACATCACTTCAATCCACGGAGGAAGTTCCTGGGTCTGGATGTAACGAGACGTATATCGACGAGTTGAAGACGTTCTTATAGTGCAGGTAAACGAGCCAGCGAAGTAGGAGAAATACTTGGAGGAGGCTCTTACAAGACGAACAAAATATATGCAAGACTCCCATTCAAATCTATCTATTTAACTGATTGAAAGACCATGAAGCACACTCGATGCGCGACAGAAGATCGCTTGAAAAAAAAAAAACACAGTTTCCACGTCGGGTGCCGTGCCCATCAATCGAAGCTGTTCAACACTTACTTCAAACCTCGCACTAGAAGTGAGGAACCGACACGGAGAAGACCAATCGAAGAAACCCAACTCAAAAACGGGCTGACAGGCTTGCAGCTATGTTCATATATCCAACGAAGTGGCGAGTTCACCTTTCGCGCGGACGCAAACCTCTGTACGGGCAGTGCGAAACTTGATCGCACGTAGAAGAATCCCACGAGAGGTTTTTGTTGTCCATCTTGTGCTACGGACGTACCAGCCGCGAGGCTATCGATGAATCAGCCCTGGGGTGGCGAGGATTTTGTTGCATCTCGCAGTCTTGTTTACTTCCGCTTTGAGCGAGATCAGAGTGGTTTCGCTGACTTGACCGAGGACAACGATGCTTCTTTGTTGCATATCGTGGCTCTGTTTACTTCGCGTAGAATAGGTGGCTGGTTACCAACTAGCGATATGGTCGACGCTTTAGTTGCATATCGCAGTCTTGTTTACTTCCAATTCGGGCGAGATCAAGTATTTTCGCCGAGTTGACCGAGTAAAACAAAGCTTTTGTTGCATATCGCAGTCCTATTTACTTCCGCTTTGAGCGAAATTCACGTAGCTTCCTCGAGTTGAGCGAAGACAGCAAGGCTTTTGTTGCATATCGCAGTCCTGTTTACTTCCATTTCGGGCGAGATCAAGTAGTTTCGCCGCGTTGAGCGAAGACAGCAAGGCTTCTGTTGCATATCGTAGTCCTGTTTACTTCCATTTCGGGCGAGATCAAATATTTTCACCGAGTTGAGCGAAGATATTAAGGCTTTTGTTGCATATCGCAGTCCTGTTTACTTCCGCTTTGAGCGAAATTCACGTAGCTTCCCCGAGCTCCGCGAAAGAAAGCAAGGCTTTTGTTGCATATCGCAGTCCTGTTTACTTCTACTTCGAGCGAAATCCACCTATCTTCCCCGAGCTCCGCGAAAGAAAGCAAGGCTTTTGTTGCATGTCGCAGTCCTGTTTACTTCCGCTTTGAGCACCATCCAAGTGGCTTCATTCACCAAGAAGGCAATAACAAAACATCAAAGAGGCAACCATATTTTCGTTGCACATCGCAACCGTATTTACTTCCTCTCGCCGCGAGCGAGGAATATTCGTGGCGTCGCCGAGGAAGGCGAGGAGAGCCGGGCTCTCTCGTTGCTGCACGTTGTTGGTCACTGGTTTTTGTCGACGCTCTGGGCGATGACTACGAGGATGGCAAAAGACGCCGAGTACTTATCAAGCCGAGCGAGTGCATGGGTGGTGAGCGTAGATACTTTCTTTCTTAGTTCTTGGGTTAATAAAGTAGGTAGCCTGATCAACGTTCTTCTGCGAGATAGCCGTATATGATCTATACAACAGTCCTGACTCGAGGCAGTAGCAGCAGAAATGAGGTAGCTACTTTCTATCCAAGTTGGGCTGTTATGAGCTGATAACTTCTTCTGAGGAGACAGGTAGGTTAGGTATTGAGGGTTCAACTTATACCCAGGTATTAGCTCTCGAAGACGTCGAACTGATACAAGTCTGTGAAGAGCTCCTTGAATTTCAATCCTATGCACGATTGATCTACAACAACAGCTTTGTCCCATCGCCAAAAAATGCTAAGAGGGGGAAATCCATACATAACCGAGTAAGCAAGCATTCCTCTTCGCCATCCCATCCCGCTCCCCCGACTCTCGTAGGATCGAATTCCCATTGCTTCCAGCACCGAGGCCATCAAGGCTGAAGGAAATATGGGGAAGAGAGAAGAGTCTGGAAGCAAAACGACACGAAAAATTGCCAAGACCTCCTTCCTTTCGGGTATTTCAACCGACCCAGAAAATGCAATAACGCCTCGCTCGCAAACGAAGGAGAGCCCCTTTATATCAATCACAACCCACCGCCGATGAAGTTCCAATTATGTATTCATATATGTGTGTGTTCGTTCGTTGATGCCATCATGCCATGTGCCAAATGCCAATACGTTACGTCCGTCCCAATCCAGCCCTACGCGGCGTGCCAGCTGACACCCAATTCCTCGCTCATTTTCTTAAAGCCAGAACGAAAAGCCACTCGCGGGACGGGTCGAAGTTGCAGAGATGTTGGGCACTCAGTCAGCTTCTGCGAGTTGTATGATCAACTTGGATGCCAGATCCAAGAAAGGGAATGGTGAGGTAATGTCCTTCTCCTCGAACATCGTGCCCTCAGCAGTTTCGTATCCGGCACATTTGAAGTCCACCAAGTAAACTCCAAGCTCCATTTCGTAGAGTTGGATGTCAAGGTGCATGACCACGCTATCAACTGGATCCATTTTGGAGGCGGATCTTGGAGGTGATGAAACGTCTTGGGAAGGGGAGGAACCAGTAGCGCTGCCCAGAGAGGCGATGGATTGGCGTCGTAGGTCTATCGAGGATGAGTGGGTGGATCCAGGATACATGGATCCAGGAGGATACATGCCCTCCTTCTTCCACCGGACGCGGATAACCCAGGGGTCCGCGGGGAGTTTGTAGCTGGCTTTTGGATCTACGTTACCGAAACGTATGTTCGATGATGAGCGATCGTTCGGGCCAATAGACTCGGCGTGATGTAACGAAGCTCCGCTTCCGTTAGATACGAAGCTGTTGTTGTTGGTTCTAGGAGAGTTAGAAAACTCAATGGGCTGGCGTCTTACGCACCTGTCATCTCCTACAGGGTCTCTTCGGAAAGGCTCCCAATCTTCATCTACAGTCCACTCGGCACCAAGCTTTTGGAGAGCTCTATAGATACACCCAATTGCCTCAAGCGGTTGATTCCGTGATCGAATACCAAATTGCCACTTGGTAGGCTTTGCTTTCTTTTGGGGAACTGGAGTCATACCTGCAGGTCTCTTGCTAGCTTCCTCTAGCTTGAGCTGACTGCGAGAATGCGGATTGAGGCGACGAGCAGTTTCTGCCTTCTCGGCATCGGTCTGTGGTTGTGGTTCGTCGATTTCTGAATGTGCCGTCGAGAGCGTACTGCCAATATTTCTGCCGGTGTGCTTGGCTTCCATGAAATCTCGGTGGTACGCTGGTAGACTGCTGGGCAGGATGCCGATCTTGCTAACATAAGGGCGAGTACTTCTTTCTGTTGTGATGGAACTAGAGGACAAAGGCGACACTGTATCTACAAGTGGACTTGGACGTACAGGAAGTATCGTTGGACTGCCATGAGCTACGGGACTGCCATGCGGCTCCTTGACGATTGGCGAAGACGGTGCAGAGATAATATTTCCCAGCTTGATCCCGTCATTCCAAGCTGGTGGGGAGGGTACTTGAAACAGCAGTTGACCCTTGTCATCCGATAGATTTGCTAGAAGACGTTGGTTTCTTAGTGTAAATTCACCTGGACAAGAACCCCCAGGAGACAACAGGGACTCACGATTAGCTTGCATCAACTTATTCTCTCTGACGATCAAATACGCATCCTTGATAGCAGATGGTTCCTCAGCAGCCAGAGCTTCCTGAACGTCCTTGATACCGTAACCCATCGTCTTACTGATCTTCTCGGTGACCTGGTCATGGAGCTTTTCCTGGACAGCTGGACTAGCGTGCGGAGCTATCAGCCTCGGAGTGATAGCCTTGCTGGGATCCACACCGGTATCCAAGAACTCTTCGACAGGAGGTTGCAAGTACGCCGGTAGGTTCTTGACAAACCACGGATCCTGTCGAATATCTTCAATCGTAGCTCGATGAACCGGGTTCACAGCCAACATCTTCTTGATCAGTGACGAAGCTCCCGAGCTCATATAATTTGGAACCACGTAATGTCCCTTGGCGATTTTTGCAAAGAGAGAAGGGATGTGTTCGTCGTCGAAGGGTAATCTTCCAACCAGCAAGACATATAGAATGACGCCGCAACTCCACACATCGACTTCAGGACCAGCGTATAATTTGCCGTTGATGACTTCCGGAGCCGCATAGTTCGGGCTACCGCAACTGGTTTTCAGGAAATTGCCGTCCGTCATGATATTGCTCAGCCCAAAATCCGCAATCTTGACATTCAAGTTCTCGTCTAGGAGCAGGTTCTCGGGCTTGAGATCTCGATGCACGATCTTGTGTCTGTGGCAGTATTCGACGGCGCAGATGATCTGCTGGAAGAATCTCCTCGCCTCATCCTCCTTCATCTTGCCATTCTGGACGATGTAGTCGAAGAGCTCGCTGCCGGCATATTCGAGCACCATAATGATTTCGAGTGGCGTCTTGATGACGGTATACCTGCAGACAGACGATCAGCCTAATTCCCATCCGCGACCTCCTGGAGCAGATTAACTCACAGCTTGATGATATGGGGGTGTCTGAGCAGTTGCAGATACTCAATCTCCCGCTCCACGCGGCCAGCCATATCCCGACTGATGAGCTTCTTCCTCGCTATGATCTTCAGCGCGACCTGCTGGTTCGTGATGCGGTGGACCGCCAGCTTGACCTTGCCAAAGGAGCCTTCTCCCAGGGTCTTGATAATCTGGTAGGCACCGATACGCTGTTCGGCCTTCTGCTTCTGAGGCGCTGGCTCAGCGGAGCAGTGGTCGTTGCCATTTGGGCGGCGTGAGCTGGCATCGGGGGGTTTGTTCTGGGCGCGCCGGTTCGCAGAGGGAGCGAGAGAAATCTCGAGCTCACCATCGTCGTAGCCCCCGTGAGGCATCATGGCGGGATTCTCTGTCGTATATGGTATTGTTTGGTTTGGTTGTTTTGGCTTGGGTGTTGGTCTGGTTTGGGGGTATTGTAGTTGGAATGGGAGGAGGACGAGGAGGGATGTCACGCAGTGCCCCACCAACACGCAGGCGGGAGCTTCAACAGTTTAGGTGAAGGGTAGAGGCCGTCAGTGTGAAGAGCTGGATGCTTGGAGAAAGAGTTAAATTATTCATTAAGTTATTAAGGGAATGCTGCAAAGCGGATCAAGTAACCAGAGTAGCAGCGTTCGTTCTTGAGAGAAAACGTTCGTGTCGCTTGATGATGTTGGAAACGTTCAGAAAGTGATGATGGTATCGCCGCGATAGCGGTCCGGGGGCGCTGTCAACATGTCTTTAAGCGACCCCGGCTTCCGGCTTTGTGGGGTAAATTGGGGCCGAGTTGTGATAAACTCAGCTTGCTGTACGCAGATGTTACAAAGGATTACTAGGTAAGATAGGTACTTAGTTAGGTAGGTAGGTAGGTAGGTAGGCGAGGTTAGTATTTATTCACCTTTTGGATGATTAAAAAGTTTTTAAATAAAAATAAATAAAAAAAAACCCTGGACCTTAGCTGGGTTTATTCAAAAAGTACTTGTAAATTTTGCAAATCCCAATGTCGTACACATGACAGCTACTGCAGGCTTTCGCAGTCCTGACTGATACCTTAAGCCCCACCCGACTCTTCTCAAGAGACTGGTCACATTAACAGCAAACATTTACCTAACGGTAATACGGAGAGAGAACAGCGACCTACACATGTCTTCGAAGACAAATCCCTTCATTCACTCAAAGGACCAGGATGACCAGGACTTGCATGCAGAATGGTGTGGACATTCTTATCCGACCCCCAGCAGGTATGTCCAGATCCTGCCTTGGAATAGCCTGTAAGCTTTCTTGCAAGCATATAAGATACACGGGTTCCCCAAGAATCTCCCTTAAAGATTCCCTGTTGTGTAAACGGTCGGTCGAGATCGTTGGATGGTGGTAGTATGCGTGTGGCTTCCTCGACTGAATTCTTATTATGTACTACAACATATCCGGCTGCTTGGTATATCGTACATCGACCGGCTCGTATTTGTTTGTCTTATCCACGAATTGGTCTCGGGCCGTATCATCATCTCGTGGCTATCTTCTCTTCTTCCCGTAGCCTTTCGATCAGCTTTCCCCTCAAGAAATCACTCAATCCCAATCTGCACCAGTCAGCGCACTATCTCCCAAAGACCAACTTCAATACCCCCTCTCAATCACCAAACAACAAAGACGCAAGACTCACATGCCCTCCCTAGTGACAACCCTATAACTCCCACTTTCCTGCCAATTTCCCCTTACTCCCCCTTCGCCCTCCACGAACTCGCCCCGTCCATCAACCTCCAAGCTCCCAAAGATATCCTCCGGCCACGCAATCCTCCCATAATCAGGCGGTGCCCTCAGATCACTAACATGCACCCAGCCTCCTCTTCCGCCTCCTCCAGCTCCCCCTTGCGAACTAGCACCCCCAGCACCATCGCCCGCTGGCCCTCTCTTCGCGGCTTCCTGGCCAGTTCCTCCACCCGCTCCACGTCTACGCTGCTGTTGCTGCTGCTGTGGGAAGAACATGCCGCCAGATCCTAACGCCGAGCCTGATGACGAGGCAAACGCCGCAGCTTGTCCTTGTACATAAGGGTCGGATGTAGCGTGCAAGCGTAGGACATCGTACAGGATGCGCAAGAAATTGGGGTTCTCGGTGACTGAGGCCGGGGTAGGGGGGAGGGTAGTGGTGGTGCCAATTGCGAGGGAGTTTGTGGGTGGGTTCGTAGGGAGAAACGATAATATGTGGGAGTTGGGCGAGGATGGTGAGGGGATGGCATACTGTGAGGAGCTGTTGGCATTGATATTGAGGTGTTGGGATAGAGAAAGAATTGGCTTACAATATGAGAATTTGATTGTAGTGTTGAGATTGATCGGATTGAAGATTTGAGAGAGCAACGTAATGCTGCTCGTGGCAGCGTTCTCAAAAGCATTGTGTGATGTTTAATGAAGGGATGTGGAAGTTTGCCTATTGTGTTTCTCCAGCTCGGAGTTTTGACTCTGTTCCGGATACGTCATCAGATCTCCATATGCAAGGCTGAGCTTTCAACGAGGCTACTATTTCAGGGATTGTCTACTTCAGATGAGATATGTTTACGAACTGCCTCGAGAGGTATCGCAGAGCTTTGGTCTTTCGCTTGAGATTCGTACGATCAGTTCAAGACACGGGGTGAAGTAGAAGCACGAAGTTTTGTAATTTGGTATGGCAATTAGTCCCCTCGGCACTTTTTCCATTGAAACCCCGGGAAATCGGAGACCAGGCAGAGTCATCGCTGTAGCAAATAATGGCAGATCCAGGGGCTTGAAATCCGAAAAATTCGGGAAATCACAAAGTCACGCCAGTTTTGTACACGCGCGCCCGGACCCACCCCCAAACGAATGCAACTCTCACTCTCTATTCGACAGCACCAAAGATCTGGAGCAATATTAGCATACTCCTTCGTGTCTCATGTAAGATAAGAACGGCTTACGGTCTCCATCAAAATGCCAGTGATCTGGTATGGATCTGCATTGGAAGCTGGTCGTCTGTCCTCAAAGTAACCGTAACCCTTGTGGCCACACTCTCTGGGAATACGGATAGAGCAGCCACGGTTGGCGACACCATATGTGAAGCTATCGATGTTCCCAGTCTCGTGCAAGCCGGTAAGACGCATGGTGTTGTCCTCTCCGTAGACGGCAATGTGCTCCTTGTGGCGGCCCTCGAGCTTCTTGATAGCGGCCTCGATGTGCTTCATGCCTCCAGGTTTGCGCATCTCCTCGCTCGAGAAGTTGCTGTGAAGACCGGCTCCGTTCCAATCACCTGGAATAGGCTTCGGGTGGAGGGAGATCTTGGCGCCGAACTCCTCGGCAATGCGAGCGAGTAGGAACCGAGCGAGCCAAAGTTGATCACCCACTGGATCATAAATAAGCTGAGTACCATAAGAGGTATCAATCATGACTCACACTCAATACCCTCACAAGGACCAACCTGGAACTCCCACTGAGCTGGCATAACCTCGGCATTTGTACCGGAGATCTTCACGCCTGCGAACAAGCAAGCCTTGTAATGAGCCTCAACAATATCTCTGCAGTACACCTTGCCAGTACCGACACCACAGTAGTATGGTCCCTGAGGTCCTGGGAAGCCTCCTCGTGGCCAGCCGTATGGTTGGTCGTATTGGTCAAGAAGGGTGTACTCTTGCTCAAGTCCGAACCAGGGCTTGTGCGACTTGTGGGCCTCCATGAGCTTAGCAGCCTCATGGCGGTAGTTGTACTTGTTGGGGGTTCCATCGGGATCCCAGCACTCAGTGATAACCAAGATGTTGGGAGCACCACGGAAGGGGTCAGGGTAGAGGGCGACGGGGCGGAGGTAGACGTCGGAGTTATCGCCTGGAGCTTGACCAGTCGAAGAGCCGTCGAAGTTCCACTCGGGGAGGTCCTCGACCTTGAACTCGCCGCTCTCTGGGATGCTGGTAAGGGTCTGATGAAAGGAATGGTTAGCGATGGGCATCAGATGAATTGGTCGTCTGGTGTGGCGTATGGTTGCAGGCATCCCGTGTCGCGGTGGCTTGCTTACCTTGGACTTGGAACGAACACCACCAGTCGAGTCAATCCAGATGTACCTTTCCGTCAATCAGTATGCATATCAAATTGTGTCGCACATTCGATCTGAGATTGCTCACTCTGCCATCGCACTTCCCTTCTGGTCGAGGGCCATGTACTTCATCAGCTACAGAATGGTCAGCCTGTGCCCGTGTATAGCGGGGTCGTTTCCGGTATGCGCTTACGTTGGCAGTGTATGAGATGGTAGAAGAGGTCGCCATGATTGCGGTCTACCGGAGAGGGATGGAATGAATGAAGGATTTGACAAGTTGTAGTTTTAGATGGGGTTGGGTGGGATCAACCAATGTTTTTTGTTGTGCAGTTGCGGGTTGTTTAAAAAGGGTAGAGAATGCGAGGTCGAGAGTATTTGAACAAACAGCGGGCGCAGAAAGATGGGATCGGGGCAATGGGGGGTTACAGCCGAGCACCGATAAGACAAATCAGCGTCGCTGATTGGTCGACGAACGACAAAGAGGGGCAGGGTAGAGGGGCTGGGACTGAAGCTCAGGCTAGGCCCTTTTGGGTAAAAGGTTAAGAGGTAATATTCCCGGGTAGATGGAAAATTCAGTCAGTCAGTCAGTCAGTCAGTTAGTCAGTTAATCATTTCAGTCGTTTCGGTCATTTCGGTCATTTCAGCTACTCAGTACTTTTTACTTTGAAGGACGACCGCTGACAAGACAACAATAAGAGCGGATCAAAGAGAAGGAGCTATGAAACGACATAAGAGAATAGCAGTACTTAGTAAGTACTGTATGAAGTATGTACGTAGTAATACAGTATGTACCTATGTAGTATCTGCAAGGTACCTACGCATTAAATTCATACGCAACGGGCTACTTCTGCATGATCCTTGCGGCATTTATTCGACTTTCTCCATATTATGGGTTATATATAGTGTATTCTCTCGGGAAAGGAAAAGGACTTCTCAGCTTCTCCTCCGTCAGTGAAGAGACTTCTTCTCGAGAGACTTGTTTTCTCTTCCCAAATTCTTGTCTCTCCCAACGGCCTCATTCCGAGTCGTCAAGTCGTCGACTCTCGCCCATCGAAAGCACTTGGCATATCGTTAAGAATGCCAACCTCACCGTCCCACCGCACTGCGTCATACAGAGACATGTCAGGGTCACACTCTGCAGTGTTGTGTACCGGTACGGTACATACGGACACACCGCATCCTTCCAGCCCTGTGCCTCCCAACGCATCGCCCTACTCGTTGAGTTGACAACAATATTCCTCCTGGTTGTCTATAGCTGGGAATACATATAGTACAACTACCGGTACATGAGTACCGTCGTAAGTACCTACCGCTACTACGTAACCTCCCCAGCATCCCCGGTGGCATTGCCTGGGGCCTGGAAATTCTCTTACGTACAAGTAAAAACCTTCTTCCGAGACGAAGAGGGACAACCAAACTTTCCGCGGGGTCCTTTATCCCTTGTCGATAAGAAAGCGAGACAGGAACTTGCCATCATTGGCCGACCACGTAAGCGCACACTGTCAAACCAACCGCCGTGTCGCGTTCCGACGAGTACGGCCCGAGCAGAACGGGTTGTTCTTGGGATCTCACGTGATATATATCACACCTGCTCTTGACACTGATCAATTTCTCACACTGGTATAACCAACCCCAGCTGTACTCCGTAACATCGTCGGCTTTCTGCCCGACGTATCCTATAGGCGAACAAGAAAGGTAAGTAGGACAAGAACCTCCTCGGAACGATCACGTGTCTTCTGGTTCATGGGATCTGCCGGAAATGCTGACCCTCGGTTAAGCGAGAATACTGGGTAGTAAACATTCAGACTCTGCCAAAAGACTTGATATCTTGAAAATGAACTGCCCCAATCAATTCAACCGCTTCCAGAGACTACATATAGTCCTCGAGGCGTTTTGCTCGCGCAGAGATACAAAGACTATTCATCTTATGCCTCGTACGGCGCGAGTTTAGTCTCCTAAGGGGAGGGCAGACAGCCGAGAATGAATGAGGCTCGGTGGCTGGAGGCGGTTTGGAAACGAGAAAGGAACAGCGTAGTAATTGCGATCTATGGTTTATATCATGACATCCCTATCCAACGGGAAATAATAGTCCATCTACCCAAAGTCCCCTAATAAACGCCTAGACCACCAAGTAAATACCCCCCCAAAGCATGCTTCAGACAGTCAAGTCCTTCTTCTTAGACGTCTTATTAATAGTCCCCTTAACGCCCATCCCCTCGTCTTCTTCGCTCGCACTAAAATCCCCGTAGGCGACGACCACATCGTCTACCTCATAGCCAACCTCCATCCACACCTCGCTCGTAGCAGGAACAGGACTCAACAAGCACAGAACCCAGTAAACACCACCCGCAACGATGAAGCCCACGAAATAGTTGAATCGGTAGATATACTGCGCCCCAATCGGTACATCAGCTCCGCATGCGCCAGCAAAGCCCGCGATGTTAGGCGCGATGCCAGCGAGATACGCCGCGTAACCCCGCCAGTGCCAGCCACCCAAAAAGTAATACGGCGAATCCTTCCTGGCGGAATACAAGTCTGCGATGCGCAGGTACCCCTTGCGGACGCAGTAATAGTCTGCAACCATGACTCCCGCGACAGAAGACAAGAAGACGGAGTACGCGGAGAGATAGGTCGTGAAGTTGTTCGCCGTCGACAGCAGAGTCCACGGACACATGACCAAGCCCACCAGCGCGCAGACGTACCCGCCGCGACGAATGTTGATGTATCTTGGAAGCAAGGCCGTCATGTCTGTGCCTGCTGACACGGAGTTTGCAGCAATATTCGTACCGAGCTGCGCCAATGCGAACGCGGCAGCGATGAAGAAGACGCCTAAGCGACCCCGGGACGACCCCTCGGAAAGAAAGGAGTGCAAGAGGTCGAGCGGGTTCCAGATCACGTCGCCTTTGAAGATGACGGTTGAGGATGAGGACACGATGATGCCTATAAAAGACGTGAGGCCGAAGCCGCACGGTATGGTGATCAGTTGCGACCAGAGGGCGTCACTGGGGTGACGGGCGAAACGTGCGAAGTCGGGGTCGTTCATTATGAGGCCGGCGAAGTTGGCGATGGAGGACATGACGCCTGTTATTATTCCCCAGGCTAGCTTTGAGCCAGATGAGGTTGCGGGTTGGCGGATGATGGGACCGAGGCCGTGGGCGCGGATGATGGCCCAGATGAAGAAGGCGATTCCGGCTGTTGGGACGATGAGGGCTTTCGCTGTGAAAAGGTGGCGGATTTTATTGACGGGGAACCAGATGGCGGGTAGAGAGATCAGCCAGAAGACAAGAAAGGACAGAAAGTCCCGGGTGTTGGTCCTGGAATTCGGGATGTCGTTGGGTATGTTCTCGAACGAGGGCCAGATGGCAGAGATCATGAGACGAATGCAGCTTCCTCCGATCCAGGCTTGCACACCGTACCAGATGCATGATATGGCAGCCCTGTTAAACACTGGCCAAAGGGCTCCCCATATGCCGAAGGATGAGCGGGCAACAACTGGGAATGAGATATGGTATGTTGCACCAATCTGCCCGGTCAAGCAGACGAAGCCAGCGGCGATGGAATAGCCAAGCCACACGCAGATCCAGGACTGCCACCATGACAAGCCGCCGAGACTGATCATGGAAGATGATATCATCCAGGTATTCTTTCAAGATGTAAGTAAGTCTGGTAAGTACTTTGACTGAGGTACCCATCACCGCTTACAATATTGAACGAGTCCGCAACCCAGAAACCTACAAAGTTCCATGGCCCCCATTCTCTTCTTTCGGCCTCAACTGCACAAAAAATCAATACGGCTCAGAGCCCCATCAAGCATGAAATACCTGGCTTCAGATCATGGCTGTGCAGCATAAGCTGCGCATTTGTTAAACCCTCTTCTTCGCTTTCCACAGCGATCTTGTCGGCCCAGTACGCCAGTCGCGACTCCTTGACCTTTTCCAATAAGAAATCGATGAATGCAGGTTCGTCAGATGAATGATGCGTGACACGTTCCGGTCTCTCTATGACACTTGAAGAGGCACCATCTAGGGTTGTAGGATGACGTCTGAAGTCCCTAGATGGTGGACCAGACCCGGACAAGAGAGGTTCGTTCTCGTCTGAAAAGCTGCCTTTTGGTGAACCTGCTCTTGACGAGCTTTTGGATTTTCGTCCCTCATTCATCTTGAGAGGATAACATAGGAGTACCGTGAACAGTGTAAGAGAGCATCAGGAACCATTTGCAGCCTATAGGATAGATATCAAGGGTGTTGACACGAGGAGGACTTTGGGACCGGGTCACCCCAGTGCCTGAGTGTCCGATGATAGCTGTTATTCTTGTCAGTCATACTGCTCCACAAAGACCATGAAAAACACCAACTGGAAAGTGCTGCAGATGATCGATATTTTAATAAATATACATGTATATACACGCAGCTGTCAAAATCGCGCTCTAGTTAAAGACGTCTGGAATCGGTAGGATAGAATACATTCAGGTTGAGGTGGTCTCACAAGCGTGGGGTCGATGTGAGACGCGGCACTCGCGGCGAGCGTCCAGGTAGATGAATATTGGGGGTAAACAAACAAGCGATGCGATACAATCATATCGAGTCAACATCAATATCGATGGGCTCTTACTTTCGGGCTCTTCGAGATTGTGTAGAGCAGATAAACGGCTTTCATGGAAATAATAATACTGAAAGGTAATACAACTGCCATATCTTCGTATCCAGGCTTTGGGCAGTAGTTTCGTCTCAGAGTGCCTAGAGGATTTGATGTCGTGTGATAAAGCGCACAAGACTCGTGCTACTTACAGAGTCATTTTGATTTTCACTATCGAAATTCCCTAGTAGAACATACAGTATAAACGAATTAGTTGGGTTTATATGGCTGTGAGTCCAGGGACCGAGTGCCTGGACGAAGAATGACAAGTATGAGCAATTAAATTGGAACCCGATTATAAGGAGTTTATAGGACACTTGGTGCAGCTAAGAAAAGCACAGCCATTTTCCGAATCTCCCGGCTTTCGTTTTTCCAAGTCGCTCGCACCAGCTGCAACTATAGCGCTTAGTGGTACCTGGGAAACTGAGAGCTCACGATTGCTGTATAATCAATTCTTTCAGATTATTTGCAAGGCTAAGAGACGTCTCGTCTGTGAGGTATTCGTAAAAGTACATTTTTTCTCCCAACGCCGAAATTATTCCCCAAACGCCACGCGAAAAGCAGCCTGTGTCTCTCGGCTTATCGTTCTTCTCTCTCCCCTCTCCCATAATATAACCAGGGTAAGCCCTATCGTCTATCACCACCAGGCGGACCCTGATGTCCTCCGGGTGGTCCTCCAGGGGGTCCGCTCATGCCTTGGGGCATCGGCGGGAACTGGAAGTTGGGGGGCAGACCTCCAGGAGGAGGAGGAAACTGAAAGTTAGGAGGTAGTCCACCGGGAGGGGGGAACGGGAGACCACCTGGAAAGGGAGGCATGGGCATTCCACGGCCGCCTGGGGGAGGTATCATTCCGTTTGGAGGTAGCATCGGCATTCCTGGCATTGGGGGCATACCCGGGAGACCGGGCATACCGAATGGAGGTGGTGGGACGCCTACCCATTGTATTAGCTTGTGTACTGTAGACCTATATATGGATTGGACATACCTCCGGGGAAGGGGAATGGTGGGGGAGGAGCGTGGACGCCTGGGTTTTGGCCAAGCATTGGGTTGGATGAGGACTGTCCTTCTGCGGCATAGGAAGAGGTGATGGAGTCGATGACCGATTGGGCTTTCTCGTGGCCGATTTCTAGGGCGTGGGTTAGCTATTTTACGATGTGGCATAGGAGCAGAACTTACGTTGGTAGTAATCAACTACGTTTCGCAGATGGTTTCGACCGCTGTTATGCGCCTTTCGCACACTCATAGAGTCGTGTGTGAGATAAACATCGCAATAATCACCTGGGGATTGTCAGATTCGAGCTTGGAGCCGTCGGGTGGTCAAGATGCTTAGAGAGGTTTGCTCCGGGGTGCAGCTTACAGAAGACTATTGTCAGAAGTTAGCAGATGATGCTGGAGTGGTCGCGGATAAGGGACTCACATTTAGGCATCGTGGCAGATTCAGATATCCAGTGATCAAGTCGCGAAGTACAGTCAAGGTAGAGATGTTGTTGTGGTCGCAATCCTGCCTTGTTCTCTAGAAGTTTCGCGTTGGCGTTGGCGTTGCCGGCATTCGCCCGAAAGATCCTTGCATAAGCATGCGAAAGAGCCACGTTAAACCACTTCAGCTCCAAGGACGTGATAGTCTGGACTAACTATCTTACACGACCTGCAAATTCACTCAGCATGGCCTTCTCACAACCAATCCTGCGCATGCTCTGCAGCGTGCTGTTTTTCATTGCTTGCGTGCAAGCGCTCAAATTCGACATCGAGGCCTTCAGCAAGGGTGATACCAGGGCGACGAGATGCATTCGCAACTTTGTGGCTAAGGATACCTTGGTTGTGGTAACGGCTACGGTGGATGGGACTAAGGGCGATGGCATGATTCTCAACATGCATGTAAGTGGCATTTTCAGTGGCTGTCAGAAAGAGCGGAACTGATTGTGAATGGCAGATCAAAGATGCGGTTGGAAACGAGTATGGACGGCCGAAAGATGTGACTGGCGAGAAGAGAATGGCATTTACGTCTCACGCAGATGCGTCTTTTGATGTGTGCTTTGAGAACAACTTTTCTGGCTGTAAGTCGAAGCTTCATATCTCCTCGGAGATCAACGTGTTGACGTAGATGTAAAGCCGCAGGAGTATCGAACCCATTCCGCCATATCGAACTCGATATTGATATAGGTGCCGATGCGAAAGATTGGTCCGCCGTTCAAGCAACTGAGAAGCTGAAGCCTGTTGAGACAGAGTTGAGGCGGATGGAGGAGATGGTTGCTGAAATTGTCAGTCAGATGGATTACCTGCGAACTCGCGAGCAGAAGCTCCGAGACACAAATGAGAGCACGAATAACAGAGTAAAATGGTTTGCGTTCAGCACGATGGGGATGCTGGTTGCGTTGGGGGCGTGGCAGGTCATATATTTGCGGGCGTACTTCAGGTATGTCTATGTTCTACGAAGGACTTTTGAAGGCGCTCTGCTGATAATTACGGTTCAAGGTCGAAGCATCTCATTTAGAAGTCTGGACGGCGATACGAACGTTCCGGCGCCCGGTGAAACTTTCTACGTCCAAGACGCTGAGTTGTTAAAGGTTATGGACATCGGCTATATTGTGGTAATCCGGCGGGAGCTGAGAAATGCACACCTTCACCAGTCGTCCTTCCCAGAAGTGCTACATTGATTGATATGAATGGCCTCACGATCGAAGCAACGCATTTGGGGTCCTGGGATGGATGATCCAGGAATGCTCTAGGAAAATGGCATGAGATAGCTGTATTTTCTAGAAACCCACCTTTGATAGGGGTCACGGGTACACATACAGCAGCAAGTAAATACCTTTCCATTCTCGAATGTTACCCCCATTCCATAGGATTAGCCTGGTAACACGACGGTCAAATTCCCTCTGCAAATTGTCCCTTCAGCCCCCAACCGAGGATGCACATCTCGCTATGATATGAAGGTTTACCCAGCCTTCCAATTTTGGAGAAGGAATGCTTGATGTACGTTCAGTATCTATTTCATAGTTTACATATACACTACGTCTCAAGAAGGAGCCGGCTTTTCCTTACGAAGGAGGCATCGTGGGAGATGTCTGCGCAACCTCCTTCTCTCGTAGCAGTCTCCCCTTTCTACAGATCTCAGCTCCTGGAGGTAAGTCATTGCCGTTTTCGAGGAGGGTAGTTCGGACCACAATGTTGTCGCCCATCACTTTCTGATGATGGTACACATGGCTAGTGCAGTTTGGGCAGTAGTTGCAGCTGACGTACTTGCCTGTAATTGCGATAAGGAAATGTCCAAAAAGTATGATAAACATTGAATGTAAAGGACTTGCCGAACTCTTGTTGATGTAGTATTTGTAGGTTTTCAGCTTGCGCTTGCAGATCTTGAGGTTTTCCTTTGGCACGATAGCCTTTCTGAATTCCCAGTGGCTGATCTTCCCATAGATATTTATCAGGAGAATGACTACATACTACGTACCGGTACTACCGGTACGTAAGGTACATACTGGTTACTACTTCAGCATCTTGAAGGTTCTACCCTGGGGTGTGGATCCTTCCCATACTTCTCTTGGAAGCCGCGAATTGGGTTTAGGGAAATGGGAAATGGCCACGGTCAAAACCGTGTTATCTTATACGTTAAACACTGTTACAAGTACGTAGGGGACTCGTTTTAATCAAACCTCTTGGTATCATACAAATATAGTATATAGTAGTAGGTAAATGATTAATGGGGGTTTCATCTAGTCCCTAATTGGGGTAGGCATGAGTGAGGGTCATCCTCCAGCACATTGCATTCTGCCGAATGACTCCATCAAGCTTACGATAGGTACCGGTACCTTGGTACAAGCAAGTGCTTTAGTCTTTTCAAATTGATAAAAAAAAAAAAAGGATTGCAAGAAGTATTATTATCCCCCTTCCCCCCCCCCCCTAAATACTACGTAAAACACGAAAAGTAGATTGTAACTAGGGGTTGACCAGGGGGTTGTAATCCTAACGCTTGGGAAGCAGTTCCTCAATAATTCATTATTTCATTCTATAATTCGTGGTAAAGTCGATGCCAAGCAATGATTGATGCACAAGGAGGACATTTATATGTTATTTTGCTACATTTAATAAGCGGTCTGCTTTACAGTCAAAATGTGCTCTCACCAAGTGGGTCCGTCTTTTATTTAGGGGGGATAGTATGAATAGTTTCCGGTATTCAAGATGATCTTCCATATACAGTACTCTCCCCCACCCCGCCCCTGAATACACGTCGAAAGTATTTTTGCAAGGGATCTTACCAGGTCTTAAACCGATCAACTTGAAGGATTCATTCAGCCTTGAAAAGTACTACTACGTACGTAGTATCTTTGAGACAATGTTTAGTCAGTGCAATGGAGTTGACAGGGCTTCAAGCCATTCAGAAATCACCGCTCTACGATTTATGGAGCTAAACTGGGTCCAAAATTTTAGTCATGGGGAGGATGCAGTAGTAAAACTGAAAATATAAATATAATAGTCAGGACGCTGACTCTTATTAGCCGCCCGATTATTTATAGCCAACGTAGAAATTTCGAATGCGGCGTTCGGAGAGCTTGCAAAAATGGCATGCAGGGCTGTTGACTCCTTAAGATCGACGCACTGCCTATATTGGCAGGATCTTGACTTCTACGACTAATTTCTGAAGGTACTACTATATTAATTGAAGCTCCGGCATAGCCTCAAGATCAATTGGCCCTCTGCGCAATCAACGCACTGATCAGCTACGTAAGAAACAACAATTAGACGTTATTGGCAGACCCGCGCGCCATTTCTGAAGATTTCTACGGTATATATTTCTTCTTGCACTTGCTTCGGATCTAATTCATCTTCTTCTGCTGTCTTATTCCCCATCGTCAGTTACGAACACGATGCCACGATCGAAGACTTTCGTCGCGATCTTGCTAGCCTTGAGCTTTCTCTTTAGTGAAGCTCAAGGATTTCTCGGATTCCATCAACAAAGACAAGTCATCGGTTATACAACAGTTCCCGAAGTAAGTTTCCCTTGATTTGTATAATATGAGCTCATACTAATCACGCGAATTGTAGGAAATGGCTAAGCGTATCAATGAAAAACATAAGCCATATATAGTGGAATCCAATTACCATCCTCCATTAGGACCTGGCTTTTATATGGGTGAGTTTATATAGATCGTTATCTATAACGCGAAGCTAACAATTTAAATAGTGAATGACCCTCATAGCTGGGAGGGCGGTAAAGGGAGTTGGTATTGTGCTACCGTAGCGAAGAAGAAGCAGATGGAACGTATCAGCAAAGTCTTCATCCCGAAACTTTATCAAAAATTGGATTGGGATGGTGGTAAGCGACAAAACTTATGGGGCGGAGACGAAGAAGTCATCGAGAATTATGTTGTGTCAGAAGCAATGACATCAGACACAGCATTGCGCTTCTCATTGGTTTTGGGTAGAAGATCGCAGTTGCAGATGGCTATTCCCGCGAAAGTGTTAAATGACGGTGAATTGAAGTTATGGACAGAGTGCTTCGAAACAAGAAAGGAGCTGCTAGCAAAATATATGGACATTGATTGGATTTGGAAAGCTTGGAAGATTAAAGGAGAGGGTTCAATACCAGGCCTTAGTCCCAGTGGTCGTAGTAGGATTGCGTGGTGGTGATAGTAGTAGTAGTAGTAAGATTATTATTTCAACGTCTGCTGCGGGTCCTAAAAGTAGTCCGTCCAACTTACCACCTCCTTAAAGATTGGGGGGCTACGATTGTTTACCTGTACGAAGGTGCCTCTTACGAACCTTCAGCTCTCTTTCTCTCTTTCTCTTGCGGTAGAAAGAGAGACAGAGAGTCTGGAGAGCCGAAATTAAATCATCCGAGGAGATCTTCCTTTACCGGCGGTTCCAAACCTCCCTCCTCCCTCTTTTCGAACACTACGCCGACTACGATCTATACCTGACGGGCATACCGACTGAAAAGACTAAGAGAGGATTTGCGATAAAGGGGGAATGGATTTCAAAGATGGGATGGAAAGGCCTTAGTTCGACTGATCGAAAACACGGTATTGCGCCTTCGAAAGAACGTTCTGCAAACACACCGGCTCTACCCAAGGGCTACGAACGCGAGCCTTTTAACTTTACGACGAAGGAGAACGATGTTTGTATTATACGGATCGAGGCCGCCCGTAGGTAGGGCCACACGTATTCGATGGTTGTCGAGAGAAAGCTCGACGCACAACACTATGAATTGCTTTTAAGGGGTCTATATGGTGTTCAATATAATTCCTCTACTTAGCACGTCGCCGTACCCCATGGGAGGTCCCCAGGATCCAAGCATTGCGTCTTGGATACCCGCCCGACGTTAATAAATACAACAACAACAACCTCCTTAAAGATGTACGTAGTATTAACGTGCCGGCGTCAGGTCTGAGCCTAAACACTCCGCAAAAGAAGGCGGTCTTAACCAATTGTGTAATGCTTTAAATACAAAGTCTATTTATATCAATAAGATTAAACCCACAAAAGAAAAAGGATATAAATGGATATAAAGTCTCGGCTCTTTAATATCGCAATATTGCAGCTTTAATATATTTTAATACTTTCTATTGACGGCTATTCGTTATTCTTAGTTCATATGCTGCGGTCGCCTTTTATTGCGATCAGTTATAAGCAGCTTGATACATTATCTTTCCGGTTACTTAATCGAGTATCCGACCAAGATCTTTTTCTTTTTCTTTTCGTTCGACCTTCTGTATCTGTAATCGATTATAATTATAAGCGTCCCCGAGCTAACATCTGCTAAAGGTTTTTTTTACTGTATAGCAATCTCGAGAGTTTCGAAAAGCTAAGCCGTTACCGTAATCATTTTGTTTTCTTATCGTTTTTTATATATAATGGATTATAAATTTCGTGAAAAGATCGAATTCAGTAGTCGAATAAAACCATCGAGCTGGTCGATAGTATCGACTTCGAGTTATGCAGTATACTATAACACTAATTTCGTATCTTTAATCATCGTTCGCTCTGTTGGCATGCACGAAAAATACAATTAACATTAAAATGCATCGCCTCGGTTACCTTCCAAAAAGAATGCGATTTCTAATCGGCTCTACGAACATTGTTAATAATATCGCTGATTCGTAGCTAGCGCCACGTACAGGCTCTGAAATCCGTCTTCGCTGGCCACGTAGTGGTAGTGGAACGTACAATTGAATACATTCAGAATGATCAATTGTACGCGGCAGACACAGTAAGTCACTAGAGCAGGCGACTTGAAGGGGTATACAACAGAGAACAATGTGCTCTTGGTTTCATGAGTAACATAACATAACAAACAGGAGCCCAGGGAATATTATATACATATATCTTGCCTAGTACTTGCAGATAAGTTTGAAGATAACCTCGAGTGTTGTTGAGTGATCTTACCCAATCGACTGTCTGCTCTTCTCCAAAGTCCGTAGATGGGTAAAGCATATGAAGTCACATGACTTGAACTTGTTATCGATAAACTTAGCACCCTCTCGGCTAGCGTCTCCGAAAAAAATAATATTTATGGATGAAGTCCTCCGCCGCAGATCAGCAACATCAACAACTTTCATCAGTTGAATCGATATCACACGCCAACATGGATTCCGCCGAACTTCACAGCAAAAAGCGCAAGAGGAAGCACGGTAGCGCCAAGGTCGAAAAATTAGATCCTGTGCCGGCAACGAATGGGTCCAGCCCTGCGATCGATAAGGCCGAACCAACTGTGAAGAAGAAGCGCTCCAAGGAGGAGAAGGCCGAGGAGAAGGCGCGCAAGAAGGCCAAGAAAGCTCACAAGTCCGACGAGGAGGAGCAAGCTGCCGAAGATGTGGTTCCGGAAGCCGAAGCTGCTGAGGACGCTCAAGGGGAGTGGGAGAACGAAGAGGTCTCGGGTGACGAATTGGTAGATTTGGCCGAAGGGGCACTGGCAGACGCACATCTCTCGTTACCAGATACCGGTGTCCAGGCCACAAAATTTAGCGAGTTGAATCTTTCTGAAAAGACCATGAAGGCTATCGAGGGAATGAAGTTCGAGACGATGACGGAGATCCAACGACGAGGAATACCACCTTTGCTTGCCGGAAGAGATGTGCTGGGAGCTGCGAAAACTGGATCCGGAAAGACTTTGGCCTTCTTGATCCCTGCAGTCGAGATGCTGAATGCGTTGCGCTTCAAGCCTAGAAACGGAACTGGTGTTATCATTGTGTCCCCCACAAGAGAACTGGCACTACAGATATTTGGTGTCGCTAGGGAACTCATGTCGCACCACTCGCAGACCTATGGAATCGTAATTGGAGGAGCAAACAGGAGAGCAGAAGCCGAGAAGCTCGCCAAGGGAGTCAATTTGATAGTTGCTACGCCAGGTCGATTGCTCGATCATCTGCAAAATACACAAGGATTCGTATTCAAGAATTTGAAGGCTCTGATTATCGACGAGGCAGACCGAATTCTGGAGATTGGTTTCGAAGACGAGATGAGGCAGATCGTGAAGATTCTACCAAAGGGAGATAGACAGTATGTTTGAATTCTCTGTGACGGACTGTCAATGCTGTCTAGCAAAGAGCAATACATTTGATGAATTCGAAGCTGATTTGAACAGGACTATGCTCTTCTCAGCAACACAAACAACCAAGGTCGAAGACTTAGCAAGGATATCCCTTCGCGCCGGACCTCTTTATATCGACGTCGATGACAAAAAGGAGCATAGCACTGTCGAAGGCCTCGAGCAAGGCTACGTTGTCTGTGACGAAGAGAAGCGCTTCCTCCTTCTCTTCTCCTTCCTTAAGCGTAATATTAATAAGAAGGTCATCGTATTCCTCTCCAGCTGCGCCTGTGTAAAGTACTACGCCGAACTCCTCAACTTCATCGCTCTCCCCGTCCTGGACCTGCACGGCAAGCAGAAACAGCAGAAGCGTACCAACACCTTCTTCGAGTTCATCAACGCCGAGAAGGGAACCCTCATATGTACTGATGTTGCTGCCAGAGGCTTAGATGTACGTCTCCTCCCTACCCCGTATTCTTACATACATTGGACCGTACTAACGAACACAGATCCCAGCCGTAGACTGGATCGTGCAGTTCGACCCTCCCGATGACCCTCGCGACTACATCCACCGCGTGGGCCGCACAGCTCGTGGCTCGAACGGCAAAGGGCGCTCCCTCATGTTCCTGCAGCCGTCCGAAGTCGGCTTCCTCGCTCACCTCAAAACCGCCCGTGTCCCCGTCGTCGAGTTCGACTTCCCCGCAAAAAAAATTATCAATGTGCAGTCCGCACTCGAAAAGCTCATCTCACAGAACTACTACCTCAACAAGAGCGCCAAAGACGGTTACAGAAGCTACTTGCAGGCCTACTCCAGCCACAGCCTGAGAACCATCTTTGACGTGCACAAACTGGATCTGGTAAAGGTAGCGAAGAGCTTTGGGTTCACTGCGCCGCCGCGGGTGGACTTGACACTGGGAGCGAGCATGAGTCGGGATAAGAAGACTCAAGGGAGGAGAGCGTATGGGAGTCAGCCGAAGCAGGGGGGCAGTTTCAAGAAAAGGGGCACTTTTTAATCTAGGATTTGCGTTAGGTTGAAAAGGGTGGTGACGCGATCCCTGGTAACATCGAAGGCGTGTTATGTATAGCATGTTCTGCTTTTGGCGCGGCTTCCGCAGAAAAAGAGACTGATTGATTATTAGCACGATTCTCACTTCCCGAGATTACAACAAGGTGTTGTTGTCAGCTGTGACTCTTCTATTGATGATACCCGACATAAGCAAGTCATCCAAATGTCTCCAGCTGAGATTCCGTAACTGAGGCTTTGCACAGAGTCGGAGAAAGACTATGTGATCATTGTCAAATCTGACCTTTAATCAAGTATCTGTGCTCTAAAACATTGCAGCTATCCTTGAAAGTTGCTTGTCACAAGTACCTTCCCGGAAAGTGCGCGTTGCACACTTGAGCCTCAAGTTTTCTAGAGTACAGACGACAGACAAAATTCACTCCATCGCGGTCATCACGCATAGTAACGCACATAAACCATATAGAGAATGCCCTGATAGCAATCTGTGGATTTACGTGAAACGTGATCAGCTCCTGCTTCATACCATACGTTCCTTGCGAAAAGAATGACCCGGTCCGAGCCCCGCAAGTCCGATCCTCCAACTAAAGCCCAAGACAGGCCAGGACATCAGAGTCTCACTCCAGAGGGCCGCCCTCCTCGTCTCGCTGCATTTGCAGCCGGACGTCCTCGGACAACCGCAGTACCACGGGTGGTCTTTGGTGAAATCTTAGCGGGGATTTCAGCGTCCGAAGAAGACTCGAATTCTGAAGGTGATCTATCCGAAACCGACGGATGTATGTCGTTTTCTTCGGATTCTGAATCCGGACTGATCAAGCGGACAACTGTTGGTCCCTTGCGGACGGGTGGACTCGGAGCCGAGGCCTGTTCTGGAACTGGGTTTGAATGGCCTGAGGTCGATATATATGTTCTTTTGCTACTCAAGATAACGGCAGGAGTAGTGGCCAGGGAATTATCTGTGCTATTTTGCGCCGGTTGTGATCGATATCCCATGGCATTGGACAACGTTGGGATCACGATGGATGGTTGCTTCAGAATAGACTTTGGCGTAGTCACCGGCGTGTTTCGAGAGGTCGAGAAGCCAGAAGGGATCTCCACTCGTGCCTTTTGCTTACCGCCAACAGTCTTGAAGGTTTTGCCTTCAAGGGCCATTCTCTCCTTCATTGAAAGCATTTTTGGGGCAGCGGGGGTTGCTGGCGAGGGTGATCTGAGGTCTGTATGCGGATGAGTTTTTTTGGGCGGCCTGCCTCTGCGTTTCAGCATCGGCTTCTCCGGCTGGACTTCCGGTTGTGAATCATCATATCGCTCACGGGAAGGTCTGCCTCCACGTTTCGGGGTAGGCTTCTCAGCGACTTCGAAGTCTGACTCGTCTTGCGGCGCAAGTTGTGATTCCAAAGGTGGCTGTAGAGATTCGGCATCATCGCTAGCCAACTGGACTGATTGAGGCTCTTTAGAAGCACCTTCTGCACTGGCATGGTTATCACGTTCCAAATGCTCCCCAAAAAGGCTGTCTCTGTCGCCACCAATCTCACTGTAATTACCGACAGCGGCTCCGCCATCGCTGTCAGACCTGGCACTAGATGACATCTCGATTGCTTCCGAATTGGATCTCGAAGCATCAATCGCCTTGTCAGTACGATTCCTTCTGGTTTTTTTCGGCAAGCCACCAGAATAGTCCACACCGGAGTCTTCCTCCGCCTCTTTACGAGTGAGCCAAGCCGACTTGCGAGGCGTCTTGATGGTGTTCGTCTTGGGCTCAGCTTTGGGTCTGCCTCTCTTGGCCTTTGGATTGCTAAGATTACTCATTGCTTGAGCAGCGAGCTCCAGACCTTCTTCAGGCTTGTCAGTTTTAGGAGGCCTACGGTCGTAGTGGTAGGCCGGAATGAGATTCGCTGCATCCTCTTCAGGTGCAATAGCATCCTCGCCAAGATCCGTATAAATTTGAGGCTTACCAGTGCTACGACGGGGCAGGCGCTTCTCTGGTAATGTGATGTCTGATATCACGTTCTCAGCATCTGACTTGTGCTTCTTCGTCAAGGCGAGCATCTTCTGCCGCTTGGATGCGAAGAATTCTTCCTCCTCGCCCTCGTCATCATAGCCTTGTCGTTTCCGCTTCTTAACTTCAGGTGGTTGTAGAGCAGGATCAAGGAGATCGGAGAGGGACAGATTTGGAGCTTCAGCTGCCGTAGGCTCTGATGGCCGCACAAAGGATTCGGTTGCGTTAGGTGGGTCGAAAAGAATCCTATCAATATCGTCACCTTGTTGGTAATAACCGATACCCATCATACGCTCCTGGTCAACGTGAGACGAATCTGGATACACTAGCTCGGCCGGTTGAAAAGATCGAGCAGGCTGAGCAGGCTCTGCGGGCGTCGGTGCAGATGTCGGGTTCCGAGAGACCATCGGCGCAACAGGTGCAAGCAGACGAGATGAACAGTTTGCGGGCTGCGGATTTGCGGCATCGTAATCTTGAAAACTGTAGTTGTTGCCTTCCATGCAAGCGTTTTGTATGTCATCGCCCACGTTGCCAAAGTCTTCATGGCCGTGAGGCGTGAATCCTGTAGGATCGTAATCAGCTCCGTAGTGACCAACACCGTGGGCATTGTCATCCGTGGCAGGCATCTCTTGTGCTGGGCCGCGTAATAATGGGTCTATATCTTGCATCTCGCGTGCATGGTCCTCCAGAGCGGCGTTTGCATCTGTGTCCGGATCATTGCCTGCCGGAAAAGGGTCCCCCTCTGCGCCGTTAGCAAGATACCCCTGGTCATCTGAATCAGCTCTGGCTTTCTCAGCTTCCGCCTTTTCCTTCAGCCTCAACATTCGCCCAGACACCTGCGGGTTTTCCGCGTTGTTATCCCGGAGCCAGACGAGATTCGTCTTTGAAAAATCCACCAGACTTTCCACACTCCGGTAATCGGCAACTTTTCTGGTGTCATGTCCAAGGAGGGTTCCCTTCGGCTGATAAGGCTTTTGCACGTTCCCCTTGCGACACTTTGAACAGGAGCATATCTTTAGACACTTAGGACATTGCCAGTCTTTATCCTCCATCACGGTCTGGGGCATGATATCGAAGGCACGCCACAACACCCCGTAACAGTAAGCAGAGGAACAGGTTGTGCAAAAGGCAAGTTTCCAATCCTGCTCTTGGTGAAAACAAATATGGCACGAATGAGTCTTGCCTTTCATCGCGGCAAGCTTGCCCTTTCTTTTGCTAGCATTCTTGCCTCTTTTGGGGCGTTTGACACGTCCTTCATCGTCTACTGAAACTTCAACGTCAGAAAAGTCGGGAGTCTGCTCTTTCGGCTTCGTGATGTCAGTCCATGGCCTACGTATCAATTGCTCTTGGCAGACTTCGGCAATTGGCTTCTTGCCGTATCTCTTTCTCGCAATCTCGAGAACTTGCGGTGATCTCATTATATCAAAAAATCCATCAAACTGGACAACCACGCCACGCCATAGCTCATAGTTGTCGACGAGGACGTTCCAATCCCACTGCTCTACCCAGGATAGAGACGATATGCAGGCACAAGAGCGACCCATAGCGTAACAGTCCATACAGATGTCGTAGGTATCTTCCTCGCCCGTGAGCCCATACAATATGCAGGACTTGCAGGTCAAGAATCTGTTGAAAATGTTCAAACGGCAGTAGGAGCAGGTTACATTTGAATCAAATGGTACCATTTCGACCTCTGTCTCGTCCGGTAGCTTGGGCGAGAACATTTCACTGACTAGGATCTCCTGGTACAATGAGAAAAGTCGTCGAAAGTCCTCGAGAAGCTGCTTAATCCTCCCATACTTCCACATCTTCGGCTCGACAGTGTCACGCTGGAGTAGATTGTAGTACTTCAGGAGGGTGTAGTACACAATAGCCTTGCACTTGTACTGTTCGTCTCTGCAGACCATTCGACCACGGGGAAGAGCCTCGTGTAAAGCCAACTCGAGCGTATCGACAGTGGTTCGATTCCAGGCGACCTTCATAGTTCGGGTGCCACGATTCCAGACCTGATGCGGAGCGAGGGGGGGAATGAGAATCAGGTCTCCAACCTTTTGCTCAACTACCCATACGTTGAAAGGGGCCTTTTTCCAAGCATTGACTTGAGCAAAATGTTTTTCAACCTCGATATCATGGCCAAGCATGGACAAGAAGTATTCAGATACCAGTTCCCGTTCTTTCGTCTCTGTCATGAACCAAATCGAGCTGCCTTGCTTCTCTCCATTTCCGTCTTTGGAAGCCTCGACCATAATATTGTGACCGAGAGTGGCGCACATTTCTCGATGAGCAGGAGTGTAAGTTCCTTCGTGACCAATATAACACATCATGTTGAGGGCCCGCATCTCCGGGGGGAGACTGCTCATAAGATCCCCAGCAGGCGCGACACCCTTCCCGTATCGCATCTGGTTGTACTCGTTGCGTTCCAGGATCGCACCATCGCCTCCAGTCCTTGATTCGATACACTCGTTCAAATAATAGACGCAATCGGGGATCATCGACTTCAATTGCTCGGCCCAGGTATCAGGGCAGTCAATATCCTTCAGGTACAGTCTTTGGCGCTTGGGGTCACGGTAGTTATCCGTTGTAAACTGGTTTGCGAGTTGATTCATGGACCTCAGGTAATGACCCATGGTCATAGGAATATTGACTTCATTAGGAATATCTCGAACTTGTTCGGCTAGAAGGAGTATTGGAATCAACAGAACCCTCTCTCCGGCGCAAAGGATGGCTCACCTTTGGTTCCCAGGTTGGCTTCAAGCCAATCTGGGCTGAAGAGCCATGGCGGTAGTGCTTCGCCCCAGTTCTCGATGACGAGAGGCTTTCCGCTTTGAATGACAACCGCCAGGATAAGAGCTTCGAAGCTTTGTACTGAGTGCTCCTTCAGCTTCTCTGTCGACAACCTAGTCACATAATCGAAGTTGTCGCAGCTTTCAACAAGTGCAGAGAGATCGAATTCGGGGGAGATTGGCACGAATTGTGCCTGTGGGTGCGTATGAGAAGGCATTGTGCTGAGTTTTGAGAGTTTCGTTCGTTCGTTCACTCGCTCGCTCTAGTCACTCCCACTTTCGCAGAGCATGTTGCTGGTTCATGCGGTGAGTAGCAGAGATCGGCGCGAGAAGAACGGAGCTGGCGAAGATATGTAGTGGTGAGAGGCTGTTTGTCGTAGGGTTGAGGTGGTGAGGGAGAGAGGGAGGGGCTGGCGCATAGACAAAGGTCGTTCTAATTTATCGGGTGGACAGCCGCGTCGATTGAATGCGCCGTGGCCGTGGCCGTGGCCGTGGCAGTCCGACTGTTGTGCAGGGCGTGTGGTGCGTCCTACTTGGAGATTCCGTCGTGACAATTGTAAGAGCAGGACTTGATGTGAGCGTATATCTGCGGTGGACGGGGAGGGAGTTGGAGACTTCGAGACTTCGAGACCTTCGAGACGAGGTTGAGAGATCGTCTGAACTAGCCTTGTTGAAAGGTAACGCTGTGACAGAAGAAGCTTAGCAGAGAGCTCGGACCAGTCTCGTCCAGCCACAGCCAGAGCCTCATCAGCCCTTGGTTACATGGTTACATGTACATTCCGTAGGTACCAGTGAAGAAGATCAAGAAAGAAAAAGAAAAGGTAGTGAGTGAGCTGTAAGTCGTTGGATCTACACAGCGCTCATATGAATTATGTCGCTTAGTGTCAATATTTTTCAATTTAAATACCCCTCAAAATTATTGCTAATTTCGAACAGAGGATCTATCAATCGATATGAGCTTTTTCCATGCATTCTCGTCGGCTGGGGTCCTCCGACTCCCCAGCGGGTGCCGAACTTCTCTTGTACGGACGGCACTGAAGTCCCAGAAAGGATATACTCGAGCAACTTCTACTATCTGTAGAGAACCAATACAACAACAGCCAGCATACTCTGCCCTGCACAAGAGATTCTTTCACCCGTCTACTCCAAGACCTTCCTTGGCAGCTGCGGCTCAAACAGCGAGCCCGGGTGGATCACAATCAGAGTCTCAACCTCCAGCTCCAGCAATATACGAGGCTCCCAAAACTGGATTACTCTCAATAATCCCGTCATCATGGGTTCCTTATGCGGAACTTGTCAGACTCGACAAGCCAACTGGAACGTATTACCTCTTCTTCCCCTGCCTCTTCTCCACCCTCCTGGCAGCTCCGCTGGCAATTCCTATGGCGGCTCCCCTATCAGTACTCGGGACCTCCCTCCTCTTCTTCAGCGGTGCTCTCGTTATGCGTGGCGCCGGTTGCACCATCAACGATCTCTGGGACCGCAATCTCGACCCTCACGTCCGAAGGACACGGCTTCGACCGATCGCTCGTGGAGCCGTCACCCCATTCAATGCTCTTGCTTTCACCGGCGTCCAGCTCTTCATAGGCCTTGGTGTGCTCCTGCAGTTCCCAACGTCGTGTCTGTTCTACGGAATCCCAAGCTTGCTGCTCGTGGCTGCATATCCACTAGCCAAACGAGTTACACATTACCCCCAATTTGTCCTTGGCTTGACATTCTCCTGGGGTGCCATGATGGGCTTTCCTGCGCTCGGAGTCGATCTGTTGCAGGATATTGGTGCTCTGACAGCCGCGGGATGTCTCTATACCTCAAATGTGGCTTGGACGGTGTTGTATGACATGATCTATGCTCACATGGATATCAAGGACGACGCTAAGGCTGGGATTAAAAGCATAGCGCTGAAGCATGATGCGCAGACGAAGCAAATCCTGAGTGGATTGGCAGTGGCTCAGATTGGGCTTTTGGCAGCTGCGGGAGTGGCCGCTGGTGCAGGTCCGGTCTTCTTCGTTGGCAGCTGTGGAGGTGCAGCGATCACTCTGGCTGTTATGATCAAGAGAGTCAACCTGAAGAGCGTCAAGGATTGCTGGTGGTGGTTTGTGAATGGGTGTTGGATCACTGGCGGGGTGGTGTCCGCCGGACTGGGAGCAGAGTACTTGATTCGGTTTGCAAAGAGAGGAGAAGAAGAAGCTATTGTTGTTGAAGATTCGGTACCTGTATAATATCATACTGGGTGATTGAGCTTTTTATGTGAGATGGGTGGGTGTATGATAGATAGCTAGGTTTGGATTATTCTGCATAATGATGGCATGTATAGAAGTGACTACGGTATGAGAAGAAACACCTGGAACTGCATTCAACTGTTTGTCTTGAAGTCCACTGCAAACCAAACCGACCTCCCAGTTCGCAGAAGCTCCAATGTACTGTCATTAGTAATATCACAGCCAAGCCTCTATCCATAACCTTCTTCTCGAGCCATTATCCATTCTGTACCGTAGGACATGGAAGTAAGCAAGCCAGGTTGCACTGATCATCACGTCATCTGAGCAGTCGCCAAATATCAGGTCCGGAGCTATGTACGGTACCGGTACCGGTATCTCCCCTTGCTCATGATTAACGACTGCTCGGTCTGCTCGAGACTCGAGAGTCCTGGTGGAGGGTGTCCGGTTTCAGCTGGGGGTTCTTGCTTGGCTTTTGCTTGGCTTTTGCTTGGCTTTGTTGCTGGGCCCACCTTCAGAGCAGCGGTGTTGTTGACTGGGTCTGCAAGGCATCCCAGAGCGAAGGCCACTTCATCACAACCCTCTATCCAGATTCCAACAGGATTTCTTCCGATCTCATCCCAAAAATATATATATGTACCTTATAATATATACCACAAGACGGTAAAATCACGGGCTGCTTTTGCACATCCAGATCCTCCGATCGGCGCATCATCTGAGCGTTGTTGACTCAAGCCTTGCACTTGCACACTCCTTGCACACTCACTATACGCGAAGGGTTAAGCGTAGCTCAACTATGAGATCATCCTGACTTGAGCTTCCCGCAGCCCTCCGTCACCACTACAAAGGCTACTTCAAGCATTAAAGAAAGGCGAACAACCTCCGTCTCCGCCGCAAACCCACCTCGTCACTCGAATTGTTTCGATCCTGAGACCTATTACATTACTTTCTTACCTTACCTACACTTCTTTGTTTGAGACAGGGCCTACCCACCCAGTCTAGACTATACCAAACCCTACATCTCCATCAATACGCAAAATGGCCAGTACTATTCAACTCGGCCTCAGGGCTTTTCAATTTCTTATGATTCTCCTGACTTTATCTTTGATCGGCAATGTGATCCAGGAGGCCTTTGCAGGAAATTCATCCAGCATCAACTACGCCATGTTCGTGTCCGTCTTTGACATGGTTGTTATCCTCTGGGGTCTCGGATGCGCCTTCAGGCCAGACTTCGGATTCGGATTCGGAATCGTCGCTGCTGATGCCCTTGCTACTCTCTTCACTGTCATCGCTGGTATCGTCCTGGCCGCGAAGCTCGACGTGCACTCGTGCGGCAACGATGTGATTCCTCCTCGTATTTCGCTTTTTGTCAACATACGCTAATGGTTGCAACAGTCCTATGTCCTCTCCAACCCATTGACCAACGGGTCCAACAACCCCAGGAAGCGCTGCCACGAGCTGCAAGCTAGCACTGCCTTCTTTTGGTTTGCCTTTGCCGCGTTCGTCGGTTCTTTGGTCATGAGCTTCATGAGCGGTGGCAGCTCGTTCAAGAGCCCTCGCGGTGGAATCCGCCAGGGCGGACCATCAATGTCTCAAGTCTAGCGAGCAATTATGGTAAGTTGCGGATCTCTTGCACACAAGATCTCCTCTCCATCATCTATTGGAACACTGGCTGATCGACCGTATAACAGACTTTGGAGTATAATGCAAGCATCTCGAGCAGGTACCGACAATTAACAGTCGCAAATTTTCCTTCGAATTGGATACATCGCCGGTGATGTGGGTTGGGTATTTAAAGGACAATCAATGTGTTGGACTCCTCGTTGAAGGAGGGGATAGTATCAGCTTGGATGCCAGCCAGCAAGGCGTTATTATGCACTGACTTCGCGTTAGTTTTTCAGCGGTATGACCTGCTTTATGATGAACACCTAATAATGTATCATAATAAAGTGATACTGTAGTATACTAAGTATTACGCGCTCATTAATATCTTTGAAGTCATGAGGAAGCATGGATGGAACGTTTTCTAGATAATATGCACGTACCAAGTGACGGTTTTGTCTCCCTTAAAGAGCAAAACATCCGGCCTGAGAAAGCAATACCAATTTCATTGCAATGAAAATGTCGCGAGCGTCTTGGAGTTAAGTTCAATCCTTCGTGTAAATGAGGTTTATTGAAGAGATGGCCCTCGTATTGTCTTCTTAAGTGAACCTGTGCTTCACTTGTATATTGGACCCGTGGTTGATCCAGCATCGCATTGTCCAAGCTTCCACTGTTGCCATTTATGCAGTTTAAACCACAGCCTCAGGTGCTACGTCCCCTAGTTGCCTTCCTTATGTATTCGCTTCGAAGAGCGATAGGGCTAGACACAACATGCTCATATACCATGAACGCCATGCCCAATGTCAGTCCCTGTCGTGCCCCGACGCGAAATCTAACTCCCTCTCTATGCTCTCTCTCTCTCTTCTTCCTTCATATCGATGCAGCAGCTTCAACAGCACCTGCCATCTTGAAACTCGACGAATTCGTAATCCTGACCTCAACAGGATACATCCATTCCATGTACTTTGCCCAGCCTTCACAAACAATCAGCAATGGCCACTTTACTCAGAACAAACGCAGATCAATACTCACTCCAGTACGCGAACTTTCTCCCAAAGTATTTCCCCGCGTAAGGCACAATCACCATCGTCAACATCAGCTCCAGCTGCTGCAGACTAGCCTCCCACTCCCTTTGAGCGTCAGATCCTTCCTCAGAGTCCAGGTCGCTGCTGTCTAATGACGATGGCAGGGAGTCGACTTCGTCTGGGTCGTAGGAGGATTCTGGGGAGACATCGGGGATGATGTACGAATCGGAGGCCGACATGATTCCGAGGCGGTTGGAGAAGCTTTGGTAGATAGAAACGCACAAAGAGTGCTACCGCCGACAGCGCCAATACATCGAATTACTGGAGAGAATGGGGGGGAGATGGACGGGGCGCTGTTGCAGAGTTGATCCCCGTTTTCCAAGTTCCGAATCCGCTTAGCTTCAAGCTGCTCTCCCGAGCCGGTATGGCTTGATTGATTCGGGTCACGTGACTACACTTCATTCACCACTTTGGAGGGTGAATCATAATGAGCGCGTGTCATCAAGTCCTTGGAGCAAACACTGCACTCATAAAAACCACCTCGAATCGAAACCTGCCAAAACATAGTCTTCTGCGAATATCTGGCGAAGAAAAGGTTCTTACCAGCTTAATCATGGCTGACACGGTAAGTTTGCCAATTGCATGGACCCCCCCGCTCACCCGAATCCACGCAGCAATTTTGTGACACCACATCTCAGGAAATCAAAACCCCCGAACGCAAGCCCCGCAAGTCCGTAGCATTCAGCGAGGGAACCACGGTAGTCGACAAAAACGGAGCAGTCACGATGATGGACGGGCACGACGATACGAAGGACACGGCGCAGTCACACTCACCAAGTACTCCGCGTCTATCACAGGCTTTGGGGGCATTTACTGACCCTGTACAAGGCCTTAATGACGGCGCGAACGAGCCCACGAACGACGACGATGTTGCAGCCATGTTGAAGGGCATGAAGAAGAAGAAGAGCAAGAAGCCCAAGGACGCTGAGGATGAGGGTGAGGGTGGCGAGGCTGTTGCGGAGGATGGCGGGCTGGATCTTTCGTCGATGAAGAAGAAGAAGAAGAGCAAGAAGCCCAAGGAGACCGAGGACGCCTTCGCCGCCAAGATCGCCGCGCTTACTGTCGATGATGCCGAGGAGGGAGAGGCCCCAGCCGCAGCTGCTACGGAGAAGAAGGTCGTGGATGAGGGTGATATGGTGAAGGGCACTGGAATCTGGCAACACGACTCGGAAACAAAGATCCCCTACGAACAACTCCTGTCTCGATTCTTCGTCCTCCTCGCCCAAAAGAACCCAGACCATGCGTCGAGCGGCTCGAGGAGCTACAAGATCCCGCCTCCTCAGTGCCTCCGCGAAGGAAACAAGAAGACGATTTTCGCCAATATTGCCGAGATCTGCAAGCGCATGAAGAGAACTGATGAGCATGTCACATCTTATCTTTTTGCCGAGTTAGGTACGAGCGGTTCGGTTGATGGAAGCAGACGCCTTGTTATCAAGGGTCGATTCCAGCAGAAGCAGATTGAGAATGTTCTGAGGAGATACATCAGTAAGCCCACCAACTCTCTTATTTTTTAACTGAAAGACTAACCAGAGACAGTGGAATATGTCACCTGTAAAACCTGCAGATCCCCAGACACCGAGCTCAACAAAGGAGAGAACAGACTTTACTTCATCACTTGCAACTCCTGCGGATCCCGACGCTCGGTCACGGCCATCAAGACAGGATTCTCTGCCCAAGTCGGAAAGAGACGCAGACAGCAAGGTTAAACTGGTTAACTTTCTGCACCAGGCTTCGGGGATTATGATGCTACGATTTCTCAATGGGAACGTTAGGCGGAATGCATACACTGAGCATGGGCTTGGGCCGATAGCACTCTGAAGGTTGCATTTGACGGGTCTCAAAAAATAAGTACATAGCGGTTGACAAGCTTGTTAGATCACGCAGGAATCGACTCAAGGATTTAAGCACAGAAGCGCAGTGGTTCCTGGGTGCAACCTTGGCATGTGTGTAGTTTAAATTGTATTGGTGCCTGCCTGGACTAAAAGTCACTTGCTAATGAGCCTTTACCCAAGCACGATGGCTACTTGGGCTCTCCGTATTGAGTATGGCTAGTCGGGTCGCTACAAGAGGCAAACGCGCAGTAGCACAGCTCCTGTGACTTGAAAGACTTCGAGATCTGACTCGCTGAGATTGAAATCTGGTCGTGTTTTCCGATAGAGATGGAGATTGAGATAAACCTTAGTGACGAAGAATGAAGGTTACTATTACCAACACATAATTGGTACCTCGCCACTGGAAGAAAGCATTAATGATTTTACGACCTTGTTGAGGTTTTGAAATGAAAAGTTGTTTGCGAAAGCGACAGATGATCCGCACCGGAGTACGAGGTAGACGGCTTATTTCATGCCAAGTTCGAGGAACTTTGCTGGTATAGCTTGTGAGGGCCATGTTCTAAGCGCCCGGCTACACTCGCTTCGCCTCGCCTCGCCTCGCCTACCAATCCTCCATCCATACAACCCCCAAGGCCACGCCTGTAGGTAATTGGGTAGACTGGCAACCTGGCAAGAGGCTGGCCAATTGCCGCCCATTCGTTGCATCGAGAATATGGAAATAGAAACAGCCCGCCCATCCGAATTGACGCTCCAAGGAGTTGCTTGCAGCGCGACCCCGCCGGAGCTGAGCTCTGATGTTTCGTCTTCTTGTTTATATCGGTCTCAACCGATTCCTCAACTTCTACTCTGCTCGTGTTCAAGTCATTCGGATTTTAGAATTACACCGTTCAATCAGAGCACTGCCAGCTAGTGCTTAGAGAGCAAAAGATTGGTGAGTACGAAGCTGATGCGCAAGTCGGGGTGCGGGGTGAGCAAGGCTGCAGCTGACGATGATCCAAGAGAAGTCGTCGAACAGCTGCTTATTTGGCCCAAAAAAAAACCCCTCATTCGAATCCCTTCAACTACCAGTCCGGCATCTTGCATACATCACCTAGAGCTGTTAGGGAGCTTCGGAAGCCGTCTAGATGTCATACTATCCTCGTAGGTTCACCAGCCTCTCCAGAATCTTCCACAGCCTGCTAATTTCCGAGAAGCGCCTCCAGGTGACAATGGAGGTAAATAAATCAATTAAAGCTTTATATGAGGGGTTGTCGTTGACACTTTCTACTTCCTACAGCTCAGCAGCACCAATATGCTCCTCCTCCCTCCTCGCCTCCTCCTACGCAGACCACTCACTCACAATCCGCATACTACCCTCCTCCACCACAGACAGGAAGCCCTCCTCAAGCAGGGACCTCATACCCCCCTCCACCACAGCCCAACTCTCCCCAAGCCCAGCAACACTACCAAGCTCCCCCTCAACAGCAAGTCCCCGCACAAGTGCAACAGCACTACCAAAGCCCACCCCAAAATTTCTCCCACCGCACATCCTACCAGCAACCGGTAGCTCCGGCCCAGGGACAGGTATCCCCCGCTTACGAGCAGCCTCCCCAGCAGGCTTATGCGCATTTAGAGGAAGAACGTCCGCCTGAAAATCCGGCTCTGGATACAAGTGCGGCTCAGAACTTGGACCATGGAGCGCCGGCCGCTGAGCACTTTATTGGAGCCAGCACGAGCCAGGATGATGTCGGGACATTCAATGGTGGAAGCTATAGGATCAGTCACCGAGATACGAATAGTATCCTCACGTGTCAGCTGGCGATAGGGTGCCCGCTGATTGCGCGACCTGGTGTGTTCCACTCCCAATTAGAATCTCAAGTCCAAGCGTTGGAGAAGAATGAGGATGAGCTAATACCAGACAGGCGCAATGATCTCTATGACACCAACAATAACACTCAAAGGTAACGTCAAGTTCTCGATGAAGAAACTCATCACTGGTGGTGATATGACACACTCGACGTTCACTGGCCCGGGAGAACTCCTCCTCGCTCCGCCCTCATTGGGCGATATTACAAACATCCATCTTGCAGGCAGTGAGCAGTGGTCTGTAGGCCGCGATGCGTTCTTAGCCTGCACGCAAGGAGTGGTCAAGGAGTATAAGCGACAGGGTATCGGAAAGGCGATGTTTTCTGGTGAGGGGCTGTTTGTCTACAAGATAAGTGGGAACGGGCTGTTGTGGATCACGAGTTTGGGGGCGATTATTAGGAAGGATGTCAGAATCCCCTCTCACCTCTTCCCTCTCAAAACCTCGAGTTCGGAGAGCATAGACTGACAAGAAGTGCAGCTGGCGGATGGCGAGAAGTATATTGTGGATAATGGCCACCTAGTGGCGTGGAACACGAAGTATATCCTTGAGCGTGTGGCTTCGGGTGGTATTATTTCCGGTTTTTCGTCTGGTGAGGGGCTGGTCTGCAAATTTACTGGTCCTGGGACGGTGTTTATGCAGACGAGGAACCCGGTGAGTGTTGTACTCTTTCACCAAGGCGCAAATTTACTGACTAGCTGCAGACTGCTTTCGCTCAGTGGCTCTCTACGCATGCTGCTGCTGCGTAAGGTGGGTGGGTGTGGCAGGGTTGGTATCGATCATACTGTCTCGGTGTTTTGTGGACCAAATCATTTGTTTACTCCAGAGTCGCTTGAGCTTGCAGCGTACTTTTCTAGAACATCTCAAGTCTTACTTTCCTATCTACGAACCTCTCGTAAGGCTAGCTATACCGCTCCAGACGAGTAAATTTTGAACGTGTTAGTTGTTAGTATATGCTGTATCTACTCTCGGCAGCTATTTAAAGGGGGCTGGCTCACCAAAGAAGAAAACGGGCTTGAAGACCCAAGGTCGATGAATATCCCGCAAAGCGCTCAATTCAAATCACCGTGACTCTTATTTCAAACTCCCAAAGAGCTGTGGCTATGGAGGGTCTTCACTTCAACGTTAAGTTGCTCCTTCCTCGTTCCCAACGCCCTGACCAACTAGCCGAGACCTTACTTCTTTCCCTGAACACCTCACTTGCATCCAATCTGCTCTCTTCCGCATTTTACTTTTCTCTCCCATCAATCTTCAAACCATCATCGGTACTGGCAAAACCATCCTTCTCGACAGTGCACTAGCATTAGATTCTTGGTTAGAAATCGATAGCATTGCTTTTTGCTGCCGCAAATACGGTTCTGGTTGTCTTTTGATTGTAGAACCCGGCCTGGCACACTAGGGACAGCATATTGTCTTGGTCGAGCATATTCATTTGCGAGACGATACGAAGAGGGATTCCCAAGGGGCGTCGCTTCATTACCTTATCAACTGTGCGTATTGCCCCCTCCTCTCCTTGATGGGGGAACAATGTGCAGGTTGACTGACAACTCCGACACAAGGTCATCAGTCAAGAAGCAGAAGAGCTCAAATCAAACTCCCTCCAAGCGAGTTTCGATCGTCGAACACAAGAAAAGCCGCCCTTATTGTTGCGTTCCTTGACCTCAGGGCCAACAGATCCCTGGCTTTAGCTCATTTCCTCTCGAATCTGACGAATCAACATCCGGGCACAATGGTCCTCACGGAGAAGGACCGCGAGGTCCAAGGCAGCCACAGTAAGAGACACAAGAACGAAATCCATAACGAAAACATAGCATCAAAGGGTCAGCCTAGCTGGATTGCCCCCACATCAGGCTCGTCGACAACCCCTTCTCGGATGAAGATTCGGAGTCCAAGAAAGGAGGTTGGAAGAAGTTCTACCATCGTACGAGAACCGGCACCAAAGCAGGAACTTTTCTCCACAAATCTCAGACGACCTCAGACGTCTTTGAAAGGCATACCTGGTAGTCGCACCAGTGATAAATCTCCACCGAAATCTTCTCCCGCCACATTTTCGAGAGCTACCAACAAGCAGACCAAGCAGAGCTTGCAGAGCCCTCGTTCCACTGTCAGGGGAATGGCCGGAACTATTGAACATCGCTCAATCAAGGTTCCGACGAAGAGGGAAGATGATTTCCGCACTCCAGAACAACCTACCATGAAGTTTAATGCCGCGACCTCCTCCTCAGATGGAGACTCCGACAAGGAGAACAAGCCGTTCCCAAAGACACAATCGTTCCACACCGATAGCGTTAGAAATACCAACCCAATCACGAAACCAACGGCAGTTGCAAATGACAAGCTGCAACTCATCCTCCGTAACATGAGAGGTTCATCGACGCCTCGTCCCAGGAGCGTTGAGAGAGAACACAGCGTATCCGATAATGATTCCACGTCTGGTTTTCCGGTCGGTGACTCGACGTTCCATGCTGATGGAGAATTAAGTGAGGATGACATCGAGTACAATGTGGAAGCATTCCTTGATCGTCGAGAGCACTACCGTCGGATTCGTCGACCTGAGGTCAAATCTGTCAAGTGGGATCCTGCGATCGTGGATTTCGGTCCACTGGCCGCAATTACCAATAAACCCAAGGCAGAAACCAACAACCCCAAGGTAGATATCAACAAGCCCATGGCAGATACATATCGACCTTCCAAGGCGCCGGGAGAGCAACAGATCGACTTGCCTACAAAAGGTTTGCAGCACAGCCTGTTGGAGTTGGCTCAGATGGCTACCGAGTTAATGAAGGAAGATCGACAAAAATTGCAGAAGATTCTGGAGGCAATGAAGTGTGCCGAAAGCGGTGATGACTCTGTGGTTATAACAAGGCCGAAGAAGGACAGGAAGCCCCTGGAGGAAATTAAGTTCCACGACAAGACGACAGGAAGATCCGCGGTTTCGAAACAAAACGAGATCAACAAGGAATCCACGTCCCCTGCAAAGAAACTGAATCCAGCCGCACCGGTCTATCGAAAATTAGCCGATATCAAGGCTAGGATCTCTCCTAAGAAGGAGAACACGCCAAACCCTGTGCAGTTTCCCTTGCATGTGCAAAGAAAGCGGCGTCATGCAGCGAGTGAAGAGACCATCGAACGTCCGTTTGTTGGTAGGCCAAACAAGTATATCCCTCCTGCGCTGCGAGTACTCGATAGTAACGTCCCCGCGGATTCCCCAGCCAAACAGCAAGAGCCAATATGGATTGATACTTCGAAGCTTGCTGCAGATGGGAAGGGCCTTCCTCAAATATCAAGCATGCTAAATGATTGGCTTCAAAGTACACCTGAGGCACTTGGATTTGGCACTCAGTTTCCAGAAGAGGTTCATGACCAACAAACGGCGCCGGTCGACACGCAAATCGAATTTCAATCGCAATCTTTGCCTCCAGTGCCTCCAGCATGGATCCCGTTACCGAGCATCAACACATCTGCCCTGCCTCAGAGCTGGTGTCATATGCCACTTCCAGAATGGTGTCCTATATCCTTCGTACCGGTCTCAATGATGCCTCTCCCACAGATGCCTCTCCCACAGATGCCTCTCCCACAGATGCCTCTCCCACAGGTGCCCTTGACAAGCTATTCTCAAGTTCCGCCCCTAGAGAAGAAAACCAAGCCGTTTCCGCGTCGGATTCCGAATCAATCAGAACACGGTCGAACAGCTGAGACTCTGCATCCAGCCTGGGCATCATCGCTCTTGGATAAATTCATGGAGAAGTATCCAATGACAGGCAGGTTGATTCCTCCGGCTGCTCCCAGCCCGCTTCCGAAGCGCGCGAGACGAGGGAAGAATGCAAGTGAGATTCAGCAAAAATTGGAGGAGTTGCTGTTGTACCAGAAAGAGAAGAGGATTTTCGAGCAGCGACATAACACTACAAACATGTCAGAGGACTCCGATTCATCGTCTGGGAGATCATAGGAAGAGAAATTGGTCGGATGAGAGTATCCCGCTGGATGAGAGAATACTTGTGGATTAGAGGAATGGGTATGAGCAATTGGTATTGTTTCAGGCCGAATTGGCATTTTCTCCGGGACAACTGAATCTTTTGTATCCATTCACGATTGTTCGGTAGCGGTTGCGGGTAGATAGTATTTGTAATGCACCCGAATACATGAATTCGCGTTCTTGTTCATTGAAAGAAAGGGGTTTGAAGTGAATGGATTAGATATCTTGGCGCGGCCGCAAGACGCGCATCATTCGCGTCGACCAGCCTGTCAGCCTTCTCTCATCGAACTCTTTCAAATCAACGAATAATTCCTTCTCCACGACCTTCCCAATCACCGTTGCCGTCGATTAAGTTCCCGAAAATGGCCACTCCCTCGACACCCTTCTCAGCTTCGAATCACCCTCCGGCATTATCACCTCATGGTCCTCGATCGGTTGTACCCTCCCCGCAGCAGCTCAAAAAATCACCCTCGAATACAAACACGAATTCAAATACGATGTACGGCTATCCTGTCGGCGGTCACCCCACCAATTCTTCATTTGGCGTGGGCTATGACAGTCCCTCTGCAGCGATGGCTTTGGGGGCTGTGCCGGGACTCGAGCTGGGTCTGGAGGGACTGGGTGTTCCGGGCATGGGGGGCGGAATGGGGAATGACGATGAGAGGAAGCGGAAGATGGGGCAGCTCATAGATATGTTGCAGGTATGTGTGAGACGGCGGGCTACGATTGAAAATTTTCTCATATCCCTATGGATACATACTGACTGATTCCATGCAGACGAGTAAAGGTCGTCTTAGCGAGAACGGAGTGGAACGCCTGGCGAGGCGGATGGGCTTGGATCCGATTTTTGACATCGAAGATACTACAGTACCACGAACGCTGATCATTGCGGGAAAGGCTTTATCTCTTGATATCGAGTTTGACCGCGATGTCGTCAAGAAGGTTATCCTGGCGTTTCCTGAGGCCCTGGATATGGTTACGAGACACACTAGCAAGGCGGAGGCCATCCTGTTGAAAGATCTCCAGTTCCAGGCGCATGAGAGCCCATTAACGAAGAGGCTGGACCGATTCGCGGCGAATCTGGAGATATTGGCTGCTTCAGATAAGCTGAGTGTCATCCCGGGGCTGAACTGTCATGAAGCTATTGCGGGTATCTATGAGAGCGTGGAGAGACTACATCTGTGGGAGGTTGAGAGGCTAAAGGAGACGCAGGAGATGGCTGGGAGAAGCGATGCCTACGTAGTCAAGACGGCGATGTGTACGAAGAGTGGGAAGCCAGTTATCCATACAAGAGATAGGCTTGGCCTTAGCTTGGAGTATTGGCAGGAGAGACGGAGATTGGCGAGCGACAAGGCGGAAAAGACTTGGTCGCTGGTAATCCAATGTGCGCCAATCTCTGACCTTGTCTATACTCCATTGCGAGTTTCTCAGCATTGGATTTCGGATAATATACAAAAAGCCGATGCGACAGCTGAGGATCGTGCTCTGGAGCCGGACAATGGACCCGTGCTGGATTGGCAGGAGCCTGAGAGTACTCTGCTACCTCCTACAGACCCTCCGAAGGCGGATGGGATGGAAGGCCTCGAGGGACTCACGGGTCAGAAGTATCCAGAAGTTATGTTTGTGGCCAAATTCGACCCGCCGCTCGTCGTTCCTTACACGCTTGCCAGTCAGATATACGCCTCAACCGCGTATCCCATGGTATACTACGGGTCTCCACATTTCGACGCGTTGCTGTTCCCCCTCGACGCACATGATATTGAACACGATGGAATGCGTATCATCCCACGGGAACGCACTGTCACCGCGTATTCCAAGGAGGGAGTAAAACTCGAATCAAAGCAGACACACGAGCTATGGATCGAGAAGGCTGACTTCGGCTACACCCTGACCGAGCTCCCTTTCTCTCACCCGAAACAACTGGTTGAGATGTTACCTGCCCTCCGACAATACGCCTTCCTCTCCACGGTGCTCAACAATAGCTTTGGTGCCGGCACAAAAGTGCCTCCCGAACCGCCTCGGAAAACAGATCGCAAGAAGGCCGAATTGAATGAATTCCTACAAGAGGGTGAAGTTCAGCGTTCTAAGAACATGGACGTGGTCTTGACCACGCAGCCAGATCTGCGCTTGAGAGTAATCTTCGCCTGCGGCAACACTAAGGGCGACGTCACGTTTCTGATTCGGTTGAATGGCGTGGTTGAGGTCAAGCTGCAGAATCTACTGAAGGAAGGTGGTGACTGGAAGGGTTTAACTGTCAAGGACTTGGGTAGGATGTTGGAGATTACGGAGGATTTGGGGGTTTGGGCTGAGTTTGTGAAAAGGCGTTTAGGATGATACGATAGCATGGGATAGGACAGGATAGGCATGATACCCGGCCGTTTGGCGCCAGTTCCATAAGGATTTTCTGCGCACTTTGAATCCCAATATCGATTTCTACAAGTCTTTGGTGCCACAGTCAGCAAATGGTGTGTGCCCTGCCCTGCTTGATTGCAAAACTGGCGACATATCAGGTAGGTATTGCCTCTGCAGAGTGTCTGTCCATTGTCCGGGGCGGGTTTTTACTTCGGTAATCCTAAGCGGCATCTCAGCAACAATATCGAGCTCTCGAATGTCGTTGATACCCCTCTTTCTCCACATGCTAAAGGCCCTCATCCTCCTTGCCCCCACTCTAAGAGTCATATTTCTCCGGCCAGAGTTCGGCGCGTACAACACGGAAGCCGAATGACGAGAGAAAAAGGCGAAAAAAAATCCAAAACAAGGGACAAGCGCGATGGATTCAAACCACCTTCATCTTCAATCCAAGAACTAATCTTGGCGGTGCTGGGAATCGAACCCAGATTGAAACGGGTCAGCATGGAACTCTTGACAGAGAGCCACAACGTCACGTGCTACCATTACACCACACCACCGTGCGTATCTGAACAGATGCATCCTCGGCTGGAAGAGAGCTTTATAAAGCCTCAAAAAATATTTCCCCGGAGAATGCCGTTAGTGGCTTCATAAGCGAGTGACCAGTTATTCGGGTGACTAATCGGGTGTGGGGCTAGTCCTGACGACCCAAAATATAACTGACGATCTTTGGCCCGCTGCGTCTCTATCAACACAACTCAAATATTGTCTACTGCTATCGAAGCGTACAAATTAAATACAAAAGATAAAGAGATCGTCGACCGATAAATCAATGTTTCCAAACTTTTCCGCTCCGCTAGTCCATATTATTGCCTTCTTTGTACACCAGTTACCTCCAACACTGGCTCGGCAATATCTCGCCGGCTGCAGGAGCTGGTAGACAGTGTAGTGAGTCATTTGAAGATAAAATCACTGTGTAACTACAAGTACCATGGGCACTGTACGATGGGCTTGTAGAATGATGCTGACATGGAAGAAACCGGCCATTTATCCTGTGCTAGCACTCTCCCATCTCTTCATTGAGGTAAAGTATCCTTTCTGATTTCTCGTACGCTCTTATATAGCGTATTTATCTTTGAAAACCTCGCTATATCCCTTAAAGATTTCTGGCAGGAAATAACTCCATTTTGCATCGCGTAATCAAGTGTTTAATGCGGAAGAACGAAGCAAAGATGTTAGTCGCTTTCTTTCCCTTAACATTCGTAATGTAAAGCCGCCGAGTGTCTTGCAAATGCATATAACTCGGGGACATTCTTCAAACTGATTAAATGCCTGGCCACTCTCTGGAGCACAATGATCTCATTTTGGTATTTCCTTTTCGCTCTTTTGAAATTTTAGTCGTGATCTCATGCTACTGTTATCGAAGCGGTCGGCAACGCGAAGCTGACTTCCCAAGTCTGCGGCGGCCTCTATCCTCCTGGTCACTTATCACAACGCATTTTATTTCGACCTTTTGCCAGATATCTGCGCGTATTCTTTTCGGTCATACCGGCGAATATGATTCCATCCCATTTACGATTAATGCAATGAACTGGACTGGGGGTCGCCTACAACGGCACTCTACCACAACCGATTCCGCTGCTCAGCGGCAGAGAGAGCACTTTGCAAGAGTCCAGCAGAACCTCCGCAACGGAGGCATCCCCAACAAGCAGTCTCCTCTCAAAGCCCTCGGCATTGGCCCCGGGCATCACCGTCAGCGCCAGCACGGACAGAACAGTACGCCTTATGCTGCGAGTTCAACCTACGATAGAAGTCAATCTATTCGAAGAGACAACCACAAATCTACACTCGACTCCGCTCCTCCTCATCAGAAACATGAGGCCAAGAATTATTCCCGATTCCACGAGCCACGTCCCTCGGGACCTCCTCTGCAGATTCAGATTAAGAGGGAGCAAAACCGCGTTCCAGACGATGATCTCTATAGCGCTACCCCTCCACCGCGTAAAGTGAAGCGAAAACGAGAGGATTTGGTATCCCTATCAGAATTTGGAAGTGCGGCGGGAGAAAATCAAGTGGAAGAATCGCTATCGGATAAGAAAAGGAGGATACTGCGCCAGGGGGATTGGCTTGGGATTGCCATCCAGAGACCCCTACAGCTTGCTTTCGCATCTCCCAGAGACGAGCAGGAAATTGGCAAGAGGAGGAAGCTATCCAACGGTCACAAAGCAAAATACCGCCCGGCGCATTCCCGTATGGTGTCTCCTTTTGCAGCAAGAAAGCATCCCGACTACAGCCCTCGAATCGGTGTACAAGAACCGCGAGGTACTTTCCCCTCGATACCAGATGTGAGGATATCTATCGGTGGCAGGGCTGTTCAACCTGGAGTCAGTTCGAGCACGGTTCCACGTAGGAAATACAACCAATCGCCGGTGGTTAAAAGGAGTTCTCGGGCTACGTCGTCGTCAGATATTATGCTCCTAGACAACGAGAGCATGCGAGGGTATCGGCTGGGAAGGGAGTCAAAGAAAGCTTTGACCCAGATTCCTGAGAGTCCTCGCCCAGGCCGTGGGCAATCGAGCTATCAGAGCTACAGGCAAGATGTGCCACTGGATGTGTCTGACGAACAAGGCTGGGCCGGTGTAACAGAAGAGTCTCTGGCGAATTTACAGGGAATATTCCAAAGCAATCATGCACAGCATGCCCAGAAAATCCCACCACAACCAGAAGTCGGTTTCAGCACACAGTTTAGCAATACGCTTCGCCCTGGAAAAGTAGCCTTCTCATCGTCCTCTACCTCCATCCATCATCCGGTACCGCAAAGCTCAAAACGATCCGTTCTCATCCGCTCAAACTCGTCGCAATTTACAGCGAGCAATATAGCCCAGGTCGGAGTGGGCAGAGCAGTAGTCTCAAATTCGCAACTTCTTGAAAACGAGATTTGGCGAACTTGGATTGCGCCAGAGGATAGCGATGATCAACCTGGTGAGATAGAATCCCGCGATTCTCCTTCCGGTGATGGGTATATTAGTCCAGGCATGAGTCTTCCTCCTCCTCGACCCCCAAGCATGTCTATTCCTGCTGAAGATGCGTACTCGTCCGAGCTCGAAGAACCATACACGGGAGAAGTGGAGGAAAAGGAAGCGGAAGACGAACTGCAGAAGTATTACTGCGAAGGTACTTCGGCCTGTGAGGGGGTGGAGGATAATCAGTCTGAGCACTCGCACCATGAGGAGTTATTCGGTCAACCGCTGGTGGAAGGCGAGCCAGAGCTTCCCGCACGTAACGCTACAGACGAAGGGGTGACCTGTTTTATTCAAGGCCTACAAACTACGCCGCTAAAAATTCCTAGAGGGCCAAGTATGCAACCACCTCTGCGTCTTGTGGAGGAGGACAAATCCATAGATGTCAATGAAGCCTGGAGAAAATTTGTACTTGGAAGCAGCAGTGACGAGATTGAAGCACCTGGCTTTGTGATGGATGCCAATACAGCTTCTTCGGAACAAGATCCCATTGGATCTTCACTAGTCGCTCATGCAGCTACAGAACGTATCACAGGCGTACAAGCGAGTGATCAGTCTCCCAGCGGCGCGAGTCCTGGCCGACCTTCCATTTCCTCGGGGTTTCCAGTCACCGATAACAGCTCATTCCTTCGAAATCCGAGTCCTTGGGACTCAAATCTAGGAAGCACCTCAACTCATCGCTTTGCAAGTACGGATGAAGGTGCCGCTGTCGATGCTGCCAATGCATCAGCCAGAAACCTCAGCTCAGAGATGGCTCCTTCTTCCAGAGCTGTAGAAGAGTCATCTGCAGCGTCAAGATCAGTCTCCAGCACTGCCAAGGCTCCAACGAGAAAATTCATATTCACCAAGCCCAGACCGTTCATCGGACGCAACTCTCGTACGGATGTGGAAGTCGACGATGAATTTGTTCATATTGGGCGAGGACTCAGAGGCGGAGAAGAAGTTGTTGGTTCGAAGACGAAGGAGAACTGGCTGAGAGATATTCATAGTATTGTGGCCTCAGATGAGCGAGATGAGTTGAAATCTATTGAAGAAGATTGATGAACATGACATAGATGAGCTTTTAGCAGGAATGGTCGTGCATTTGCAAGGAGGGATCATATTGGCTATTTGCGCGTATAAAGCCTCGGCCATATTAGCATACTTTCCGCACCAGACACATTATGTTTTCGCGATATAAAAGGTCTGTCTGTCACCTCCAGCTGAATCGTTCGCTCACCAGTCTTTTGTTTACTTGGAATTGGGGCTCTCGGCTGCATGCCTTTCGCAATCGGCAAGAACTCCTCGAACATTATTCGCAACCAACACACTGGAATTGATCTGAACTAACAGGAAGTTATTCTTGCCATCGCTAAGCTGATATGCCTTGCTCTTATCATAATAATAACAGTGGATAATAATAACAGTGGGATTGATTTACGTCGGGCGAGTATCTAAAACGCAATGCTCAGACCCTGGTGACCTTTTATTAAAGTACGGCGACGTATTAAATAAAGAAAATACATACAGCGTACTATCTAATCGATAGTAAAAGCCACGTTGAGGAAAAGCTCTTTTTTCAAACAGCTTCGGGTTTCTGATCCCGCGGTGTCGCAGACTCTTATGAGCCCTTGAAAAGCATTTCTAAGAATTCGCATCGGGTTGTCTCTTAATACCCGTCGTGTACGCGTGCGCGTGGCCTTAAAAGCGGCCTTAGTCGGTACGAGTGTAAACATCGTTCTCGTTCTAGTAGAGCTTTAAAGGCTCGTGTTCGTAGCTCCTATACAGATAAAATCGGTATGTTTGCAGAGCGCTCTTTCGAAAGCGCGATACTGTGTTTTCGATCGATCGGACTAAGCCCTCTTTATCTTTTACACCGGTTTTCTCTCTGTCGCAAACCCTCTTGATATATATTTAGTTAGTATGCCCGTCAAGTGTAATTCGAAATCGGCGTGGTGGTCGAGATAAAAAAAGAAGTCTACCGCAACAGAGAGCTGAAGGTTAGTAGGAGGCACTTTGTATGGGTAAAAAAGAAATACCTTAGTCGTACTGAGCTAGACACAATGTCAGATGAGTATACTCGTATCATGATCATTTCTACTTACGATCGAACTCAGAACCATCTCGGAAACTGTTCAGATGCTTGTGAACGAGATATCATAACCATTAGACCATACGACTGAGCTTTAGCTGATTTACTCATGTCATAATCTCGAGCAACGCCAAGTTTAATAAGTAATCGTCGGCTCGCTTAGGTGCGCCTCCATTCACCCTTTAAGACTGACGATTGAGTTTAAGTAATCACGTGAACAGCGAGAATGATGACGCAGCCGACTCTCGGCTTTTATTCCCCGGATTCGAAACTCCATGGCCCATTCTCTTCAACATATCTCAACATCAAAATAGAGAATTACCGACTGATTGACCGACTGAACAAAAATGTCTTCGATCCGGCTAGCCCTCCGCTCCGTGCGACCTTCAATGACCTTCACCCGGTCCATGTGCAGCACTGGTCGCCGTCTCGCCGGCCCAGGAAACGCCCAAGAGCACGAGGGAACAGCAGAGCACCGCAAGATCCAAACGGAGAAGAAGCTCAACCCGCACATGACAAACACCACCTCGACAATCGCGAACGAGATGCCATCTGTCGGGGCGCGGAAAGCTCCCCCCGAGTTCCTCAGCTCAGTCGAGCCGGACTTTGTGCCCAAAGACTCCGTCCCCGAGAACACGAAGCGGATGACAGGGGGGACGCAAGGGGAGCCGCAGAGCGGGGAGAATGCCGATATGGAGGTTGGAGAGATGGAGGGGGCGAAGTTCAAGGTTGAACCTTTGAGGAGGATGGGGGAGGACCCGAATACTATGCGGGCGAGGTTGTTATGTTAGTACACGCACATATTGTTCCCCCAAAATATTGAGGAAGGGCTTCTGACCGTGGATGTGGAACACAGACCAATGCCGGAAGAGAGGGACGCTCGAGAGTGATCTCCTCATGTCGACATTCGCCGAATCCCATTTGAGAGAAATGACGCCCGCGCAGATGGCACAGCTGGATATTTTCCTGGACGAGAATGACTGGGATATCTACTACTGGGCTACTCAAGAGCCGACGCCTACTTCACAAGAGACTGCCGAGGGCGCGGGACAGGGCCCACAGGGTGCAACAGCCAATGCTGCAGGCACGAATGTTAAGCCCGTGGCGCCGCAAAAGGGGGAGTGGGCGCAGACTGTCGGAACGTTCAAGCCTGCGTACAGACCTGTGCCGGCTAGGTGGAAGAATAGCGAGATCTTGGCGATGCTGAGACGACACGTTATCTCGAGGTCAGCGGGAGGTGTGCACGAGGCCGAAGCTGGCGTGAAAGGTGACGGACTGGCTCAGGGGGTTCGTGGAACTGGTGGTAAAGGCACGTTGATCCTCCGTTCTATAGAGACTTTTCAAGGTGGCTAACTTTGGCTAGGTATGGCTTTTATGCCTCCTGTATTCAACACCCATCAGTAGATTTTGTTTCTTGATGTACATAGTATAGATCGTTATATGTACATTCCAAATGCATGAAAAATATGTTTTAGCTTTTATTTGCCGTCATATCTCATTCTGCGACGAATTACATGTTGCTTCAATTAGGCGTCAGTTCGAGAACGAAAGCCAAGCCCTTGGGCTCCCAGCCCTACGAAAACAAGACTCCAGCTCTCAGCCCTATGAAAACAAGACTTCGCGTGATCGACTTGTCCCAGTCCCATGGTGGTGTCAATCAGTGGTCGTGTTTTCTGGCATCGCATTCATGAGCATCTCAGATTATATCTTCGTTATCGTCTACTATGGATAAGATACAGTTCAACTTTAGCGCCCTCCACTATCCTCACCACTCCTACTTCTCGCCAGCTTCGACATGCACCTCATGCGTACCAATAGCCATATGCTTGTCCTGAATCTCCCGCGCTCTTCTCTCCAAGTCATCAGCATAATTCGCTTTATAGGCCGCCTTGTCGTGGAACGCCACAATCCACGGCGCATTCGTGAACAAGTAGTTCATCTCCTCCAGAGGCAGGTTCTTCGTCTCTGGCAAGAAGAGGTAGAAGAAGACGGCGTTGGTGAAGTTGCAGATGATGAATAGGAAGTAGTACCTGTACCCGATGTTCTCCATGGCCGTGCCGGTGACCTGGCCGATCAAGGTGTTGAAGGCGAAGGAGACCATGGTGGCGATCGAGACCCCCTTTGAGCGGGTGCGGGTGTCGAAGATCTCGGCGGGGATGACCCACGAGAGGGGCCCGCAGGTTGCGGAAAAGGAAAAGTTGTAGAGCCAAGTCCTGCGGTTGTTAGTCGATGCCTGGCTGGTCAGGGCTGAGCCGGGGGGAGGAGGAGAGTGCGTACATCATGATGAAGCCCCAAGAGGCAGATTCGTTGTTGCTGGATCCGACCGGGAATTTGGCGATCAAGATGCAGGCGACGAGGAAGCAGACCTGATTCTTGAGTCAGTATGGGTGGTGACGATTCCGAGGCTGTGTATGTTGGACGTACCATGTTCGCCAGGTTACCGAAGATCAACGGTCTGCGACGACCTAGTTTGTCGACAAAGAGCACACAGCATGCCTCCCCGACGAGGGCAATGATATTGTTGATGGCCTGATACTTGAGAGCATCGGCTCCCTTGATACCAATCGAGCCGTAGATAGCAACGCTGTAGTATTGGATGGCTGACACTCCCGTCATCTGGACAGAGGCTTGCAAAGCGGAGGCAATAAGTACACGTCTGAAGGAAGAGATGTTGGTGAACAGCTCCAGATATGACTTGGCCTCGTTCTCCCTTTCGTGCGTGATGCTGTCCTGGATTTGGTCGAACTCAGCTCTCACCCTGCACGATGTTAGTAACCCGCGAAGTCTTGACAAGAGCATCAGCTAATAAGACACTGGATTCGTAGCCATACCAGGGATCGGACTCGTCTCCGTTTGAATGTAGCCGTGCCAATGTCTGGAGACCCTCCTCAGGACGTCCATGGTCAATGAGCCACTGTACGGGAGTCAGTATCCTACATTCAGAGGCAGGTTGGACTGCTCACACGAGGCGATTCTGGGAACATGAAGATTAAGGCTCCGAGAACAATAGCTGGGAGTATTTGGATGGCCAGTGGCAAGCGCCACTGAGCCTGGTTCGAAAGGCCTACGTACGTGCCGTACGAGATCCAGCCAGCGCCGAAGGACCCGAGACCCAGCATGAACTGTTGCAGGGAAGTGATTGTGCCTCTGATGGACGGGTGGGCGATTTCAGATTGGTAGAGGGGGATGATCATGACCAGGAATCCGACGCCGGTCCCTGCCAGCCAGCGGCCAGCCCACATCATGTGTAGATTCGCAGCGCCGGTCTGGAGGGCACCACCGAGGAGGTAGACGATTGATCCAAGGACGATGGTCCACCGGCGACCGAGTTTGTCACCACTCGGCCCTGCCAGTCCAGCGCCGCAGAAGGCTCCCCCGGTAAAGAACGAGACGACGATGCCGCTGAAGACGTCAGGCGATGCTCATTCTCTTTGGAAGGCGTTCTTACGTTTTAGTGGTGCTGGGGTTGTTAAAGTATGACTTGAAATTCGACGCTGCAATACTAGCGCCCAAGTCAGTCACTGTTATTCAAACAGATAGACATATAATCTTTTCACTTACACCGACGCAATGACACCGAGATCATATCCAAAGAGGATAGATCCCATGGAGGCGAAAACGCCCACGAGGAACTACTCAAATCAGTATCTATCTGATCTTCACAGCCAACACACACACATACCTGGTACAGCTTGGGACGAAGAACCATGTTTGCGGTTTTTATGGACGACAGAGGGTTTCAGAGAGAAAGGATTCCGATTCCGAAGCTTTGGAAGACCCAAGATAGTTATATCTTGAAGAATGATGGCCACCTTATATGTACCTATGCATTTGCCCCCTGAAGACAGTCTCGCTCCCAGCAACCAGCTCATCCATGCCGACAGCGCTGATGACTGCGGGGGAAGACTGGGGTAGCTGCACGAAAGCTGCAGGAAAAGTCCTCTTCGGATCTCCCTGCCATTGGGACGCATAGATAAAGTCTATATATATCATACTGTATCGTTCAGCCCAAGAAACAACTTCTCTGGTCACGTTCCTTTTCTGGGATCCAGATTCGGTGCGGCAAGGCTCCTCAGTCGGGACATGGGGCTGATCAAGAATGCTTTTACTTTTCTTGGTTCCTGACCCCTTGACTCTTGTCGTGGGGGTTCGGTGGTGTGTGTGGCCTGGGATGGGGGAGGGAGGAAGCTTTCCCTCGGCTCGCTTGGGCCCCTCTGTTGTTGATGTAGTACGAACGGCGAAATGAAATCCCGTCAGCAGAGCAGTGAGGAGTCGACACTTCCAAGACTTTCGAAACCGAACGGTACACGCGCGCCAATCAAGAGAGATAAATCGAGATCTTGTGAGGTTTATGTTTAGAGTTTCAGAGGCGCATCAGCTCCATAATTGAAAGCTCTGATAAAGTGTGGTGTCGGGCCTCGGCAGCAGCGAGAAATAAAACATGCGGCCGGACGGAAGGAAGGGAGTTCATTGTTCGAATCTTTCTGGATTTGAGCTCAAGCTCAACCGACCAACACCTGGAGACTTCAGATTGTCGACATGGCGACTTTCACTAGAATCCCGGATGGCGAGTCTCCTTCCATAAGTGTCGATGTAAACAGGAGATTGTCGAAGATCGGTATGTATACAAACACTTCTGCCGAAATGGAGGAATTTTGTTGACATTTTGACAGACCCAAACATATATGGCGGCTTCATGGAGTAGGTTCTATTTCAAGGAAGAGATGACGATCTCGGTCACTTCCTCTATTCGCAACATTGAGCTTGTTCGAAACCAACTCGATGAGTCCTTTCATTTTTGGGACAGCCGCTCTGAACGTGAAGTGACGATCACCAGTCCTTAAACTTAAAGCTGGCTCAGAACTAGCTGATTGCATATAATGGCCACCCCTTCACGTTTTCAAAATCTGATTCTTGAGATCAATGACCCGTGACTGACTCAGAACCCAGGCACATGGGCCGCTGTATCTATGGTGGAATCTACGACCCTGGGAATCCTCTCTCGGACAGACATGGCTACCGCACCGACGTCCTTGCTGCTCTCCGCGAACTCGACATCCCCGTGATCCGATACCCGGGCGGAAATTTCGTTGCCACTTATCACTGGCAGGATGGCATCGGACCTAAAGAGAACAGGCCGTCTCGTCCAGAGCTTGCTTGGCTAGGAACCGAGACGAACGAGTTCGGTACTTGCCCTTTCCCTATTTCTACCATGTACAGATATGCAAGGAGTGACAGCTAACAGAGGGTAGGAACTGACGAGTTCATGCACTGGCTTGGTGTTCTAAGCGAAGGCAGAGAGAAGCGAGTCGAGCCGTACTTTGCCCTCAACTTCGGCACCGGAACCCTGGACGAAGCTTTGGCCTGGGTCGAGTACTGCAATGGTACTAAGAATACCTACTACGCCAATCTCCGACGGAAGAATGGTCACGAGGAGCCGTACAACATCAAGTACTGGGCTCTCGGCAACGAGGTACTTCCTCTCCCCCTCTCCCTCTCCCTCTCCCTCTCCCCGTCTGTCTCCAGACCACACCGCAGTCTTGCTCAGCGAAATTCCAGATGTGGGGACCGTGGCAAGTCGGCCAAATGACTTCAGCCGACTACTCGAAGCAAGCCGCCCAATGGGCCAAGGCCCTCAAGCTGCTCGATCCCACCTTGTGCCTCATTCTCTGCGGCGAAACGGGGGTGGCGTCCTGGGACCACGAGGTACTGAAAGACTGCATCCCGTTCGTGGACATGCACAGCATCCACATGTACACGGCGTCCAAGGAGCACATCCCCAACGCCATTGCTCCTCTCTCCGCCGAGCGCGCCATCGAGGCTGCTGCGGCACTGATCGATATTGCGCGTATCGAGAAGAACATCCCGCCCAGCGTCCCCAGAACAACAATCTGCTTCGACGAGTGGAACGTGTGGGACCCTGTCCGGGCCCCCGGGGAAGAAGGCGCGGAAGAGCTGTACACGCTCTCTGATGCTATCGGGGTCGCGGTATGGCTGAATGTTTTCGTCAGGCAGAGTAAGTGGGTGGGCATGGCAAATATTGCGCAGAGCGTCAACGTCATCTCGCCATTGATGACAACTGCGGACGGGATCTCGAAGCAGACGACGTGGTGGCCACTGTTGCTGTTTAGCAAGTACATGCGTGGCTGGACGGTCGGCGTCCACGTCCAGGCTGGGGCGTATGATGGTGTGACGGAGCCGAAGTGGTTGCAGGGTGTTTTGGACCAAGGGGCGAGCTGGCTGGACGTCAGTGCTTCTGTCAATGAGGAGGGAGTGCTGAGTTTAGTGGTTGTGAATGTCAGCGAGACGGAGGATTTCGAGACCGAACTGTGCGGTGTAGGGAATGGAGTCGATGTGTACACCGTCACGGGGAAGGATGCGAGTGTTGCGAATACTGCGGGCAAGGAGGAAGTCGGTATCAAGGAAAGCAAGTGGAGTGGGAAGGGGAAGTACGTGTTCCCGAAGCTGTCGATGACCATGCTTCGATGGGAGACTGGGAAGAAGGTGATCGAAGTCATGAAGGGGGGCGTTAGCCGGGAATCGAAGAAGCTGGCATCAACTGTGGCCTGGTAGAAGATACATCAATATCATCGGCGTTCCACAGCTCAAGACTGCGTGCGATTCAGCTATCTAGAAGTGCCGGTATCGTAAGCGATCCATCCATCTAGGTGCCCTCTACCCGACTGTCAGTCGAGAAAAGGACATCCGGCTCCCGAATCCAAACTTTTCAGTCGTTTATTTCAAGTGTTTAGAATTCCAATCATGCCCCCAAACCGATTTTGTTTTTGTTGCCCGGCCCTTCAAACCCTAGGGGTATCGTGACATCCGCCCTATCTTGCCCAACGCCTGCCTGTTGTATAGATACAAAAGAGGGCTCTGTGAACCTCTTCTTATTACATGTAGGTTTGCCCCTCGTAGCTCTTCTTCGCTCCAGCTCAAGACGTGGCCTCTCTTGTCTTGCAGACGCCTAGTTCCGCATGCTAACTGGCTTTTTAGAAACCAGCTACAAAGATCGTGGTCTGTATCTCTCCTGTGATATATCTCACGCCATTTACCCGCTGTCTTTTGAAACTAACCTAAGTTCGTATTCAGTTGCTCAGCCTATAATCTCGGCGAAAATCTCAAGGTCAACTTCCGGTATTGCTGCCAATTATCGGCGGAAGTTGATAACAGCCAACTAGGACGAATTAGCCACGAGAGAAAAGTGATTAGGTGCAGAATAATCATACCCGGCTATTGACCCCGTAGGCAAGCCTCTGGCCCTTGGCATCCCAGCACATTGAAAATTGGTCTTCGCTGTCATCGGGTACAGAGTCTTGCGACTGTGGTGTTCGCCACCCCTTGTCATCTCCCCGAATCCAGATCGCTCGAGGAACGCTAACATCGTCGGTTTTCCATATGAGTATACGCTCATTTGTTCCACCGGCAATGAATGCTCCGTCGGGCGTAAACGAGAGCGCAACTACAGCGGACCCCATCGTCATGGATGACACCGACTTCTCTTCTGACGAATAGACATTCCATATGCTAATTGCGCCATCATCTCCAGCGGTTGCAAGGAATCGTGCGGTTTCGTGTTCTGACACGAGTGGAAACTGGCGAGGTTGCCATAATATAGACGTAATCACACCTTGATGAGCATCGAACGACTTGCAACGCTCTGTATCATTCCAGATCTATTTGATGTCAGCGACACACGACCAAGGGACTGAGGGCTGCATACTCCTACTGTGCCGGATTCGCTTGCAGTAGCTAGCAATCCAGATCGGTGGTCGTAAGCAATCTTACAGAGCGCTTCGCCTACAGGTACTTCGAACCTTTTTCCGAGGACGACAGCACGGTCGGCAAGAGCACATTGCTGTAGAAGGCTTCCGCCACAAAGGAAAAACTGATCGTCTCCTTTCCAAGCAGCGTCTAGAGTCTGGTCAACCAGAATGTGTTGCGGCAGAGAGAAGTTGATGGAGTAATCCAGCAGAGGATACATGATCGTTATAACCGTGCCCTTGTTCTCATTCTGGGGAGAGATTGCTAGGCAAGCTTTACCTGTTTCACTCCACCGAAGACAAATCACTGGCGAGTCAAAGCCGTTGACCGAGTGGAATGGAGATCCATCACGATGGAAAAATTCAATTCGTGCATTCCCTTCCTCGATTGGCTCACTTGCAACAGCGATATGCTCTCCGTCCGGGGACCACGCGAGGCCTGTAACCGTAGTACTGGGGGACACAGATTCGTCGAGAAGCGGCTGGTGGTCCGTACCTCGATTAATACCATGACGACCTTTGCCGGGGCTCTCGGAACCAGAACCTGAGTCGGGACTTGGCGGCAGGGTCCACATGCGGGCTAGCGCATCGGTACCGGCAGCTGCCAAGAGTTCCGCCTTTTGAGGATTGAACTCGCACTGAAGAAGGACGACGTTCCTGGCCGAAGGATTATCTGAAAGCTCGAGAAAGTACGTCTCGGAGGAGGTAAGTTCGTTCACTTTCTCGACCTGGGTGCCAATCTCAGGCCCAACGGTCGCCACGACCGGAGAGGGAAGCTGCTCTGGTGACGGATAAGCGTTCTCGTCACCATTTGGATCGTCATCGACATCCATGGGAGTAGAGTCGAATCCAGTTCCGTAGCCGTTGCTGAGCCGGGGCCGCTTGATCGGTGGTCCAGGCTGGTTGTGGGGTTGCTCGCTGTTGTTCTCGATTTGTCGTTTTCTCAGATTTTCGTGATCTTCTTCTTCCTCAACTTCGGCAGGCGGTGATGCTAGCATCAGAGGCCCGAAGAATCCAAATGCAGGAGAGGCCGAAGCATCGCGAAGAGGCTGATGGGGCTGTCAGCATGGTCTGGTCTGGTCTGGTCTGGCGTTGGAGACAAGAACGTGATCAATTAGTAGTAGTGACCATGAGCCAAGACATACCTGTTGGGCTTCGCGTTCCTGTACATTGTACAACAGGCCTCGGTTCAAAACCGAAACTAGTGTGTAATTCTGGACATGAGGCGCAAAATCAAAGTGTTGTTGCGGATTCTGGATGTTCCACTCCTTCTGCAGCTGGACGGCAGTCTCCGAATAATCTACACGGCCTTGTCAGTTCTCACGAAGCGCAAGCTGCTCCCGCTCCGGTGTACCAACCTGACTCGACGAGGTACCTGTGAAGTAGCAATGGCCGTTAGCAAAGGCAATTCAAGACGGTACCGTACCTGAAAATCCGAAGGCATAGATCACGGGGACAGAGACACGCACCTCCAGATGAGATAGTTGACCCTGTCAGAATCGAGCATCTCCTTGGCCATGGCCATAGTTGCACACAGCTGAAAGGGGAGGGGAGGGGAGGGGGGGGGTGGGGGGGGGGAAGGGCGGAGGTAAGCGCTGCAGCAGAGAGAGTTGCCGTGATCGGTGGTGGGGGTGTGGTTATTGGTGTTCGCGCGCTGTGGTGTGGTGGTAGTGGTGGTGGTGGTGGAGGTAGAGTTGTTGGTGGTGGTGGTGCTGGTGGAGGTGGAGTTGTTGGTGTGTGTTGTTGGTGTTGTTCGAACGATGAAAGAATGAAGATTTCGGGACAGAAATCCAAATGCACAGTATGTGGGGACTCTAGACTTCTCTAGCAGGGGTCCAGCGGTTGGCAGGCGGTGGGATGGAAAGTTAGATTTGACTCTGGGGGGGCCTACGGGCCTACGGGGCCTTCGGGGCCTATCAGGCCTATCAGCAGCGCAAGGGCAGAGTCTGAGATCGCCAGCTGCCACCACCACAGGGCCACCACTGCAGGGCTTGCCAATGCCCAATGCCAATAATATCCAGGCCCGCGCGCCAGTGCACAATTACGAAACGGGGTCTCTCAGACGGCCGACTAGGCTAGACAAGGCTAGACTGAGCCAGCCTGGGCTAGACTGAACTAGCCTGGGGTGCAAGTGACTGCAGTGCGTTGGAACTTCGCTGCTGCTTGTCTGTCACTCCTCTACCTAATTCTCCCGGGGGACTCTTTCGTGCTTGTGTTCTGGACGTTTGAGATAGCAGAAGTCTTATGGATTCCGTAGATTGATGATCCCTTCGATCCTTCAATACCGGTACGTTTGCTCCGTGTGCTGCTGTGTGTTCTGTACCACTTGCTATCGATGGTCCTCGTGTCGTCGCGTGTGGTGTCCGTCTCGTCCTGAATCTAAGCCAAGCAGTCAGTCAGTCAGTCTGTGGCAGAGCTTTGAGGCGCTCCCGTGGAAGACGGATGGATAGATATGGATATACTTGCTGCTGCTGCTGCTGCTTCTGCTTCTGCTTCTGCTGGCCTCAATCAAATGCTGGCTAGCTGGCCTGTGCGCCGGTGATTTTTGCAGGAAGGGTGCGCCGACTCAAGTGCGGGAGAAAGGCAACAAGGCCTCGAACCTCGAACCTCGAAACCTCGAAACCTTGAACTTAGGTAGAACTCGGCGAATTCGGTACTTAATAATAACGGTTCCGTGTACAGTAGCAGCGTACTCCGTAGCGTGCTGACTGACGCCTGTGCTGTGTCCCCGTTCTAATGATTGCGCTCGACAATCTACGGAGTACGGAGTAGATTTTGTGGATCGTCCGTGCTGGCCCCCCTGGGAGGATCAGTCAGTCAATCAGTCGACAAATCTCAATCTGTTCAATTCCTGATACCGACAACTCGCAAAAGGTCGATGCATGAATCGGGAGCGTATCGATGGGCAGGTTGCCATGTAGACAGTGTGTGTAGTTACCATATAGTAGTACCACTAAGAGAGGCGGCGGCGGCGGCGGCGGCAACATGGCGACGGTCGAGGTGGTGTGTTTAGCTCAGCTGGGGGTGTGTTGAAGGTTTCGATGGATGGATCCAGCCAAGTCGACTCTGGTTAATCTGAACTACAAAAATCGGGGCTCCGGAAACGAGACTGTTGCACCGGAGCTAGACAGCACGTGACCAAGGTGCACGGGCCGTAGAGGCTGGATGGAGGCTGGAGGCTGAAAGAAAGGAGGCTGGAGACTGGAGACTGGAGCTTGAGACCGCCAAAGAATCCGACCACCAAGGTAGGTACCTAGGTTACTCCCGATCAACATACTCCGCAACTCGAGATCAGAGGATCTTAGATACATATCGCCATGCCTCCCAGGCTGAACATCCCGCCTATAACGCGCATCCTCCTCATCGCTCTAGTCACCCAGTCGCTATTGAGCTTCGCCATCCGGTACAGACAATGGTCGGAGGAGTCTGACATCGTGGTGCCATACCTGTCACTGGTGCCGCAACTATCGCTCATGTACCCTTGGACCTTTATCACGACTACACTGGTGGAAAACAATGTGTTTACCTTGGGGATAGCTGGCCTGACCATTTTTTATGGAGGGCGATACCTGGAAAGAGCTTGGACATCGGCCGAATTCGCAAAGTTCCTTCTGATTACAGCTCTGATCCCCAATATTCTGTCCTTTGGATTATTGGTCCTTCTTTTCGCCATGACGGGAGATATGCGCTGGACGTAAGTTCTGTCTGCCACTGTCGCTGTTTGGATATCTTCACTAACTATGCTGCCAGCTTGACGACTGTCAATGGCACCATACCTCTGCAGATCTCCTTCCTCGTCGCCTTCTCACAGCTGGTACCTGCGCACACTGTCACCCTCTTCCGCGGCATTGTATCCATGCGGGTTCCTCGATTCCCGCTCCTTCATACCGTGACCGTCTTCTTGCTGTCCCTTACTCCCCTCTTCACTGCAGCCTCTTTCCTCCTAGTCACATCCGCGTTTTTGACTAGCTGGACATACCTTCGATTCTACAAGGCTGCCCTCCCAGACTTGGACACCAACCAGGCCTCGCTGCGTGGGGACGCGAGCGAGTCGTTCGCGTTCGCTGAGTTCTTCCCTGACGCAGTGAAGCCCATTGCAGTCGGAGTATCTGACCAGATATACAATATTTTGGTTACACTGCGCATATGCACACCTTTCTCTGCGGCTGATGTATCGGCATCTCGGGGCGATACATTTGTACAGCGGGGAACGCCCGGTAGCGCAAGGCAAGAGGCAGAGAGAAGGAGAGCGTTGGCGTTGAAGGAATTGGATCAGAGATTGAATGCTGCATCGAAGCCGAAGCCTCAAGCCCCTCCGCCGGCAGGGCCTAGTGCCCAGATCCAGCCTCAGCCTGTTCAGACACCGGCTGCGATGCTGGGAGAGACGAGTTACGTGCCAGAGAGAGAGGGAGAGGCGGAAGGACATTAAGGAATGTATTTACTTCATATGGGCGACGACCTGCACTCCCTGGGGCGTGGGTGGGAGATGTGGCTTGGCCCGCAGTATAGTTGTACTAGTTGTACTAGTTGTAAGAGAGCCTTAAAATGACCCTGAATACCACATGATGATACCCAGGGTGTGGCGAGTTTGGGCGGTGGACTCCGTACAGAGTAGGCCCGGGGCGTGAAGAGCGATCCTGGGCTGGCAGACAAGGATGCCTGCGCCTGCCACAAACCCGGAGTCTCCTCCAAAGGTGGATCTCGTCTCCGTCGCATCGATGCGCTGTTCTTCGGCTATCGCGGGAGCCGGCGGCTCGAAACAACCTTTTCTCCGTACTGTACGTACTACGGTACTACTACCTACTACTACTACTACTACTACTACTACTACTACTACTACTACGTACTGTACGTACAGCTGTATGTATCGATCCCTCCCAACTCTACAGTACTTGCCGACCGATACATACTGTACGTACCGGTACAACCACCGTGAGGCTTCCCACGCTCAGCCTCCTCCTTGCCCCCCCGAAGCTTGATACATGCCAGTGGCACGTGACATTACAATTAAGATAATTGCCCAACGTGGCAACGCCGGCCTGTGGTAGAAGCGTTCTTTGTCTCGCTGGCCTTACGGTAGGTACCGATAGGTTGTCCGGTAGGAGGAGGGTTTCCGAAATACGTAGTGTAGTACTTGGAGATGATCGGGGATGGTCGGGGATTTCTTACGTGCAGAGGAAGTACTACGTATGAACGTCTGGATCACGAGAGCTATGCGCTATGCAGACTTTCCGACTGTGGAAACGGTGATCACGTTGGAGAGCCAGGCGGGGGGGGGGGGGGTGGAGAGGAAGGTAGATAGGTAGAGAGATAGGTAGGGAGATAGGTAGGGAGATAGATAGGTAGTTGTATGCACGATGTATGTATGTACCTTACGGGGTAGTAGGTAGGTAGTTAGTTGTATGCACGATGTACGTACGTATGTATGTACCTTACGGACCTGACGGAGGGACGTACAGTAGTACCTACTTATTGCCTTTCTCTGGGTGGGCAGGTGGGTGGTGGCACGAGGTGCAAATGGTGGCTTTGAATCCGCAGGCACCAGGACAGCCAGCTGCAGTGCCGTGCCGTACAGTACAGTACAGATATGTATATCTGTATCTGTATAGACTACGTACAGTATAATACTCCTACCACAGTATGTACAGCGTATGTCGGCATGCGAATCTTATACCTCCCCCCTTGCTTCATCTCCCTCCCCACCGCCCTTGGACCAAAGTATAAGTAACAACCCAGACCGAGCTTCTCTCTCTCTTCCTTTCGTCTCCCATCCATACGGAGGAGATGGACTAAACCCAAACGTTATTGACAGTACAGTACAGTACAGTACAGTACATTACAGTACAGTACAGTACAGCTACAGCTACAGCTACAGCTACAGCTACCTACAGCTAGGTACTGTGCTGTAAATACTAACTCACGTACGTACAAACTACGTAGTAACAAGTACTTAACTACAAACTAACCTTGAGTCAAATCCAATCAAGGAGCTTGAATGTGGGGGCCCTCTTCATCCTTCGCTCCAGCCCAGCCCTCGGGAAGTACCCAGAAAAAGAAGTTGGTTTTCAATCGGCCAAGCCCAAGGCTATAAGTACGGTAGGTAGGCTAGGCTAGGCTAGCCCAGCCCAGCCCCCCCCGATCTCATCTCATCCCATCCCCCATCCCGTGATCCCGCTCTCTCTCTCTCTCTCTCTCTCTCTCTCTCTCTCTCT